TAAACCCCCTAAAACCCCCTAAACCTAAACCTAAACCTAAAACCTAAACCTAAACCTACCCCCCTAAAAACCTAAAACCCTAAACTCTAACCTAAAAACCTAAACCTAAAACCTAAACCTACTAAACCCCCCTAACCTAACCCCCCTAAACCTAAACCCTAACCTAACCTAAACCCCTAAAACCTAAACCTAAACTAAACCTAAACCTAAACTAAAACCCCTAAAAACCTAAAACTAAACCTAAACCTAAACCTAAACCTAAACCCTAAACCTAAACCTAAACTAAACCCCCCTAAACCTAACCCTAAACCTAACCTAACCTAAACCTAACCTAAACCCCCCTAAACCTAACCTAACCTAAACCTAAACCTAAACCCTAAACCTAAACCTAACCCCCCCTAACCCTAAACCTAAACCTAAACCTAACTAAACCCCCCCTACTAACCCTAACCTAAACCTAACTAAACCTAACTAAACCTAAACCTAAACCTAAACCTAAACCTAACCTGATCTACTGTGCCACCATGATATCCATGGATTGATATCCATTTAGTTCTCATTTTAGGATTGTTTACATAGTATTTAAATACAACTTTTATAACTATTTTTATTGAATCTGAGCCATTATCAGAATAAATACACAATTGAAGTTTGGTTTAACTAAATCTAATAAATGTTCATCTATTCTACAGCTTTATCATTAATATATCCACCAAATATTGATTAATCAAGAAGTTGTATTTGATTTATAGTAGCTTCCATTATTATTAGTTTATAATCCTCATATATATTAGCTTGCCATGAACTTAATAAATTTACTCATTTTCTACCACTTTCATCAAATAGGGATGGTTCTACTTTAACAAATTCAGGAAATAAATTATTCATTCTATATTGAGTAAATGGGTACCATAAATAATTTTGATCTCTTTTTTGATACATTATAATTTAATAGTTTTATTATAATTTCGAGTGAAAATGAATATTTTTTTGTGCCATTTAACTTATAAATATCTTAATTATTCAATATTTAAAAATAGTAAAAAGTAAACATAGTTATAAAATGATTGAAAAATTAATATTTAACTAGCATTTTTATATATTATATAAAATCCAATATCTAGAAAAATTATATTATTTATTATTTAAGTAAACTATTGTATTATAAATTTTTGAAAATTTTAAATTATTAATAGAAGAGAACAATAAGAAATAAAAAAAATTATATTAATAAGAATATTGAAATTAAAAATTCATATTATCTTAAATATCTTCTATAACCAACTTTTTTTTTTAATACTGCCCGAATATATTTTGAGGGTACCGGGACAGAATTATTTAATAATATAGAGTTTTTAGATTTAATAAGAGTTACAATGAAATGTAAAAAGAAGAAATATTGTAAATGATTAAATTAGAGCTAAGTAAAGTATTCTTATAAATTAATAATTATAAATATGATTAGAACTAATTTTAATTAGGGTTTAATGATTTGATTATTTTGAATAATTTAAAAATTATTTCATAGTATTTAAATTTTTTTGTAAATAACTAAATATATGATAATATTTCAAATAATCTAACATAAATATTTTTTTTGTTTAAAAAATATCTAAAAGTATATTATTAAAAGATATTATTAATCAAAACTTTAATATTTAAATGTTATAAAATTAAGATTATCTAATATTAATATTGCATAAAATGATATATAATAACATTAAATTTTAATTTTATAACACTTTATATTTCAGGATCAATTTATAAATATATATCTTTGATATAGATTTTATATATTAGGAATTGGAGCTCATTCAGTAATATTATTATAATTAATTTGTTATATATATTTATTTCACTTAATAATTAACGTTATATTTTATTTTATTTATATAAAAAAAAACTATATAACTATTATTTAAATATATACTATTTATTAATTATTAATAAATGACCGATGAAATATTTCCTATTTATAAAAAAAAAAAATATCTAAACTTTTGACAATACAAAATATTAATGTATCTAACTATTATATATTTAGAATACATCTTTTAAAAGAAAGTGTTAATATTTTCTTTTTCAAATAATCTAGGTATAATGTTGCATGCATTAGTAACTGAGACGTGGTGTCAGATAAGGTACCGAATCTCAATTAGCGGATTGAAATTGGTATTTATAGGCTTGCATTACTATCTTAATATTACTTGTTAAAATGTGTAATAATATAGTAGGGAAGCAATTTTATAGGATTAAGCCTAAATTTGATCTTCCAAAGGTTATAATTGAAATAACTTTTTGGAAATTACTTTATGATACGAAATTAAAGGATCTTAAATACAATGACTCAAATATTGAAATTATAGCTTTCTATGATACAGAAAAGAACAATGTTAGATTTAATTCGAATTCACTAAATTATTATCCTAAATTATTGAATGGTAAGCAATAACTTTTTTAATAAACTGAATATTTCAATAATTTAATATTAATTGAATTTAGATAATAATAAAGATATAATACATGGGAATTTATATGTATATAATTCAATAGAAGATCTAATTATGAATTCAGAAAATATTAACAATTCTATTAAATATCTAATTTTTCAGAATATATCAAAAATGTATGAAGTAATTGAAGATAATTCACAAAAAATGTCATATTCAAGTTTATTATATATATTTGACTTATTGGTATTTCTTGACTTTAAGAATTCAGAAATTTACTATAAAATATGTTTTCCGTATTTATATTATACTAAAGATATTGAATTAGAACAATGCAAACAAAATAACAAATTACTTGGTATATATTATAATCAAAATTTATATAATTCATTACATAATATGAAATTACTAAATATGACATCCTTATTAATAAGTAATATTGAATCTATGATATCTAAGAAGTTAATAGCTAAAGAAGAATATTCTAATGATATATATATGAATATTCCTTGGTTTTATTCAACTTTGTTATGTTATTTAAGATTTATGGATATATACTTTAGTAGTGATCTTATAAGAAATATTGACATTAAAGTTTTTCTAAATAATTCATTATTGGAATTTCCTCTATATGATTTGATTTCATGTAATGGTTATTTAAAACCACATAATTGTTTAGTATTAGAAAATATAGATAAAAAAATTGACTTAGCTGATATTTTTAATGTCAATTTAAAATGTTATTTGGATCCACTTACTATATCAAAAAATATGACAGAACTTAATATTGAATTAATAAAATGGCGTCTTTTACCAAATTTTAAGCCAGATTCCTTATCATATTTAAAAATTTTAATAATAGGTAGTGGAACATTAGGTTGTGCTATTTCAAGAATTTTGGTTGGTTGGGGAGTAAAAAACTTTACTTTTATTGATAATTCTATTGTTAATTACAATAATCCAACTCGACAATGTCTATATATCTATAATGATGCTATTGAACGAAAATATAAGGCATTAACTGCTGCTGAGAGGCTTAAAGAAATCTCTCCTAATATTTCTAGTAATGGAATTGTACTCAATATTCCGATTTTAGGTGATACAACTGTAAAATTAGATGAATTTATTGATTCTTGGTTTAAATTAAAATCATTAATATCCTCACATGATGTTACTTTCTTGTTGACAGATACCAGAGAATCAAGATGGATGCCTTCAACTATTATTTCTTTATTAAATAGATATACAAATAGCAATTCAAATTCATCAATACTAGGATTAACTGTTGCATTGGGATTTGATTCTTTTCTTGTTATGAGGCATACAACATCTGGAAAAGAAATTGTTACTACAAATATTTTACAAAGTGTTAATGAAAAAAAATTGATTAATAATTATGGATGCTATTTTTGTGGAGATTTTTCAATAAACTCAAATTCTGTTGGCATCAGGAATAAACCTATTGATCAACAATGTTCTGTTATTAGAATGGGAAATAGTTATATAGCATCCTCATTAGCAGTAGAGCTTCTTGTAGCATTATCGCAACATCCATTAAGATGGGACACATACCATATCTCTTATAAAGGGGCAAATAATGATGATGTAAAAGATATTACAAAAAGTTCAGAAATATCTTTAGATGAAGAGAATTATGTTGGATATATCCCACAATGTATCCGAGGATTTATTGATAAATTTTATATTGTGAGCTATTCTACTCAAGTTAATGAGAACTGTATTAGTTGTTCTAAATATTTACTTGATAAATTATATAATGATGAAGTAAATATGTTAACAAATATATGGAAAAATCCAGATTATATTGAATCAATATGTGGTATGGAAAGTTATAAAGAATCGTTAAAAGATATAGAAATAGAACAAATAATAGATAATAGTGGATTTATAGATATATTAAATATTAAAAAATAATATTAAGTTAAAATTAAAATAAAATATCAATGATTATTGATTTTGAATATCTTCTAATTTAAAAGTTCGATTATTTATGATCTTGATCTTGTTTATCTCCATACTTAATTTTCTTCACTGGTGTACTATTTCTCAAAGTAATACTTTTATTATTTGTTTGATAGACAATATCATGAACTTCAGAATCTCCATTTATTACATATTTATCACCAACCATATATGCAGCATTATATCTTTTTGAGACTAAGAAATGATATTGATCTTTATAAAATCTTGAATTCTTCTCTTTTGTATCAATATCACTTAATTCTTTATTTAATGATAATATATCTTCAAACTGTCCTCTTATTTTACAATATCTATCATAATCAAATTCACGGTCTAGTCTGCCATCCAATGGATCCCATCTAGGTGGTGCAATAAGTTCATTCAATTTCCTAATTGCTAATATTTCTTTATTATCAGGAAGCATTGGTGAATGAAAGCCAAAATATTTATCATATAAATTTTCAGACTTTAATACTGCCTCTCTTTTACGCCTTTCAGAATAAATTTGTCTTGCTATTCTCCTAGCATCAATGATCCTCAATCTAAATTCTTCATCATCAGGGTATACCATTGGAATAGCATCTGGGAATAATAAACGAAATTGACTTTGTCGCAATTTTACTTCTAATATATTTGAAATTCTTGATTTTGATAAAAAATTATATAAATAATCTGAAGTTTGTAACACTAAACAAGAAAAAAGATTTAAATAAATAAATAAAATATATATAATATATATATATTCAATAAACTTACATACAGAAGGTCCAACTTGTTGGGTACAGAATGCAATTCTTGCTCCATTAGCTCTATACTGAGAATCTTTTACATAGACTTCAATACCTAACTTCTTCACAGCATTCATTAATACCTTCCTAACTTCATCTAATAATTCAACTTCACTATTAACTGGGATATCTGGATTTTCTCTATAATATTTAATTCTTGGAATCAAAAATCTTAGTGTTTGCCCTTGTGGTTCAAAAAATCCTGCTGAAAAAAGACATTTACCAACTTCTTTAGTATCACAATCAAACAAGTTACCGTGCTCAACAAGATATATCATTTGAGCAGCTGCTTCATCTGGGAAAGGTGATCTTAATAGCCCACTTATAAAAAAATCCTGTTCTTCCTCTCCTAAATTATGTTGATAATATAATAAAAAACCATCTTTTTCTTCGACAGTATCTATAAATTGTTCATTTTCACCATAAATTCTTTTATATTTTCTATATTTATATGCAAGTAATATTAGATCTATACTTACTTGGTAAAATAAAAATACTATTGTCATTAATTCCAAAACTACAATAGCTATTGAGATAATAAAACCAGCTTTTGGAAAATAACCATATATACCAAATAAACATAATGATGTAACTAATGAAAAAGCTACAAAACGTGATACTGTTAATGAACTTAAGGATAATATCCACCAAGGTTTTATTATTGCATAAGGTGCAACTGAATCTTTATTATTTATTGGAGGAATTAAGGTCTCAATAAATGTTACACAAGCTAATATAGTTAGACAAAATACTAATAAATCATGAGATGTTGCATAAGTTAAATTCATAACTCCTATAGTACCGAATAATACATATAATCTAATTGATTCCCAAAATTGGACAAGTGGATGATAACCAGAAAATAAGAACTCATTACTTATATAGTATAATTCTTCTTTATGAATAATTTTACGTCTAAAAATAATCCCATTTATTATATTAATTAAAGGAAAAAATACTGAAAAATATGTTAATCCTGCTGCAGATGAATTTTTTAAAGCTCCACATGATAATACATAATCTTCTTCTGTTACATTACCATAGCTTGGTATATTTATACATTTTAATGATTTCAAAAATACCCATGTAATTGGACTATATATTAAATATAAAAATATCTGTGAAGAAGATATAAATCTATATGTAGTCTTAACCATTTGGTTCTTTAATGCTTTATTAAAATTATCTAATCTTATTGATGAATCAATAAATTCTCCACTTTGCAAATCCACTTGACAATTACTTTTTTTATATATCCTTGCTATATCAATAATATGTTTAAATGTAAAAAATATAAATAATAAAGTAATTCCCATTATTGGTATTACTATTGCTAATGTTAGATTTGATTTTGCATCTGTAGTACCTATTTCATTTATTGATAACATTTCTGATGGAATTAAATGAGTAATACATTTAGAAGGAAATAATGATATTGGAAACCAAATATTTTGAGCAAGTAAAATCATAATATTCAGATATATAATAAAGAAATTTGGCATTGTTAATCTATCATTAATCATGCTATAATATATAAAGCATAGTGATGTACTTGTAGCTAAAAAAAAAGTAATAGACGTAATTTTGGAATTACCCCAGAGTACTTCCGAGATAAAATTGTATATTTTGCTGATAATTCTGTTAGTCTTGCAAAACCATAGCATATAGTTAATAAAATAGCATAAATTGATATTAATATTGCGATTATTTCACCAGAATTTGGACACTTAATACAAAAACTATCTAATCCAAATTGAAATTTAAAATGACTAAAATCACATGTATTACATAATGGTCCTGTATAACCTGTCGTACATCCAGCACATTTACTTTTGCAAGCAGTTTTTATTGGACACTTTTGGTATATTCCAGATAATGTCGATTGGATCCACCACCCCTCATTTGCTATATTATGAGTTTCACAATAATTTTTTACATAAGGCCCTGGACAAATATATCTACTTTTATCAGCAGGACATTTGATACATATATTGGTTTCTTCCAGTCTGTAATAGCCAGCATCGCATAAACAGTCAGATACTGTATTTGATCCAGTTTTGTTTGCAGTTCCAGAATATTGAGGGCATGGGAGGCACTGCTGTAAATTGCTTGCAGGTCCATATGTATTCTCTGGACACTTAACACAATTCCCAGATGTATCTTGGTAATAACCAAAATTACATCCAAGATTCATTGAACTACTTTGAGATTTAGTAGTTATAAATAACCAATTAATAATAGTCAAAGTTATATATATTTTAACACATTTAATTATCATAATTCTCTTAAAAAATCATTATTTAAAATGATTATGTAACAAGACCTCATTATTCTTAAATATTTTTTTAGGTCTATATATTACAATAGTCCACGTAATATACATGCAAAAAAGGCGGTATAGTATACATGCTGAGACAATATACAAAATAGCGGGTTATTTTCTTATTTATATTTAATGGAATACTCTTATGTAATATATTTTATAAAGAAATAATCATTTTAAAGTTATATTATATACGAGATTCTTAATTAAAATTCTTGAATAAAAGGAATACCAGCACTTTAGAATCTTTTAAATACTTCATTTAACACTTCAGGAAATATCAAATAAAGATTTAATATTTAAAAGTGTATTAATATTATATTGTACTACATACAAAGTATTGCTATTTATTAACTAGAGATATAAATATTGATCAATTCAAATGATCTTGTAGGAAAGTATCATTAGGAGTTTCAAACTATATATATGGTTCTGAGGATTTGTGCAGATTATATTATTGTCTCTTATTATATTGAGAAATCTTTTAATTATACTTTTTATACTAAAAAGATCCAATCAATTTCAGACATTAATCTTTTAAACTTCAGATAAAACCTTTTTTAATTATACTATGGAGATTTTTCATAACCAATTTCATATATCCATTCACTATCTGATCCCTATAAGTATCTATTTTTACTATTATATTAATAGTTTATTGTAAATTTAAAGTTTCATATATAAAGAAAATCAAATAAAATTCAACTCCAAATTTTTCAAATGTTATCATTTAAACTTTAAATTACTTGATGTTTTAATAAATATTTGAGAACCACTTTTTAATATAAATTTTATATTTTCAATAAACTTATTATAACTTCTCTTTATATTATTATTTTCTATAAATTGCATATTATCTTCAATATAAACCAATATTATTGTTTTAAGGTTAATTTCCAAAGATTTTCTATTTGCCTGTAGAAATCTCAATTACCCTAATGCATTATTGTATTTTATATTAATTCATTAATAAAAAGAATGTTTGTATATATTTATCTAGCTATGATATCTAGTCAGTTTTAATATTCCAGATTTTAATTCAAATATTTCCTTATTTATAGATCATTATATTTATTATTTTAGTACTCGTACTCATTACTTTTTGGTTTAAATATTGGTAAGGGCTCATAATTCAAAAATTTATAATAATGTAAATATTTTTAAAGTTGATATATTATATCTCATATTTCAGGTAAATAATATAAACCATTATAAATATGTACAAAAAATCCTCTCATATTATTAGTAATATTTGATATTCCAGCAATCTTTTACAACAAAATATAACGCCAAAAGTATCTAAAGGATGTCAAAACAATACTGGACGTATACATTGGTTAAAACTTTAATATATTTCTTTTCAATAATTAAAATGGTGGTTTATTAAATAGAAAAAAAAATTAATTTTTACTAATATCCATATATATTATAATCTCTTCTATTCGGATTCTTTTTATAATAGATCCTAGCTTTTTTTTTGTCTCATTTTGAGACTACTTCTCTATAAATTTGAATTTTTATTTAATCTCCAATTTCTATTAGATTTGTTAATTTTTTTTTTTTTCCTATATCAATTGAATCTTAATAAATATTTTTCTCATGTGGGTAAAAATACTAATATGCATGTTTTACAGTAAAAATGGAAAATTGTAAAAAAATAAAAATTAGAACAGCATACAGCCTTTATTTAGTACTGATAACTTTAATTATTATATTGTGGGATGTTTGTGCATCAAAGCCATTATATAATAAGTATAGTAAATCAAATCCAGAATTAAATGATAACAGTAAACCTCAAATAATAGAGTCTGTACCTATTCAAGAAATAAATCCTTATAATGAAGAGGTATGTATCTAATATCCTTTTATAATAATAAAATTAAAAATATTCGCTATCTTTTTTTTTTCTTATACTAAAGGTCTTAAATGATACAATAGAAGAATTAACAGATATATCAAATGATGTAGAAACAAAACTTGAGGAACTCAAACAAAGGGAAGCTATGTAAGTAAAATATTAATTTTAAAATTATAAAAATTTAACATTTAAATAAAAATTCTTGTAGAATGAATATTGATAAAAGAAATATTGGTATCTTTGCAAGCATTACAATGATAGTTTTAATTATACTATTCTATTTAGGAGTAGCTCATATGGAAGATGCATTAAAAGATGCCAGCATACTTCATGGAGATGATATTGGATCACCCCAAAGCTTGTTATATGATCCACGTTGGTAAATAATAATTTGATTTGATAATATTTTATTTTTAAAATAGAAAAAAAAGTAGCATATTGGGTTATATTATTAATTAACTTGAATATAAGCTTTGGGAACCCCCCAATGTAAAGATAATAAGCTGGCTACTTTACTAGCAACATTACCTTGAATAACTACTCCGATATTATTAGGAGCAGAATAACCTTTTATTTGAGTTGCACTTGCAGAACAAGCAAATTTTTTTTGACAAATATCTGCTACTAGTGAAGGATCTAAATTAAAGTGAGTAATATAAGGACTAATTATTGTCGTATACTTTTTTCCCCCTTGCCTTGATTCTACTGATATAATAATAGATTTACAAATCCCCTTAAATATTAAAGGATTTTCATTATATTGTTTCTTATTTTGATTATTTGTCTTAATATAATGGAATGTATTAAGAAATTTAAAAAAATCCTTAAAAATAGAAGCTAATGAAATAATATCTGCATTAATATCTGATTTATAAATAATTGAAAGTAAATGATCAAGTTTGACATGAGATAATTTACGATTATTTTCTTCAACTGGATCCTTAACTTTTAAATTATTTAAATTAATATAAATTTCAAGGATTTTTCTAATTTGTTTAGATGAATAAAAAGTCTGTAATTTTTCACCTTTTGATGTTTTAATTATAAAAACCTCTCCAGATATAAGAGGTTGAATATTTGAACTGATTATTTCAAACTTTGATTGAACAAAATCAAATATACCTTGAATAGATGATAACGGTTGATATATTGTAATAATTTCCATACTATTGAGGGATAAATTAATATCATTAGATTTATTTTTATTTTTATCTTTATTTGTATCTTTACAATTATTAAATAATTGAATATCATATAAATCTCTTGATAATAATTTTTGAATATATAAAATTTCATCATATAAAGATTTATTTTTTATATATGTATCATCAATAATATTTTTATTAATTGATATAATTGTTTGATTATTATTTCGTCCTTGTTTTAATATAAAAAATCCAAGTTTTTGATAATATATAAAAAACTTAGATATTTTTCCATGGGAAGTTAATTTAATATTTAATTGTTTTTGACTAGATTTATTATATAGACGATTTATTTTATCCCAAATAGCAGATATTTCAAGTGGAAGTTGATTTAATTCTATTGATGTTAAAATTTTGATTAGAATAAATTCACTAATAATATCCCAAAAAGAATAATTATCTTTAATAGATTGTAGTGATAATGACAAATCATCATCTAAAATTGGTAATATATATTCAGATAAGTTATTCTGATTAATTTGAATATTTTGGATTTGTTCACTATTAATATATGAATTTTCTGATGTTTTAGATTCATTTTTAGAATCAATAAATTTTGAATAAATTTCAATATTAGGATTTTGCATTTTATTATTAAAATTTTTAAGATTGTTAGTAGATTCATTAATAATATATTTAATTTCATTTCCATTCTCATTTACACTTTCTACTATTTGATCTGTTTCTGTTGTTAATTTGAATTCAAAACCTCCTTCTTTAGATAAATTATCTTTAATATGATGAAGGATTCTTAAAACCTTTCCTTTCTTAAATTTAGAATTTACTAAATCTATCCAATCTACTAATGAAATACCTAGAGCAATTGGTTTTTTATCAAATTCACATCTAACACTCCATAATTGACCTTTATTAATTGTTTTTAAATTAATTGATTTTTGTACTATAATCCCACACATCATTAGATCTGCACCATTGAAAATAAATTGGCTAATACAAGTTGGAATAATTACTTCTGGAATTTTTATATAATCACCGTATATCCATAATAGTTGTAAAGAAGGTATAATTAAATTATTACCTATATCAAATAGCCATGGTAAATTTGTAGGTAAATATGGTAAATCTATTTCAATTTTAGATATTTCATTGGAAATATGTAAATTAATTTCTTTATTTTCAATTATCTCATTTGAGTTATTTTCTTCAAGTTTATTAAGAGAATTAAGTTTTGAATATAAAATCCTTTTAGAATTCTCCTTAGTTATCTCAATTTTATATAAAATGGCTTTGCTTCCATCAGGTTGTTCAAATTTACATTGCAATAACTTCACCTCATTCTTTTTCCTTCTACCTAGAATCCAGTCTGCATCATATGTTGAGATTCCAAATTGTTTAATAATCTTATCCTTTATTTGAATTATTAATTTACGCCCTAATATAGATTCATTTCCTTTATATAAAACTTTTTACGAAACATTTCAAAAATAGTAAAGTATTTAGGATTTGTTAGAACCTGATCATTATAATAAACTAGAATAAACCCTAAAAAGTATTTTTAAAAGTTAAAAGGCGGTTACTATATCAAGTTTTAATTTTATAGCGCTTTTATTTACATGTTGTATTATATAGATTTTCTTACTGGGGTTTTTAGAGTCTAAATAAATATTTATTTAGAATATAAACTATAAAAATAAAACTATAATAGACTAAAACAAGTTTATTAATAAAAATATTGGGAATTTATTCTTTATTCTCTTATTTTATTTTTAAGCTCTATATAACTGAATGAAAAATATAAAATGAATTCCTTAAACCCAGCATTAACAGTCGATATTGTTAAAAATCATATCGGAAAATGGATAAGAATCCAAAAAGTCATAGATAATTCAGAATTTTGTAATCTATCAACTTGGTCAAATTCTCAGATTTATTCTAATATGACTTCATCTTTTAATAATACTAAAGAAATATTAACAGAACCATATAATAATGTATCAAATACCTTATATGTAGGTTTAATGGGATGTACAAGTTGTAATCCTCCAAGTGGAACTTTAGAAGTATTAGATCATTTTAAAATGGATGCATTTTGTTTAATTGGTATATGGAGATGTGATTGGAATATTACTAAATGTTTATTTGTTACAGATGCTGAATTTATAACAGAAATAAATTTTGGAGAAAAAATATATATGATAAAAGAAGTAAAATTTATATCATTAGAAGGGAACAATATTGAATATTTAAATAAAGGTATATTAAATTTATGTGTGAGTAATCCACAATTATCATCTATTTCTACTGCAGAATCAATGATTCAATCTATTTTTAATAAAGGAGGATTTTATTTTAGTACAAATTCTTCCTGGGATATATCTCGTAATATGAGATCTTCTATAATACAAGGTAGTTTCAATGATTTACCAGATGATAGATTTACATGGAATTATAATTTATTATTACCAATAATTGAAGGTGGTCAAAATACTTCTAAATGGGCTTGTCCAATTATCTATGGATTTGTAGAATATTCGAAACTAGATTTTAACTTAGATATTAAGAATAATATTGTGAATGAAGAAATATTTGAGGAGATTATTAAAGAAAGAAATGATAATAATAATAATTCAAAATTAAAATATTCACAAAAAGAAATAGAAAGTATAGAACTTGTTTTGATTTCAAGAAAAGATTTTAGACGTCATGGAGTTAGATATCTTAGTAGAGGAGCTAATTTAAAAGGTAATGTTTCAAATTCAGTAGAAACAGAACAATTAATAATTATTAGAAGATCTAATTCAATTAAAATTTATAGTTATATACAATATAGAGGTTCAATTCCTTTATTATGGCAACAACTTCCAAATTTATGTAAAACTCCTCCAGTAAATCTTCATAAAGATTCTAATAAACATAGAATTGCAATTAAAAATCATTTTAAAGATTTATGTAATAAATATTGTTTAGATTTAAAAACTATTAATAATTGTGGATTATATAATAATATAAAAGTTGAAAATAATTCTCAGAAAAGTTCTTCAGAATCTAAAACTGGTATAATAATAGTAACTAACTTAATAGATCATAAACGTCATGAGCTAATTTTAGGAAATGAATTTGAAGAATATTTAGAAAATATTAATAATGAATATGAAAATTCTAATATAAAAAGTGAAGGTTCTATACAAGAAAGTGAAAATGAAAGTAAAAATCTTACCCAAAAAAGTAAGAATTCCAGTGAATTATTAGAGATAAATAAATCTAATTTTAATATAAAATTTTGTTGGTTTGATTTTCATAAGGAATGTGCAAATATGAAGTGGGAAAATCTTCAATATTTAATAGAAAAGCTCATAAAATTAGGTTTAGATGATATTTGGTGTACATCAATTTTAATTGAAGGTGATAAATTAAAAGATGAACCTATATTCTCAATAATACAAGGTCATAATCAAAATAATCAATTAAAAGTTACTATTAATTCTGTTCAAAATGGAATTTGTAGGACTAATTGTATAGATTGTTTAGATAGGACTAATGTTGTTCAATCTGTAATTGGAAGACGAATTTTATTAAAATTAATAAAATCTCTATTTTATTCAAATGTTGGAGATAATATTAATATTAATTTAATAAAGTCCCCTTTTGAATCAATTCCTGGAATTCCATCTAATGAACAATCCTTTAGAAATATATGGAGTAATAATGCTGATGCTTTAAGTAAATTATATAGTGGAACTCCAGCTCAAAAAACTGATTTTACAAGATTTGGAAAACGTACAAAATTTGGAATATTTCAAGATACAACTTATTCTATTAGAAGATTTATAATTAATAGTTTTATAGATGGTTATATTCAAGATTCACTTTATGTATTTACTAGTATATGCAGTCATCCAAATAGTAATTTATTAGTAAAAACACCTTTATATAATAAACTTCAACTAAATAAATTAAAAATTCTTAATTTTCCTATATTAATGACTATTATACAATATATTATTATTTTAAGTATACTTTCTTTTTTACCTTATGTTAAGAATTCCATAAATATTATTTGTCATCTTGGTGGGAATATTTCATGCTTTTTTACTATTGGTCATATTTTAAAAATAATTCATATTATAAGCTATTTATTTGAACAAGAAAACCTCAAAATATATATTCAATCTAATTGGTTAGAAATATTAAATTCTCTATTACCATCAAATAAATGTATATTATATCCATTATCTGGTTTTTTCATTATTTTATCTATTATATTATTAGGATTTTTTTATTTTGTTAAAATTAGAGCTTCTAGTATTGCAACTAGACCTATTTTAGATGAAACATATATTGATGGTTGGGAATATTCAGATAATGAATCAAATATAGATAATAAATAAAATAAAAATATTTTTTTTTATATTATTAATTATTCAATATATATTTTCAAATTATCAATTTCACGCCTCTTTTTTTCTTTAATTTGAAATTTATAAAAATTATCTACAGTTTTATTCTTTTCTTCTTTATTGTATCTTCTCTTATTAATTACTTTTAAATTCCCAAATACACCAACATTAGATATATCTGGTTTGAATGAATGTACAATTGTTCCATCTATTCCTTTTGTTACTTTACCAGTAACTTTTATAAATCCATCAGCATCAGATACCATTGAATTATTTTTTATATTTTCTTCTTCTATTTGTTTTTCTAAATCATATTTCGTCATATAGGTATTCACACTTTTTTCAAGAATAATTGGGTTACTTCTTAACTTAATAATATTGGTTATTTTTTTCTTTATATTATTTTTATTATTTCCAGAAAATGATAAAAGATCACTATAATCTAGATATAATATATTTCCAAATTTGTTTGTTATTAAATCATTTTCAATATTTTCTATAGATTTATCACAATTATATATTATATATGATAATGTATTATATATATCTTTATTACTTTGTTTCATTACTTCATTTATTACAATCTTTAAACAATTAAAAAAAAGAAAGAATTAGTATAAATTTATTTAAGATATATATTAAAATCTAAAACTTACCTTTTCAATTTTTCCATATTTACTAAACAAGACGTTTAAATCATTATGTTTTATATATTTAGGTATATAAAAAAGGAACAAAACCCTTGATATAGGAATTTTTTTATTAATGTCTTTATATGTACCTTGAGATTTTTTTAATTTACCCAATATCTAAAAAGAATTAAGGTGTCCAAATAATATTAGGATCTATAGTAATTTAAGTTAATAACTTTATTAAAATACCTCTAAAAATATAGGAGAGTCTTTAATTGGAATAAAAAATCTTATAAAATTAATTTCACTTAAATCCCTCATTTTTTTTCTTTTACTAGATATCTTATATTATATATATATTAAAAAGTATAATAATTAGCTACTTTTTCTTTTTATAATTTAGGTTAGTTTTCTTAATAGATATAAATTGGCGCCAAAAAAAAAATAGTAATAATATATTTTGCGGGAAATATAAACTCTATTGTATCTATTAGATTAAACCTTTTTTTTTTTTATCATTCCATTTAATTTTTATTAATGGATGATAATAATCTAATTGAAAATGATGATACATGCTTACGTGGGAACTATAATTATAATAAAAAATTTAAAAATTTACTAGTAAATAGTCTAATAGCCGGATTTATAGGAAGACTCATTTCTCATCCATTAGATACATTAAAAACACGAAAACAATCAAATTTATATAAATATAAATTGGGATATAATCATAATAAACAATATAAAAATTTATATAGTGGATTGACTATAAGTTTACTTGGTGGAATCCCTGCTACTGCATTGTATTTTTGTTCTTATGAATATTTTAAAAATAAATTACATACATATACTAATCATAATATTACAAATTTCTGCTCAGGATTTTTAGCTGAAGTTTTTAGTAGTATCTTATGGGTTCCTATTGATGTAATTAGAGAACGTTTACAAATAAAAAATATTACCTTACAATCAAATATTATAACAAATAATATAAATAGTAAATATAGACCTATAAATATAATGTCTAATTTATATAAGGGATATTTTACAACTATAATATCATTTGGATCATTTTCTGCACTTTATTTTTTATTTTATGGTATACTTAAAAAGTATGTTAATGATGAAAATATATATAAAGTGGGTATTATTAGTACTTTATCTGGTAAGTTAATTAATAATATATATATGTAAATCACAATTTATCTTAAATAATTATCATTTTTATTAGGTCTTGGTGCTTCTGGTATTACAGCTCCACTTGATTTAATTAAAGTTAGATTACAAATAGATAATAAAGATATACCATTATATGGTTATAAAAATATGAAAGAAGAAATTTATAAAATAATTGAGAAAAATGGTTTTCAAAGTATTTTTAGTGGAGCATTATATAGAATGATTTTCCATGCTCAAATGACTTCTATTACTATTATTTTAATTCAATTCCTACAAAAATATCAAAATATAAAAGGTTTAGAAATTTAAAGTCTTATTACACTCCTAAACACACATAACACACAGGAGGCGCCTGAATAGACCGCCTATTAGTAATTTAAAAGAAAAATAAAATGTAATATTTAATTATTATAATATTTAATATTTTATTATATATACCTCAATTATGAGATATGATGTAGAATTAATATATGAAATAGTGAAATATCATTTTGGTGAATTAGTTGCTATAATATCTAAGATTTTACTTCTAAGTGGCCCCTTACCTATACATCAATTATATTATTTAACATTACGTAATGAGACCTATAAAAAAAATTTCAATTATATTTCAAAAAATAATTTTTTACTTATTCGTAATGCTATAATATTATTGATACATTATGGATGTATAGATATTATAGAAAATGAGGAAAAATCATTGTTACAGGAGGATATAGAAAATAATATAAATATTGATAATAATAAAGTCATATTATATAAAATTAATTTAGATATTATATTATCTCGTATTAGATATCCTCTATATTTAATGCATATTAAAAAAATTCTTGGAAATGAAGAAAGTCTTATTTTAAGTGAAATAATGAAATATGGGAAAATATCAAGTAATATCCTAATAGAAGAATTGTCAGAAATTATAGAAGATATATATAAACATTTATTTAATTTAATTAATTATGATTTTATTAAGATAATAAATAATTCTGATAATAATAAAAATAAAGAGGTGATTTTGAATAATGAAGTATATAATGTTGTAATTAATCAATCATATTCAACTATTAATATATCTAATAATTCATTATCATATGGTGATTTATTACTTGGAGATAGTGATTCTTATGATCATAATATTTCTAATTTTAATTTAATAAAAGATAATATTCAAAATAATATAGAAAATATAGATAATACAGAAATTAAAAAAGATGAAGATAGTGATTCGAAAATAAAACCATTATTAAACAAAATAATAACAATTAATATTGAAGGTATAAATAATTCTATATATAGTGAAATTATGGAAGAAACTATTAAGAGCCGTTATAATAATAATATTGCTGCTATTATTATTCGTGTAATGTCTGAAAGGAAATATATTAAATTATTAAGAAATGAAAATATATGGACTATAGATGAATTATTATCTAGTATATTTGAATGGTTAGAACATCATAATAATATAAAAGATGAATTTGATTGTAAGGATAAAATAAAATCTACAATTATACGTGTTTTAGATATATTAGTTAAACATACAGATGAATTTATTCAATATAATTTTAATTCTATGGGAGCTACATATAAATTAAATATTCATAAAATAAAGATGATTATTAAATATAAAATAATATTGGAATTTATAACTTTTCGTTTAGGAAGATTTGGTGCAAGGATTTGGAGTATGATGTGTAATCCACATATATTAAAGGATGATAATAAACAAGTACCAAATATAAACGAAACTATAATATCTAATATAAACACAGTGATGGAATTAAATTCTAAATATGAAAATAATAATATAGCTTTATTAACAGGAAATATTAAAGGAAGAATATATTGGGATGATAATGTTCTTGCTGAAAAATGTTTATTACCTAATAATATTACAAGATCATTATTATATTCTTTAAGTAATGAGAAATTTATTAGGGTTCATCATTCAGATACTATTACAATAAATAATTTTGGTGAAGATAATAATAATACAAATACAAATAAATTATCTAATAATATTTCTTTAACAATATCTCAATCTACAATAAATAAACATGGTCTTGCATATAGTACAAGTATACAATCTACAATTAATGAAGTAATATGCAAAATATTAAAAATAATGTTAAATTTATTTTTACGTTGTAATTCTCAAAATTTTAAAATTACTAAATTAGAAACTAGATCTAAACAATTGAATCAATTAGAAGTTGAATATTTAAGACAATTACATTCTGGTTTAAAAATTTTATATAATAGTATTATGTTAACTGATAAATTACTTTTGATATTAAAAATTTGAAGATTAACTTATTAATTTTAATTATAATTTATGATTTATATATAATAAGAAAACTAATTCAGATTTAGATATATACTTGGTCATATTTCTTTAATATTGAAAATAAGATAATAAAATCATTATTATAAGTTAAATATATATCTTACATTCATAATATTTATATTTATCTTATAATTTGTTTTAACTAGTATTAATTACTACTGATATCAGGTATCTAAATTAAATAGATGTCATAATACGGTATCGAATATTTATTATATTAAGAATAAAAATAAGTTTTCTTTATTATAATAATAAAAATTTTATAATTATTATAATTAATATTCTTATTATCTTTTTTTTTCTTCTTAAGTAGAATAATCTATATTATAAATAAATTTATTGTATTACTAGATTATCTGAAAATTCTATTAATAATATTATATCACATGATTCTAAATATTATTTTTAAGATAATTAATAATATTCATACTAATTACATTATACAAAATAAGAGCTTTATATTTAACCATCTATTATTTTATATCTAATATTATAACTATTTAAATTCTAATATAAACCGCATATATTATTCTATAATATCAAATAAAACTAAACTGAACTATAAAAAAAAAAAAAAGGAAATAGACAATTTGAAATATGAAATATGAATAATCAACCAATAATTAAAGAACAATGGTTATGGAGAAAGTGTATTCCATTTTTATATGATTTCTTAATGATAACACCGTTAAAATGGCCAACATTAACAATTGATATACCTGAAATTACATTTAGTATAGATGAATCTTACAATAATAATAATAATAATATAGAATCTTCTAATACATCAATTATATATCCTATTATATATGGAACATATTCAGCAGGAGCAAATAATGAAGGAAAAACAGAAAGTATTCATATATCATCTGTTGAATTACCTCATCCAGATATTGATTTATTACAAAATAATAATACTAAAACAAATGAAATAAAATATTCAAATCCTGATATAATACCAATATATGAAATATCAGTACCAAAAGAAGCAATTAGAATTCAATCGAAAGTTAATAAATTTAATGGAACTTTTGATAATGAATACATATGTATAGCTACAAAACTTATGAATGGTTCTATATATATATATAAATGTTATATTGATTTAATTAAATCTAAAACTATAGAAAATAAAAAAAGTGAAAATATAATTACTAATAAATTATCTAATAAAATTAATGATGATGATCATAATCATAATCATACATCTTTAATTCCAGATATTATATTTTCTGATCATTCTTATACTGGTTATGGATTACAATGGGGTGTAACAAATTCTTCATGGTTATTATCTGGTAATGAAGATTCTTCTATATTTATTTATGATATTGCAAATAATAATAATTCTATTATTTCATGTAATAATAATTTAAATCAATATAGTATTAATGATATACAATGGTTAAATCCAATTCTTGCACCAACATTATTTTTATCTGTCAATCATAATGGTTATTTAACATTATATGATACAAGAATTTCAAATTTAGATAATTCTGAAACATATATTTCGAAATATTCTCAGGTATGTAATAAATGGAAAATTTCAGATCTTCCATGTATGTCCTTATCAGTTAATCCTAGTATTTCACATCTTATTGCAATTGGATCTTATGATAAAAATATTTATACAGTCGATTTAAGACATATATCTAATAATAAAAATTGTAGCTCAATAAATCAAGGAATATTAAATACTTTAACATTTCATGATGATATTGTTCATAGAGTAGAATGGCATCCTGATGGGAATGGTTTATTATTATCTGCTAGTCTTGATAGAAAAATTTGTATTTGGGATATAACTAAACAAAGTAATTTACCAATTTGGGAACAATTAGATAATAATAGAATAAATAATAAATTATCTGATAAAATTTCATCTACACTTAGACATATTATAGGAGGTATTGGAACACTTGCTAATAAAAATGAGAAACAATATAGTCCATCTGAACTTTTAGGAATTCATTCTGGTCATTCTGGTATTGTTACAGATTGTCATTGGTTATATAGCCCTAATAATACTACTTGGACTGTTGCAAGTACAGATATATTAAATAGTTTACATATATGGAGTTTTAATGAATCAGCTTTTACTTCTGAAAATGATCTTATTGAATTATTATATTTACAACAAGAATGTAAAACTATAAATAATAATAATGAATTATTTAATACTTTAGAATCTTTCCAAGAATTAATTAATAAATAATATTAAATATTTTTATAAAAAAAAAAAAAAAAAAAAAAAAATTAATTAAATCTTCTAAATAATTAAATTCTTAATTTAAGATTATATATATATTACATACTATTAATGCTAATACTTTTTATTTATTTTTTGTATAGATCCACAACATTTTTTGTATTTCCTACCTGAATTACATAATGGACATTTCTTATTAGAATATCTAGAGAATGCATATAATTCATCATCACTATATAAGATATCAGATTCAAAATTATTAATTTCATCATTTTGATGATTGAGTAATTGTCTTTCAATTTGTTCAATATTTAGATCCCCCATCATTCTTTGGAATCCTATATATAAGTTAATATTCAAATTAATTTTTTTTTATTTTAATATATTTTTATAAAAAATAGAAATTATAAAAAGTCAATCAAGTATAGAAAGTTTTTATTAATAAACTAGGTTATTAATATTATATAATATATTTGGCTTACCAGGATTTAATATAGAATATGGACTTATATTTATTGTACTGTTAGCTGATGTATTTAAAAAAATTCCAATAATTAATAGAATTATTATTCCACTATAATATTAATATAGATAGTAAGAATTTGTATATAATAGTTAAGAACCTATAAAAATGTGATATTTCAAAATATTAAACTTACGGTAGACCAAAAAAAAATCCAATAATTATCAAAAAAAAAAAATAAGCAATATATAGTGATATATCTTTATTTATTACATTTTTTAAGAAAATATTTAAAGATTTCATCTTTAAAAAGATAAAAACGAAATATTTTAGAAAAAAAAAAAAAAAAGGCGGTAAGAAACCTCCATTAGGATGTAATAATTATTTGTATTTTTAAATTATAATTATATAAAAAAAGAGATATTAGTTAATAATACCTGCATAATAATAATTAATAAATGGAAAGATTTAAGAATATTAAAATATTATGAGATTAAGGCTTTATTTAAATTATTAATCTGGAATTAAAATATCCCAAAGAAAATATCATGAAATTGATGCGGGAGGGGGCAAGACTACAATGCAAATTTGAATTTTACGAGTTTTGCGGTTTAGCATGTATTACCTCTCGAGATATAATTAGTGTATAACAATATAAGAGCATCTGAAGAAAACTAAGTAGCGATAGGATGCAAAAATTATAGGTACAGAGGGTTGGTTTCATAATTAAGCATTAATAATATCGTAATACTTGTATATGTTATCATGGCAAAAGAAAGCACTGACTGCTACACTTCATACTCAGATATTTTGCATCCCATTCTTTTGGAACAATCTAAACAAGCAGAAGTATTGGATTCTCTTTGGATAATATCAAAAGATTCATCTATTAATGATAGCAATAATGGAACTTCAATATCTTTAATGGATACAAGCTCAACTAATATTGATAATATGAGTAATACAATAGCAATGAATGGGTTTGATATTAATCTTACAGGAAATAATACATTAGATATTGATCAAATTAATATGTTTCATGATGCTTCTAAATTTATGTTTCCTTTATCAGAATTAGATTCTGAGAACAAAATATTAAATGATTCAACTTGTGAATCTAATCTAGGAGGATCAATTGGATCTTTGTTGACAACTCAGTCATCTACATGTTGGACTTTAATGGATCAGCAAGGATCACTAATAGATTCAAACTCTAATGATTTGAATCTAATTCAATATTGTATTTTTAACAAGAATAATAATGAATTTACAGCGGATGATGATGATAATATACTTGATTCATTGAGTCATGTCTTAAGTAAATCATGTTTAGAAGAGGATGATATAAGTAATTCACATAAAATTGAACATGGAATAAACTCAATATCAAATCAATCATTAATAAATTTTAATAATAGCCAACTTAGTAATCAAAGTCAACTAGGTAATCAACAAAGTCAAATAGGTAGTCAACAAAATCAACTAAATAATCAATTTTATACTTTAGGATTACGTGTAATGACAAGGAATGATATAACAAATAAAAGTATAGTTTCATGTTATCAATTAAATACTCATGATGTTATAAATTTATGTTCACCTTTTGGCACAATAATAGGGACACAAGTTACAGATGATATTGGTTATGCAACATATGATTCATGTAATTCACTATATAGAGCCTTAAATGTATTACAAAATTTACCATTGTCATCAAATGGAGATTTTCTTCATGTATTTATTCATCAAGTGTCAAATATATTAATAGGTGGTCTAGATAGATCACATAATATTGGAAATACTCCTTGGGGTTGTGATATAACTCAAAATATTCATTCATCTATGAGTGGAACAACTTCAAATACTCCAAGTAGTATTAGTGCTGCTTCTTCTGCTTGGTCAAATTATGAGAATTCTAATTGTAATAATAATAATGAATCTAATATATGGAATTCTTGGATGTTATTAAATAGGTTATCTGATGGAAATTCTATATGTGGAAATATTTGTATAAATTCAGGCATTACAAATGAAAATGCAACTTCAAACACTACTTCATCAACTCCAATATCCCCCTCTTCATCATCTCAGAATAAAAATGTATCTATTTTATTAATTGATCCAAAAGAAGATTCAAATAATAATGATAATAATAATAATAATAATAATAATAATAATAATAATAATAATAATAATAATAATAATATGAATAATAATAACAGTAATAATAATAACAATAATAATAATAATGCTATTGGTTCTGATAATAATTTAACAAGATCTATCTCTTCTAACAACTCAAAATTCAAATCAAATAATGTTTCACTTAATTGTATAACTTCTTCATCTTGTAATAATACTCTAGAAAATGTACCATCTTCAGTAATAAAGAAATATACAGCTAGATATGAGATCCAGATACCACCTGATAATCAATTTCAAATAGCTAGAAGAATCATTGGAACAAGAGGTGTAAATATGAAACGAATATTTAAATTAACTCAATCTAAACTCAGATTAAGGGGAAGAGGATCTGGATATCTTGAAGGATATAATAAACAAGAAGCTGATGAACCATTACATCTTTGTATTTCATCAACAAATTATGAGCAATATATGAATGCTAGAAAACTAGTTGAAAAACTTTTACTTAAGATTTATCAAGAATATGATGAATTCCTTATTTTAGGTGGAGAGTGTAATGGAAATTCGAAAAATAATATAGGTGTCAAACCAATGAACCTTCAACTTAAGTTTAAGGAAACTTTAAGAACTAAGCAACAATCAAATAATGATAGATGGATAAATTAGTTAAGAACATAGTAATTTTGACCCAAAGAATTAGTTACAAAGAAATAATCATGACCATTAATCTAATATATTTTTTTGATGGAAATTAATTATTCATTAAATATAATGAAGTTATATCCAATAAATTAATTACTAGATTTATAGAAATATAAAGGTCTATTAAGCAAAAATATCCAACTAAAATATTGAAATTTATCAAATAATACAGAATACATATCAAAATATTTTAAATTTATCAATTTTAATGCTAATAATATAGAAATAATAATGTAGATTTGAAATCAAACTTAACAAATGATTTATGGATTAAATTTTTTTTTTTTGAAAAAAAAAAAAAATCATTAAAATATGAATATACGGGAATATATAAATAAGCAATATAATTTATATATGAATATATGGAAGTAAATTTAACTATATTTAGTTATTATTTTGCTCAGTTCAAATTGAATAAATCTTTAATTTTTTAAATATTCCAAAATTGTATTGTACATTTATTAACCTATTCTGGTACATTGGAAATGATTCTATTTAATATTGTAACTTAAATAACTTAATAATATCATATTATAAGATATATCTATTTAAAGTTAAAGTTAAAATAATAAACTTGACTAACTATCAATTCAAAATTTTAATTCTGGAAAAGAAATTTAAGATCTTCAGTATTAAGCTTTTGTAAAGCCTGATTAGATGCACCTACTGTTCCATCAAATACCAGCTGTTTCTTTTCTTGAAGTTGAATCATTCTTTCTTCAATAGTATCTTTAATTATAAAGCGAATTGCAGTAACAGGCTTTGTCTGACCAATACGATGAGCTCTTTGAAATGCTTGTAATTCAACTGCTGGGTTCCACCAAGGATCCAATAGAAATACATAATTTGCTACTTGTAAATTTAGACCCTCACCACCAGCCTTTAAACTAATTAAAAGAAGTTTTAAGTCTGGAAATTTATTAAATGAATACAATATACTATTTCTTTGTATCATTGTCATAGAACCTGCTAAAAGTGCACAATCAATATTGGATTTTTTCAATTTATACATAACTAAATCAAGCATATTTGTAAATTGTGAGAAGATTATTCCTTTTGCATCGGGATCACTTAATATCATTTGGTTTATCTCATCTAATAGAGCATTTATTTTTGTAGAGCTTTCAAAGCCTTCTGATTTTATTTGTCGTATAATATTTTTATTACGAACATGTTCAAAAATGTATGAGTCATTTTTTAATAAATTGTCATCAAATTTTTGTTTTTCAGTTTCATTTAATCCCATATTATTTTCATCTTTTAAGATACCCATTTCTTTAGCTAATTGGCGACGTTCAAGTTGTCTTTCTATCTCTTCTTCTTGTTCATCATCTTTTAAAGAATCATTATTATCATAATATTGACCTAATTCAAATGTCTTTTTATTATTATGAATCCTTAAGTCAACTGTTAAAGGTGCATAACAACATGGGCATCCTAAAACACCCATAGCCTCAGTACCATCTTCTAATTCTTTTGGAGTTTCAACTTGTGGAGCTTGATTCATATAATCAATAAGACATTCACGATGAAAACTATGATGACATTTACCAATGACCCTATCTGAATTTAAAACATTATCCATACATATGTAGCATAAATCCTCATCATTTGCAGCACGACTCTTTGATGGAATTAAATTTATAGACTTTTTATTTTTCGAAATATCTAAATTATTACTATTAATAACGCAATTTTGACTATCTAAATTAAAATCTTCTTTCATATTATCCTTATTAATTTCTTCAGTTTCTGGTGGTCTAAGTTGCCCATATACAATAAGGTATGGATGATCAGCAGCTTGTCTTAATCTACTAATTAAATCAAACACATGAGCATAATTATGTAGAATTGTACCTTCTTGTACATATGTATCAAACTGAATTTTAGAACGTTGATATAATGATATATAAAAATCTTTCTCTGGAAGTGATAAATTATCATAACGAATTCTAACATTTAGTGGTGGTAATTTAATATCTTCTTGTCTCTGAACTTTAGTCCTTCTTAAGAGTACAACATCTAAAATTTCATCCTTTAAACGTTTTAATGCCTTCCTTCCTTCTCCAGAAAATCCATAACGTTTAATAGGATTTATAATCATCTTATTAAAATAAGAATAATGGCTTGAACGAGCATGATTACAATTTGGGCAAAATTTCATATGCACTACATAATTTAATTCTCTACAATTACAATTTCTTTTTTGACAAAAATAATATGCATATGGACTATATCCAATAAATCTGACTAAAGAATACAATTCACCAACACGATTTTGTAAAGGTGTACCAGTTAAACACCATTTTGTTCCAAAACTTTGTAATGCAAATATCGCCTTTGCAGTAGATGTAGTCCTTGCTTTTATTCTATGGGCTTCATCTAAAATAATTCTCCCCCATACTTTTCGAAATATTGGAGAATTATGTCTTAATGATGCCAAAATAGAAACTTCATCATCATCATTATCACTATCACTATCATCTCCATTCAATATTTCCTGAATATCTATATTTTCATCACAACTTGAACTATAGTCATTACTACTCACACTTCTTAATTTTATTTTAGATGAATTTCTATCTTTAACTTTTCTTGATTTATAGCTATTGTAATTATCTGAACTTTTTTTATCAAGAATAGTATAATCAGAATCAGTAGAATATGAACTTAATTCATTAAAATCAGATCCAGAGTCATCAAATGTATTATCTGAATCTAATTCTTTATATTCTATAAAAGTTTTATTTTTTTCTGTTAACTTTGCTAATCTTGGGCTTCTCCTCTTAATAATATTTGATTCATTATTATTATTATTATTATTATTATTATTATTATTATTATTATTTGAATCTAAGATTTTATTTAATATATCTTCTATAAAAGAAATTAAATCTGCTTTTTTGGTTCTTGTAGATAATTCCAATAATTTTACTAAACTCTGTAATATAGACTCCTCTATTCCATATTGTTTTGAAAGCTCTAAAGTCTTTCCTTTTATATTATTTAAAAAATTCTGAATATTCTTAACTGTATTCAATTTAAGTGGTAACTTAATATTACCCCAAGTTAGAAATTCTTTAATAATACTATCTTCAAATTGTTGTGATTTTATAACTTCAAGTTTATTATCAATCATATCTTCACACTTTTTATTTTTTTTAGTCGTTTTGAATTTATTATCATTATTAATATCAAAATCTCTATATTTCCTAACACGTTTCTTAATTTTCTTCTTGATATTAGAACTTTCAGTTATAATCTCAGATAGATTATCTATTTCATCAGATACATCATTTACTTTTACTAGATTATCTACTAATTCCTTATTTGTTTCTTTTAAATCATATTTTCCTAATTCTGATTTTATATCTTTTTTGAAATTTTTATCTTATTTCTTTTCTGAAACCATGGAATACCACTTGAAACTTCATCAAGCAAATTAGCTTTTGCTAAAATCTCCCTATATACATTACTAATTGTTGGTAAATTCGATGCAATTGTTTCCATTTGTTTAGTTTTATCTATATTTGGATCAATACCAATCTTCAATGTTCTCATTGCTTTTTCTAAACCTTCATTCTTTCTTTTAGTTAATGCTTGTTTTTCAGTTCTAATTGAATTTGGACCACAAAAATATTTCAAGTGTAATTTTAAAGTTCGTTTTAAATAATCTCTATTACAATAAGGACACTTTATTTTAAATGAAGAAGAAATACGACGATATTCTGCTTCAAGAGTAGGATATGTTGTAATTACAACATTTGCCTCATCCAAATTAATATTACCATATGCTGATGATGTTGATGATCTTTTATTTCCATGATAAATATGAACTTTTAATGCGCCTGGCTTTGAAAATCTTTCAATTTCTTGTCTCCATTGTAGTACTGCTGCTACTGGTACTATAACTAAATTTTGACCTATTATTTCACAATTATACTGATTTTTTTCTTTAATAACATCTCCATATATTTCTTTATCTTCCAATTTAATATCTAAATTTGATTTATTAGCTATTGGGGGCCATGTATGTTCTAACATTAATGCAATCATTTGAATTGTTTTACCCATTCCCATTTCATCAGCTAATATTCCGCCATTAGCTAGTGAATTAGGCATCTCTTGTTTACACATCCATGCAAGACCTTCCTTTTGAAATTTTAGAAGCTCAAAAATCATATTTACAGGCGATTCCCTAATTTCAACTATTTCTCGACGTACTAAATCGTTACTATCTATTATTTCATGCTTTTCATCTATATCTTCAGATATAGATAAAGTAATTATTGACTTCTTAATTTCCTCTGGTAAATCCATCCAACCATATATTATCTCATCAAATTTTTCATTTAATACATCTTCCATAGAATCATTGTTTAAATTTAATCCCATTATAGCACTTTTTAATATCCTTTGGCTACATTTATCTTTGTGATACCATCTATTTATTATCCCATATCTACCTCTACGGTCATATTCTGGAGCTCCAATACGATATGTTCCCTTCATTATATTTTTCCCACATACAACACATCTTGATATATTACTAGGTGAGACCATAATTATAAATAATTTTGCCAATATTCTTTCAAGTTGTTCTGAAGGTAGTTCTTCAAATGAATAAGAAGATATCCATTCTTTTATAACTGGATCCCAAAAAGCATCCTTTAATAAAACTATAGCCTTTGGCTTTATATTATTTTCCAAGTCAGAATTTAACATTTAACTATAAGGTATTAAAATTCCCTTTTTCTTATATACCTGTCATTTTCTGACTATACCACCTAAATTGCCAATTTAATCCATCCTTTATTGTAGGATTTTAATTACGTCATTTTCTCCCCATACGCGCTAGAAAAAAAAAAAAAACTCCGGTACTAAAATAACTTAAATAGATTTATTATTGGCAATAGATATTAAAGATAAAGATAAAGAAATTTATACTTTAAAATAAATTCAAATTATATAGATCTAGTATTATAGAAGTTATAGACAACTCCTTCCCACTCCTATTTACAAAATATCTAATACATTTTTTTTTTCTTAAATAATTTACTATTACTAAATTTTAAATTAAAGTTGCATACCTTGATATGGAGTAAAAGATATTGAAGTAGATGTACCGTTAACATTATTATTTAATTGAGTATCATTATTATACTTAGATTTATTCTTAATAGGGAGGATACTTCTCATTTTCCCAATATTTTCACTTGATAATACACCTAAACCAACAGATTCTCCTTCTACCATATATTCCTCTTCTGGTTCACCAAAAATCATTCTATTCATATCCTTAGAATATTTTGACATCTTAGACTTTTCCTTAATCTTTCTAATCCTTCTACCACCTCTACGAGATTTTGGTAATTCTTCAGGAATAGGTAAAGGTTTTTTTAAAGGAGGTGGTGGTGATTCTTGAGATTTATTTAATATCTTTATTATATAATCACGCCAATTCTTTCCATATTTACCATCTTTATTACTTTTAGCTAAATCTAATCTTGCACATAAACTACATTTAGAAGATAATAATCTAAGAGCTTTTTTTTTAAATAATTCAGGCACTCCTAATACTATATCACATTTTGAAAGATAACTTTGTTGTAATTCAATTCTTAATACTCCTGTTGTATATAATCCATATTTACGACTTTTTCTATCACTTCCAAGTAACATTATATTTTGGGATGGCATTTCAGCCAAATTTCTTAATCCATTTGTACTACAAATAAGCATTGCAGCTAAATTAGGATTTACTAATGAAGATAGATTAGGTGCAATTTTATCCATTTCTAATTCAACAAATTTCAAAAGTTCATTTTTCTTTTTAAATAAAGAAAATGCATCATCTATTAAATTTTCAATATTTATGCAGGTATCATTTGAAATATTAGCATTTGTATTTGTACTAGCAGCAATAGAAATTGTCATAGCTATAGAATTTGGTAAAATATCATTAAATTGAACTTGTGTAATATCTGATACATGGATACATCTCTTTACTACTTCTAAATATTGAATTGGATTTATAATTATACTTGATAACTCTCCAAATTTAGGCCTATATAAATTAATAACATTTTTATGTAATATTTCAATTATTTTATCAATATTCCCAAGTGTATGTATTATATCCTCTATAACTCTATAATAATTATTTTCATCTTTTATATTTATACCATTATTAATAGTATTAAAAACTTTACTTAAATTTTTTTCTAGTTCATCCTTATCCTTATCTTCTTGACTTTTTTGTATTTCTATATTATTAGTATTAGAATATTCTTGTTTAAGATCAGCTAAATCTTGTAGAAATAAATCACTTAAAGTAGCCTAAATTAAATTATATATATATTATAATCCATAATTCATAAATAGATATTTAAGATTATATTCTTTTAATTCTTAATACTTACCATATATTATTTAAAGATATTATTAAGAAATACCTTAAGAAATCTATTTAGTATTAATAAAATAGGTCTAAATATTTTTCCGCCTTAATAATATTAAAGGGTAAAAGGTAAAGGGTAATAAATATTTTATATATTGAAATATTAAAAAATCCCAAATAATTATAAATAAAATATATAAATACATAAATAATGAGGCATTAAATTTTATTATATCTAGAACGTAATTTCTTATGTAAATACCATGTTTTACCTGAAAAGTGAGTTTTATCTTTAATATATGAAGTAGTATTAGAAATTATAATATAATTTTGATATAAATTAGAAGAATCTGATACAATTGGATTAAAAATACCATCTTCTAGACTTAAATTATCTATAACTTGGCCTTCATCTTCTTCATTTATAATAACAGAATTATATTGTAATGATTTAAATTCTATATTGTTAGATTTAAGTATAGTATTAGACTTCTTATTTAAAGATAAAATATTAGAAATTATATTGAAATTATAATTAAAATTTTGAAATAAACAAAATAATCTACTTATACAAGATAATATTAATAATGTAAATGGAAGGAAAAATCCATGTGATAAAATCCTAGAAATATATTGTCCAGTTACTCCTATTTGCCAGATAATTCGTCTACTAATTCTTTTTAGATCTAGAATATTTGCATAGAATGAATTAGGATCTATTAAGATATAATCATTAAATGTAATATTTAATGCATCTTGAAAATATTTAACATTTTTCTTTGTATATAATAATCCACAAAAATAATCCAATCTACCATGCTGATTTTTAAACTTATATATAATACGATCCAGAAATAAAATTTCTTGATTTAATGTATGGATGCAAGTTAAAATTTTATCTTTGAGATTTTCATTCATTTTATAAGAATAAAAATTATAAATTTATTTTTTGACCATTTTTTCTAATTTATTTCTTGTTAACTAAAAAAAATCTTAGACCTAATTTAGGTACCTATTTAATAACCGCTATTTGTTTATTTATAGTAAATAAATTATTAATTTTTTAAATAATATAGAAATCTTCTTAGAAAAATAATCATTATAAATTATAATGGAAAATGAGAATAATAAAGTTAAGAAAAAAGTAGATCCAAATAAATGGGCAGAATCTTTTTTTTCAAAATGTAACAAAGAAGAAAATAAGGAAGAGAAAGTTTTAGTAAATTTTGATGAGGATCTTTTTCTTTCTATGGTTAAACCTTCTGGATTTTATAAAATCCCAATATTTTATAAATATATAAGAAATGATGATATTGATAAAAAGTGGAAAGATCTAAGAGGTATTTTAACAAGAGATTATATAAAGAAGAGTAAATTGGCTCAAAGACAAGGGAAAAAAAACTTATAAATTTTGTAAAAAGAAATTAATAGATTATATTTTTTTTCTTTTTTAGATTTATTGACTTTTACTAGCTTATATATTTTGTATTATAAATATTATAAATACTATTTTTAAATTAAATAGATTCTTTTTTCCTTTTCCTAGGGTAATAACTTTTAAATATAAATTTACTATAAAGAATCCTCCATAATTATTAATTGACAATGTAATATTGAGGCAGAGTTTCTAAGAAACTTATTTTTTTCATTATTTATTAAATAAGATAAAGCACTTAAAATTTTATTTTTAATTCCAATTCTGAATATACCTGGAAATTTGAATATTTGTTTAATTAATAAATAAGAAAATAATCTAACTAATGGTAAAGGATGATAAATAATAATATGAGAAGCTAATAAACCATATATAAAGAGATCATTACAAATAAAATCTAAATTATTTGAATAATCTTGATTTATATTAGAATTAAATGAAATATTCCTTTTATGTACAAAATAAATAAAACGAATTAATATAGATAATGTTTGTAAATTATATATAAAATAATCTGACGATTCTTCAAATTTAATATCAGAGAAACAATTTTTATTTTCTTGCCAATCTAATAATTTAATAATTTCATCATTATCAAAATTATTATCTAAATCATTTTCGAATTTTTTAGAAGTATAATCTATTAATAATATTTTTAACTTAGAATTTTCATTTGGATTATTTGTATTTAATCCAGAACATTCAAGTAATGATAACATAAATATATATCTTAAAATATTTTCATTATTATATTTTAAAATTAATGAAATAGATACATTACTAAATATTGCCATTATAGGTATTAATATTAATGAATTTACTTTATAATCATTATATAATATTGTTTGTATTATTTTAGAAATAATAATATCTGATATTTTAATATAATATGATTTAATAATTGTTTGATTTATATTTATTTGTGAACATAAATCTGTTAGGTTGATATTTAAAGGCCATATATTTTCTAAATCAATATCAACTTCTTTATTATTCAAAATATCAATTTTATCCATTATTGTATCTTTATCATTATTATTTGAAGTTGGTATAATTAAATTATTTATATTATCATATATATGATCTAATTTATCCATAAAATTATAGAAATTTAATTGAATATCTTCAATTATACAATCTCCTAAATTTTTATAATAAATAAAGATATCAGATATATTTTGAAATTTTCTTATATAATCTTCATTATTTATATTATTAAAATTTAAATAATAATTTCCAATTTGAAGATAACTTTTTGTTAAATCTTTTTTTATAATTATAGGTAAATTACCACCTATAATATAAAGTAAACATGAGATTAAATATAATTCATTTATATTATTTGATGTAGCTAATTTACATACTTGATCTGTATAATCTAGTATATATTTAAATTGTAAATTTTGTTCATCCTCATCTTTAATATTTTGTTTATTAATATATGTATTTAATTCAATTAATCTAATAGATATACCAATAATTTTACTATTCCATTTATATTGAAAAATAACTTGTATCTTATTTATATCATTACTATTATATTTAAAATAAAATTGAATTAGATTAATAATTAAATGTTCCAATTCACTTTTATATATACATTTAAAATCTTTTATTTCACTACCTATATTTTCTAAATCATTTAACCAATTGTAGCAATATTCTAAAATATTTACTATTGAATGGTCAATTTCTATATTTTTATCTAATAAATTAAATAAATAATTATTATCTGTAATACCATTTAATAATATAAATAGAAAAATTCTATATATAAAGAATAATTCATTATCATTTAATATATTTTTAAAATGATTAATATAATCTATAATTTTAATAATTAAGTCTGAAGTAGATAAATTAATAAATTTTAATGAAGATATAAGATTACCAATAATCCAAATATATTTTCTATAATCAAAATTATCATTTAAATTAATGGATTTTATATATTTATAAGAATTATTCATATCATATTGATATTTTTCAATTAATTTATTATTTATTAAAGTAGGAAATATATGATAAAAGATATGTTCAAGCCAATTATCAATATTGATAGATATATTTAAAATAATATTTTTACATTTATAAATATTTAATATATTCCATATCATTTTTAAAAATATTAAACAATATTTTATTTGTTCATTATTATTAGATTCTGATATATCACATAAAATTATTTCTTCAATATCATTAGTTACAGATTTTATAATAGAAATTGGGGGATTTTGTGATTTATAAAAAGAATAAATTATAAATCTTAAAATTATTAAATTATAATTAGATTGAATAGATTGAATTGATTTATTTTTAATATATTCAAGCCAAAAATCTCTACTAATATCCTCATTTTGTATAAATAAAATACAAGTGATTGCATAAATAAAACTTTGATTATCTTTTGATAAATGATTAATATTGTCCCATTTTCTTTTCAATTCATCATAAAACCACATAATATTATTAGTATTAGTATTATTATTATATTCAATAATTAAACTACATAAACAATAAATTAAAAGAATATAATCATCAGATTCATTTAGATATGATAATTTACAAAATTCACATAATTTTAAAAATATAGGATTTTTATTAATTTCCAATAATATATTATTATCTGATTGATAAATATTAATTAAATGAGTATATAATAGACTAGATAATATTCTTAAAGTAATAATTCTAGATTTCCCAACATTCATTATATTTTGTATTAAATAATCTAAGAATTCATTTTCAATACATATTAATATAAACATATTATAATATAAATTACATGAATTAATTAAATTTAAAGAAAAAGGATCCAATTCAGTTGAATCATCTAAATTTTGTAATTTATTAATCATATCTAATATGATATATTTATGAATCCCATTTCTTAATATAAAATCCCCATCCTTATCTAAACTTTGATATTTAAAAAGAGTACCAATAATATAAAATAATAATGAACAAATATTATTATTACATATAATTGTACGTTTTAATAATTGTTGAATAAAAAGAAATAATTCATTAATATACTTTGTAATAATATTAGGTATTAGATTTATTCCATATAAAGTTAAAATATCTTTTATATCTTGTAAAATTTCTTCATCTTCTATACCCAAAATTACTGGTGATAATTTAGAATCTTTTTTATTTTCTAATTCATAATTGTCAAAACAAAATTCTTCATATATAAAATTTACATCAAATTTATTAATATAAATATTATCTTCAACTAAATTTTGTGTATCCATTAATTCTATAATTGTTTTAATAATTGCATCTTGTAATAAATTAGTAGATGTAATAGCTTCAAATAATAATTTTTTTAAAGTTTTTGGAGATATCTTATGAATATCATTAGCTGGAGGATGAAAGTTAAGAGGAAAATAACTTAATAATACATCAGAAATTAAAGTAGATAAAATATTAGATGAATTATTTTCTATTTCATTCATTTCCAAATATTCACAATCTTCTAAATTCTTATTATCAAATACTATTTCTGGAATTAAACCTTTATAATAATCATGTTTAGAACAAGTATCTAATAATGCAGATTTATCTTTATCAACTTCTATATTATCATATATCTTTATTATATCCTCAAATTTTAATAATAAATTCTTAATAAGACGAAATGATAAAATTAGTACACGTGGATCTTTTTCACCTTGTATATGTTGTATTATTGCAGGAATTGCTGCAGGCCCCATACGTCTAATATTAGTAATATATTCCTCATTTTCAAAAAATATTATTAAAATATTTAAAACAGATATTCTAGAAGTATACACTAATTGTCTGGTAGGTACAATATAAATTATCTGAGTAAATATATAAAATAAGAGTGTCATTTTATATAAATCTTCTTGTTTATCTACATTATCAATTCCATATTGATTTGAAAATTTATGAAATGTACAAATTTTTGTACAAAGTTTAATACTATTGCCATCATTCATTACTTTACCTTTTATACCTGTATTTATTGATACTATTGGGTTAAAACTATATTCTTCAAACAATTTATCATCTTCTAGAATATTTAAATAAGTACATCTTAATACTTCACTTTTTGTCTTAATAATACAAGTTAATATATCTAAAACATCATCAATACAAGCCCAATCTAATAAATAATTAACTACAAAACAACTTAATAATTTGATACAGTCATTAGATAAAGTATCTTTAAGTATGAGTCCCTTAAATACTAATCTAAGTATATTAATTCCTTTTTTTCTTTCTTCTGCTAATGTAGATGCTAGTTGTCCACTTAAAGATTCTATTAAATCAAACATACAATTAGTACCATTACTAATTAATTTTACAATTTTGTTAATATTTTCTTCGTTTATAGAATCCTCAATTATACACAAAGCAATATCTTCCATAAAAGTCATATCTAATATAATTTAATTAAAAATATAACCATTCAAAATTGTTAAATAAAAATTTTATAGAAGACCACAATTATAAAAGTTCAAAATAACTATATAACAATATTATTTTAGAATTATTCTAAATTTATGTGACACTTTATTTAAATCTTAAACACTCTAGGACAAATTCGGTACCTAGTGGTAAATAAATAATAAAGGGCGCCATAAAAATATTTACAAGTATTTGGACAATACTGATTTTATTTTAAAGAATGTTAAAATTTCTATAACACTTGATTTGGCAATAAAATAACAGGAAATTAGCTAAATATAAATGGGAAATTAGTTTGGAATTTATAACAAGATGTATAAAGAATATAATAATGATAAAGATTATATAAATAATAATGATTGTTATAGCCTAGACTCTAGTAGTATAACTGATAATAGTAATATCTCAGATTCTGAAAAATATAAAGAACTTTATAATGAGAATTTGAATATTGAAGATATACTGAATAATCTGTCACATTTATCTTCTGGAATTAGTAGTAATAGCTCTTCTGATTCAGATAGTAATTACTTATTAACAAATGAAATAAATAAAGTTGAGTTAAAATCAGAAAATTTACATCATAAGGATGGAATAATAGATAAAGATGAATTTGGAAATAATAATGATAGTGAGAAATTGAATATACAAGATAATATTGATATATATGATTATTATAAAAATTGTTTTCAATATATAGAAGATACTTCAATAAATGAACATTATAATATATATAATATTATAGATACAGATATATATAAGAAATCAATTTTAAATGAATGTTTATGGATTGATCCATATTTACATGAAGAAAGTGAAGATATACCAATAATAGTAGATAAAAATAAGAATAATGATATAACAAATTTGAATGATATTACAAGAGATTTAAATATTCCACAACCAATAAATAGTAATAGAAATATTTTTAAAGAAGAGATATATAATATAAATTGGAGGGAAGAAATATCAAATTTAGGATTTCCAACATCTCTTAAACAACATTCAACAGGTTTGATGTTTATAGGAACTTCAAGATGTAATTGTATAATTTTTTTACAAAAATTTTCATATAATTTGATTGTATTACATCCTCCAAATTTATTAACAGCAAAAGTTTCCTCATTATCATTGAAATATAATAATGAAGATTTATATATATGTATTGCTTGTAGTGACGGTAGTATAATATTTTGGTATTGTAATATTATTTTAATAATGGATATAATTGAGAATTTACCTAAGAATAATTCTTCAATTGAATTGATTAATGATAAGATATATAATAAACATAAATATAATATTTTAGATATAGTACCTGGTATGATTGATATAAAGTATAACAGACACTTTTCATTTTTATGTATTTTACTTAAGCATCATAAATCAAATATTATAACCCATAAATTTTTAACAAATGAAGATAAATCTGAAATAAAATTAACTATAATTTCTTGTGATATTGATGGTAACATATATTTGACTAGTATAATACCAAATGATATGAATAATTTTAATAAGATTGAATCTAATAATATAGAAATATATCCTTGGAAAATATTAAAAAAGTTATTTTTGTATAAATCTAATATTGGATTAATACATAGTATTAAGGGTTTACCACCTGCACCACTTTTACGAATAAATAGAAAATTGAAAGATTTGGATGATAAGAATAGTGATTTAACTAATTCAGGTGGAACATTAACAAGACGTTTAGTACAAGAAATAGATATGAATCAATTATATTTAATAAATGGATATAGATCTTGTATTATTATTAGTTTATACCCTAAACCAGATTTATGTAAAGTAATTAATCCATTAGAAGATTTAGATTCACTTGGTATATTAATAGAAGAAGATAAATTTGGACCAATTAATGGTAATTGGTTACGTCCAATAACTTTAACATCAACAAAATATAAATATAATCATTTAAGTTTAGTTATTTCTGTTGGATATTATATATGTTTATATAATTTGTCAATAGATGGCATTGAGAATAATACAATAAATAGTAAACTAACTATAAATGCCACATTGTCTTGTACTTGGAAATTAAATGGTATTATAAATTCATTTAAAGTCATTGCTGATTGTATATTATTTATATTAATATCATCAAAAGGTATATTTTGTTATCAGATTATGGAATCACAATTTAATTATTCCTCTAAGCTTATAAATAATAAATTAATTTATATAGAATCACAAGAGAAAAAATATTCTATTATTAAACCTGAAAAATTTGTACAAAATAAATTGCTTATATGTATATATTCATATTATAATAAAAGAGTTTTTTATACTGTAACTCAATCAATTTCTATAAATGATCAGGAAATTGTATCTTTATATAATGAATCATTTTGTAAATTTTTGGATAAAAATAAAATAACAAATTTTTCTTTGTTATTGAATGATAATATTATTTGTTTTAAGATGCTGTTCCAATCTTGGATACCAAGATTAGAATATGAATATTTTGAGTGTATAAAACTTTTTAATAATGAGAAATCAGAGGAACTAAATAATATATCTAATAAAACAAATATTAATATTGAAATTAATAAAGAAAGATCCTATTGTGATGTAAATATTATTTATTCATGGACTAGATTATGTAGTACTTTTGTTGGTTTATATGAAGATAGACTTGTACCATTATTAACTTGGAGTACTTTTCAAAAGCATATGATTCATATAATTCTTAAAAATATTTTAAATTCATTTATAGAACAGATCATGAATATTTCTATTAAAGAACCAAATTTAACTAATTATTATATTAGTGAAGCTATGAAATTAATTTTTGATATTTGTATTAGGTTAAATTTATGGCAATATTTACTATCTGATATAATACCAGTTATTGAATCATATAATGATAAAAATGATAAAATAAGTAAAATAGAAAATAATTTTAGTAATAATGAATTATCTCTTTATAATAAATATATGTTATATTTAGAGTTAAATATTTTAACTGGAAGTATAGAGATAAGTAAAATAACCGACTATATTTTAAGCTTACTTCTTTCATGGTATAAAAAAAGAATTGATGTTTTAGAGGAAAAAATTGCATCTGATATAAGTTTAAATATTGAAAAATTAATAATTAATAAGAAATATATACTACAAAATATTGAATATATAATGATTAGATCACTATTATACAATAAAAATACCCAAATTTTGGATAAAATAAATAATGAAATAAAATATACTGATGAAATTTTGAAAATTCAGAATGAAAAAGATATGGATGTAAATTATGATATTAACAATGGAAGTAAATCTAATGATAATATTAACATTATAGAAAATAAACAATTATGTTTATCAATGTCTAATATAATAAAAGAAGATTTCATTACTCATTCATGGTCAGAATTTATCCCACTAATACAAAAATATGGTCTTTGGAGTAGTTATAATATACTATTTTTATGTAATAATAATAATCCTAATGAATTATTTAAACAACTTATTTCAATTGCATCTCAATGGTTTAGAACTATTGAAAATAATACATTTAATGTTAATATAATAGATTTTCAATATAAAATGGAATATACAATACTTATTCAAGAAATATTTTTTTATATTTATTGTATAATTCTGCAAAAACCATACCCAATAAATAAATGTAAATTGAAGAATTTTGATAAATATGATTTATACAAATTACAATTATTTTCTTTTACATATCAGGATTCAGAAGATTTAATAATAAATACACTTCAAAATCAATATCCAATATCTTTACATGATAATAAACTTTCTATACCATGTAATCCTACATATTTTGATATTATCTTTATATTATCATCAAGATTAACTGTCAATATTATGGTTGAATTATTAAATTATATGAAACTTAATAATCAGAAATACTTATTTACTTTGGATCTCTTAGATCACTATATTACATATTTTGCCATTAGATTATTGAATAATTTACATTATCCAAAGGATTCCATATTACTAGATAAGTCAATATCTTGTTTTGAAGTAAGTATTGAAATAATAAAATATATTACATCCAGATCAAATAATCACATTCAACATAATCAATATTATTTTCTTGCATATTATATCTTATGGATCATGAAATATAATTCTAGGGAAAATCAAGATATGTATTCTATTAAAGATTTATTTAATTGTATTCTTTTACTTATAGATAAATTAAATTGTGAATTACCAACTTCAAAATTATCCTCCTTATCAGATATATCGTCATCACCATTATTATTACAAAAAGATAATTCATTAACACACATATTATCCATTAAACCAAATCGAGAATCCTCCCCAAATGTAAATACTTCTAAAGATTTTACTAATAATATTAATCTAAGTGTCCAATATTTGAATGATCAAATAGAATATTCATTCATTCAATATATATCATATTTTAAAAATGATGATAATGCATTAAATATATTAAGATGTATCCTAGATTGCTTTGAAATAAAAGAATTGGATTATCCTTCACTAAATGATCTTCAAATAAGTAAACAAATATGTTCTAAACTTAAGGAAAAATCTCTTTTTAATTTATGTCTATATATAGCCCTACAAGTTTCTGACTTAGAAAATATACTGAATATATATTCTATGAGATTATTGGATAATTTTAAGGCACCAAATATTGGTGCATGTAATGCATGTATTACCGGTATCTATTCTACATTAAATGATGATTTTTTTAAATTTAGCCATCTTGTAGAAACAATAGAAAATGGAATTAAAAAAAAAATATTTACTTATGAAGATTCATTTTATTTAATAATTAACTATACTAATTTATTGTATGAAGCTGATTCTGAAAGTACAATACAATTAATAGTATATATCTTAAGAAAATGTTTACTACAGAATTATATGGATGAAATAGAAGATATTGTAAGAAAATATAATTCTTCTTTAAAGTCATTAGATCATATTTATGAAAAAATACTAACGAATTTATTATTTGGAGAATTATGTGAATCTAAATTTGAACATTCATATCTGACTGATAAGATTGAGCAAAATATATATAAAGATAATTCTATAAGTTGGATTTACTTTATTAATTTTATTATCCCTGAATATTTGATAATAATTTTTGAATCATATGAAAATAATAATTCAACCTTTAAGGAGGTAGAAATACTGAAATTACTAAATTATTGGTATGAATGTGCAATAAAATTTGATCAATTACAAAACTTCCCATTTCAAAATTGTTATTCAATATTTAAGAAATACAAAAATATTTATGGATTAGTATTTTGTTATCATATATCTTTAACTACTCCAACTTTATGTATATGTGATGAACTAACTATATCAAATATAATTGAGAATAAACTTAAATCAGATATTAAGATATTAAATAGTCAAATTTCAAATAATATAAATGATTTATATTTTAATATATCTTATAATTATGACAAAGGGATTTTAATTATTAACTTCGAAGATAATAATTCAAATTTGAAAATATGGGAAAGTATAACTGAATTATTATTTTTCATATATTTATATTGCTATAATCATTATAGTATATATGAAGATAAATACAAGAATCAAGTTAAAAATATGTGGAGTAGATTTTATTTAGGAATTTTGAAAATTTTATTTATCAATATAAATAATATTATAAAAAGAAATGGGAATACTTACTTTGTAGAAATATTGTGCTCTTTGTTAAATTTAAATAATTCAGCAAAGTTAGGCATAAGTATTAATAATAAATTACCAGTTAAACATATTAAAAATATAAAAGGTCATAATATCTTCCCATTTATTATTTATCATTTTGTATTTATTATTTTTGGACATTCTAATTATATGAAATTATATGAAGATTATTTTATTAAATTTCAGAATTATTGTAATTTTATATTTCCAAAAAAAGATATTAAAAAACTATTTGCATCTAATCCCATTAGTCATTATGTAAAATTTATTCGACCTATATTATTATTACTAATAAGTAATATGGATAATACTGAATGTATTTTTTGGAAATCATTAGTATTTCAAATGGCTAATTCAGAATTATTTATAAATCAATGTTATACTGATTTATCATCATTATTTCATAAAGATCTTTTACACATATTTGGCTTATTTATGGATAAAATGAGATGTGCTGAGATATTGGATATTAGTTATAAAAATTACACAAAGTGTTCATACTGTTTACAAAGTATTTTAATAAAATCACAAATAAATAGTAATGATACTGATTATAAAATATCTTATAATGGTAAAAACACTTATCAATCTATCAATATTTTATCACCAGGTATAAATAATGCAAATGTTAGAGATATATTATCTCCTAATTTTACTAATTATCATCAACCCGATTATGAATATAATGAAGATGAACAAATTTATATTTTTTTTTGTGGTGATATTTTCCATAAACATTGTTATAACACATATTATACTGAGAAGCACAGGAATTCTTTCAAAAATAGAAATAGTAGAAGGAATTCAAATAACTTAAAAGATGAGTGTAGCCATGAATTTTATTTACCATTAGTATAATTTCTCTTTCTAATTACCTTTAATATTTTTTTTATTATTTTTACCGCCTAAATGTGTATCTGTGTGTATAGACGGGTACCGTAATACCCTCTAATCTAAAAATTATCTTGTTGCGTGCTATACTAAATTTGTCTAATATAATTTGATATAGCAAAGGTTATATTGAGTATTAAGGGTAATTATCTATAATATTAATAGTAATTAGTAAGTCTGAATCTTATTATATAAATAGTTGGTTCCTATATATGAATATAATAGAATATATAAAAGGATAAATTTTATAACTTCATTAGGATTATTATTAATCAGCTTTAAAGAAAGAAAGTTGAAAAACCAGACAAATTTAAGTAATATTGTAAACTACATTATATATTATTAAATGTTTTGTAAATGTTTGGTATAGTGGGAGAAGGAACAAAGTATGTGAAGAAGAAACAAGAAAAAGGTATTTCAAGAATTATGGGTAAATGTCCAGAATCTATAGCTAAATTGAATGATAATGATATATCAATGATTGAAAAAAAAATAACAGGTTATCAATTAGATGTACTAGAAGCTCAGAAGATAGCTTTAGAAAAAGATAAAGAACTATACAACTTACGATATTGTTATGACAGTAGTAAGGCTAGTGTTGAATATTTAGAAAATAGATGTAAAAAATTAGAATTTGAATTAAAATCCTTAGCTATGGGAATTGGTATTGGTAAAAAAGAAAAAGAACAGCAACGTGAAATTGAAAGGTTACGTAAAGAAGCTTCTCAATTCATAAATATTAAATCTGAGGCTGAAAAGCAGAAAAAATATTTTTCAGATAGATGTATGTATTTAGATCATGAATTGGAAAAATTAAGAGATGAATTAGCAAGTAAAGTAGCAGAGCTAGAATCAATGACTAAACTTTATCAAGAATTAAGAATTAAACAGGAAAAAACTAAAGATGATTTGGATAGTATGATGGCCAAATGTAAATATTTAGAAGATGAGATATTAAAAAAAAATGATGCAATTCTTCAAATTCAAATTAATGTCAAATCTAAAGAAATTGAAATTCAAAAACTTCAAGATAAAATAAAAGAAAAGGAAGAACAAATAATAGAACTAAATGATTCAATAAAAAGTAAGGAATTAGATATTAATCAATTAATTGAAGATTTAAATAACAAAGATATTGAATGTAAAAATTTAACTGATAAGATTAAATTAATTGAAATAGAACTTGATGATAATAAGAAGAGGCTTAAAGAATTCTGTGAAATCAATGAAACAAAAATATCAGGATTAAATATAGAAGTAGAAAATCTAAAGAATGAAATAACTGAAAAAGATAGTCAGTTAAAAGTTTTAGAACAAATAAAATCTGAAGTACAAAATAAGTCAAAACAATTAGAGGATCTTAAAAAACTAAATAATGAGTTATTAGAGAAATCCAATGATTCTATTAATTTAAAAGAACTTGAGTCTGATTTGAAAGATAAAGATGAACTAGTTAACTCCTTAAATCAACAAATCGAATTATTAAATAACAAATTGGAGATTGTAAATAAAAAAAGTTCTGAAAATAATGTAATAGATAGTAATAAGACATCAATCCAAATACAAAATATAATGCTAACTAAAATTTTACAGGTCAAAGAAGAAATATTACCTAATTTTCAAGAATCTATTCTGGAGAGTATTAAATCAATAGATTTTATTAATATAAACAAAAATATATCTGAAGAAAATGAGGAAATTGAAAAACAAATTAATATGAATGATTTACCAACATATCGTATAGATACAGGTATACCCATTGAAAGGGAGATTTATCAATTAAAAGAGAAGCTAAAACAATATGAAACTAATTATATTTTATTTCAAAAAAAATTAGACGAAAATTTACAAATTATAGATTCAAAAAATAGGGAAATTGATCAATTAAATATGAAATTGAATAAATTAATTATAGATCAACCTAATAAAGATATTAATTTAATTAATATATCAGGTAGTCATTTAAGACAGGATTTAGATGGAAAATATAATATATTATTGAAAGTAATAAAACTACAAAAAGTAGAAATTAAGGGATTAATAAAATATAATAGTAATGGAATATTCGACAAAAATATTGTTAAAATAGATATTGCTCAAAAGAATCCAGAAAATTCTAATAATGTTAGTATTAATCAAATTAATGAGAATATATTTACTAATAAAACAAAAGACTATATAAATTTGGGAGATATATATAAGAATAAGGTGGAGAAAAGTGAAAGTGAAGATGAAAATAAGAAAGTGAAAGGAAAAGAGGAGAAAGAAAAAGAGATAGAAAAAAAAACAGAAAAGGAAACAAGAAATAAAACAGAAAAAGAAAAGAAAATAGAAGCAGAAAAAGAAACAGAAAAGAAAACAGAAAAGGAAAAGAAAATAGAAGCAGAAAAAGAAAAGAAAATAGAAGCAGAAAAAGAAACAAAAAAAGAAACAGAAAAGAGAACAGAAAAGAGAACAGAAAAGGAAAAGAAAATAGAAGCAGAAAAAGAAACAGAAAAGGAAAAGAAAATAGAAGCAAAAAAAGAAACAGAAAAAGAAACAGAAAAGAAAACAGAAAAGGAAAAGAAAATAGAAGCAGAAAAAGAAAAGAAAATAGAAGCAGAAAAAGAAGCAGAAACAGAAAAGAAAATAGAAGCAGAAAAAGAAAAGAAAACAGAAAAGGAAAAGAAAATAGAAGCAGAAAAAGAAACAGAAAAGGAAAAGAAAATAGAAGCAAAAAAAGAAACAGAAAAAGAAACAGAAAAGAAAACAGAAAAGGAAAAGAAAATAGAAGCAGAAAAAGAAACAGAAAAGGAAAAGAAAATAGAAGCAGAAAAAGAAACAGAAAAGAAAACAGAAAAGGAAAAGAAAATAGAAGCAGAAAAAGAAACAGAAAAGAAAACAGAAAAGGAAAAGAAAATAGAAGCAGAAAAAGAAACAGAAAAAGAAAAGAAAATAGAAGCAGAAAAAGAAACAGAAAAGGAAAAGAAAATAGAAGCAAAAAAAGAAACAGAAAAAGAAAAGAAAACAGAAAAGGAAAAGAAAATAGAAGCAGAAAAAGAAGCAGAAAAAGAAAAGAAAATAGAAGCAGAAAAAGAAGTAGAAACAGAAAAGAAAATAGAAGCAGAAAAAGAGGTAGAAACAGAAAAGAAAATAGAAGCAGAAAAAGAAGCAGAAACAGAAAAGAAGATAGAAGCAGAAAAAGAAGCAGAAACAGAAAAGAAGATAGAAGCAGAAAAAGAAACAGAAAAAGAAAAGAGAATAGAAGCAAAAAAAGAAACAGAAAAAGAAACAGAAAAGAAAACAGAAAAGAAAACAGAAAAGGAAAAGAAAATAGAAGCAGAAAAAGAAACAGAAAAAGAAAAGAAAATAGAAGCAAAAAAAGAAACAGAAAAGAAAACAGAAAAGGAAAAGAAAATAGAAGCAGAAAAAGAAAAGAAAGTAGAAGCAGAAACAGAAAAGAAAATAGAAGCAGAAAAAGAAACAGAAAAAGAAAGAAAAATAGAAGCAAAAAAAGAAACAGAAAAAGAAACAGAAAAGAGAACAGAAAAGGAAAAGAAAATAGAAGCAGAAAAAGAAACAGAAAAGAAAACAGAAAAGGAAAAGAAAATAGAAGCAGAAAAAGAAGCAGAAAAAGAAAAGAAAATAGAAGCAGAAAAAGAAGCAGAAACAGAAAAGAAAATAGAAGCAGAAAAAGAAATTGGAAATGAAACAAAAACAGAAAAGGGAGAGAAAATAAAAGGAAAAGATGATATTGAATCTGCTGGAAATAAACTCTTAGTAAACTCTAATTCTTCAGTATCTAAAAATATTGATGTTAAAAATTCATTATTACTTAAGATAGCACAAATATCAAGCAAATCAGCTCCATTAATAGCTAAAATGCCAGCACAAGCTAAAGCTATATTGAAGGATAAACAAAGAAACAAAGAGATCATGAAAGATTTTGAAAAGGATAATATTAATTTTAATAATAAAACTAAAGTCTCTAGTGAAGAAAATGAAAATTTATTGCATGATATAGAGGATTCTAAATTAAAAGGTAATTCTTTAAATATGACTAATTTAAAAAATAATATTAAGGAAGATAAGATTAAGTCAGATATTGAAATTAAAACTGAGACTCGATATCAAATAGATAATAAAAATAAAATAGATAAAAATGTTAAATCTATTCCTAAGGTCAAACCAAATATTATTAAATCAAGAATTCGACGTAGTGATAGTAGTGATTCTGATTTTGAATTAGATAATAATAAAGAAAAATCTGAAATAAAAGATAAAGATAATGAATCTAACAAAAATTTAGATAATATACCTGAAAAAGATAAAGATGTACAAAGTAATGAATCTACTTTAAATCCTAAAAATAAAAATGATATTAAAATGAAAATTATTTCTGATACAAATTTAGGATCAAAAATAGAAAATAATAAAGAAATTAAAGATGATGATATTAAAAAAGTTGAAAATAAAGAAAAAATTGAAAGTAAATTTATTAATAAAATTAAGCATGAAAATATGGAATCTCAATTTGAACAAAAAATCAACAAAATGCAAAAAGATGACAAAATATGTGAAGATATTAATGAAGAAATGGAATCTGATAAAGTAAATTCAAAATTGGAAAATTCTAATACTAAATTAAACAAAAACGAAGATACTTCAGATACAAATAATCAACCTAATTTAAAACAATCTAAATCATCTATTAATAATAATCTAGAATTAGAAGATTTAAAAGTTAAACCAAAAATTAAAGTAAAGGCCAAAACAAAAGTTAAATCTAAGAAAACTCAAGAAATAACATCTAACGAGGGAGAGGGTTGGTTTAGTAGCTGGTGGAGTACTGGTGCTACACAATCTACAGATACAAAAACTACAAGTGATAATGATAAGAATTCTGAAACTAATAATAATCAATTAAAGGACTTATCAGAAGATAAAAAACCTATTATTGATTCTAAAAATAATGAAATTAAATTAAAACATAAATCACATGTTAAAACAAAAGTCAAGGCAAAAACTAAATTAAAACAGGAAATAAAGGAAGAAACAAAAAATAAAGAAGTAACATCATCTGGTGGATGGTTTGGTAATTGGTGGGGTAATAATGATTCTACTCCTGAACAAAATAAAGATAATAAGGATAACCAAGAAAATAAAGTAAAGGAAAAATCAGTAGATTCGACTTCATTATCTACTACAGAGAATGTAAATACCTGGTCAAGCTGGTTTGGATATGGAACAGCAGATACAACAAATACATCAGAACAATCAAATAAGGAAGAAATAAAAGATGAAAAAATAGAAAAGAGTGAGACTACAAATACAAGCTCATGGTGGGGATGGTAAACCCTAGTTTTCAAAACCCTAAAAATCCTAGAATTTCAGATATATTTCAAGACATTCAATTTCAAACTATTTTAGATATTCCTAAATTACTTTTTCTAAACATCTTTAGAGGTAAAAGAAATTGTAAGTTTTGGAAATACCTGTGTACTTGTTCAAATCTTTTAATGGCGGATTCCTAGATAATTGAGGATTTTTAAACTTTAATCCCCTCCGAGTAGAATCTTTTTGAAAAAAATAAATAAAAAAAAGAAAACAAGAAAATTTTTATTTTCATTATCTTCATTTATTATTAAAACTGGTTTAATATAACTTAATTATTTAGAAGTAATTATTGGACTTATTTATAATAATATTAAATATATTTATATAATTTTATTAAATAGTTAATAACTTTAAAATAATATTGATTAAACTTATATCTAGAAACAGAAATTTCCTCTAATATTATTAATATATTTGATATATATAAATATATTTATATCTTAATACTTCAAATTAATTATGAGTATATATGAAGGCCGTTTTGATAACCGTCGATTGACTTTGGTAAGTTTATTAAATATAAACATTTTCTTTAAAAAATAAAAGAAAAAGGAATATTTCTAAATATCCTCTTTTTATATATTAATTCTTTATAGGAACTAAGAGATCTTCAAATGAATAATGATGAATTAAATAGTGATACTCAAGTTGGTGTTAGAATTATTGATAATAAGCTTAATAATATAATAGGATATATTAGGGGACCTCAAGGTACACCATATGAATCTGGAATATTTGAATTAGAAATATCTATACCTAGTGAATATCCATATGAACCACCAAAAGTCCGATTTATTACAAGAATATGGCATCCTAATATTTCAAGTCAAACAGGAGCAATATGTTTAGATATATTGAAAGATGCTTGGAGTCCTGCATTAACATTAAGAACTGTATTATTATCTATTCAAGCATTATTATCAGCTCCTGAACCAGATGATCCTCAAGATGCTCAAGTAGCATCCTTATACAAGAGCAATTTTAATGAGTATATAAATACAGCTAAATCTTGGACTATAATGTTTGCTTCTTCAAAAGATCAAAAAATTCGGAGATTATTAGATATGGGATTTTCTAAAGATAATGTAACAGAGGCTTTGATAAGAAATAAGTGGGATGAAACTCAAGCATTAAATGATTTATTAGGTTAATATTTAATAATATTAAATAAATTTTTAAAATTTAATAAATAATAAAATGAATAGATTTATATATATGAAGTTAAGAGTGGCATCATTTTAATTTGTTAATAGATTAAAAGCTTAAGTTTAAGTTTTTGATATTTACAATAAATTAAAAGGATTCGTTTTTTTTTTATATATTCACTGTAATATTTAATATAATTACTTGATATTTATAAGTAAATTCTTTTTATAATTATACCGTGTGTTTGCACACAAATATTTTAGTGTATTAGTAGTCTTAGAAATTATTAATATAATGAATAAAAAAGAATGAAATATGCTATTGTAATAATAACTTTAACATTAACTTTATTTAGTGGTTTAAATGTAAAGGGATTTGATGTAAGTAGTCATTAAATTACTAATAATTTTAAGAAGATATTAATTAAATAAATTTAATATTATTGGTTAAATATATTTCAATTTTTGGTTATTAATTAATAATTAATAATATTTAATATACTAAATAATTAAAATAAATTTTATTTTACATATTCTTCATTTTATTACTTCCTTTTTCTAGTTAAAAGGTTTTATAACTAAATATAGAAGATCAAGACAATATAGAGAACTTCTCAAAGTGGTAAGTTAATAATATTAATGTAATAATATATAGAAGAAGAAAGAAAAATTACATATATAATATTTTAAAATATTTAATATTTAATAATTTTTTGTTAATATTATCTAATTTCTTTATTTATTTTATATATAATATATTAGAATATTGAAGTCAATAATGAAGAAAGTTTAAATGGTATTTGTTTACATAATTATATTAAATTTCATACAAAATTTAGAATTCTTAATAAAAGTTATTTATTATGGCCAAAATTAACAAATAATATTTCAAAAATTAAATCAAAATTGATTTTGGATGAAAAATTTGCTGAGAATAGTTCATTAGCTGCTGTTAAAAGAATACTTCAGATGCGTATGAGTAATTCATTTAATCAATATACATCTGATCCTTTAGATTTTTTTTTGTTGTATTCTAGTAAAACTTTGGATTTAAAAAATAAATCAGATATAAATAATAATATAGATGATAATGTTAAAATAAAGGTAGAAAATGCAAGTAAAAGATTAATTCGTACTATAAGGTATTTAAATATAATAAAAAATATGGAAAATAAAAATTATGTAAATATAAAGTTGAATAATAATGAAGTATTTGAAAATAAGAAAAATCAATGTAAAGAAGAATCTTCTAATTTAAACTTAATGATAGTTTTTCTTATAAATATAATTATTAATCCTTGTTTTAAAGATATAGCAAATTATGGAAATATCATTATTTCAAGGTATGTTTATTATATAATAAATATAATTATTAATTAATATTATGATTGGATAGTTAATAATATAATTAATTTTCAATATAATAAGACAAAGATAAATTACTTGATTAAACAAACATATTTAAATAGAATTGGATATTTATTAATATAAATTTATTATTAATCAAATTATTAATTAATATATTTTTGGTATATTTTATTTTGAAATGTTAATAATTTTTTTCTTTTTTGTTATTTTTCAGAGTAAAACCTAGAAGAAGGCATATGGTTGCTTCTATTCAGAGAGATGTTGATTCATTAACAAGTTTATATAGAGAAACTCATTTATCTGTAAGTTTATACTTTTTAAATAATTTTTATGATATATTTAAATATTAGAATTAATAATAATATTGATTTCTTCTCTTTTTTTGTTTAGTGTTTAAATATAAGAAGTCTTAAATCTAAAAAGTAATGTTATTTAATTATTAATATATAGTAAATACTAAAATATCAAATAAAATGGAGATAATATTTAGATATATAAATTTAAAAGAGAAATTTAAAATAATAAAATAAAAATTATTTTTTTTTCCCTTCTACCTAATGATAATCACACAAAATATATCTAATCTATAAATATAAAATTTATAATCAATGAAGAATCTTATATAGTTTTATATCAATTTGTTTAATAAAAAAAAATGTAGCTTTAGTAAGTGATTCAAAAGTAGTTAATAACGGTATATTATATGAACTTGAAAAACTTCTCAATATAGCACCCGATAAAGAACCATGTAATAAAGTTGTATCTTCAATTGCAGATACAATTAATGCAGATGGGGTTATAAATTCACTATAAACAAAATCTATTATTCCATTAATCTTTTTAGATATATAACTTGATGATCCTACAGTACTTTTATGTTTATTTAACTCCCCTAAATTCCAAATACCGAAACCCTTTTCATGATGCATAAGTAAATCAAGATTTTCATCAACATATCTATAATTAAATGCAGTTTGTATAGGACAATTTCTTATATTATTTCTAAAAATATCATCTTTTTTTGCAATCTTTGAATAACTACGACCTTGTATATGATTTAAAAATAATAAACCAGCTTGTGAAGCCTTAATATCTATTAATTTTAAAAATATACGTATATAACCTTTCATTTCGACTATCATATTAATAATAGCTTCTTCAGCTCTCTTATATTGTATATCATGTAATTTTTTTGGATCATTTGTATTATATATGTCATCTGGTTTTTTATTAAGTATCTTTCTTGATAATTTACTTAATTTACCATCTACTGTCTTTGTTTTTGGATTTAATTTATTTATTATTCCAAGTATTTCATCTTTATCTAATATTGAAATACCTAATTTACTTGATATTTTTCTCATTTCACGTAATATAGTTGGTACTCTTTTAGAAAATTCAGAATAAAATTTATTATTCCAATGATACCATATTGAATGATATATTTTTTCCATAACTATTTGCCAATCTAAATCATCTAATTCATTCAAGAATTCCTCATTAATTATTTGAGAAGATAAACTCTCTCCTTCTTTTAATGGAGTTAAACTAACAATATTTTCTTTATCTATGTTAGATTCATCTAATATTGCATTAATAATATCACTATAGATTTTATTATTTGTATCATTTACTATATTTTGTAAAATATCTCCATTATCATATATATTCTCATCTTTCGATATTAAATTTTGTTTAACTTCTGATTTCAAGGTATTATTTCTACAATCTATACATTTAACAAATATCAAGTCCCAAAATATATAAATTATTAAGACTTCAGTGACTATATTTCTTATTATAGAAATCTCCATATTAAAAATATCTTACTATTAAATTAATAATAGCAAATTAGTTATAATATAGACAAATCTAATTAATAAATAATTTTAAATTAGTTTCTAGAGATCTATTTTATTTCTAAATATTAATAGAAATATTAACACACAAAAACCCGCCAGATTAGTTCATAAGCGCCAAATAAAGTCAGAAATATTAAAATATTAGTGAAATTAAAATGGATTAATTTCTTAGTAGTATAATATATAATAATAAGATATTATACAAAACCGTATATATATAATAATATATATATACAATATTATTAAAACACTATATATATTTAGATAATATAATAATATCTTTTTTATTATAAAACAAAAAAAAAAGAATAGTTAAAATAAACTTAACTTAATATTATATAACTAAAGATCTTATTAATAATTATAGAATTTACTTTTCTTTTTTATTCCCCAAAAAAAAGAGAAAGGGAAGAAGAAAAAAAAAAGGGGGGGGGTGTAATATTACGGCTTGTCCCTTTATCCACCATGCAGTATAGTTAGTCGAAAAAATTAGATGACAGAGTATACGTATATAACAAGTTAATATTATTTAGATAGCTCATATATTGTGGACTTAATCCACATATTTACATATTACTGCATTGGTACATTGATTTAAGTAATATAAAACTTACTTATTATGGTCATGACTGATAATATAAATTCAAATATTTTGGAATAATAATTGAAGTTGAGAATATAAAAATAAATAATAATACATTATTTAGAAACATAATTTTAATTATATGAGAGAAAAAAAAAAAACCTTAAATAATTATTTAATATTATCATTTTACATAATATTTCAACTATCCATAATATAGTTATAATTAGAAATAGAAGAAAAAAAAAAAAAAAAAAAAAAGGAAATGAAGAATGCCAATATTCAGATATCAAGGAAGCAACAAACAGTTGTTCCAAATTATAATGGAATAATTGAAAGTAAAAATAATATATCTGGTGTATCTACAACTTCATCATCTTCTGAAATTGATGGTACATCCAAGAAATATGTACTTGGAAAGATTTTAGGAACAGGTTCATTTGGAATTGTATGTGAAGTTACAGATATTGATAATGGACAAAGATATGCATTAAAAAAGGTTCTTCAAGACCCACGTTATAAGAATCGTGAATTAGATATTATGAAAATACTTGATCATCCAAATATTATAAAATTAATTGATTACTTTTATACAACAGGTGATGAGGAACCAATACCACCCCAACCACCTACTGATGATATAAATTGTGGTGGGAATATTGGTAGAAATATTATACATAGTAATAATAATATGAAATCCAAAGTATCAAATAAATTTTTAAATGTTATAATGGAATATATACCAGAAACACTTTATCGTGTGTCAAAGTCCTTTATTAGATCTGGAAATATAATGCCAATAAATATTGTAAGTATATATATATATCAATTATTTCGTGCAGTTGGTTTTTTACATTCATTAGGTATATGTCATAGAGATATTAAACCACAAAATTTACTTGTTGATACAAAGAATAATACTTTAAAATTATGTGACTTTGGTTCAGCTAAAAGGTTGATACCAAATGAATTAAGTGTTGCATATATATGTAGTAGATTTTATCGTGCACCAGAATTAATGTTAGGTGCTACTGAATATACACCAAATATTGATTTATGGAGTATTGGTTGTGTGTTTGGTGAATTAATACTTGGAAAGCCATTATTTTCTGGAGAGACTTCAATTGATCAATTAGTAAAAATTATCCAAGTTCTCGGTACACCAACAAAAGAACAGATGATTGCTATGAATCCACATTATACAGAAGTTAGATTCCCTACATTAAAAGCCAAAGATTGGAAGAAGATTCTCCCTGATAATACACCATCATTAGCTATTGATTTATTACAAAGAATATTAAGATATGAGCCAAATATTCGTATTAAACCATATGAAGCAATGGCACATCCATTTTTTGATCATCTCAGAGAATCTTATAGCCAGAATCCTATTATTGTTCAAGGTATTGGTGATGCAACACCCGAATTATTTAATTTTTCAAAATATGAATTATCTATTATTCCAGATTATCTTATTAAAAAGATATTGCCAAATAACTATAATATTGAATTTGAAAGATAATATTAAGTGAATTGTTTAATTAAAATATTTTTTGGTTATATTAATTATATCCAAAAAAAAGTGATAGATTTACCATAATTAATATTTCTTATTATTATTTTCAATAGTAAATTAATTTACTAATCATTAATTCCGATAAAGTACTCTTCTTAATAAAGGAGATTTATTATGACTTTTATTAATTATAATTGTAATTAAGATTTAATCCAATTTTAGTGTATGATTAATTTTTAAAATAATAATTTGTTAATTAATGGGAATATATGAGTAATTTTTTAATAATTGAGCTTGTATTATTTCTATTTTCCTATTTCTTAATAGAATAACTAATCTTCTTGAATGTATATGTAAATATATATTAAAATTTTCATGTATGCCCGCCTTTTTGTGGGGATATTTTTCAGTTTTTTTTTCTCTTCACTTTATTTAGATGGTAATTAGAGGAAGTTTGTATACTACCTTTTTTTTCTTATTTTAAAAAACTTTTTTAGTAATATTTTTACATAACGAATCTTAAATATGAGGAGTCCATATGCCGAAGAGGTTGAATACTCAGAAAAGTTTGATATGGATACTCATGAATACAGGTAATTTAGATTCTGAACATGTTTATTATTAAAGATCTCCCAATAAATAAAATATTACTATTGTTATTATTTTAAATAGGTTTGTTAAATTGACTCGTCCACTTTGTAAAAAACTCCAGCAATATAGGTATGATAACTTTGGTTACATTCAAAAATAATAAATCTAATAATTGTTTTATAGAGCCTCAAGAGGAAATGGTGCTTTAATGTCTGAGGAAGAATGGCGTCATGTTCTAGGTAAGATCCTTATATATTTGTAATTAATATTAATGATCATTTCATAATAATTTATATAGGTCTTCAAATGAGTCGTGGATGGGTTCACTTTCTTGATTGGAAGAAGGAACCATGGGTTTTATGTTTCCGCAGACCACAGGGAACCAATCCCCAAACTGGTAAAGTGGAAAGTCGACAACTTTAATATCGAAATATTTGGCAATTAATAAAAAGGAATATAATTTGATTGTCTTTTACATATTTATTTTTTTAAAAAAAAAAAAAAGTCATTTTTAATACTACTCATTTCTGTTATATAATTAGAAATTTTTAATTCTTAAAATAATCTTTGTATTTAAAAGATAATATATACTATTGTTATTCTCATAAATTAATTTGTTTTTTTGCTCTTTTTTTAAAGAAAAGAGGTATTCATTAACAAATATCCATGTTTCTTCTTTTTTAGCTTGTTATTTAAAATGTTATCGGCGCTAATTATTCCCAATTTATTCAAACATAACCTTACTTTGAGGGGTAGCATACTAAATAAAAATCTCTGCAATTTAGTTAGAATTTCTGTGGGTTTCCTTGATTAATATCATTTATATATATTTATAAGATGTCCCGACGTTATGATTCCAGAACAACAACATTTTCTCCTGATGGTCGTCTTTATCAGGTAGAATATGCTCTAGAAGCTATTAATAAAGCAGCCCCAACAATTGGAATCCTTTGTAAAGATGGAGTGATTTTAGCTGCTGATAAGGCTGTAGTTTCCAAATTATTAGATCCTGGAAGGACATTAGAAAAATTATATACTATAGATAATCATATTATTTGTGCTGTAGCAGGTCTCACAGCTGATGCAAATATATTAATTTCTCAAGCTCGTATAGATGCACAAAGATACCAATATACATATGGTGAACGACAACCAGTAGAACAATTAGTTATTCAAATATGTGATAGAAAACAAAGTTATACTCAATTTGGTGGTTTGAGACCTTTTGGAGTTTCTTTTCTTTTTGCTGGATATGATCATTATCATGGATATCAATTATACCAATCAGATCCTTCTGGTAATTATTCTGGCTGGATGGCTACTGCTATTGGACAAAATAATCAAACTGCCACATCTATGCTTAAACAAGAATGGAAAAATGATTTGTCAGTTGATGAAGGTTTATTATTGATTGCAAAAGTTTTAACTAAAACAATGGATACAACTTCACCATCTGCTAATAAACTTGAGTTTTCAATATTGAAACATGATGATAAATTTGGATGTATTCAAAAAATTCTTTCACATGATGAAATTCAAGCTATACTTAATAAAGTCCAGGTTGAGAACTCATCTGAAAATACCAATAATTAAGCTGGTAAATTTATTTTAGTATGATATTTGCTGTTATTTTCACAAATTTAGATAGTTTCTCTTTTGAAAAGTAAATAATACTATTTTGATCATTGATTTAGATTGACCAAATTTTTAACTTTTTTTTCTCTCCCCCCCCCCCCCCCTCTTTTTTTTTAAATAACTTTCCAAAGCTTTTTATTTATAATATAGTACCTACAAATGCAATATGATATGACTAAACTGTTAAGATTACTCCTACTAATTACTTTATTTTAGAGAATTACAGATTTCTTTTTCTATTAAATCATTTCTTCTTTTTATTTGATTACATCTTAAAGTGGATAGGAGTACCGGTATTTGCATGCACTTAATAAATACCAATATATACCGTTGTTATATAATAATAACAGGATTAAAAGAAGAATTATTAGTATTTTGTAAGCTAATTATATAAAAAAATTTATATTATTTTTTAATAATAATATATATATATTTATATATTTATATATATACTAATAAGGTGAATGCCATAAATATATAGAATTAAGATTCAATATTTAAATTCATTTATTTGGCCTAATACATATTAAAAATATATAAAAATAAATTATATTCTATTTAAAAAAGAGAAAGTTGTTTTGTTGTAATATTATAAAATATTGATCAAATCTAATTAATAATAATCATTTAGGGTACAAGCAATAGCAATAAACAGAAAGTCCCCACCCCGCTTGGATAACGTGGGCTACTCCTGTCGCATTATATTTTCTTAATAATAAGAAGAAAGTTGAATTTATTAAAAACATTGTGTTAAAAGTACTTAGGAAAAAAGTAGATTAAGATACAATTATATTGTGATTATTATTTTAGCTAAAATATGTTAATAAAAGAGACAGTTGCATCAGCAAAGATATGCTGGTGCCCTGTAATAAACCATAGAATTACAAATATATTAGCAATTGGAAGTTGTGGAATAAATTCAAATTTGAATATTGGATTGTTTGATATTTCAAGTAATGACAAAGATATTCCTATAATTGGTTCAACAGAAATGAGCAGTAGATGCACCTCAATAGCTTGGGGAAATCAAACTGGAAATAGTAATATGGGGATTATATGTATTGGTATGGAAAATGGATATTTAGATTTTTTTAGACCAATAATTTCTGAATCTGAGGATATAGATCTTTACTGTAATTTAAATAATTTGTCAAATGTTAAGGTCCATGAATCGAGTGTAACTTGCTTAAATTTTAATAATGTTGATAAGCATTTATTAGGATCTGGATGTAGTGATGGAAAAGTCTATGTTACTGATTTAAATAATGAGACTGGTGATTCAATTAATTCTTATGAACCAGGACGTGATAATAAACATGGTGATACTGAATTAACTGCATTAAGATGGAATCAAAAAGTACCACATATAATGGCATCATCATCAACAAATGGACTTACGGTCATTTGGGATTTAAAGTTGCGTAAAAGTGCAATAACATTTCGTGATCCTGCACAAAGACATAGACCTTCAACATTAGCTTGGGTACCTCAACAGCCTACTCAGATTGTTGTTGGTTATGATGATGATAGAAATCCTTCATTACAATTATGGGATTTACGTAATGTATCTTATCCATTTAAGGAAGCTATAGTTGGACATCAGAAAGGTATATTATCAGTAGATTTTTCATCTTTGGATCCAAATTTATTATTATCTTCTGGGAAGGATGGTAAGACTATATGTTGGACATTTTTAAATAATCAACAACCTGAGATATATTCTGAGATGTATTCTCAACAATGGAATGTTCAGAATATATGGTCCCCATACACTCCTGGAATATATGCAACTGCATCTCATAATGATAGAGTTGGTATATATTCATTATCACATTCACATATTATAACATATGTCCCTTCATGGTATCGTAGACCAACAGGAGTCAATTTCGCATTTTCTGGTAAAATGGTAACATTTTCTAATTTATCAAATAATATAAATCCTAAATGTAATCTTTATGTAGTTCCTTCAAACCCGGAAATAATACCACATGCAGATATATTTGATCAATTATTAAGTCAGGGTAATTACATCGGATATTGTCGAAAAAAGGCAAGTGAAGTAGATAATAATAATGAAAAATTAGCATGGAATTTAGTAGAAAATATGTTTACAGATGATAGTGCTGAAAAAAGACTTTATATTGCATCATTATTAGGCTTTGATTCAAATAATGCAAATTATAATGCAAGTCAATTTTTAGGTAGGAAACCAGGTATTAATAAAGGTGAGGGATTACAAGTAGAAATAAATAATTTTAATAGTGGTTTGAAATCAGAATATAGTGGAACATCTACATTTGGAAATTCTAGTACAAGTTATGATCCACAAAATTTCATGACATCTCAATGTTTAGATCCAGAGAAATTTTTTCAACAATTAGGAGAGAAGACAGATATTAATGGTGATTCTAATAATGAAGAACAATATATTCAAGAGAAGGTTAATGAACAGTATCAATTTGATCATGAATATAATACTCCAAGCAATATATTTGGAAATTCTACAAATATTTCTGCAAACACTAGTGGAAATAGGCTAAATTCTGTTCGTGAGAGAGAGTGGAGTAAATGTGAAGAAAATGTTATTAAAGATTTGTTTATTACTGGAAATATTGAGGCTGCTATAGATGTTTGTGTTACATGTGGTTTTTTTTCTGAAGCCTTATTAATGGCAATACGTATTGGTGGCCCTTCTCTAGAATATGTACGTCGTCAATATATTAAGAAACATGATTTGGCTTATTTACAAAAATGTTTTGGTTATGTAATGTTTGATGATTTGGAAGATTTTGTGAAGACAAGTAATTTAGATTATTGGAGTGAGGTATTGGCAATCATAGCCATTTATACTCATCCAGAAAGTATGCAAAGTAATCCACTTTGCACTTCAAGTGAGCAGTCAAAATATTGTATGGAATATTTATCTGAATTATTGGCAAAGAGACTACAAGATGAAAAGTTTGATGTAAGATCAGCATTAATTTGTTACTTATGTGCAAGAAATTTCAGAAATTCTATAGAAATATGGGGTAATATGACTACATCTGGTCAGAGTTCATTAATCCTTGGATTACAAGATTTTGTTGAAAAAGTTGCTATATTACAGTCAGCAACAAGATTCAATGGGAATGATGAGAATATAACAAAACAAGTTGTACATTATGCAGAGATATTAGCAAATTCTGGACGTATTACTGCTGCAATGAAATTTTTGTCTACTCTGGCTGCAAATGATACATCTATAAATTCTGCAATGTTACGTGATAGGATATATAATGCAGCTCCTGAGGTCATGAAATCTCTTGGTTTTAGTCAACCTCCATTTCCTTATACATTGATTGATATATTTCCAAATAATATACAACAAAGACAGTATATAACGACTCAGAATGTCCAGCAATTTGGTAGGAATATACAAAATAATATGAATGTATATCAAGCTCCCTCTGGAGTATTATCTCAGATTTCACCACAAATGTCACATAGACCATCTTCAGCAATAGCACCTTCTCCAACAATAATTCCATCACAACCATCTGGTATATCATCTATATTGTCATCAACATCACAAACAGGAACAATATTACCCAACCAACAATCTCATCAATATATAAATTCGAATTTATCCTCAATAATGCCTCCATCTATAGGTAGTATGTCTTCAGGAGCACCAACACCAATGGCTCGTCCTTCATCATCAATTACTCCAGGCAATATTATAAATAAATCAATACCACCACCACCACCTCCAAATAATACATTAACACGTCCAAATTCTCCTGCATCTTATGGTGGACAAATTCCGGGATCTACAACACTACCATCAGTGTCTATTCCACAAATCCCTTCTATATCAACAATTCCTCAAATACCTTCAATTCCTTCGCAAAATTCACTCTCATATATTTCTAATCAGGGCCAATCCATACAAAATCCAATTCAAGTAGGTCAACAATCATTACAACAAAAATTTGGATTTTCCCAACAATCCTTACAAAATTCTCAAATGTCACGACCATCACTCACTACGGCACCACATAGTGGAGCAACACCCCCAATACCAGGTATGCCTATTCCATGGCCATTACCAACAGCTACTCAACAATTAAATTCAAATACATCTTCTACAGCAAGTATAAATAGACAAATACAGGCAGCAACAAAGAGATCTCCTAATATACAATCTAGTCAACCACTTCCCCCCCAACTATTAGATCTAGTAATGTCAACAATTAATAAGTCCCTATTAGAAGCATTTGTAAATGAACCAAGAAAGCAAGCAGATGCTCAGAAACGTTTTGATGAATTATTTGATAAATTGAAAACTGGTAACATTACAGATCATGTCTCAAATCAAGTAGTTAAATTATGTCAAGCAATGCAATCTGGAGACTTTGTTGCAGCTCACAAAATCCATATTGATTTGAGCTCTAGTGAATGGGAACACAATAAAAATTGGTTAATGGCATTTAAACGTATATTACCAAAGTAAAGAGTAGAAAAAGAAAAAAAGAAAAAAAGAAAAAAAGTAGAAAACAAAAAGAAAGAGATCAATATAAATTCCTACAAAACTAAGTCATTTGTTCAGTAAAATTCTATCTTCTAAATATAATTAAGCATTATTGATCAAATAAAATAAGAATCATAGAGAAAGTATACTGTCAATATCTCGATTTACTTATTTATAATTTGATAATATCTTATTAAATATTGGTACCTTGTTAACAGAATTTATGTGTTTTTTCCATGAGTCTTGTCTTTTAATGGCACGAGATTCAATGAAGTCACTACGTTGTTGCTTCTTAATTGCGGACATTTTTCTTCTTTTATCAAATTTCACTTTTTCTGAGTCAGTAGGTTTAATGATCAAATTCTCTGGGACTTTATATCCAGCTGGAGTAATTATATTTGGGATTTTAGATTCATTATCAAGTACTTTATCAGATCTCCTTGGTATACGGATTCTATCAAATGGAATTATATCATCTTCTTCATATCCAGAATATTCAATAAGATATCCATTTTGTCTTACATCTTTAATTTTACAAGCATACCAACATCCATCATAACTATATAGTGCTTCTGCATCATCATCTTTCTTTAAATTGGTCAATTCAGGTAATAAGTGGACTTTCCCCTTAGATATTTCAATAGTTTTATTACTACCAAATAAGCATACTTTATAACCTGTCCCCGATTCTGATTCAATTTTTGCATATTTTCTATAATTATCTGTCGAATTTAACTCTACAGTTCTACCTATATTAAAAGACTTCCCATTAACATCTATTATAGATGGTAAGATATGGTTAAAAGAATCTTCTAATTTAATGGATTTAGTTAATGGTAAATTTGAATGTATCTCAGTTTTTGCAACCTCATTTGTATTTTCATTATTTGTAGGCACTATTGCAGATATATTTGTTGATTTATTTAATTCTACACTAGACTTATATTTAATCAAGTCATTGGTCAAATTTATTATCTCAATGAGATCATCTCTTAATTTCATTAATATATTATTATTTTCATTATCACTAATGGTTAATTGATCTTCAACTAATTTCAGCTGTTCAATATGATAGTTTCTTTTTTCTTCCAAACTATCCAAAGATTCATCAAGTTCATTCATAAATAAGAGAAGTCTCTAATATTCAAATAAATAAACTTTTTATATATATTAACTATGATCTATCAAACTTCAAATTATGTTAATACTGTCTTCGCGCTTGAGGTCTATATATGGGACAGATAAAAGTATTTTGTATTATAGACAAAAAAAGTATGAGTGAGATTGAAGAACTTCAGAAATTATTAGAAATTATACAGAATAAAGAAGAATCTACATATCTTAATGAAAATGTATGTGTGGATATTTTATGCAAGTTACTTAATAAAGGAAAATTAGAATTAATTAATTCAACTGATGGGAGTGTATTTTATACTAAAGATGCTTTATATAAACAAATTTATTCTATGTTAGAATTATCTAATGGTAGATTAAATATATCATTTGCAGCTAGAAATCTAAATGTTAATATGGATATAATAAATGCACTTATTAGAGACTTGCAGAAGACAGATCATTGCAACAAAATATTAATATATAATGGAGATATTATATCAAATAATTATACTAATAATATATTTGAAAAGATAAGTAGAGACTTACAAAATATTGGTATTTTGTCTTTAAATGAATTAAGCCAAATCTATAATTTGTCTATTGGGTATTTGAAAGGTGAATTAGTGAATAAAATAAATAGTGGACTAATTCAAGGTAAAATTATACAAAAAACTAATAAGGAACAATTGGTGATATCTATTAAATATATTGATATTGTTTCTAGTATAATACGTGGATGCTTATCTGTTGCAATCAAACCAGTATTAATAGATAATATATTAGATTGTACATATTGTGATAAAGCTTATATAGGAGATATTATTCAAAAATATATTAATTCAAAAATTATATTTGGTTTTATTATTCATGATGATATTTATATACCACAAGTTTATTATATTGAACAAACAAATTATATTCAAAATTTTATCTTAAATAATGGATATATAAATATTAATAAACTACAAGAAATTCTAAATACAATTGGTGTAAATATATCAAATAATAATAGTATTCTTAAGTGGTTAAAAGTAAATATTAAGTTATCTAATTCTAAATATATTATTATAGGTGATCATATTATTCAATATTCCTTTATAGAAAATATATTGACAAATATTCAAGATTGTATTATAAATCATATAAATGTTTTAAATATTTTACCACTTTTACCATGTATACTTAATGCAAATATTAACTCAAGTTATTTAGAAGATATAAATTCAATAGTTAAATATATGTATAATGAATATCCTTATAATCGACATAAATTTGATTGGTTTATTATATGTTATGATGAAACTACTAATAAATTTACTATTGAATTAAATGAAATTAACTATATATGGGATAGTGATCAATATATTGCTTTAAATTATAATGAAAATGGTTTATTAATAAGAAAGTCATTTGATCCACTGAATACACTTTTTTTTTTCCCCCATTATTACTGTATAATAAATGGTTCTACTATTTATAAAATGCAAAATATTTTCTGTAAGGAAGTTGAGGAAATTATAAAAAATATGGATATCACAGACCATACAGAAATCTCGTATAAAGATTCATATTCATTTATTCAATCACTTATTAGTGAATATAATAGAAAACAATATATCTTACATTATTTTGAGGATTTACTACATGATTTATGTGGAATTACAATGGAAAATATTGACGATATTACTATTTCAATGAAATTTGAAGATTTAGTTTGGAATTTTCTTATATTATCTACATCTGTATACTTAGTAAACATATATAATGCAAGATTATCAGATATATTTAATAAAAGTAACACTTCATACACTCTCCATATTGAGGATTGTTGAACATTAGAAGACTAGGTTAAAGATTATTGGAACTTTAGAGGATTTACAGTTTATTCTTTAGATATCTTGATGATAAATCAAAATTTGTTTTAATCTCTATAAAGTAGATACAGGAGATTATCCTTAATTACTAGGAGTAACAATTGTTGAATAAATAAGAATTAGTATACAAAGTACTATAAGATTTTAATTTTAACTTTTATTTGAGTTCTCTAGTTAATACTAAAGACGGATTCCCTTAGAATTACAGCTGTCTACACTAAACGGCGCTAGTATCTGGCGCTAATTCTCCCCCTAATTTTTGTAAAGATTGTGGAGAAGAAGGAACACAATTAATCCAATTATGTATGGGTATTTGAAGATCTACACGTACATTTATCTAATCAGGCATAGAAATATCACTGTATTTTGATGAATAGGTAAGTTAAACTTTACTTTTGATTATCCATATCAGAATTATTTATGTTACAGTGGCTTTGTTATTTATTTCCCTTATACCTATACCATTATCTGATTATATTATTATTAAACTTCTTATTTTTTTAGAGTTTTGCAGTCATTGCGACGTCGTGTTGCAAGTTGTGAAAATACTACAGATATTACGAGTAATCAAAGTGGTGATATTACTAACAACAGTGACGATATTCTTGCCAAACAAGTAACACCATTATCTCGTGATGATCATTCAATTAATGATAAATTTGGGGCTCAAGTATTGGATAATGTTAAAAAAGAGGAATTACTAAAAAATCTACCTAAGGGGATGAATAGTTCTGAGATTTCTAAATATATATGTGAATACACAAATATGTCAGTAAATGATTCATATAGCTCAAAAGAAGCTATTGGTACTCTTTTTAAGGATTCAAAACATTATGTAGAAGTATTGTATCCACCTAATGAATTTTTGAAAATATCGAATTTTTCATTTATTAGGGATTTTAACACCTTAAATTCAAACTTGGATAGTGATACTGAGGAACCAAAAAGTCAACAACATACAGATTTATCAGAGTTTGCCAGAAATAATAAGATTAAAGAACAAGAATTAGTAATGAATAATAAGGATACTTTATTAATAATAAATAATAATCAAGGAATAACTTCAAATAGTGTTTTGAACTTTACTCCTAACATAATTTCTGCTTTCAATATGACCTCATTAGATACTTTACCTTTTGGACTAAAGGAAACGAATTTTGGTCATATCTTGGTTGATGATCCATATAGTTCGTTACCACTACTTCATCAGGTCAAACCTGAGGAGCATATAGACCTACTTAGACAAAAATTAAGAGTATGCTGCATTATATTTAACTTTAATAATAATTCTGCCAGTTTATTAAAAGAAAAGAAAAGAGAAACCTTGCTTGAATTAGTGGAATATATAAGTAATAATGAGCATATATTTCAAGAATGTATTGTTCCGGATGTTTTATTGATGATATCAAGCAATATATTTAGATCATTTATACACAATTGTCAACCTGCATCAAATAATTTAAATAACAATGGAATATTGAATTGTGGGAATTCAAATTTAGGTAGTAATATAAATAATAATAATAATGTAAATAATATCGGATCTTTAAATAATACAGTACTAGAATATGATGAAGATGAACAATCACTAGAACCTAGTTGGCCACATTTATTAGTTGTTTATGAATTTTTTTTACGTTTTGTAATAAGTTCTCAATTTGGTACAAAGATTGCAAAGAAGTACATTGATAATGCATTTATATTAAAACTAATTGATTTATTTCAGAGTTATGATCCACGTGAAAGAGATTATTTAAAAACTATATTACATAGGATATATGGGAAAATAATGCCTAGAAGAAGTTGTATTAGAAAAGCAATGAAACATATATTTCTTAGAGTCATAATAGATGGTGAACCACACCGTGGTATTGCTGAATTATTAGAGATATTTGTTTCAATTGTAAATGGTTTTACAATACCATTAAAAGAGGAACATAAGATATTTTTAGAAACTGCACTTATACCATTACATAAAGCTAAATGTATTGCATCATTCCATCAACAATTAATTTATTGTTTAGTACAATATATTGAGAAAGATACAAAATTATCTGTTCCTATTATTAAAGGAATGTTGCGATATTGGCCAATTACAAACTCATCAAAGCAAATATTATTCTTAAATGAATTAGAAGAATTACTTGAGATAACACCTACAAATTATATTGAGCCTATATTAGTACCTATATTTGAAAGACTAGCATTTTGTATACAAAGTCCACATTTTCATGTAGCTGAAAGAGTTTTATATTTATGGAATAATGAGGTTATCGTGAATTTAATAAATACATACAAGAGTGAAATTTATCCTGTTTTAGTTAAGGCTCTAGCCTCACAAAATAAGAAGATACACTGGAATTCAACAGTTCATGGACTTACCTTTGTTGTGAACAAAGTTTTAGCAGAGACAGATCCAGCATTATTTGCACAGATTACAGAAAAGAATAATGTTGAGATCCAGAAATCAGAGGTGATTCAACAAAAAAGAGATGATAATTGGAAACAAATTTTAAATCTTGCTCAGAGTAAACAATCCCAAATTAACTAATACATGTTAATGATATAACTTTGTCCTAAATTAGTCTTTTACTCAAGACTTACTTTAAAATAGATTATTAATACAATAATTCCATTATCTAGAATGAAATAATCTAAGTATATATATATTATTTTGAACGTTAAATATTGGCGAAATTATTATTTCTCTAGGGATATTCTTTATTGATACTAATTTCCACAATAATATCTATTATCACTTATATAACTTCATTGTATTCTAATAAATGTTTCTGAACCAGGTTCATAAGAGATCTGAAATAATTAAGAATTTATATTGATATATATATATTAATAGATGTATATCATTTTGTCTTGTTTCATATGTTAGTATAAAATTGTAATTTGCGATAAGTCAACGAGAATAATGAAATAAAATCCAATATAATAAAATAATAGTATAATGAATATAAATATCAACTAAGTATGAAATACTTGACTTTAATAATATAGAAGAGCTATAATCAATGTAATTACCTTTTACATAGCTTGAATATATTATTCTTGTTTAGTTTATTCTATTTTAATTAATTATAATTTATATTTCGATTGTGTATAATATAAATATTTTAACTAATATATATCTACTGAACTGATACCATAAACAATATATATAAACAAGTACTGGAACCCTGATTCTACAGTATATATTGCTTGTATTTATTTTTCTAAATGAAATTGGCTTGTCCATTAGTATATTCTATAAATATTTCTTAGACCAAAGTGACTTTATACCTTCGTTAATCCAAATAAAAGCTTCATTTCCTCCTTTAAATAAATAACTTCCATAGATTCCATGAAATCCTAAAAAAAAAAAATAAACATAAAGTGGGAATAAACCATCTGAAAATCAATTATTACAGATTTCAGATTCATCTATGCTATTCATTTTAAATTAAATCAGCCAACAAATTTATAAATACTTTGGTTTACCAAGTATTTGCTTGTAATACTATTATAATATTACTTCCTGATTATTATGCTTAATATAAACTTATCTTACCTTCAAAAATTCTAACTGAAACTAATACCTTCAATTTTTTTAGTATTTCATATAACAAATAACCTTCATCTTGCAATATATCTTTGTTAATCAAGACAATATTTGTAATTGGAAGTTTTTTTAATATATTAGATGGTGTTAGTAGTGGTTGAGATCTCCAATCAAAATGGTCTTCAATATAACTAGATTGGTACTGTTTTTCAAACCAAGCCATTGCATTCCAATTTAAAAAACCAAGCTTAACAGTTTGAAGCTTTGAATTTGTTACACACTTTTGACAAATAGCTGGATATATTAAACCAATATATTTAACTGAATCAACCCATTTACAAAATTTTATTGACTTTTCCTGATTTTTTTGTTGGATATCAAAACAAGAAGTTAAAGATGAAACAACTAAATTACCACCTGCAGAATCTCCAATTAAAGCAATTTTATTAGGATTTAAACCAAATTCCAATGCATTCGAATGTAACCATGCCATAGATATGATAATATCCTCTAATGGAATCGGAAATTTCCATTTAGGTGACTTTCTATATTCAATAAATACAACAATACTTGAGTTTGGGGAATCTCCCAATACATTTGCATGTCTCTTAAGTAATATATCATAAGTAAATCTATCACCAAGTACAAAACCACCTCCATGTATTAATACAACAATACTTGGAAATAAGCTGGTATCAATATTATCACTTAATTCCCCATATTTTAGTTTAAATGGTTCTACTTTTGTATCTGAACTTCTTTCTACATCACTTTCCTCTATAACCTTAATAATTGATTCTTTGTGATAAATTGATGAAAAACATGATATATTACTATTCCCATCACTATCATCTTCATTTATATTATATTTTACGGTTTGTTTTAATTTTTTTAATAAATGAGGATAAGTATTTAGTAAATTTTTGCTAGCATAAAAGCTAACTATTATATTTTCATTTGTCCTATCCTTCAATTGATCAAGTTCAGTATTATTTATTTTAATTCCATGATATTCAACAGAATTTATACTATTTAATGGTTTTAGAATATTCCAACCAGTTAATCCTCCATATCCTATATTATGCTCAACTACTAAACCAACATTGTCTCTCTTTAATCCATACATTAACATCTTAAAAATGGTACAGTCCAAGTTTCTATAATTTTCCACTTGTTCTAATGTTTCTAATGACCAAAAATTACTGATATATGAAGTATACAAATAAATTACCCTTCCAATGAAATTTTCAAGAGGATTCAAATTGGAATCATAAAGAAACATACTCAAAATAACCCTAAAATATAATCATAAAGATCATTTAACTCCAAATTCAATAAATTTACAAATAAAATTTAAGTTTTTTTATACATAACATAATATGTATAAATATGAACTTCTTTTTTTTATAATAAGCTTACATTAGTAATATACCCAAAATTATTATTTTTGAGAATTTATTTCTGAAACCATCTAATTTCTTCATTATACTTATTATTTTGCCTACGACAAATAATTACAACAAAATATAATTATGTATACTAAAAAAACTCCAAATCAAAAAATATCTTTAAAGACAAAAAAAAAAGACTAGTGGGGATGCATGTTATACCGGTAAAGGATACCAAAAAAGTATTGAGTAAATAACTCCATTAACGTTATAGCGCCTTTGCATGCAAATTAAATTTTCATAGCAGCATACAATCTATTAATATTTTCGAAAAAAAGGAAATTAGAAACAAAAATTAATGGTTAAATTACTCCAAACTTATTTTATACCCTATTTCAGAATATTTTATTTCTAAATATTCAAGCTAATTTATTACCTTCAAAATGATATTACTCTATTTTAAAAATCAAGTTCATCAAATCAACTTTTTATATATTAAAGTTAAATAGAGAGTTTATAACTATATAATAACAAATATCTTTTTATATATAATTAATTTAACAGAAATATCCCTAATGAAATAGTTGGAATATGGTAATAATATCATCCATAAATCTTACAATATATATTCTATTATAATACAAATAAATTTTTAATTTCTTATTAAAAAAAAAAAAAACAATTAAATCTTAATAAAAAGAATAACTTGAACAATTGTCACCAGTCGTTTTTTATTTATTTCTAATAAAGAAAAGAGAAGTTAAGTATGCTGTTGTATAGACATGCTTAAATTAGATCTTGATTGATCTACAAAATTAGATGTATTTATATTATTTTTCTGTATATATTTATCAGAGTTATAACTATCTCTATTAGAATATATTGACCGTGATAAATATCTACCATCAACTTCATAAGAATAATTACAATTTTGTTGAAAATATTTATCATGTTTTGTATTATCAATACATCTATATCCACTTTCAATTGTAATAGATGGTGAATTAGATTGTTGCTGGTAATTATTATATATAGAACATGGAGTATTTGAAATTATATTTGTCTTTGTAGAAGATGGACTACAATAATAGTTATCATTATATTTTAATGATAATGCTGGATTACTTTTAAATAATTTCCTAAATCTTATATCACTATTTGACCCAGATTTTATATCTTGAGCTTGTAAGGTCCTACGCTTTGCACCTTGAGTATACTTCCATGAACAATTTGTCAAGTCACGTACAAAAAGTTCACAAGCAATAGCTAATAAAGCTGGTACTTCACTTCCAATCATATGTTTTACTGAACCAACGTATTTCATTATCTTTTTTATTCTAGTATGTGGTAAACATCTACTTAAAATTTGTAATTCATCTTCATTAAATATAGGTATATTATTTATCTCATTTTTAAACATATCCAAGGATGTACTATGTACATCTCTATTATTCAAATTACTAGAACCTGCTATTTCTAAATTCTTTGTAACTCTATTATGCATTAAATTCAAATTATTCGTCATATTAAAGTTGGGTGGATTATTTAAATATTGATTACAAGAATTTATATTTGTCCATGAATTATCAAAATTATTCCCAGTATCTGTTTTATATTCACAACTATTATAATTTTTACCAAGTGAAGAATAATAATCTCCATTTTCAGAATAATATGATCCATATTCTAATTGCTGATTCCCAGTTATAATATTCAGATTATTAGTATACAAGTACACATTATCACAGTAACCATTAGATCTCTCTTTTGTCTGACTCTTTAATCTTCCTAATGTTTCAGAGTAATACATTCTATACTATTATAATTTTTTTATTAAATTTATCCTCTATAGAACTATCTTTAATTTTCATTTTAGGCTTGTCAAAGAAATATGGCGCCTTAATGTATACCGTGACACGGCCACGTGGAGTATCTGGATTTTTAACCTAACAAATTCAAATTGTAAAATAAAAAAGAAAAAAAAAAAAGAAAAATATTACATCATCATAAATAAAGCATTATAGATGTTTAACAGCAACTAGACTTCCTTTTTAGACCTTTAGAATCAAGATCAACTCTAACTGGATCTACTCGTACTCCTTGACTACCTATAGGTAAAGTAGTTTTTGTTAAATCATGTTGATTTGCTATTTGTCTTTCACTTCGTAGCATATAGATTTCAGAAAGAATTCTATGAAATGCTTGTTCTACATTAGAGGAATTTAATGCAGATGCTTCCATACATGCCATTCCTTCTTTTTCAGAGAACATACAAGCTTCCTCTTGTGTTACTGCTCTTAAATGTTTTAAATCAGACTTATTTCCAACTAGTAAAACTACAATATTAGGATCTGCATGATCCCTTAATTCTTTAAGCCATCTTTCAACATTTTCAAATGAAGATCTCTTAGATATATCATATACTAATAAGGCTCCTACAGCTCCTCTATAATAAGCTGAAGTGATTGCCCTATATCTTTCTTGTCCTGCTGTATCCCATATTTGAGCTTTAATGACCTTTCCTTGTGTCATGATACTTTTCGTAGCAAATTCCACACCAATTGTTGATTTTGATTCTAAGTTGAATTCATCACGTGTAAATCTGAATATTAAGTAATAAAAGAATTTTAAAAAGCGGTATTCAATGATTCTCACATGATAATTCCGAGTAAGATAAAAATAATGGGAATTTTATTATCATATAATATATAGCACTTTAAGATATAACCGTATATATTACAGAATTATAAGGTTTACTTATCACTTGGAATTATATATTCTATAGAATATTATAACCAAACTTACCTTGATAGTAAGTTAGACTTTCCAACACCAGAATCACCAATTAAAACAACTATAAAGTTGATGGAATTTAATTTATAAGATCTCATAATTATATATAGAAAATGTAACCTACTTTTGTATAAATAATCATAATATTCATCCTTAACATTCATTTTTCAGATATAAATTAAAATGATAATATGAACTACTGAGAGGGGCTTAAATTTTGGCGAATAAAAGACAGAAATGTGCGTAAAGTGATTTAAAGGAAAGAAAATAGTATAATATATTTATATATATGAGTTCCAATAGTTTATAACTTTAAGTTTGCGAAATTGACTTTTTCCAGTTTTTTATTATCTATGTATTTTATTTTTTCACAAATATAACAAAACTCTTCATAAGATATTTGAGATGGATTATCAGTATTTTTAAACGATTTATAATATTCATATTGACATCTAATATCATTATTCTTATTATTAGACATTTCTATATTTAAAGAATTTTGTTCATCATCTTCCCAACATATTTTAGAATCATTATGCATCTCTTTAGTATTAATCTTCTCTTTAAGACAACTATTAGATATATGGCTTGAATTAAATGTCTTAAATTCCTGTTCTTCCCTATATTGTTTCTTTGCCCAATTTATCATACCATGAACTTCTATATCTGATAGATCTAATTTTAAGACCTTAGCCATATTTAAAATTTCATTATGAGTTACATAAGTTTGATTATTATGTCCATTAACTAACAAAATCCACAATTTGTCTTCAAGATTACTTTGAGATTTAGCTAAATCTACTATTTCTGATTTAAATATTGTATCCATTAAATATTTAAAAAAAAGAAAATCATATTTCACATATTATTTGTTAATAGTCAATATAGTAAATATTAATTAGGTAAGCGGTATTAAGAAATTATATTGTATATAAGATTGAAGGACTCAAAAAAAAATTCTTTTTTAAATATTGAATTATATTAATAGTATATATTAGTATATATCACTATTATCAAAAATATCCAATTCTTTATTTTTAAGCCACTTTACAAAGTTATTAATTAGCATTTCTTTATCAGATTTATCTTGAGTTCTAATAATATTTAAATTATGTTTTCTTTGAATAATATTTAAATAGTAATTTTCAGGTAAAAATATTTTCTTATTCTTTATATTTTGTCTATCCTTGAATTTTAAATGAACTATAAAGAAATCTTCTGGATCTATAAATTTTACTCCTGTTGATATATTATTATATATATTTGACTCTTTTATAAAAGGTTTCATCCATGCATTACTTAGACACTTCATTTCATATGAAATTTCATAAGAAGTTTGTTTAAATTCTGTATATATATTATATGGTCCAATAAGTATATTAAAACAATTTAAAATTATAGGAGAGAATTGAATATGAATAAATATTGAAATATTACTACATTGATACATTTTCAAATACATACAATCAATATGCATTGTTATATTTTGATTATTTACCAAAGAAATATATCCAATAATATTTGTTGAATAAATATAGCATTCAGTTGAATCTATAATATGTAACATTTCCAAAGGTCTTGAAATATATATTTTTATTTTAGAACATCCCCTAATTATCAAATTTTTTATATTAGAATCGTTTATTATTTTACTTTTTTTATCATTATGTTCATTATAACAATATACATATTCATCTAAATAAATATTTCTATCCATATTATTAATTATACAATAAAAATCCTTCAAATATCTGTATTTAAACATTGGATTATTTTCAGTTGGTATATATATAGCTAATTCTAAATTTTCTTCATTCATATCCACAATTCTATAATTAAATACTGATTGTAAATTACCTAAATTTCTATATATAATATTTTGTTCCTCTTCTTGAATATTTCTAGAAATACACCTAAAAAAATATTTTATTATATATTCTTTATTTTTATATTCATTAAGTATATACTCAAGTGTAGATATATTATCTTTAATAAATTTTTGAATTAAAATAACTGAATCAAAACATAATAAATCTGATATATCCACTGATAAAAGTATAAATTGAAATATTAAAAATATGGAAAATACACCAAAATTTACTTGAAATGTATCTCCATATAAATCATTATCTTTATTATTTCCATTCTTAAATTTTATACAATCAAAATTAATATAATCATATACATCATTAAAATTATTCTCTTTAAAACTTATTTCTTCATTTATATTATTTTTTTTTCTAAAAGATTGTATGTCTCTGAATTTATATTTTCGGTACCTTGCCCTGTAACGTCATGCATGCAAATATTAGTATTATCGATACCCTTTATTCTCTTAAATGATATATCAGATAGACCAAGTAATATAGAAGAAATTAGACTATTCCAATATAATGGGATATTTTCAAATGAAAAATTATAAAGTTGTCGTAATTTCTGAGTTCCAAGTACCCTTTTCTTAAGTAACCAGAATTCTCGACTTTTATCTATGATATCTGAGTTTATAATATCACTGTTTTTATTTAATATAAAGTCCTGGCCCATAGAAAATTCAATCCAATCTTTTATTCCTAAAAAATTATTATCTATATATTCTTTTAGTAGTTTTATATATAATACAAAATTATCATGATCCCATTTTTTATATTCTAACAGATTACCATATAGATATATTTGACTAATCACTTTAATACAAGGAATTAGTAATATTTTTGGTTTTTCTATCATACTAATTTAATATTTCTGACATGTATTTGATTAATAATATATTTTATTTTTTTTAACCCACATATATAAAACCGCCAAGTCAAACCATATTTTATAAATATTTCAAATAAAATATTCTCAATAATCACAAATTGTAGGTTATATTATATTGTATACTCATAAATTAATAGTTATGGATATTATTACTTAATAAGTAATCATTATATTATGTCATCTAAATTATACCTACCTACAAATTTATATAATTTCTGGATATATATTTTATCATGGTCTTTTGCTAGTATATATATATTATCTATATGGCATTATATTAAAATTAAATACTCTCTTCAACCTAAACAAATGAGATGCCTATTTGGTCTTATATTATCTGTTACTTCCTCACTTGTATCTATTCCCATAGCATATAATTTATGGAGTGTTTATTTCTCAAATAATATGAATCTTCAACTCTTACTAGACTATAATACACAATATTACAATATATATATCATTTGCTTATTTCTTGCAGCTTTTTTTTGGGATTTAGTTTATGGATTTATTTATTTTCCAAATGATATGTTTATTTTTAGTGGTATTTTTCATCATATTGCCTATACTATATTCTTATTATATCTTATTAAAGTAAATACTTGCAATTTATTCCTTATTGCATTACCTGAAGAGATACCTACTATATTAATTTCATATCGTGGGATATTTCCTTATCATCTTACTGTGTTTATAAATCGAATGTTTTGTTTAAATTTTTTATTATTCCGTATTATATATCATATATTGGGTTATTGTTTGTTATTTTACTCTTCTTTAAATAGATCAATTACTTATTTATGGATACCTATATCACTTACAATATTTGTACATTGTAATTGGTATATAAAATGGCTTAGGAAACATGTTTATAATGTACACAATTCAGCTTCAAATGAAATGAGCTATATAGCAATTACAGATGATGATATAGACGAAATTACATAAGTTAAATAAGTTAATATCGAACATTTTATTTTGAATGAAAATATATATTAATTAAGTACTTATAACTTATCTTTGAAATTAAAAAAGAAGAAGAGAGAAAAAAAAAAAAAAGTACTAATATAAAGTTAATAAAGAATTACTGCCAAATAGATTAAATTAGTAAGATTATTTAGATAATTTGTGATACATGTATAGAATGAACTAAAATTATATAAATATAAAAATAAATAAGTTTAACTGTTATAAACTATATAAGTTCAAATATAGTATTAAGAGTATTTTACTAATTTTAGTACTTAATAGAAATAATTAAATATGCATCCTTACTACTAATTAGCGGTGATTGTGTATATACTTTTTATGCACCCTTACCGCCTATTGGAAGTAGTTGTGTATATAGTTTATATGAATACTTACCGCCTATTAGCGGTAATTATTACATATTTTTTTTTCTTTTTTTTTTATAAATATTTGAAATTACTAGAGGAAACAAACCTTTTATTATTAATTATATTTAAGTAATTGCTAGATTTTTATTGTATTTAATATATTTTAGTAAATATCTTTATTTTTATTTCTTTTATTATTTATATTTACCTTTATTATATAATAATAATTATTATTATATATAAATTAAAAATATCTAAAATAATACATTTAAAGTAGATCTCTCATTAATTAAATGGAATATTTCATGAAAATATTGATAAACTTATCATTAAAGATATTTGTAATTAATAAGTAAAACCGCCTCAATTATTATATCCCATAATATTTTCATATTAGCAGACTCATGTTTTTAATATAACGGAAGTTATATACAAATCTAAAATAAAAAGTTACGACATGCTTTAGAAGTTATGGATATAACTAGTAGTAATATATATGATTATATTGATTCATGTAAAAATTCAGGAAATTATAGTCAATGCATATTCTGGTGTGATGTTCTTTTTTCATTAGAACTTAATCAAGCTAGTGAAAATTCCAAAAATAATTTAAAATATAATTATGATAAAAAAAATAAAAATGACCATTTAGATATATTATTAGATGAGAATCACTGTAAAATATACAAATCTAATGATAGCAAAACTACAAAATATTTACTAAATATGGCTTCATTATATATGCTAGATAAACAATATCTAGCAGCATATTCTATACTTCATAATATAGATAATAATGAAGTGAATAATGAAGATGATATTGAAACATTTAATGGTGAAATTAGTAATTCTGCAGAAAAGTTATATTTGGAAGCACAATATTTATACTCTGTACATCAATATGAAGAATGTCTCTCATTAATAGAATCAAGTATGGATTTATCTAATTATGATCCATTAACTTCATCAACAATACACACAATGGCTGCAGATGCATTTATATCTATAGGAAATATTGAACATTCAATTTTATTATATGAAACAGCTCTATATGAATCTATATATGCAATAGAAGCACTAGAATATCTTCTATTTTTACCATATTGTTCTGATAACAAAAAATATTCAATTGTTTCAAATCTTATAAATATGCCTATTGAATCTATTGATAAAAATTGGATATCTAAATATATTCATCCTTATACAATATTAACAAATAAAATAACTTCACCAAGATCTCTTATGACATCTCGTGCCAGTTCACCAACAAGAAAAAAGGAAAAACGTTTATTACCAACTTCTCCAATAGGTGTTTCATCTAAAATATCAATGAATAATAATTATATACAAATATTAAAGAATACTTATAGTATTTTAACTTCACAAAAAACTATTAATGATTTTCAAATATTAACTAATATTGCACAACAAGGATATTCAGAATTTGGACTTAAAATTGCAACATTATATATAAGTCGTTTTATTACATCACATAACTTAAATTCTGCCTATATTACTGGATATAAATTATGGAATATATTATTTAAAGATCAAAATGATCTTAATTTATGTGATATTTCAACTATATTTAATTCAAAATATAATTATTTTGAATTATCTTCAAATACTTTATGTAATTTTATTCAAATATTTGGGATATGTATCATATCTAAAATATATACTGAAGCAAGTATATATAGATATAAATCAATTGGAGAAGATAATGAATATTTAGCTTTACTTGAAGCATTCTTAATTATGCTTAGAAAAAGTGGTGGAGAAGTAGAAACCATTAGAAAAGCATGTAAAGATGGAAATCTAGTATTTTCTATAAAATTAGCTAATGCAAAATATTATGCAAGAAATGCAGATGATATTAATTATGGTGCTAATTTTTGTGGTATTACATCTAGTAATACAAGTAATTTTGGAAGTAGTGAAAATAATTTATTATCTATTAAAGATACATGGCATAAAAAAATATTTCCATCTAATAATATAGCTAGTACATATCTATTTATAAAAGGATGTTATCTATTCTCTTGTGCAATTAAAAATATTAAATTAGGTAAGACTGAAATGGCTCAAGATATTAAATCTATGTTACGAACATCTATGTATTGTTTAAAACGAAGTATACATTTTAATTTCCTTATATTTCCATCTTATTATCTATGGGGAAATATTTATGCAACATTAGGACAATGGGATGATGCAATGGCTATTTTTCGTAGAATGGTACGTTTATTCCCTAGTGCTAATTTATCTATAACATCAACTATATCATTACTTTTACAAAGAATTAATTTAGAAAAGGAATTAAAAACTAATGAACTTATTAATCAATGTATATCTTGGGCTAATAAAGCTATACTTATTAATAAAAATTTCCCAATAATACAGAATTCTCTTGGTTTATGTTCATATTATGAAGAGAAATATGATATTGCTATTGGTTACTTTCAAAGAGCTCTTATTTATCTTATTAATAATTATAATACTGATTCTGATCATCATTTTATATCTGAAGTACTATTACAAGATCATAATTATTCTTTGAATTATAATTCAACTTTATATATTTCTAATCCACTTTCTTATATAATTACAATTAACTTATCTATTTCATATTTAATGGGTGGACATTATGGAAATGCAATTGATTGTCTTGAAAGTCTTTCTATAAATAATCGTTATCTTCATCCAGTTATTGCAGAAATTGATATTTTACAAAATATATATATATCTTTAGCTATTTCCCATCATTTACTTGGAAATATTAAAGAAGCTTATCATTATTATCAGCAATGTTTATCTTTACCATATGAACAAGAAATTCTTGATTATAATATTAATAATCATGATATTAATGACCATCATCAAAATAATGATATTGAATCCACTTTATTAGGTACAAAGACAAAGCAACATACTGCAACTATACTAAGATATATTTATCAACTTTATGACTCTATTATATCAGAAGATATAATTTAAAGATTAAGAAAATAAGGGAATTGGATGAACCTAAAATTTATTATAAATAATAGTATACATTAAGTAATAATATTAAAGCTTAGTTATATCTTCATCTTTTCTTAAAATATTATTTTAGATATTAAGTATATTTAATAATTAGAATATTATAAATAAGGACTATATTTATCAACTTATAATAATAAAGTAACTAATAGTATTTCTAATATTTATTATAATTGTAATATTTCTTATAAGGTCTAAATAATAAATATGGCTATCCACATTAAAAGGCGGTTAACTGAGCGCTATATAGGTATCGAATTTTATAAATTTTACGTAAAATTTTATTATTTATTTACGAATCATCCGGTAAATATTATTAAGTATAAATATAAAAGATGTAAAAAAAACCCACATTTTTTATAGGTTCAATAATTTTGAATAATGTGTGAATGGTAAGAGCAAGTAAATCAAAAGGAATATTAACTGTAAGGACAATCATTGAACCTAAATGGTTAATAAAAGCTGATAATTTAAAGGAAGTTGATGATAACAAGGGTAGGAAACGATATTGGAAATATGAAAAGGAAGATTATGATGAGGATGGATGGGATAATGTTTTAGATATTCCACTAGTTGCCTCAATAGAAATAAAGAGTCTAATTGAAGGTCGTGTTTTACATATTAGAAATGCTTATCATTATGCCCTAAAACGTTTAGATGCAACGAGAAATCGTACTATATTGATGTATATATCGGATATATCACAAGATAATGAAGTGAAAGATGAATTAATTAATAAAAACAATAATAATCAAACAGATCCTCTTTTAACTAAGGATAATGGAAATATATCAAATTTAAATGAAGATAATTTTGGTATGTGTTATCCTTATATCAATAGAATTGATTTATTTTCTTGTAAAAATTGTAATGAAACTTATAAGTATGAAGAAGGGAGAATATGTAGAGTATTATATCCATCAGAACATACAAGTAAATGGGAAAGTGAATATTATCGTATAATGTATTATGATACACTTTGTAAAGTATTAAGATATGCTTTAGATATGATTAAAGTGGAAGATAATACAAATACAGGTTTTTCGGATATAATTCTTTCTCAATATTGTCCTACTATATATTGGAATATTGTAAGGATATTTAAAGGTGATTTAGATACAGGAATTAGAAATATTCTCCCTTTAGATTTTCCAAAAAGGAATTTTAGAAGACGTAGAAGATCTATACAGAGTATAGATAATAAACAGTCAGCTATAAAATCTCATCCTGAAATTTATAAAATAAGATCAAAATTAGCAGAAGAGAGAAAAGAGAAAGTTTTAGAATATGGTAAATTCAATTATCTCAAAAAACAATTAGAAAGAGAATTATTCAATAGGATATCTTATTTTAGAGAACATAATATACCATATATAACAAATGTACCAGTTAATGTAGAATTTGATGAGAAAAGCACTATTGTTAATGTAAATGGTAATTCTTTATCTAATCAAATATCAAATATAAATGAGGAGAATTGTTTATCCAATATTGAAGATAATACTAGATATTTTAGAAGATCTAGAAGATCCTATAGACTCTCTGGTCCTTGTGATGAACAATCACTTATTAATATTTATATAGATTTTAAATTAAGATTGGTTAGACATTCATTAGAGAATTTATGTGATAAATGGAAAAAAGTTATATACAAAACTTGTTTAGAATCAGATATTAGATCTAGTATGCTTATTGCTATGGATAGTACTAAAGGAAGATGCGTAATAGCTGGTGCTAATATTCGTAAAGATGACTTTATACTTGAATATAAGGGTCAGTTAATATCTGATTTACACCAAGCTGAGAAATTAGAAAAACTTTATGCAGAGGAGAATAAAGGATGTTTTATGTATTATTTTAAATATAATGACAAAAATTATTGTATTGATGCTACAGATGAAACTAAAGATTATGGACCAGGTCGTTTAATTAATCATTCACGTAAAAAACCAAATTTAGTATCTAAAGTCCTCAATGTTGGATTGAAGCCTAGGTTATTTTTTATTGCTAAACGAGATATATATTGTGGAGAAGAACTTTTATTTGATTATGGAGAATATAACCCTGAAGTTATATTAAGTAATCCTTGGCTAATGTCATAGAATATCTGAATATTTTTGTTTAGAAAATTGTCATTATATTGCAATTTCGAATTATACTGAAATTTGAAGTGTTCTAGTGTATACCTTTTTTTTATTTTTATAGCATTCAATCAATCTTCCCTGATACACTGAAATCTTTTTATTATTGCATACAGCTGTGTGATTATTTAGATTCTTTATGAAGTTTTTACAATCATAGAATAATCACTTTGTAGATAAATTCTATAAAATTAAGGAAGGAAAGGAAATAGGGAAAATAAAAAAAAAAAAAAAAAAAGAATTTTAGGAGATAAATGGAAGATGAAGTCTTGGGGAGTTCATCTAAAGTTCCGCCTATACTCTGTGGGCGGGCTGGTGGTTACCATATTTTAAGTGTTATGCTTGGAATCAAGTATTTTATTAAAGATATGTATGCGAATGGTCAAATGAGTATAAATATAAAGAGATTAACTCCCTTATTGGGAGGTTTTTGTCTAAATATTGCACTTGGAATGGTATACTCAATGGGTAATGTTTCTATGTATGTTGCCTCCTATATGCGTTGGAGAAATCCAAATAGCCCTAAAGTAACATTGACTGATATATCGTGGGTCTATACATTAAATGTAGCCTTATTAGGAATTATGCTTCCTTTTGGAGGTTATATTAATAATAAATTAGGTGTAAGACTTTCTCTATATATCTCCTGCTTCTTATTTACTTCAAGTACATTTATAGCATCTTATGTAGTATCATCATATACTGGTTTTTTAATTACTTTTGGTTGTATTATTGGTATAGCGGATGGTTTTGCTTTTAATTTACCACAATATTGTGCTTTTAAGTATTGGCCTAATCATATGGGATTAGTATCTAGTTTTGTTATTTCTGGCTTAGCTCTAAGTCCAGTAATATTTTCACCTATACAAACTAGGTTAGTAAATCCGCTAAATATGATGCCAAATTTAATAGATGGTAGTTCAATGTATTATAATCAAGATGAAATTTTAATGAGAGTACCTTATATGTTTACAATTATGGGATATATAATCTTTCTACTATGTGCAATAGCAATATTAACTCTCAAAGAACCTGATGAAGACTATGAAGTTTCTATAAAGTATAATGAAGTACAGGAATCTCCTATAATCTCAAGTAATTTGTTTAGACAAGATTCTAATATTGTAAATAAGAATTCACCTTTTGATAATGAATGTAAAGAAGAAAATATTAAATATACAATAAGACAAATATATGAGAATATAACAACCCCTACTTCTACTATCTCAACAATACCTGGATCTATTGATATACCAATAATTGATGATATGAAAAAAGATATTTTTCCTATTTTAATAATAGAAGATAATAAAAGTAGTCCAATTATACAAAATCTTACCAATGATCTGAATGATTTTAGTTTCTCTAAAGAACTCTTTATTATTAAGGGTTTAATTTATGAAGAACAATTTTGGGTTATATTTTGTCTATTTTTCTCTTTTTCACAATTTGTACATTTCCTTGCATCATGGTGGAAAGTTATTGGTATTGTAAATATTGGAATATCAGATGATATATTAGCTACATATGGAACTTTAGTAACTGCAGGTACAAATATTCTTGGAAGATTAGTTTATGGATATTTTTTAGATAAGTATAAGGGGAAATTTTGTTTTAAAATAATATCAATTCTTTGTTTAATATTTATGTTTATTCTTCTTTTATCTATTAAGATTCAGAATTCTTATATGTATTTGATAACACTTGGAGTATTATTCTTCCATATAGGTGCTGGCTTTGTTATGTTTCCACCAATTACTGCTATGTCATTTGGAGTAAAATATTTCTCATTTATATATGGACTTATATATATTGGAAGGACATTTGGAGTTCTATTTAATTCATTTCTAACATCTTTATTACTCAGTTCAATAGGTGTAGAATCATGTAGTTTAGTCATTATTGGTTTTACTCTCTTATTCTCATTATTATGTTTGAGAATATGTGACAATCATTCGTGCCAGTGTGTGAATTTACAAGATACATTATTCCTCCCATAATAATAAAGATATCTTTGCTAATAATATGGAGGTTATATCATGTACATTGTATCTCTATAATTTTTTGTGAATATTTCTTTTTTTCTCTTGTAATGTTGAATTTTCTAATAAAGTACTATAATTAGTTATATTTATATACACCTATTGTATAATTTAATTATTAAACTATTAACAATTCTCTATCTTATATACCTGAATATTTCTTCTCCTCCCCCTAGTAATTATAAAAAAGGATTAATAAACACATATATATACACGTACTGCTTACCTGCTGTGTCTCACCTTAACCGCTATATGAGGTATCGAACTCATACTATTGAGTTACTTCTTTATCTGATGTTGTTGAGATTATTTATGTAACTAAAAGGCTATTTTTAACAATGCCAGAGGTTATAAGGAGATCAGGGAATTATAAAGATATAACTAAAAATAAATATAAGAGTCGATTATATGATGTTTCTGAAGAGAAATCTATTGTACAAACTCCAATGAAATATAGAGAAGATGTTTCTTATAAGTATAATCAACCTACAACATCCTTATTCTATGATAATTATGTTTCTCCTTCTTGTGATTTTCTAGTAATGTATTTTCCAACGTGGGTTACTCCAAATCTAATTACATTATGTGGTCTGCTGCTTGTTGGATCTGCAGGTATTATTGTATATACATCCGAAAATATAACTTTTTCATTTGTAATTGCATCTATTATGTGGAGTATTTATGGAATTATTGATAATCTTGATGGTAAACAAGCAAGAAGACTTGGAATATTAAGTTGCAGTGGTGAATTAATTGACCATGCTGTTGATTCTATTGTTTCTTCTATAGTAGGATTAATTTTCCAAAAACTTACAAATTGTTTTTTTCAAAATACAAATATATTTGTTATATCATATCAACTTCCTTTTTATTTTGCTTGTTGGTATCACTATGTACATGGCAAACTTATTATTGGAAACTCAATAAATACTAAGCCTATATTAACTGTAGATGAACTGAACATTGTAATTGTTCCATTCCTTATATTATTACAATATATATGTCCTAATATTTGGGATATTCAATTTCCTTTTATTTACTTTAATTTGAACTCAGGAAGGACTTTTTGTTATATTTGTACTATTTTCTCCATTATTTCATTAAGTATATGGTTATATAATGAATTACATAGAGGTAATAAATTTAGTAATTTACTTTTTATACCAATTATTTTATATTTGCTTACTAAATATATTTGGAATATCCCAATTTCAACATTAGTTTTACCTTTTTCATCATTATGTGTACTATTCATTTTCTTAAAATTATCAAAGTTTATTGAAAGACAACCATTACTCTCTCTTATATTATTGTCTTTATCTCCGGTAATTCTTGTTATCAGTACAAGCTACTTAATTTCTATGACAAGTTCTCTATATATTACAATTTCTATACAACTATTTATATGGTTTCTGTTGTTGTATTGCTATATGAACTATCTTTATTCTCTAGAGGAAACTTAGCGGTATATACTATATAGTTATAATTTAAACCTACTTTTATTCATATTTTGTATCCTACTGTTAATTTTGTTTTAGTAAGAATATTCACTATATGAAATTTTTGTTCTTAACTAAAATATTACTGTATGTGTATTAGGGTATCGACAAACACGCGCCATTTCCACTTCGTTTTAACCGCTATCTTGTCTCAGTAGTACGAAAATATAACGAAAGTATCAGATAATATATTGTGCAAGAAAAGTTACTTTAATTAGTTTTCAATAGTCGAATTTAAAATTTAATTTTATAGAATCTAAATCATATATAGTTATTAAATAATGCAAGATAGTGAATTTTGGAGTAATCTACTACAGAAACCAGAGTCTAAAGCAGCAATAAGAAAAGAAAATGAGCACTTAATAACAGAACAAGCTTCTATTTTGAGATATGAATACGTAAAATGTAAAGATGAAATAGATAAGCTTATTGTGAAACTGTGTGATAGTAATATTGGACACTTATATAAGAAAATTGGTCATTTATTTATAACTCAACGTAGCCTAAGAAATATACTAGATTGTGAAGCATCTAAGCAAAATAAAAACTCTAATCTGAATGATTTAAAAGATAAAGTCAGTGAGATACTACAGAAAATTGATAATGAGTATCAAATTAACCCAAAATATATTGAGAAAATAGAAGAAGACTGGGAGAAATTAATTGAAAATTCAAAAGGAGCAAAACTCTCAAAAGAAATAGATTGGAGTAGTATTCCTGAGCAAGAACTAGGTAAACGATTAAGAGGTGGAGAAATTATGCATCGAGATGAGTGGATACCAGGGAATAATAAAAATGAAAGAAGAAAACTTCAACAAAATGAGATTAAAAGCCATTTAGATTTTGGAGAAGTTATTAGAAAGGAAGGGGCAATAGCATTTGAAAAAGGAGATTTTAATATGGCATTAACAAGATATACACAAGGTGTACAATTGCTATGCTGGATAGAAGGAATAAATGAAGAAGATGAAATAAAAAGGACAGAATTACATATTAAATTTTTAAAGAATCAGGCTCTAGCAGCACTTAAATTGGGTAAATACAATGAATGTATAGATTCTTGTAATCAGATATTAAAGATAGATCAACATGATGAAAAAGCTCGTTATAGACGAGCTGAAAGTTATTTTATGCTTGGTTTATTTGAGCAAGCAAAGGATGATTATAGATATATCTGTATTAATGAATATGCTAGTAGTTTTGCAAAACTAGCTGCAAAACAAGGACTAATAAAATTACTAAAGGAATCAAAAAAGAATAAAGATAACTCAAAAAAAATTGTGAATAGAGTTTTGAAACAAGAAACATTTACCGAAAATAGGCAACAATTGTCACAAAGTACAACAGTAGATAGTTTTGAGTACCCTACTTTTATAAATAATTCGAAGGAAGTATATAATTTAAACAAGGATTTATATAAAAGTGAACAAATCCAATATAATAAAAAAAATAATTTCCCTTGTTTTGATCTTGAGAGAACAAAAATGATTTTAGAACGTTTACTAGATGTATACACAAGTGAAGATTTTGAAATCCAACTTAGGAAGCTAAGATCTGCCTCAGATTATGATGAAAAACGTCTTTTATTACGACTTCGCAAAGTACTCCCAGATATACAAATCCCAATATTTGCTGAATTTGGACTTGATCCAAATATATGGATTTATCAGAATGCTAAAGAAATTGTTGATTATAGTATTGGGTATTGGAGAACAAGAGATGAAGAAGTATCCACATTAGCTAAAGAAGTTTACCAAGCAATTATGGGTGACATTTTGATAGATTGAATTTTTGCACGAATATGTATATCTTAAAAATGACATTTTTATTGTTTACAAAAAGAAGATATTTATATCCACTTTATGAGACATTAACTATATATATAAATATTTAAATGATCTATATTTATTTATATATATGACACTGAAGAATAATTCTATTATACATCTTCAAATGTAATAATTTGGAATAGAAAAAAAAAGAACTTAATTTTTCTCTATTTAATAATAAAATATATTTCAAAATCTCAAGAATATAAACTATTAAGTTATATAAGGGATAATTGTCCTATTATTATGGGCATGTTATCATTGAAGAAATATATTCTCAAATAAAGAGATTACTTCATCTCTAATATGCATGGAAGATAATAGGATATTTCCTAAATCAATTTTTGCCTAGGGCCATAGTTTATTAATATAATAATAATGAAATAAACATTGTTTTTAGGCAATAAAGTTTATAAACATATTACTGTTATTAACTCTGTAATATCTCAGATACTCTTATAATCTTTTAGCTCATCACAAACTTGTATCAGGAGCCAAGCGTTATTAGATATATATCATCACTGATCATTACAAAATCTAATAATTGTCTTACTAAAATTTTATTTATACAATCTCTTAGTAATGAATTATAAAATCAAAGTACTTTTTTTTATTAAATAGAAAGAAAAATAAAACAAATATATAAAGATAATTCAATATCTGTTTATTTAAATAAAAACCAATTATAAATATTAAAATGATTTAGTTTTCATATATAAATCTAAATATCTGGTTATTTTCAAATATATTAATTCCGAAATACATTAATTTTTAATTAAGTATAATATCTAATGATCCTGTTTCATCTTTTATTGTTTGTAATCCCACTATACATGATTCAACGACAATAATATCCTTATCATTTAAATATTTAGATAATGTCTCAATTGCTAATTTTCTAATCCTAGATACTTCTTCCTTACTATCTTTATATTTTGATGTGTCACAATATCTAGGATCATTTGAACCAACTGAACCTAATGCAAAAGCAGCTTCATGTCTTACAATTGACTCTTCATTTTCATTCATTATTGTGCGTGCTAAACTATCGGCACTACTTAATATCTGTAATTGGCCCAAAACAAATGCACATTCATGTCTAAATATAGCTGAAGAATTATCCATTTCCATAGCTGAACAAATACTATTAGTAATCAAATTTATTAATTCCTTATTATTATTTATATTATTTTCCTTAATATATTTAACATTATTTATATTAGTTAAATTAGCCAAAATATTTCTCAAAGCAAATAATGCACCATAGCGTTGTTCTAAGGGAATTGATATATCCAATAGCATTTTAGAAAATATATCAACTTTACTTTTTTCTCTTATTGATATAGGTAATGTTGGATCTACTGTATTAAATAAATTATTCTCAGATGATACAGATATATCTGATTCTAATTTACTACTATCTTTAAGTAACTTGTTCTGTTTATTTTTTAAAGAATGTAATGCTAGATAACAAGTCTCAGCAACTACATTAGATGGATCATTCAAGAATTTTTCAATTACTTTAATACTTGAATTATCACCAATTGCTGCTAATGCTTCACCTGCCTCATGACGCACAATAGGAGATTCATTTATATCACTAAGTAATTCGGTCAATTTTGAAACTGCTTTATTTCTACCAATTTGTCCAAGAACATAAGCAGCTTCATGTCTAAATAGTATACTATTTGAGAAATCTAAAGATTTTATAATAATATTTACAGCCTCATCATTACTATAATAACGGCCAAAGAATAGACAGCGAATTTTTGTTGCTATATTTGTATTGTCAGTACAAAGTAATTTCTGAACTTGTTCCAAAGGGAGTATTTGAAATATTGGATCATCAATCTCTACATCAGATTTACTTGATAAAATACTACCTGGCAACATATTTTTAGGTGAAATACATTTATATACCATTCTCTACCAAATTACCTTTATCAGTAATTCCAATAATACAGATTTCAAATTTTTTAGATATCCATACAGCTAATATATCTATTAACTTATAATTCTAATATATTTTACCTAATAAATAAAATAAATATTGTCAATATTTCCACTACTATTTAAAAAAAGTTGTAATATATCAAACTCTTGAATTACTTTTTTAGACTCGATACCACCAAAAAACGGCGCCGTTATCTAAAGCTGTCTGCTTAAAGTATAATAACTGTGGTCTTTTTCTACTAATTACCTTAAAAATATTTTTTTAGTAATACTATGGAATTAGTAAAGTAGTTAGTATACTTTATTATTAGCCTTTTAAATTTATTTTATTATTAATAAGAATATACATAATTTTAGAAGATTTTTTTTTAAATAATTTATAAATAAAGCGAAATGTCAAGGGCCTTATCATCATTTTGGATTTCCTTAAGCTCTATACTTTTTTCTGAGCTTGGAGACAAGACTTTTTTTATTTCTGCAGTTTTATCAATGAGTAATCCAGCTATTCTAGTATTTTCTGGAAGTATTATAGCCTTAATATCTATGACATTATTGGCATGTGTAGTTGGTGTTATAATCCCAAGTATTTTTACTCCAAAGTATACTCACTATATATCATCCTTTCTTCTTCTTGTAATTGGAATAATAAATATATATGATGGCATTTTTACTAGTAGAGATACTACCAATAAGGGATTTCAACAAGTGGAGATGGAATTAAGCAACGAGGACAATGAGTTGGGTAATGTCAAAGATACTGATACTAATAATGATATTGAATTATATAAAAATAAAATATTTTGTGAAGATCGAAGTAATTACAGATTTTTAGATATTTTATTAAGATATAAACTATTCAAGTATAAAATAAATAGGATCTTTTTAAAAGCCTTCTGGTTAACTACTATAGCTGAGTGGGGTGATAGATCACAAATTACAACAATAACATTATCTGCATCAAATGATCCATTTATTATATTTTTAGGATCTATATTAGGTCATATAATATGTACTGGTCTTGCTTGTTATAGTGGGAAATATCTTAGTAATATACCACCAATGATTATTTCAATAGCTGGAGGAGTATTGTTTATTTATTTTGGTTTACATGGTATGTGCTCTGGTTTATAATTTTTATAAATAGTGAATAATTTTATTTGTTTATCTTATCTAATTCAAGTAAACAGACTATTTCAATTAAATAGTATACTACATATATTCTCCATTTGGTTGTAATTCGATATCTTTTTTTTTGGTGTTTTGCTAATTACCTGGATATTATTTTGAAGCTAAATAATAATTTTGCAATATTAATATTTTCATTATAGTTTCATTTTACTAATATATATTTGGAAAACTATTAAACTATATATTAAAAACCTATTATTTTAACAATTTGTATAACAATAATTTGCAGAATAGAATTTATTGTATATTTAACGAATTTGAAATTAATATTTTTCAAATTAATTTTATAATTTCAAGTAAAATATTGATTTCAAGTTTGTTAAATAAGAATTTAGATTTATTTAAATTCATATAAATGGTGTATTTACAATATTCAGATGGAATAGTAATAAATTATTAATATCTAATGACTCTTAAAGTTAAATATATTTTAATTACTACACTAGAGAGATATATTACTTTTATTATACATAAAAAGTATTTAATATTTTGTATTTATGCAAGATTAATTAGAAGAAAAGGAACCAGGAATACTATCTCAGAATCCAAATTTGATGAAATATTTAGGTAATGACTCTGACTTTAGTAATTTAAAAAAATTTACTTTATATTTTTGTTTAATTTTTCTCGGGAAATATTTCATTTTATTATATACTGATAACTACTAATATATTTAATATCTAGTAATAAAATATAATTGTATTAAATTGAATTATATAATTTCAAACTCCTATTGAAATTAAAATCCTTTGATATTATTTAATAATAGGGATTTTTAGCTGATAAAGATAATAACATAAATAGAAAATGATTGAAATTATATCTATTTAACTTCAAATTGAAGAGTCTTTAAGATTTAACTCACGTATTAAATATCATAATATATAATAAATCACTCATTACTCATTTAAATAATATTAAATATACATGGGAAAAGTTTTTATATCTATATATTCAGAATAAAATAAAAAAGTTACAGTTAAAATCTTTAGATCTAATTTTTGGAGATATTAGAAAATGGAATTAAAATATTAAAACTTGAATAAGGTAAATTTATTTAAGAGTAAAAATTTGAAGGCTAAGAAATTAGAACTTTTTTCTTTTAATTATATATGAACTTCATTAAGTAATTTTTTATTTAAATAATCTTTATTTTATTTATATTTAAAATTTATAATTATTAAGAAATATTAATTAAGAATATTAGTGATATTAAAAGTATATTAACGTCACTTTCATATTGAATTTCTAAAGTAATTGTTTATAGTTCAATATTTAATTTTTTTATTATTTATTAGTGTTAATACAATTAGTTTGCTATAACTAATTTTTCACTTTGTTATTAGATTAATAGGACAATTTATTTGTGATAACCTAAGTTTAATTATAATTCCATGTATAATTAATACCAAATTGTTACAGAATATCTTTTATACTTAAGATTAATGTTTCAAAAGTACTTTTTTCAATATTGGATACTTTAATTTAAATATTCTTGATTTGTTAATAGTAGAACTAAAGAATAAAAGTAGTTAGCTTTTTAAAATATTGATCTTATCCAGTTATTATATAGAAATCAAAATATTTTTATTAAAAAAGTTATTTTGGGATGATTTCGTTCAACAAAAGTCCTATATCTATTGCACATGTTTCTATCATTGTTTTTGGTGCTTGCAAAGAATACATACTTCTTGGATTATCGATATTTATTGGAGCTTCTATAGATGGTAATTTAATTGTAGTAGAAGTTTTTGTTATATTTCTCATAGATGCCATTGTTATTGCCATATTATCTCCTATCTGTAAATGATCTCAAAAGTTAATATTTTTCATATAAAAAAAAAGTTCTTATTGTATAACTTACCGAAAGCATAGAAAGTGGGCATATTTGTTCTAAAGTTCCAAATTTTTCGCCTCTACTTCTTACCATCTGACTCCATTTACTATTTAATGGTAATACTAATCCAAGTCTAACAATATTATTAACTTGTTCTAGTATTGAAACAGATTGTTCAATCCCTTCTTTACCTGATATATGCAAAGAAATGCAATCTGCAATACCCAACCACCTATTTAATGAGAATGATCCATCATTTGATAATTGATTATCTTTTTTATTTAAATACAAAGACTTTTTCCTTTTCTTTGAGCTATTCAACTTTAGTGTTATTAAACTTAAAAATAACTTTTTGTCATTGCTTCTAGGTACTAAAGAAGCAATATATGCTGCAACTAATAATATTTTAGCAAAATAAGGTAAATCAGTATGTGAAGAGTCTATCAATGAACCATATAACAAAATTTTTCTTGAATTCTTTAATGAAATTAAGTCAGATTGAAATAAATCTGAGATATAATGTGTACCAATATTTCTTATCATGATACTAAAATGTCGTCTTAATCTTAAAATAAGTGCTTGTATTGTATCATGTAAAGTTGTCAAATCACCATCAAGGACACTTCTTGATATATTAACTTCTCCAATACATAAGGGATATAATGCAATTGGCCACATTATTTGTATTATGAAAAGAAGTTCTCTAAAATTCGAGCGTATATATGGGTATAAAGCAGTGAGTATTTCGGCTATAAATTCTGTCCAAAATACATATAAAATATCCTTTGGTATGTAATCTACAATAAATTCACTTTTTTTTTTAATAAGAGGTAAACAAATACGATAACTTTCATTTGAGTCATCCATAATTTCTAGAGTATCTGAGCTATAAGAATCTTTTAGTGATTGGGTTACAATATTATAAACAACCCCTTTTGTTTGAGTTCTGTCACTTTCTAAATATGCACAATCAAATAAATCTTCCAAAATATAACTATTATTAAATGCATTAGTTAAAATTTTATAACATTGAATATCACTATATGATTGAAACCAAATAATTGGTGGTTGAGGGTGATTGCATAGTAAATCATCTGGTATGCCAATATTATCAATAAAAATTACTGATACATTTACTTTTACATCGTCTCTTATTCTACTATTTAATTTTGATAGCCAAAGTACATCCCATAAATGTTCATGCAAAGACAATAGAGCTACCAAAATATCAGGACGATTTTTAGCAATTGTAGATACATCCTTTACAATTAAAAATATCGATTTTCTAGTAGTTGAGTCTTCATTATTATAAATATATTCAGTATATTCTCGTTTCAATAATCTAAGCTGATTTATAAATTCAATTAATTTATGTGTTGTTCCTAATTCAATATCTTCATTGTCATTTAAGCCTTCGGTCTTTGTTTGTCTTCGTCTTTTTAAAGATTTCATTCCATTTTTTTCAAGTATTCTTCTTAACTGCTGAATTGGTGATAAAAATATATTATCAGCTGAAATTTTATTGAAAGTATCTCTTGAATTTGAGAGCCATTTTGAATAACATCCATTAATGATCCCAAAAGGAAAATTAGAATATGACAAAAAATCTCTAATAATAGAAAATTTGCCACTTCCTGGCATTCCTATTATTTGTAAGTAAGGTACTGGATTTTCTACATAGCCAATCATATTTGCTATTTTGAGTATTTCATTTAAACGGGGTTCTCCATATTTAGTATATAACTTGTCTAGAGCAATTTGTATTTGGGGTGAGTAGTTTGATTTTAGTGTATTATGTAACTTTTCATTACTTTTCACATCACTACCTTCCATATGACTAATTTTACCGTCAAATATGCTGGCTTTTGATGCTATTGAAAGTCTTATTTCATCTTGGGCTGTCATGTTCTGAATATTTATTAAGTAATCTGTGGGGTTATGAAGTTCATATAGTGCAAATGGACATTACAAGATCTTTATAATATTACTATGATAATATTACCAATTTATTTATCTAAAAAAATTTTTAAGAGAAATTATATAATTTATTTCGGGTATTATCAGTCCATTATAGGTAACATACATTTATATTAGCCAGTATTCTGCAACATAATACCGCCAAAAAGAAAAAAAAAAATATAATAAAACAAATAAGCTTTAGAAATAGTCACACATATTTTACTTTGGGATATTTCTTCTATTTTAATTCTAAACTTCTTTTGTGTAATTCTAATAAATACAATATTGCATGCATGCAACACGTTACAGACACTTGTAAATGTCATAAAGTTACCGCCATTTAGGCTCTAGTACCATAAACCATTTTCTTAAAAGAGTTCATCCCTAGGTAATTTTAGAACTAGAGTCAAAGTATGGGTGTCAAAGGACTATGGGACATTGTTGCACCTTCTGGATATAGGGTTGATCCTGAGTCTTTAGAGGGTCAAATTTTGGCTGTTGATGCAAGTATATGGTTGAAGCAGTTCTTGACTGGCTTAAGAGATAATGAAGGGAATACACCTTTAGGAGCTCATTTACTTGGATTTTTTAAAAGACTTTGTAAGCTCCTTTATTATGGAATATATCCTGTCGTGATTTTTGATGGTATTCCACCTGAAATTAAGAAAAGAACTCTTGAACAAAGGAGAGCTCAAAAAGAAAAGACTGAAACAGATTTTAAAAAAACAGCTCACAAGCTACTACTCAGCGCAATAAAGGTACAGGCAGTAAAGTCTGGAAAGTCTAAATTAAATTCTAACTTTAAAAGTTCTAAAAGTACTAGATTAGATGATTTAGATACTATCTCAGACACTGAAAAAGAAAAAAAATCAACTAAAACTAAGGAAAGTTTAAATGTACAATATAGGACTAATAAAGAAACTGATTCACTATTTAGTAGCTCCTCAGAAGATGATAATGAAAATAAAGATTACTCAGAGGAAGGAAACTTACATAACCAAGATATGGTATCACACATAAAAGGGTTATTAAGTGAACGTCGTAGACTTGATGAGATACCTAACTTTGATTCAAATATATTTGCAATGCCACATGCAGTAGCAACTAAAAAACTTTCAGGTTTATCAAGTTCATCTTCAAGTATATTTCTTAGTACTGATGATTTAAAAATGCTCGAAGAAAGAGATAATGATAGAATAGATGGAAAAAGATTAATGGAATTACCATTAAATGCAGAAATAGATCCAGATGTATTTAAATCTTTAGATACAAAGGTTCAATACGAAATTTTAATACAATTAAGGGATTCATGGTTATCAGCATCACGAGCAAATGCTGTTAATGCTAGAGATAATATGTCACTATTTAGCAATGTACAAATGGAGTGCTATTTAAGATATTTGAAGATTAATCAAGAAATTGAAAATGTGAAACGAAGAATGGCCAAAGAATTTAATCCTAATGAAGAATTAAGTATAATGAATGAAATAAATACATTAGATAGTACTAACGTTGCAAATGTTCTACCTTATAGTAATTTAGTTCAGGAATCAGAAGTTACAACTGCACAGAATAATATAGATTTATCTTCAATACACAAATTTGATAGTGACTTTAAATATTCTGAAAAAAATTTTACTAATAGATTACAAAATCACAGTCATTCCAATTGGATACAAGATCACGTTTACATGGATAAGAGAAAAACTAAACAAAAAAAGGTTCATTTTTTTAGTAATAAATATGAAAAGGCCGAACCACTTAAATCATCTATTCATGAATTGGAGGATTTATTAATTTTGAATCAAAGGAATTATAAAAAGTCTATGCCAAAGATTACACAAAGTGTGGATGAGCATGATTGTGAAGAAAGAATTAAATTGTTAGCTGAAGATGTGGATAGTTTATTTGAATTAGGTAGTACAGTAAATTGCAAAGTTTTGGGATCAAACAATGAAATTTCAAAGAATGATAAGAGTGACGATGAGTGGGGTGATACGGAATGGGAAAGTGTATCAAGTTTAAAGATAAAGAATGAAACTGATGACAAAAGACTCCTTAAAAATAAAGATAATACTTCTAAAGTAATAGATGAGCCTGAATCCAAAATATCATTAGAATTTATCAACAGTATAGATACTGAGCTTTATTCAGAGGAGAATGAAGAAATTTGTCAGTCTGATTCACTACAAATACACCAAGGAACAAAAGAAATAATAGTTAAAACACTTGAATCTAATAAAGCTTGTAATAATATTGAATTAGAGAAAATTCAAAATGATAAAATTTTACTAGAGACTGAGACACTGCCAGAGATCACAACTAGTCTTGAAGAGAACTTTGAAATAAAAAATATTAAAGTAGATAATGTATATGATTCTACTATACCTGGGAAAATTATAGAAGCATTAGAAGAAAAAACTAAAGACAAAACAAAGCAGAAATTAGATAATGAATTAGAAAATTCTCAAAATAAAGATAGCTTGTCCTATAATCCTAAATATACCAGTGAAGAATTGGACAATTTCCACAAATTATTAGCAGATGATAACATAATCTCAATACTGGAAGAAGAACATGACAAGATAATGTCTAAGTTTCAAGTACAAAGGAGATATACAAATGCAGAAATAACGAAAGAAATTCAATTTCAGGTACGCATGTTATTACAAGCATTTGGAATACCATGGATTGATTCTCCTGGTGAAGCAGAAGCACAAGCATCAATTCTAACACAGTTAGGTCTATGCGATGGTGTATTATCTGATGACTCTGATTGTATATTATTTGGTGCAAAGTGTGTATATAGGAATTTTTTTTGTGGTACAACAGTAGAAAAATATGTTAAGGTAGATATTGAAAACTTTTTAGGTATAAAAAATCACGATCAAATGTGTATACTTGCACTTCTGCTAGGATGTGATTACACAGTTGGAGTTTCTGGAGTTGGTCCAGTCAATGCATTGGAAATACTAAAAGCTTATCCAAATTTGAGTGACATGGAAAAATTGAAACAGTGGTCAACAAATTTAGCAAATCGTTATGATTCTGACGATGGAATAAACTTGCAAACAGATAATATAGTTCAACAAGAATTTAAAAGAGTGCATTCAAACTACAGATATCAATGGTCTTTTCCAAGTGACTTTCCTAGTGATGCAGTAATAAATGCAATTAGAAATCCAACAGTAGATAAATCGATGGAGCCGTTTATATTTGGAGATATTGAGAAAGAGAAAGTTGCTGATATAATGTATCGATATACAACAATACCAAAAGAAAAAGTGTACAATATTTTGGACAAAGTAATCGAAAAAAATGAGGCTAAAAAAACTCCCACCTCTCGTCAGACAACAATAGATAGTTTCATTCAAAGAAAAAGTACTAGTGAAATGAATGTTAGAAACAGAAAAGTTGCTAAAATTATATCAAAAAGGATGAAGAAGGCTATTGAAACTTCTCAATAATGTATATTGAAAGTGAATTACTTAAATAAATAAATATTAAATGTTTAAGATATACTTTTTAAAGATTTTATAGCAATAACAATATAAAAAAGCATCATGCAAAATAAGAAGGTCTACCTTTATAAATATCAAGAATCTCAAGCTGATGTGAACTAAACTTATGTTTATGGATGAAATCCCAACCATCTTGATGAGTTTTGAAAAATTCCTGGATACAAGCTTCTATTTGCCTCTTAATAAGACCAGGAGCTTTTTGATTTGCATTTGAAGCTACAAATGTTATTACTTCAGGAAGCCAAGAAGGTACAGTATAGGGTTGACTTAAGATTAATGATATAAGTCCCAGAATGCCCGATGAAAAAAATAGATCTTCATTTAATCCATTACCATCACAAAGTAAATCAGCTGGTAATGTAATTATGTCCTGAACTTCCGAAGCTGGATTACTTACCCAATTCCTAAATACTCTGATATATAACTTATAATTTTCTTTTGGGATACTTCTGAACAAAATACTCAAAGCTTGCTTTGCAAGTTGTCTTACCTCTGATTGTTGATCGAAAAGACCAAAAATTATGCTATTGAATATTTTCAACTGTAGCTGGGTATTTGCTATATAAACAGCATAATATTCTGCAATGATTGTAAACACCCTTATGCAGAATATCCTCAATCTCAATGAATGATGTGTTCGCCACTTTATATTTGTATCTATCAATGCTTGAAGCTTTTTGTGGCCTCCACTTGTATTAAACTCATATGTTAGGTGAAATAACAATAATCGTAGCACCGCCTTATATGACAAATTTATACTATCATTGTCAATTTGGAGCGTTTGTAATGATGTGATAAAATTCATTAATATATTAATATCAATGGGATGTCCAAATCTCAAAATGTCTGTGGGTTTCAAGTATAATTCCCTCAATATACAATAATAGAGAAAAATTTCAGTGTAGGATGGAATATTTTCCAGTTCTTCAGGATTCAATTGTATAACATTATCAACAAGAGGTAAAATACTCTTGTCAATAAATTCTCTACATATACTCCTTAAATTTTCATTGGTTCCAGATATAAAGTTACATGCAATGATCATTGAATGGAGTAGATTTGAGACTTCTTCACGCACTTGTTTAAAGTTATGTGGCTTTGAAAAAGTTAACTTGAGTAATTCGAAACCACTTTTATATAACTTAATAAAGCAAGATGAATTTACTAGATTATCAGAGCTACTTTGATTCATTGTTATCTCGCGTATTCCACTCTGATAAGTTCTTAAGTACTTGGTAAGATCAAATGTTGATAAGCCATCAATATCTATAGAGTATGTATCCACTTCATTATCATCAATTGAGATACTTTTGTAAGGATTACACAAAAATGAAATAAGAATATTTAAGGATAAGAAACGATCTGGAGTGTACTGAAATTCTTTATTAAAGTACTTCTTCATACTCAGGCAACTGTAGGGAGTAAGGCATATTTTAACACAATCCATGAAATCAAACACAAAATTTGGATCGACTTGCTGAAATTCTGTTGCAAGAATAGGTTTAATACTTGTTGAAAGGTACTTAAAAATAAATTCATCCATCTCATTGTTTAATGTTGATATGGAAAATATTGAAGCAATAATCTCTAATGCTGTAAAGTGTTTTTCTACTTCTACTCTCAAATTAGTTGATGTGTATTCCTTCAAAACTTTTAAAATACTTTCTGTACATTGACTAGATATATTGTCTGAATTACTATCTTTACAATAGTTTCTAATATATAATAATATTAAAATTGACTGGAAGAACATTACGTTTATTATTGATAAATTGTTTTTGGAAAAATACATTCTATGAAAAGGAAAGGGAATATTTATAGATACATAATTAGTAACAAAATCATTCATATAAGTTAGAATTCCTATATTGGATGAAATATGACCCAAGTTCTGCTTTGATTCTTTATTTGAATGGTTTACATTAACCATATTATCAATAATATTTTGTATTGTTTCAGGTTGAATATCATCAATTGATCCAGCTATTTTATTCAATAGTGGTTGTTCAAACAATATACTTTGAATTAAAAAGGCGATACTATGAGATGCCAAAACTTGAATAGGAACATCTTGTCTTTCATCCTTAATACATTTCCAAAGAAAATTCCAATACTTCAAAATAGTGTCGTCACTTATCAAGTTGTATCTAACTTCACTACTCTTGTTCAAAAGTTGATTAATCAAGCCATCAATAAAAAATGACCAAATTATAACTAGGCGTAATTTTCCAGTAATCTGAGTAGAATTTGATACAATATATATTAAATGATCCAAAATTCTGTTAATTATATTATCAAGTCCTAATTGACAAAAATTAGATAAATTTCCTTCTGATATGTTTGAACTACATGGATAAATATCATAGTTTAAAGTAATTGATGGAATCTTCAACTGAAAATGACTGCACAATCGTTGTAATCTAAGATCCAATTTAATAAGACGGAATCTATCATCTCTATTTGGTTCTTCTATGTTATTTATAATACTTTGAAACTCCCGATTTCCTAATATATGCCTATAACAGCTAATCATTTGTAATTGATCAGTATCCTTGGTTAAAGTCAAAGTTGATGAGAGTGCACAAAGACTTACAAAGTAATAAAGAAGATTAAATTTCCCCCACATCCACCTTTGTGCTGTAGTTTCATCAATAGAATAAGCAAATCCCTTTAAGTGGTTACAAAGATAATCTTCAATATCTGCTTTATTGAGGGTAGATAATATAAAATTACAATTAATAATATCTCTTGAATCATTTGGAGAATTTCCAATCTGATTTATATGATCTCCATCTGCTTTCATAATTTTGTAGATTAAAATTGAAGCAAAAGTTTCATATAAAATAAATTCTACTACCGGATATCTTGAATTAATATGAGAATTTAAACACTCTCTTAAAGAAAGCTGAGCAGATTTCCTTACTCCATGATAATAACCTAAACTTAATAATGCCAGCATATAAATACAGTCCTTACGATATCCGTGAAATTGATAAACATGTCTACTATAATTTATTCGCTTATTCCAACTATATTGAATATGTTTTAACCAATACAATCTTGGTATATACATTAGGTATGAATTCTTAGAAATTCCATTTGTGAATGATATCCAAGACATTGTAGTTTCCAAAAATTTAGTATTGTATAGTGTTGATATTGATAAACTAGTAAGTGAGGAATAATAATGATTTAAACATTGATTAATAGTCTTAACAATTTTCTTTCTAAATGTTATCTCATCTGTACCACCTAATTGCAGTTTCGGAGCCATTAAGGTATATTCACTATCTAAATTCTTTGTAACTGATTTGATTTCAGCTTTATTCGAGTTTGAATCGTCAATATATAGTGAATTGTATTTATTATCAAAATTATTCAATGATCCAAAATGTACGCCTGTATAAATAGAAAAGATATGAAGAATAGTTTTTATACAATCTTCATAAAAGGAACATATTAATGGTGAATATTTCTCTATAATTTCAATTGGAGCAACAAGTGGAATATGTAGTGTAGATTTGGAACTAGAGTCTTGACTTACATTTGGGAATAAAGGAGAAAGAGCTTTATGTATTGTTCTTATTGTCGCAAAACATCTTTGAAGAACACTTAACATTGATAAATTCTTAATACTTTGTATAGTTATATCATCATTAATGAAAAACCAACAAGAGCTGAAACTAGAAGTAGTAGTAACCAAATTCTCAAAATTAGAATCAGTTATTTTAAAGTAGCTTAAACACCTTAATACTATCTTCATATTTAATACAATCAATTGCTCTACAATATTTATTGCTGAATGAGAAGGTATATACCATATTGGTTTACAAACATAGTATTCATTATCCTGGTATATTGAGTCGCTTACAAGTGATAGTCGTGAAATGAAATTGGAAATAATGTTTTCCTGAATAAAAAATGGAAACCCCCAAAGAAGTAAAGTTATAGCTATATCTTTATTATCTGAGATCAACGCTCTATCATAAATAGAACGTTCTATTACTTGAATATGTAAAAGAGATTCTATAAGTCTTTGTTGAAGTTTTAGAGCCATCCTAAAGATCTTTGTCTTAGGCTCCAATAATAGATTGCTTAATAAAGATATAATAATATGTAAACTATCAGCATTCTCAAGAAGAATATTTTGGCAATAGCGTATAAGGTTTGATATCAAATAAAGATAATAGATTATATAAGATTCATCTTCAATATCTACTTTTGGGATATTTGAGATAGGAAATATTCCTTTAAATTCATCTGGTAAATTATAGGTTATAGCATTGGAATTTATATGTTTATCCATTGATTTTTGCTGATAGCTATAAGTTATTTTGTTAGCTAGCTTTGGTAAACAAATTTCTAGTGCAATTTTTGGATTGCAAGCACCCATACAGGTAAGTAGTTTAGAGACATGTTTAGAATTTTCTGGGATATAATTTTGGCAGATCCAATCCATGATTGTCGTATAACATTCCTTAATTACATATTCATATCCAACTAAATTGCATTGAATAAATAGCGAAGAAAGAACAAGTCTAAGAGAGTACGTTACACCCATATCTACAGAAGACATGAATCCACCATTCTTTGTAGGTTTAGCTACATTTCTAAGTAACTCAAGTACTTTATCAACAAATGAGTATATCCAGTAATTATAAATATAATGAATAACCGATAATCTAGCTTTTATCTTATCATATAATAACTCATATGACAGAACATTAGTCAAGAATTGAAAGTTTTCCTTTCGTTCTTCATAAATCTCTTTATTATCTTCACTGAATATTGATAATTTAGACTTCCCATCATCTAAAACTTTCGAAATTATTGATAGCGGAATCTCCTTAATCCCCATATCAAACATAGAAGTTCCAGCATATTCCACAAGATGTACTGGATAATTATATAGTGCATATAAAACCTTCAATTGATAATATATGCTATTAACTCTGGTATCACACCCATCCTTGTTCATTATTTTCTTTAAAACTTCATAAAAATCCTCAGAAGCTATTTGACTATCAAATTTGTCTAAATTTATTTTAATATTTTGCAAAGTATTAAACAAATGAGAATAAAATGTTAAAGAATGATTTGTCTTAAATGGATCTGAAACATCAATACCCTGTAGTGTAAGTTCTAACAATCTTGGGATAATTTGTGGCATAAATTGAACTAACAATGGTGATATGGTTGTCAGGATTCTCAAAGCAGTACTCAATTGATGAACTTCACTAGTTGTCTCTAAAGCTGGAAGTATCCTTATATTTACTATATATGGAAGTATTATGTCTGGTAGAATATATATCCATCTTTTAATAGCATCTTCAAAGCGTCCTAAAGCTAGAAGATCTTTACTGAATACTCCTTGTTCTATAATTGGAAAAATAATTGAGAAGACAAATTCATCATCAAATCTACATAATAATCCATGTCTTTTTGATATATAAGTCAGATTTGGACTATAACTTGGAAATTCATTGTTTAAAATTGCATATCTTTCTCTGGAAACTCGCTTACAGTACTGATATGTGAATGACTGTATAAATGTTGATGTATTATGAGAGCAGTTGCTAAAAGATGAGGCATGATTTAGAGGTTGTAATATTTGCAATATAATCTCTATACATTTCATTATCTTCAACATAGATGGGTTTGGGTATGCACTTTTACATATTTCTGAAGATAAAGTTTCATTGAAATCTTCACTCCTATTATTTGTATCTTTTTCATTAAAAATTTCCTCTAAATATAGAGAATTTAGAGAATAAACAAATATTATAGCAAACCCATTATATATATTAATTGGTTTGGCTGTTAGTGGACCATATATCTCACTAGGTAATGTTTCACCAACAAGTTGTGGAACTCTAGGCTGTGGAAGCACTAGAGATGTGCTTCCAGAGCTTGCTGAAAAGGAGTTACTTAATGTAGTACCATCTTTTGATCCTCCAAATGCACTATGAAGTATTGGCACTCCTATATGGTGATATAATACCTGAAAAAGATATTCAAGTTTGTCAAGAATGATATCTGTCATTCTATAAAGTGCTTCATTATAATCTCTTTTGTACCAAGAATATTTAACTGCTCTTGATAAAAGAGCTACCATAACTGAATCCCAAGTCCCTACTATTTGCCTATTGACAAGACTCCATATTTTAAATAGCCTCTGAGAAGTGACAAGTTTATATGCAAATTGTGGTGAACAAGAAGCCAAAAAAATTCTTGAATATATAAAGAATGAAATATGTTTTGTGTCAAGAGATAACCACTTATTTAATAAATTCTCTAAAGTTTCCATTGATATAAAAGATCTATAAGCAGCTAGAATCTTAATAACTGATGATATTTTATCGCGTCTTTTTGATGAACTCATACTTGCAGTCTCCAGGTAACATGTATATTCGCTTTCAATCATTTCACAAATCACTTCACAGTCAATTATATTCCTCATAAGAGTATCACTTTCACAACTTAGGAAAAGATCCGGGTTCTCTTCAGTTTTAGTTATATAAGGATTCTCCCACCAATTTCTAGAATATAGTTTCTTATAATTATGAATATGTGAAACTAAAATACCTGATATACGGAGCCTGATCCCAAGAATGACATTCTTGTCAGAGAATATCGTCCATAGCCCTTTGATTATTTGCACTCTAATGAATCTGCTGATATAACCCCTATATGATAACTCTTCAAATTTGCTAGCTAAGCGAATTAGCTCTGCCAATTTCCCATAACCTTCAAGTAGTGATTTGTAGTTCTCTATGAGATAGATCAACCTATCTAAATGTAGTGTAGTTTCCTGCTCATAATTTTCTTTTACAAAACTTGGGAAGTAATCCTTATAGTTCTCTATAGAATCCAACATAGAAATATTTAAACCTCTCAACTACAAACCTTCCCTACTATTATTGAGATGAACTTGCACTGAATCTTATAGATTATGTGTAAATATTAAAATTTCCAGCTTTAAAGAGTGAAATTTTAGTATAGAATTTAAAATATTACACCTTTATTTCCTTGGTTTGTTCTAGCGCTAAACAAGTTTATATACATCTTTAAATTTAGGCGGTATTTGCATACTGAATAAATTTCTAAGGTGGTGCTCAATAGAAGATCTCAGCTTTTGAAATAGTGCTTATATAATGTCTCTTTTTAATAATATAGGTACCGGGTCAAGTGGTTTGTTTGGAAACAGTGGGAATTTGAATATAAATACAGGAATAACTCAGGGATTGGGCATTGGGAACACAACTGTATCACCTTTGGGAACCTCATCTCTAGGGTCTCAAACAAACATAAATAATAATAATATTAATCAGATACCTTCCTTGAATACTCTTCCTGTGCAACAGAGACAAGAATTAGAACGTTTTGAGAAACGTAAAATATCTCTTCAGGATGGTACAAGCCTAATGAGCCCAAATATGATAGCCCTAACTTATCAACTAGATAGTAAAGCAGCTGAGAAGCAACAGGAAGTTGATAATTACATCTATTATAATATGAATGATGAACAGATTATTAAAGAGTTAAATATAACTAAAGAACGAAATCCAGATCCTAATAAATGCTATACACTACCTCTAAAAGGATTTGGTGAACTAGTCATGCGTGAACAACAACAAAGAAATGAGTTAGAAAATTTGCTTAACGACATGAAGGCAGTCAAAGAAGAAAATTTAAAACTTTTAGAAATGTTAAATAATAAGACTTTGATACGTATTGAAGAATGTAAGAAGAGACATCAACATATAATTCATCAATTAGTTCATATTTCATGTATGTTAGAGGAGTATGGTGAGAAACATAATTTAGCTCAGATTAATCATCACTTAGATAATCAATTGAATCAAACATTACATAGGATTCAAGAAAATCAAATGAGGTTAGGAGTATGGCAAAGCATTATGAATCAGATTAACACAGATATAAAGTGTATTGAAGATACATTACAAGATGATAATCAAGTCTCTAATAATAGCCTATGTGAATCAATTGATTTAGAAACCATTTTAGAGACTTTAGATAATCAACAGTCGCTATTAGAGAATTTAGATAAAGTATTAAGGCAGGACGTCCATACCATAACCCAATTGACCTCTAGAGCTTGATATAAAGGAACGTTGAAGTAATGGTTCTTAACAGGAGACTCCATATATATATATATATATAGTTAGTAGTTAGATATACCTTAAGCCTTCAAAGACTTATAATTAGGGTAAAGAGTCCAGATAAAGTTTTACACAACTTTAGTATGTAAATGTGCTAGAAAAAAACAAATACTAGTATTTACTATTAAATCAAGTGTACTTATGTGTTAGTTATAGATTATTTAAATAAAGAGTCTTATTTGTACAAAGGAACTCAACTAATTGGAGTTATAGAAGTATTGTAAAACTCCTAAGTATTTCATATTCCCCTTGATAATATCCATAAACCAATTTAAACTTAAGCTTTGTATGCTCTAGATGCTCTTCTACCTCTAGCTTTCTCAAACTTACGACCTTTAGAGTGTACACGTGGTCTACTTGTGCTTTTAGGTAGACCTGGAGCTTTTCCAAAGAACTTTTCTTGCTTTCTTGACTTTGTAGGACCACGTAGTAGAATTACATTTGATCCTGTTGGAGCACGTAAAGCTAACTGATCGAAAGTTAGGCATTCACCACCACACTTTTCAATGTGTCTTCTTGCATTTTCAGTAAATCTCAGAGCGCAGACTGACATTTTAGGTAACTTTAGTACTCTAACATCATCGGTAACCGTACCTACTACAACTGCAATCTTCCCCTCTTTGCCATGCATCAAAGATAGTAGACGAGATACAGAAATTGGTGCCTGAAATCTCCTGGCCATCATTAAACGTCGCAATACTGTTGAGTTAAATGCAGAATCTGTACGACGTGCCAAGAATCTATATAATTTAACCAATAATGCACGATAAGGATTTGTTGATCGAGACTTCTTAGACTGAGTCTTCTTAATACGGCCACCAGCCTTCAAATCAATACCCATTCTCGAATTATTTACAAGAAAATTCTATTTCTTAGTAAGATTTAACCCTGCTTTATACAATACTAGAATTTAGTTTTGGTAGATACTTCGTCTCTTGTTATTGAGACGCCAAAATTTTAGCGCGCTTTTATTTATCACATCACTAGAATGAGACAATCTAGTAAAAAGTGGACATAATTAAAGCTAAGGAACGGGTATCATGTAAAGAGTTTATCATAGGAGAAATTTAGAGATTTAGTGTCAAGTTTACTTTTATTAAGTAATTTATTCTATGCAAGAATATCTATATATATTACTAGGATCTCACTTATAATAATTTTATCTTCTATTATAGTACTACCTTTATGTTCTAAAACTATTATTTTTGAAGTGCATCAGATAGTCTACGTTCCAACTTTTTAGCAATGAACTTCATTTGGTTATCAAGGAATTGCTTCCATGATGAAGCATCATCTTCTCTTTTCGCTTGGGACATTATCTCAGAGTCCCATTGTTGCATACCCTTTTTCCATCGTCTTAAGCTTTGAAGTTCGCTTTCGAGGAGTTTTCTTGCGCTTTCTCTATTGTTGAGTGAAGCTGAACTTGAGGCAGAACCACTAGATGGGCGGACGTAGTTTGGATGCTTATAAAGCACATTATTTGCCTGGTTTGAAACTCTAACTGCACTATTGTTATTATTCCCAATAAAGGGGTAATATGAACTATGGTCATTTGGCTGAGAATTTTGAAAAGGATGCTGATGTAAACTACTTCCCAGTATACTATTTAAAGCCGCTGATGACTGATTTACTAAATTACCATTGTATACACTGTTATCATCACAATGACCTATTTGAAAATTTAGTGACCCACCTGAATTATGATTTACTAGACTATTATTTTGTCCATTTCTCTGCATAGAGTCAAATTGTTTAGGCTGAGACTCATTAATGCTGCAATTACCACTATATACTGATGAACTATTAACCCCTTGTGAAGATGAAATTAAGGGACCATTGTTATTATCCACATTAATATTTGTAAGTACATTTGAGTTACGTGTCAGTACTCCTAGCATATTACTATCGCTGCTTAAATCTACTTTGGATAAATTGTCAGTAAGAGTAGGAACGACACTTAAGGTATTTGATGTCTTCTTAAGCTCATTAATATCATTTTTTATATCCGTTAGTAGTGGCATTAATAATAGTGGAGAATCTGGGTATAGTAGAGGAGATGTAGTAGGAATAGATGCTTGAACAACCATTGGAACAGTAGTACATGGTGTTGTAGGCATTGGAGTTGCTATTGGTACTTGTGCCACTGATGCTACCTGTTGATTTGTAACCTGTGTTACAGTTGATAGTTGATTTGATGGAACTTGCGTTATTACTGCAGGGGTTGGTTGTGAACCTGGTAAGATTTGTGCTGCTAATTGAGAAGTTTGTCCATTAGCTGTTGAGTATGCAGATGCCGATAAATTGGTATCTAATGAATTACATAATTCAATGCTATCAGTTTCAACACTCTCATCTTTCTTATCTTCACCTCTATTAGAGTTTAAATACCTCCCATTTTTATCACTAAGATTCTCGAGCTCCTTTAGCAAAGATTCTTCACGATCCTCTATAGTTTGGAGTTTCTCATAAAACCTTTGCATAGCTTTTTCCAATGTTTCTACAAAGTTATTACTAGCATTTTCATCCTTATTCTGATCTACATAGACTTTACCATTATAACTCCTATTTCCTACTTCTTTCTTATTTCCTAGAGAAACAGTAATGTTATTTTCCTCCTCTATACCAGCTGTTACAGCCACATCATTTACTATTTTTGCTGTATTGCTAGTTTCCTTCATACAAGTACTCATATCATTGATTTGTTTATGTAGGTGCAGTACAGTATATAGAAGATCCTCCTTTTGTTTCATTTCCTCCTGTACTTGCTGTTTGAGAGAATCATATGTCTTCCGTATTTGCCTTTCATTCTCAATTTTCTCACTTTCAAGATGCTGAATAAATTGTTTTAGTTCTTCAACTTCTTTCTTGTTTTTATGAAACTGGAAATACTGTTCCTCTACTTCCTTCTCTCTTAGTTTAATAGTAGCTTCCATTTCAAACAGTTCATGTTCCAACTTCTTTATCTGCGATTCTTTGTCGTATATCAGTTCTTCTTTCTCCTTTATCTTGGAGATTTCATCAGTTATAGATTTTCTTTCTAGTAGCACTTGCTTCTGTTTTTCATTAAGTTGTAGTTCATGATTTCTAAGATCCACTTCCTTTTCTAACAAAATTTTTTCTTTCTGAGATAAAGTAGATTCACATTCTTTACAATGTGCCAATCTATTTGTTAGAACTAGTTCCTCTTCTGCCAAAGTGGCCTCTTTTATCTTAAGCTTATTCTCTTGTTCATTAAGTTCAAGCTCCTTTTTGTTGAAGCTAGTTTCTTTATCAGTTAAAAATATCTCCTTATTATTTATACTCATTTCTTTGTTCTTCAACATAATGTCTCTAGTGTTTAGTGACGCCTCTCTTTCACTAAGCTTTATTTCCCTATTCCCTATCAAAACTTCCTGTTCATTAAGTACACTTTTCTTATCAGCAATATTCACTTCCATACATCTTAAGCTATCTTCCTTTTCTAGTAAATTCTTTTCTTTACTATTCAAAGATGTTTCCCTAGTATAGATTATTTGCTCTTTATTTGCTAATGCAATTTCTTTTTCAATAAGGGATTGTTTCTCCTGATTATTCAAAGATATTTCGTGATTATCTAATAATGCCTGACGTTCATCTAATTCATGCTCCCGTATTGTTATATTCTTTTGCCTTCTATCAAGTTCATGCCAAAAACTCTCAAATTCCTTTTGTCTACTTTCAAGCTCACGTATGTACTCATCAAACTCCTGCTGTCGGATATTTAATTCACTCTTTTGAGAGTCTACTAGTATCTTCAACTTTTCAATCTGCTCTTCTTTCTGAGTCAAGTGTTTATATCTTTCATCAATTACCTTTTTCTCTTTATCAATAGCTTGTTGGCGACTTTGAAGCAAAGATTGGAAATCTTCTAGTCGATTTTTCTGAGATCCATATTCAGCCTCTAATTCTGCTTTACGTATCTTATAATCCTCTTCATATTTAGAATTATCTACAGACTCCTCACTTTGCAGTCGTCTATTAGCCTCTAATTCATCTCTAAGCTTATTCAAGTTATCTTCTCTATAGCTTAGGTCCTTTACTTGTTCATTAATTTGCAGTTGACGAGCTTCTACTTCATCACGTAGAGTTAATAGTTCCATTCTGCATTCGTCTAATTCTTGTTGACGAGTTTCCAAATGATGTTCAAGTTTATTTAGTTCAAATTTTTGTGTTTCAAAATTTATACTTTGTAATTGCTGAGCTTTTTCACGAGACTTCAATTCCTCATCAAGTCTAATAGCTTCTCTTTCTCTTATTTCAAGTTTGGTGTTACGCTCCCTCAAAACTAGTCTCTCACCTTCAATATCTTTTTCAGCTTGTAAAACTTGCGATAGTTTCATATCTAACTCATTTGATCTTTCATTAAGTAGTAACTCCTGAGATTGTAATTTTGTTTCTAGTTGACCAAGAGCTACTTCCTTGCCTTCCAAATATCCTTCTTTAGTAGCAATGATAACTTCTTTTTCATGCAAAGAAATTTCTCTATCGTTATTTAGGTTATTTGAATTCTCCAAAGTTTCAGCCTTTGTACGCCACATTATAATATCGCTTTCCCTAGATTTAAGTATTTCCACGAACTCAGTCATAGAAGAACAGTTATAAGTTTTCAGATCCACCTCAATACTCTCCAACTTTTTTGCAAGTTCATTATATTGGGTAATTATGGACTCATTCTCTATTTTTTCAATGTCTAACTTCTCAGTCAAGTCCTGAAGTTTTGACTGAAATTCAAAGGTCATATTTTTCAGTTCCTGATCTAGTCTTTGATTATCCTGTTTATATGATTCAGCAATACTTCTCTCTATTTCTAATTTTTCTTCCAGCTGTTTTACTTCATTTCCCAGTGCCTCTATACGAGGGTCTAATTCCTGATTTCTCTCCAGTGTATCAATCTTATCCAATGCCTCCTTATAAAGATTCCAATACTTCTCCCCTTCATCCTTAAACTCATTATTACGCTCATTCATTGCATTCTCGAGTTTATCAAGCTCAGATTTCATGCGATTATTGCGCTCTCTCTCTAAGCTCAGTTCGCTCTGTAGTATTCTATTATCACGTTCAACTCTGGCTAGTTCCTCGCGACTCTTATGATACATAGAACGCTCAATTCCAACTTGTTTCTGAAGTTCTTCCATAGCATCTCTAATAAGTATCATAAATCTCGCATTGTCAGGATCATTCTCATCCAAAATACCAGCTGTGGAGACGCATTTTTGAGTAATATCTGATATTACAGTATCCCCCTCACTCAAACTTCTTTCTATCTGCATTGAAGAAAAACCCCTTAAACCATCAATATAAACCTTTCTAGGTTGTTTTGCCTACTTTTTTCTCTTTTTCTTAATTTCTCAATAATATTGAAAATACCCCACATGCTCATCATTGCCTCCATACCGGAATTTTTGTAATTACTCCCGCTCTATAATTAAAAAAAAAATTAATGCATGCATTCAACATTTTGGCGCCATAAAGATGAAGCACTTAACAAAATAAATAAGGGCAACATAAACCGTTAGGAACCTACATATAAATTAAATATAAGATAAAATGAATGATAAAACATTTATACAGGGTTGTGCTCTCAAACTCCTAAGGATACTAGTAAGAACCCTATATTAGGTTGTGTAGTCGTAAGGAATATTGAGCTCACTTGTCATAATGTGAAGTTATAGTATTACCTTCATTAGACAAAGTATTCAGAAAGTGTGTTAAATCAGCTCATTCAATTTAAGAAAAGTTACTCACTAGATACCACACACCTTAGTAGTCTGCTCAGTAAGATATGCCTATTTACAATGTGCAATAACAACTAAAGTGTCAGCACAGACATCCTAAATTGTGCCCAGACAACAACGTAATAAAGATACGTTAGAAAGAGTTTTAATTATACAAAAGCTGCACTTTCAAACATTTGTCAAGTTAGACGTTACGTCTTGTAGAAGTTTGCACCAATACAGGACGTTACGATGACGTCGTCCTAAAGAGACAGAGACAAAATGAATTTCGTTCTAACTCTTCTAGCTCCAATACTAAACCATCAGAAGATGCAAACTTCAAAAATCTCCAGCAATTCTTGAATTCCTTAGTTAGTCTTGCTCTTTTTTATGTATAAAAGGAGCAAACATATCTGAGGTATGTCAAACATACTTGGACAACTCGCGCTACTTTCTATACTAGCGCTTTTGAAGAACTTTACACCTAAGGAACTATGATGCATTTCAGGCTAAAAGAAAGTAAACTCTAAGATCCAGATAATACTTAGTGTTGTCTTGTATAAAGCTCTCTAGTGCCGATGCCTGTGCTTACCACATATAGAATGACTACAACTTCGAGAGATTCAATAGTAAGATATACTCGGTGATACAAGATACTTCCACTAATTTCTGAAAAGTATACAGCTATCACTAGAGTAAATGGCTTTACTTTTCTTTCTATACTTTCTATAATGCTTAGTACGAATGGTCATAGTTTTCCTAAAGGGCTCTACGCGCCAACCTTCCATTGCAGTAATTCAGGGTCCTATCCACATATCTAGCGCCAACAGTGCATCTCTGGTGGTACGTTTTGTCTCCATCTCCTCGCGCTTGCGCCATTTACACCTCAAGATAAACGAATTTCAGGCACCAAGGAAAGTGGAATTTTGGAAAATAGTCCATTTACTAGAATAATTCAACTAGCTATCTTATAACTATTAGTGTATATAATTACTCTGGGAAGTTGGTTTTATATAATAAATTTTGTGCGATTTTCGTCTTGGTTTTTTATTTATAAATAATTTACAAGGACTTAGGTTCTTTTGTGGCTACAGAACTAGGGATTAGTGGTTTCTGACGAGAGTATTTGGCTTTGATATAGTATAATATACTACTAATTTTTTGTGAGCCTGATCTTTTCCATGGAATAAGTTGGTCTTTATAATTTGAGTTTGAATACTTTAGAGGACTAATTTTTGAAGAATTTGGTTGGGGACCCAAATGAGTAGTGGTAACAATATGATCCCTGCAATGAGTATGTATGGTCGTGACTTAGATCATCATCATCACCATAATTCATATAATCAACTACCTCCATCTGTAAATCCAAACAATTCCAACATGCTGTCGGGTTACCCTATCATGTATCCTAACCATCAACATAATCACCCAGCTGGAGACTTATTAACACTCCAGATGCAACTACAAAGTAATACATCTAATAATGAGAATGATAGTACACTAGCAGCTCTTCAGAGAAATTGGATAGCTTTACAACAAAATCATCATGGTCACTCATCTATACATCACCCTTCTCCAATGGGACTCCAGGGAGATGAAATGAGCTATATGAGGAATTTGCTACCAATCAATGGTAGTAATTCATCTCCATCTCCATTACATTCTAATCAGCCATCTTTAATGGATACTTTAAAATTAGGTAGTACTATAGACTCACAGTCACTTCAACATCATCATGGTAACAACATGCAGCCAAGTATATTAGATAATGGCAATGGGAATATTTCTACATCTCCAAGTGGAAGATTACAAATATCAATGAATTCTTCTAACAATGTATTAGGCATTGGTATGGGTAACATGAGTAACCTTAGTGGAGTAAATGTAGATATAGTTCCAGGTAGTGGAATGATTTGTATGAATAACAATAACCCAACGAATGTAGGGAATAACATTAATAATAATATGGAGTGGCAAGGAGGTATTCCAATAAGAAATATACCCGACCTTATGACTATGCTAGATTTATCTGATATACCACCGCATGTGCAAATTCCCAAATATTATGAGGGTATTAAGATCTCATTAGGTGAAGCTGGGAGAGAAATATTGCGTTGCTATATAAACCAACGGGGTATTCGTGGTAAATTTATGAGTTCAAGTAATCTCCAACAGCTGTTAAGAGTAGCTCATCAATGTGGATTATGGAATGCTGCAGTACGTCTACATTTAGAATTTATTGGAGAAATACCAATGACAGCTAGTCATGCTGAAATGAGGAAATATAAAAGTTTACAAACTAAAAGAAGACTATCTAAAAGAATTTCTGTTTTATCGAAATTTGGTGCACCAGTAGTACGCAGAGCTGATGGTGAAGAAACCATCGAATATAGAGATGGTATGAAGCTATCTCTTGGAGTTGATGGTCGTAAGTTGCTGTTGAAGAGAATCCGAGAAGCAAGAAGTTCCAGGGAAAGTGAAATTAATAGCTTGTTCTCAAAATACGGATTAAAATATAGTCAATTAAGAAATGCAACTATTCATGAATTATGTCGTATGGCCTATGTATGTGGACTATGGGAAGAAGCTGTTAAACTACACTTTCAGCATATAAGGAAAAAGGCACATGAAACCTCTTCAAATCATGTTGAGTCTGGTAGTGATGATGATAATAGTGACTTAGACATGAACAAAGATAGAGATGATGTAATACCTAATAGTTTTTTACAACAAATTCACTCACCAAATATAGATCTTTTGAATAGTGGGAATTCAAATATTGCGGCCTCTGGACTGCATTCTTCAATACATGGTCATCCACCTATGCATTCTCATCCAAGTCATTTACAACATCCACACAATGTTCCTGTCCACAATATATCTAATCATCATCATAATCATACTATTCATCCGTCTTTATCTCGTCCACTACCTATTTCAACTTCTGATCATCTCAACTTTGATGACTATAGAAATTATATTTTGGATACTGATGGTAGTAGTAGTAATGGTAATACTATAAACACCTCTAATATAAATTCTGGTACTAATCTTAATATAAGTATTAGTGAAATTAAGAATAGTCTTAAAAGTGTCAATCCAAATGATAATAATAAAAATAATAGCATGTTAAATATTAGGACAACTGGAGCACTGGGTACTGGTATAGGTAGTAATAGTATAGATAATATATATAGTGACCCGATAAATTCATCGCACAGTGATTTTGATGATTATTCATTATTATCGGCTTCATTACGTAAGAGAAGTGAAGATTTGAAAACCGATACAATGGAAAATAAGAATGGAATAACTACTGCATCTAATATAAATATATATAGTAATAATGGAAGTGATAATCGAGACAATAATATTAAAAGTAATAGTAAGGATATACATATTCATACAAATAGTGGTCAAAGTAGTCCTATTGATAATATTAATAATAGTAATGGTAGTCTTTCTGTAACTTTTGGTGGTGGAACAAGTCATCAAAATAATCTTAATGATTCTAATCCTAATATTAATCATCCAAATACCTCATCATTTTTAATGGACACATTGACAGGTATTCTTGGAGATGAAGTAATTAGTAGTAATATGAATGACAAAATTCTTCATATAAATAGTGACAATTCTTGTATATCTTCATCTAACTTATCAAATACAATTAAATCAAACAGTGATGGCTTAAATATTGTTAGTAATAATATTAGTAAGAATATGCCACAATTATCTGCTGTGGCAGTTGTAGCGGCGGCCAAGGCAGCAACAGCTCAAGCAGTCTCAAAATATTCAATACAATGTAATGATAACAACCGACATGAACCCTTTGGAGTTTTGGGCCATTTATCTACAACCCATGAGAGTACAGATATTCCTAATTCAAATCTATTCCTAATAAGTAGTCATACTCATCATTCTAATAGCTATTCATCGTCTTCAACGTCTGCATCTGCAATTGACCAAGATATCAATATTAGCATGAATCATAGGAGAGATGATGCAATAAATACAACAAATAGCAAAAGTGACAATTTGAAAGTAAATAATAAGATATATTATCAATCTGAAAGCCTTCATTACCTACATAATATTGATAGTACTAAAAATAATGATGTATCCAATATATCAAATAATATGGATAGTGGACCAATAATTGTTTCTAGAGGTTTGACTAGCCAATCAACAACTGATACTAGTATAGAATCTGGGAATTAATACCTAGAAAGATAGAATAAGAGGATTTAGTCAAATAGTTTATCTGAAGAAGTCTTTTGTTATTTGGAGGTAATAGTAAGATTTTATTGAATATAAATTCTATCCTATTCATATATATATATATATAGTCATCTATTGTCACTAATTTATTAATAATCTTTTTATAAAGGGATAGTTTAATTACTGAAGTATATATGCAGTTATTTGTTATTCAATACAATTATTTCCAATGTTTCTTATTGTTAATGGCTTTTTATATTTGATATATTTAATGTTGCATGTTTTAGATAATTTGTGACGTCAGCGGGATTAGGGCAATTAGATCATTGTACATTAGCTGCTATCTCGACATCGAGAAATTTAGATTACATGTAGAATCTCTCTACTTAGAATTTTTCTTTTTTACTCTTGTAAAGTATTAATACATGAGATTTCTTATTAAGAAATTCACTGTATGTTGGTCTGTAATTTGTCTTTGGCTAAGTGTATCTGTTCTTCTCATCCAAGGTATGTTCCGTGGTTACAATTTATCACAGAACTGAATGATATCAGAATTACAAGTAAAATTAGCTATGTAGATTGTGGTTTTAAAATTTGTTCTTTTTATATTAATTTTTAATTGTTTTTAGATGTCACTGGATCAGCTCCAATGGAGGTGTATAATGAGCTAGTTGGTGCTATTCCAATCCGTAAGTTAGGACACCACCATAGTAAACCAGTTCTAAGTGCAGCTGTACATAGTCCACCATCACAAGGTGTAGCAAGACAGTATCCAGTGCCAGTACCAATATATTCCCAAGAACCAGAAAGCCTTGGAGATTCACAGACTGAAACTACTATTGAGCAAACAATTATTGACACTAGCAAACCAAAATATGTGAAACGTGATATTATTATGACTACAGAACCATTTTATACATGCCCAAACGGGTTCAATTTTGAAGGTAAGTTTAGTCTTTTTTTCCAAAAGTTTCGTACTTTTTATAACTTAATTTTATACCCTTGCATATAAAGTTCCTTCAAATGATGGCACATCAACAAATCCACAACAAAAGTGTTTTAGAATAGAAGTTACTGAATTTGTTCTTGGTTGCCCAAATGGTTGGGCATTTACTGGAGTTAAATGCAGCGGAATTTTGACATCTGATGCGCAGCAAGCTTGTGACGAAGGTTTCGATATTCTTATTAGTGATGAAAATATTCAATGTATTCAGAAATTGTCTGCACCAAAAATGGTTTCATGTCTTGAAAATTACTTACTAATAAATAATGAATGTGCATTACCATTACATTCTCCTCCCGATTTCATATGCCCTGAGGGCTTCATACCCCTTTCAAATGGACGATGTCAAAAAGATATTAAATTCCCAGCAACATTAGAATGTCCAACAGGATATTCACTAATCAATGGTAAATGTGAACGAAGAATTGATACTTCAATATTGCAGATACAGCGAAGTTGTCCATTAGGCTTTAATATTGATGCAGCAGGGCACTGTATTAAACAAGTTAGTGTAAATGCAAAGATGGTGTGTCCTGAAGGATTCAATAAAGTACCTCAATCTAGTAATATTGTTGACTGTGTTAAGTTTACAATTGTTCCAGCAACTGCAAAATGTCTCCATGGGTAAGTAGTTTGTATAATTATTCATTTAACTTATGTATTTAACTATTTGAAATACAACAATTCAAATTTTAATATTAGATATGAGTCTGATGGAAAACAATGCATTAGAAAATCAAGCATAAATCCTGAAATAACATGTGAAAACTTGGGTAAGTTTACTTTTATTAAACTGTTCAATGAAAGTTTTATTTCTATTTGTAATAATTTGTTATTTATATTTAATTACCATTTTCTATTTGTAGATTTCAAATTAGATGAACATGGGGAGTGTATAAATCATACAACAATTCCTGCAAAAGTGGAGTGCCCAAAGAAAAAAGATTATGTATACAATCAGAAAACAGGTCTATGCCATCTAAGCAGCAATCACCATCTTCGTAAGTTTACTCCGCTATACAAATTATAAAAGTTACTTTTTTTTATATTCTTTAAAATATAGAGAGTAAACATGATAAGACAGTTCCTCCAATTATACTATGCCCTCCAGGTGGTATACCACAAAATAATGAAAAATGTCTTCTGGTAAATAAGATGAAACCAAAAATTCACTGTAAAGATAATGGTAAGCCTTTGATATTGCAAGATAATTAGTAATTATTATTTATACTTTATCTTCATTGAAATAAATAACTTGAATTTTTACATTTAGGTTGGATTTATGACCTTAACTCTAAAAAGTGTATATATGAAGAGTATTCATCAATACAATATGATTGCCCATTCAATTCACAGCCAACTTCCAATGAAAAGTAGGTTTATATAAGTGTATTAGCAATTTTTTGTTTATTAACCCTACAAAATTATAGATGTAAAGTAATGGAAACCGAGAAATTGGTTATTGAATGTCCACCTGAATTTATCTATGACGGACAAAAACTTTGTGTTAAGAAAGTGGAAACTGACCCTCAAATTAAATGCCCAGACGGTGAGTTATATCTTTTATTAAACAAAAGACATTATTATTATTTTAATTGTTCCTCCTAATAACATCTACAACTGCGATTTACTTATTTTTAGGATTATCTGTAACTCCCCAAGGAACATGTCTTAAGATAGAAATAATCAGCCCCAAACTAATTTGTCCCTCAGGTTTAAAACCATTGCAATCATTAAATGACCAAATACCTATGTGTATAGGCAAAGAATTAGTACCAAAGCAAGAAACTTGTCCTAAAAATTATGAACTTGTAACAGCTTCAGATACTGGTCAAAGAAGATGCAGAACATATACAAAGACTGAACCAATCATTTCTTGTGCAGACGGATTTATTGAAGATGGATATGGATGTAGTAAAACTCTATCTACTGTGCCAAGACTTTTGTGCCCTGAAGACTTTGTACTCCAATATTCAAGATGTATTCAGCATGTTGAAGATATGCCAAATAAAATGTGTCCTGCTGGATTTGAGCTTGAAGAAGATCAATGCAAACAAATTGTTTATACCAAACCATTACCAAATTGCCCTGATGACTATAACTATGACAACATCGTTAAGAGATGTTTTAAAGTTGACATACAATATGACTTTTCATCAGTAGAAACCACAATATATCAACAGAATTACACCAGCACAAGTGACAAGACTTCCTCAACCCAATCATCTTTACCAGAACCTCTTCCAAACTCAGATGATCCATCAAAATTACCTCCTTCATCACCTCAATCACAACCTCCACCTCCTGCACAAGTACCTTTACAAGGGATGTATGTAAGAGCACCACCTTCATATCCTCAATCTAATATGTTATATCCACCACCACCTATACAACATCCAAGACAGTATCCGTCTCCATCACAGATAGCAGGATATCCAGGACCAAGTACACAATTCTCTGGTAGAAGTGCTGGTTATGGATACCCATTTCCTGGATTCCAGCAGTATGCACCTGCCCCTGGATATTCTTCTTCTGGTGGTTATCCAGTGTACATGAGAACTCTCAAAGAGGACGAGTTGTAATTTTTTAGTACTTTATTAAATTTGTATGGTCCTCTATCTTTTTTAGCACACAACATTGCAACAGAGAGGCATGAACTCAGCAGTTTTCCCACGTAACCTTCTCTGCTCTGATTCAGACAACTTTTGAATACCACTTATTCCTTCCTGAGGAATTGAACCTGGCACAAATATTATATCAGTCCCCGTACTAACATATGCAGCACAAGAAACTGATGATAGAGTACAAGTTGGCTCATCATGCCACCTACATTGTGAAATGCTACGGGATAATATAATTAGTGATGAGAGATTTGCCCATTCTCTTAATTCTTCGCATGTAGTAACATATGGGATATTGAATTTAGTAGGAGGAGAGCAACTTAGTATGCTGTTAAATAATTCTTGCATTTCAGGACTTCCAGCCTGTACTTCAGGTCTTGTCTCATTTTTTAAATTAGAACTTGAAAAAGTTACAACATTAAATGTTTCTGGTGTAGAAGTCGTTGTCACAACTACCTGTATATCTGATTCACTGCCATTTGAAGACATAGAAGCTTCAGTAGTATTAGTGAAACTTTCTATAGGTGTGTTAGACTCCTGATTTGTACTTGGGACAGGCACAGAATTTATGAATTCAGTTCCTGAATATGTCTCACCTATTACTGGAGGTGCTGAAGTAGTTGAAGTAGTTATCTGAATTTCGTTTTCACTAGAATTTTGAATACTAGAATTTATTTGTGAGTCTGGTTGAGGAGAATTCATATTAAGTGTTGATTGAGATATTCCTGAATTCTGTACTTCCTTTATTATAGCTGTAGAATTTCCAGATCCAGATGTTGGATTTGATTCGGTTGTCTGTGTCTCTGGATTTACTATAATCCCATCTGGATGAGTAACTGTTGTCACTATCGAATTATTTGCAATTGGAATATCTTGATTTCCAGATTGCCCAGGTAAAATAGGTACAATTGTATCAGAATAATTGTTAGAATTAGGTGAAGGAGTTGAAATCTGACCTGAATTGCTAACATTTCCTATGTTTGTTAATTCAAAGTTTTGCTGATCCCCACAACTGACCGAACAGCACAAGACATTTTGCACTAGTGGTCCTATACTTTGTACTGGTTGCATACCAAACCAAACTTCATGATTCCCATTAATCACATATCCAAGACAATTCTTACTTTCAAATGGTCTACAATTTTCATCATAATTAAAAGTACACTTGTTTTCTAAATAGTATGGATTTCCAACATAGGTCAATTTATTATTTACTTCGGGATCTCTTAGTTGACTACAAGATAAATTATCAAGTATTCCCAATTCCTGAGGATTTTGGCATGAACTACTAACTGCCATAACTTTTTTACTTGTAAACAGATCTGAAATCTCTTCCACTATTTGTTTTGTCTCTGTCCCTTGTCCATTTTGACTTTCATCTGCACACAGCGCTGAACAACAAAGGACTCCTGCAATTTTTGAAGTTGCAACATTTACTGGGTGTGGTCCAATATATATTTCGGATTCATTAAAACTAGCAAATCCTAAACATTTGGATGTCAAACCATTATTATACTTATTCTCACTCAAGACTGTACATGTCTTATCTGGTATCCAAGTGCAATTGACAATTTCTTCGCTATTTGTATCTATAATAAATGTGTTAGCTCCTCCATTTCCAATAATACTTCTTATATCAGAGCATGTGACTGATTGAAAATTCTCAGATAGTTCATTAGGTTCATAGCATGTGAGACCAGTTTTTGATTCTCCAAGGTAAATATAAGTAGCTAAAGTAAATATAGCTAAAGTAAATAAACTTTTCATTATGCCTTTAAAAAAAATTGGAAAGAAAGTTATTTTATGATACTCTATAACTATAATTAGTAATAGAACTAGTGGGAATATAAAAAAAAAACAAAGCACATGCATGCGAAATTAACACCGGCACTAGAGCACAAAATATCTTCATGCAAAAAAAAATTTTTAATACTAATGCGCCTTCTCAATTAAAAAATTAGTCAAATTTTCAGATTAAGTATTGCCTATAGTTGTTCAAGCTCTTATCTTGTATTATTGACTTTTTTAATAGGGGGGACAAGACAAGACATTCATATATCGTAGCCAATAGGTACCGGGTTGTCTAATAAAATGATCAATTTAAGTGGCGGTAACAATTAGTAGACAGATGCCTAAAATTAGGTGTTGACCCACAGCGTTTTGAAGAGACTTTAAAATTAGGAGACAAAGAGTTAAGTAAAGTGAAACAAATTTAGCTGAAAGTCTTCAAACAAGGACACTATTAGATCAAGAATCGAGAATTCACTAGTCTCGTTTTATTTGTGTAGTTACCGGTGATCTACAAGTTGGTAAAATCGATGGAAATTAATATTTAATGATATATAATTAAAGTTTTATTTAGTGGTTGATGCTGAACAGATTGTATATGGCCGAAAAGGCCCTGTCAATCATCCGGAGTGGGCGTATAGTAGCTTTGCCGGAACCACAACGCAATGTAAAGAGTCATTGGGATTTTTTGATCCAGGAAATGACATGGATGGCAATTGATTTTTACGAGGAAAGAAGATGGAAGATACATGCTGCTAGACGTTTAGCTTTAATGGTCCAAAACTATTGGAGGAAAAAGAAGTTAAACCTAGAAAGATATGTATCTTCGAAATGTTGTGCACTTATTCAGTCATTTTGGTTAGGAATCACTGATATTGTTGAACCTTCACTAATCTCACTGGATTTAAAACCATACATAATGGTATGTCCAATAACAGATAATGAGAGTATTTCAAATGCAGCTAGAAAGAGATTATTAAACTATTGTATGCGTACAATTGAGCAAAGAATATATGAATACTCAAAGTCCAGTAGTAATATATGTGCATGTTCTGATTCTCCGATAAGTATTGATATATGTGAAGATAACGATCACGAACAATGGGTTATTGATGAGACACTACTAGCACGTATTGATCCTCTAGTTTTCACTAGTAATATAGTACCTGCAGCTTCTCCTCAATCTATCTTTTCTGCCTCTCTATCACAATTTACATCTTTTGAAAAAAACACTGATTTCAATAAATTGTTGAATGAGTTGGCAGAAAATCAGAAAAGGAATTTTGATGCATGGAGTTATAAACAATTACAAGAAAATTGGGCAGATATAGTTCAGGTATTGTTACAAGGACCTGGAATTGTTCCAAATACATACGAGATACGCCCTCCAAATCCAACTATAGATTTGCCGAATTTACAATTAACAGCTAGATCAACATTCCTAGATCCAGATGATATGACACTACTTCTATCATTATTTGTTTCTGCTGTGGATGGACTATCAGCATTTGTTAGTCGTCATATTGCTTCTTCTGCATCGAATATTGTATATCGTCCACCTGCGAACATTAGCTTGGCTGGGACGTCATCTCATGACTCTATTGGAAGTGATTATAATATTGATTCTAAAAGGAAAAGTAGAAGAAGGAGTGGTTCGAGTACAAAGAAAGCAAATATAATCTCCCCACCTATTCCAATTAATACTGCAATGTCATCTCCATCTATTCTATCAATTAACCAAGTTGATCAGTCAGCATTTGATATATTTACTTATGCAGATATTTGGGAAGAACCTGAAGATGCATTATTAATGTATTTTGTTTCAATATACTCATCTATTCCTTCAGAAATCACATTTACAAATAGAACTTTAGTTTTAACAAATTGGAACCTTATTGCTTTATCTCACAACTTTTTTTTTAGTTCCTTATATGGCAGAATGAAAACTGCAAAACAGTGCCAGGAAAGATGGAAGCAGTTGCAAAGGGAAGGATTTGATGGTGCAAATATTTGCAGTGATAAAATTTCATCTTATGATGTAGCAAATTCACCCAATAAACAAGGAATACTGAGGTGGTTTAATAATAAACATAAGACATACCATTTGAATACATCACTCTTAACACATATTGAAAATATTGAATCAAATATTTATAAACACTTTAAAGAAAACAATGGAACTGATGATATTTACAGTGCTTCAAATAATAACAGAAATGATAGGGATTTAGATTTATCAAATACAATTACTCCACATTATACACTAGCTGATTTAATCAATAAAGCTACTAAAGCAGATATTCCTATTTCTCATAATACTACACAGCCATCAATAAGCATGAACAATGGATCTATTGATGTAAAGGCTAGTAATGAAAATAAATATAATAAACTTGATCAAACTCTAACTAACAATAACACTGAAACATCTTTATGTATAACTAAATTTCAACAGGAGCAATTATATTTACTATCAAGTATAGTTAGTAAATTTGGGATTAATATGAAAAAACGTTCATTTCAGAATCAGCAGTTTCAGGATTCATTTCAAATTACCTCATATCTACAAAATATACAACAGAATTATGGTAACAATATATTACAGGATGGTGTTCTTCCACCGCATCCAAGTCATGCAAACTTGACTAATCATGCAAATCAAGTGCTAAATCAATATATAGAAACTTCATTACAATCTACGCCTTCAATTTCTGTCAACAATATGTCAAATGTAACTCCTCTACCAAGTGGAATACCAACGCATTTGTTGTCTCCAGGAAACTTACCACCTGCTACTTGTGTTGAGGAGTACTTAGCACGCTTGCCAGGAATTGATATACAACTGCACTTAATTGATTTCTCTTTGGATAGATATCGTCAAAGTACAATGGGTGGGAGGTATGGTGGCACTGGGATTTTAATGTCTACTTCATCTATTTGCCGTAAACCTCAGCTACCAGAATTTCTTTTACAAAGATCAGTTGGTGTGGGAAACTCTATGACATGCATACCTGGAGCAAATTCTAATGTGCATCATTCAAATATTACTTCTCAATCAACAGTAAATCAGGGAGAACAAATATCTACACCACAATCATATACACCCCCAATTATATCACCTCAATCAGGTTCTATTATGCTTCCTGGTGGTCAAATTATTAAAGCGAAGAAGAGAGATATTAACAATAAATCTATGGTATCTAACACTATGAAGAGACGAAAGACAAATGTAACTACTGCAGCTATGCATTCTCCTGCTATGATCTCATCAGGAATTTCTAGTTCAGAGGTAATGTCTCAATCACATTCAGCAAGTTCATCGTCTCAGCTACCCCCAACGGTTATTTCTATGGTACCCGAAAGTGGTGGACAGTCACCTTATGTAAATCAAGATATGATTGCTCCTCAAAGACAAAAACAGAGTATAGTACCAAATAATGTCAATTCTAGGCAAGTAAATTATGTAAACTATGGGACTGCACCAAGGAATTATGGAGCTGCACCTCCTGGCAGTTACAATAACTTATCAGGTAACTACATTCACTCAAGTCAAGCAATTCCTAATAATTCAAATGTTGGGAATCAAAGTTACAGTGGCGATTTTTGGAGTGATTCACAACATGGGCTCTCAAGAATGCACCAAAATAGCACCCAGGGGACATCACCTGGCAATAATGCTCCATACTAAGAAAAGGACATCTACACAGTTTTAATATAATTGAAGTAGAGGTCAAATAATAAAAGTCATATACCTCATTATAGTTAGGATATTATCTTAATTTTTCTTTTAATTCTATTAAGTCATAGTAGTCTTTAACTAAAACATGATAAACCATGCTTTGGCGCTATAAATGGTGGGGTGGCACTAAATTTTGTGTATCATTAGGGAGAGTCCACTAATAGGAAATTATCTATTCTGATGTCTGGTTTTTAGTGACAAAGGAAAGTGTTCATTAATACTTAGGGAATGAAAACTCGAAGGTGTTCCTTTTTTTTAAATGAATTATCGGAGGACACTCATTTGCACCTAACAGGATGCACTTCTCAAGAGGAAACTATTGACGTGGAGGAATTTTGCAAAGATTGGAGTAATTTTGAATCAGATAAAAATGATAACAATTCTTTAGATGAACCTTTACCTTTGGAATTAGAACGTTTAAGTACTTATATTGCAGTTAATCCAGCAACCCTTGATGACGATGAACTTTGGCCTACAAATAGTCTGCGTGATTTGTGCGTATTTCTCGGTCTGCATGAAAAGGGAAATAGAAAAATGTTACTAGACAGATTACAAGCTTGGAATGAAGCTCCATTATCTGGAGCAGGACATCCAGACTGTTATAATACAAGATCAGCACGCCTTCATACAATTCCAATGGCCTTTGTTATAGAGAAGAATAAATTTGATGAAAGTGATCTTTATATAACTAATACAGAAAACATGGGAGCAAGTAATTTTGAATCTCCAACTATTAAACGAACTAAAAGTCCTCTATGTACTCCTAATTCTAAATTTCCTCTATTACGCTCTCATGCTGTTGTAGGAACTCCAGATGTAGCAAACAAATCTTCAAAGTTAACTGGTAGAATTAGTTTCTCACCATACAATCACGTTAGAGTATTTGTATCAAATCCAGGTGAGAGAGAATTAAGTATTGATACAGATTTGTTTTTCAGAATTCAACAGAATGACTATAGTTCTTTAGAGGATGAGGAGATAATGCAACATCCCAACAATATGGAAGATATTGTGAGTGTCTTTACAGGGGGGAGTACTTCTGAAATGTTCAGTAAATAAATCAGGTATAGATAAATTAACATTAAATAAAGTATACTTATTGGAACATAAATGACTCCTGTAAATGTGGATATCCCAGCTAAATCTATTACTTCTCTAAATCAGGTTTCTTTGAATCAGATTTCTCTTCATCCTTAGTATTCTGCTGTTGACTTGCTTCTCTAAGGGCAGCTTGGATCCTAGGATCATTAATATTTACACCAGGAATACTTCCAATTAGCTCATTAATAAAATTAGGCCCGTTTGTGTTTGTAGATGAAATAGTTACATCATCTTGATTATTAACTTCCATATTTGTTTCACCCTTAAAATCTTGAATAGACATTATCAATGCTTGTCTAAGTTCATCATCTACTTCCATTGCATTTATTTCGTCTATTGTAGGTACTTGATCTTGCCTCCTTAACTCTACATCATTAGTTTGTCCAGTATTCTCTATATTATTAGTTTGCAATCTAGCTTGTCTTGCATTCTCTTCTTCCATAGACATTCTCAAAGCCATATAAAGTTCAGGATCTGCATTTGGATCTATTCCAAATTCAAACCCTGAAGCATCTACTCCTGATGTGACATTATCACCTTGTATTTCCATACCTTCTCCTAATACTATTGGTGATGTCATTACAGCATCTGTTAAACTTGTAGGTGAAGGTATTTCAATCAAATTACTAGTTCCATTATTGTTCACAGCATCTATCAGTGTTTGTAATTTATCATGATTCTCAGATATTTCCCCGAAGCTTATAATATCTAAAGCCACATTATTTTTCTTCAAAATCTTTCCTAGCTTCTCTAATTGCTTCTCATTAACTTCATCACATATTGGACTTCCAATAAAGCACACAATTCGTTGTTTCAAATTCTTGTTTAAACGATGCTTTAAGGCTAGTTGTGCTATCTGTATACCTCTAATTAAATCAATCTTTCCACATATTCTTATTCCATGCATAGCCTGCAAAGTTTTCCCTAAATCAGATGTAGGAGTAACCCTTAATTCAACTCTATCTCCTGCCATTGATAGTATCCCCACTAAATTTTCTGGGTTTTGTTGAGTTTTTATACCTGATATAAAGTTAGCCGCATCTTGTTGTTGCAATAACCTTGACGTCCCATAATCAGCATTTCTAGAAAATTCAGAGTTGTCTAGGCATATAACTGTAGCCTCTAAGGTCATATTAGTAGTCTAGTAAAATTTAATTTATTTGTTATTTCTATTATTTTATGTACTCAAAATCCCTTATTACCGCCTATATATAATATTTAAGAAATGCAACCGCCACAGAATCAAAATAATTTAAGGATTTATCAAAATATTTAATTAAGTTTTAGTTAGTTTAATTCAACAATTAAATACCTTAGATTTTTATGTCTTCTAGCCTAATTTTCTCTTTGTTAGACATTTCTGTATTAAGTATATCCCAAATATAATATGATACTTGAATATACATCCTATATCCTAGTAATATAGTAGATTATAGGTTAGATCTTTTTGACAAAATTAGTACTACATATACACTCAACAGCTATATTCTAATAATAGTGTGTGGATAAGTAATAAGATATCTAATAATATAATCAAGTCATATTTTATAAAAGAAATTCTAAATAGCACACTGTCGCGCCTAACATTTGCTGTCGTTATAGGCGGGTATTTTGCCGCTATATAATACTATATATTGAAATTAAGGAATATTATTAGCTTAAAAGCTAATTTTTTTTTCTTCAAGAGGGGAATACTATAAAGGAAGAGATATCATTTGTACTTGGAGGTGATTATATGTAGATATGAGCTTCAAAGGAATTAGTGATGGTCAAGGCCAGCAATACTGGATTGTTGCTTGTGCTCTAGCTGAGGAAGGTCTAGATGCAATTTATCATGAAATGAATGTGAATCTGAAGAAGGTAGGACAAAATATTGAAGTAATGCAGTTTGATATTCCATTCTCACTAAAGTTTGGAGCTTTTGATGACTTGGTAAGGCTTGCTGATGAATTGATTAAACATGACACTGGAATAGAGGTTGTATTGAGACGTGTTGAAAGAATGGCATTGGATTTAGATCCTACTATGGAACTGCGTATTATTTGGCAGAGGAGTTCATATACTATTAAACAATATTTGTGTCACTTTAGTTGGGATCACGCAAAATTTCCAAAAGAACGATCTATGCATGAGAATTTAAATGCCTTACTACAAGGAATACAAAAATTAGATACAGACTTAAGAAGCAAATCTTCACAGTTTAATGAGATTAAACAGGCTGTATTAAATAATTTAGGTAAAGATTTTAATAGTAATTCAAATATACAGTCATCTAATGGTAGTGGCTCTGGAGTGAAATTAACTAATGGGCTACTAACAACAAAGGATTTGATTGATGTAATTACCCCAGACGTTATTGATGAATCTGACATTTTGTTTACAGAGCATATTTCTACAGTTTTTGTAGTAGTTCCAAAAGGGCAACATGACTCATTTCTTAAATATTATGAGAGATCAGACCCTTATGTTGTTCCTAAATCTGCTAAATTTATCCCAAAGATTATAGATAAGGAGGGAAATGAACTAGTTCGTGTATTTTTATTCCAATCTTCAATGGAGTCATTTAAACAAAATTGTAAAAGTAGAAAGTTTACCGTGCGTGATGACTTTCATTATTCACAAGAAAAATATAGAACGCTTATGGAGAATAGAAAGAAACTTGTACAAGAAAAGGGAAAACAGGAAAAGTACTTGAAACGGATGTGTTTCGCTAGTTTTTCTGATATATTTATCTCATGGCTACATATAAAAGCAATGAGATGTTTTGTTGAAGCTGTATTACGTTATGGTGTACCTCCACAATTTGCATCTTTTTTGATTAGAATGGATGTGAGCTCATCGAAATTTGCAAAAGCCAAAAATGTTGTAGAAACTACTTTTAAAAAAAAGGGAAAGATAGGGACTTTATATAAATCAAGCTCTACGGATAAAGAGATTGATGATGACTATACACCATATGTATTTCTGCCATTTTCGCCTGATCAGCAGGTATGATCCTAGTTAATTTATAATGAAATAGATTTAATTACTATAAATTAATCTATTGCTAGAATCAGGTAATCTATAAACTAAACATCCACACTGATTATTCCACATCACCTTGATCTTCAGAGTGAGAAGAAGAAGAGGGTGACCAGAGAATACCGTATGGCATATTAATTCCAGTTGACTCATCTATATAGTTAGGATTTGAATTTGTAAGTCGCATCTGCAGAGTTTCTTCTTGTTCATCAGGGAATAAAAACAAACTTCCTAAGTTTTTATTTGGTGATGAGTCCTTCGAATTTATGCTTTTAGATGTTGATTCATACAAAGCTTGAATTTGTCTTCTGACTTTTTCTTGTTGTTTCCTAATTCTCTCAATTCTTTGAGCTGTATTAGATGATGTTGGTATATTATCTGAAATTATAGATATTTCACCACCTTTATATTTAGAAAAGTCTTTATTTATCAATTTAAGTGATTCTAATGTTGAAGGTTTATCTTTTTCTTTTTTATCTTCTATATTTATGGACTTTAATGGAGATAAATTAATTTCTTCAATACATGGTTGTAAGGAGTTATCTTGACCTTTTTTTTGAGTTTCACTTTTAATAAATGATATAGTTGGGGTTTCTATATAGGAATCCATTACTTGAATGAAAGTTGCCAATGTTTCTTGAAGATTTGCAACATCTTTACTGAATATCAAAAGGTTATTGTTTAGATTCTCGTTGTTATCATTAATATAATGCTGTTTAATGTAATTCATACCTTCAATTACAGCACTATTATTAATATTTATTGTAGACATTTTACATTGTATATAATTATGCTTCTTATCAGTTGAACTCTTCATAGGTGGTACATCACGATTACACCAATTTGGGACATTAGGATTTCTGGAAACCCTTAAATTTGTTGAAACTTTCCTTAGTTGTTCATAAATAACTGTACATACATTATCTAAATGAGATAGTTTTGTCTTTATATCCTTACAGTGATATTTGAAACCCTCCAGTGCAAGTAGGCTTCTACGACAGTCTACACATGTATACTTTAACATATCCTCATCTTTATTTGGCTTCTTCATACATATTAAACATATATTCTCATTATTATATCTGTTCTTACATACTTTTTTTTTGTCTTGATCATCACCAAATAAAAGCTGGTAAAGAATTTCTTGGGAAGCATAGTTCTTAAGCATATCTCTAACAAAACAGTTACTTTAGGGTTTAATTAGGTTTATATAATTCTAAATATAAGAAATTATAAAAATAGAAAAGTGTTAAATTGATCCATACTTCTTAAATATCTTTGAGTACCCATTTATTCTCGTGAATTGTACTAGAATCTGATTTTTTAAAATAAATAAACCCGCCATTTAGTGTGTAGAATGTGTGTTGACAATTCTGTCCACAAATCCATTTTGTTGTAAAGTTTATTTACAGGTAACATCTTAAATATTCAAGATTGTTGATAGTCTTACTAAATTAAATATAAAATAGAGAACACTTTTAGCTTTTATATTAAAGTCTTTATATGGATGTATCCAAAACTTGTGAATTGACTCCAAAGCACGAACATTCTAATGAAGATAACCTTGGAACTTATTACAAGTTAGAATCTATACAAAGAAAAAAGGAAAAGGACTTCATAGTAACTCCAGTACGTAGTTCATGCAGAATTTCAAACTTTCAAAGCACACCTTCTTCTTGTGTAGGGTTAGATAAAGTGCTAGTAATTACACCAAATCCATATATATCAAGCAAGAACACTGATGAACTATTGGAGAAAGTTCTTAAACAATTTGAACACAAGGTTCGAATTATATCAATAGATCAACCTCAGATAAAAAGTGAAATTATTAATAGGAAGTCTATAAAAGATGAAGGAGTCACCATAGACAAAGAATTGTATAAATCAGAGAACTCCGATTTCTACAATGGTCAATTAGAAAAAGAAGGCACTTGTGAAGGTGACATTTATTCAGAGGACAAATTGATTGCCAATTTTGAAAAGTGCATGAATATAACAAGTGTAGATAAGTTTGCTACCAATCCTGTCTCAACAACCACTCCAAGAAGTTCATATTTTATATGTAGAAATAGACCTAGAGTATTCTTAGGAAAAGAAAATAAGATGAAGCAAGCTATAACTAAAAAAATAGTACCTATACCAAATGGTTGTAAAATTATCAAACAGAATGACTTTTGGCAGGTACTCGAATTTGCCGCTGGAAGTGAGCTTGAAAGACGATATAAATGCAGAAGAATTCTGACAAGGAAAGTTGGTAGTATTCCAATAGGACAAGATCAACCTCAATCTATTGAAGAATTTAAAAGATTTCATCAAGAATTGAAAAATCTTCTTGAATTAAGCAATTATTGTTATTCTCCAGATGTTTTTTAAAAAAACAATATAGTATTGTCAATAGTTACCATTAAATGCTTATAATCCTTTTTATAAATATACTTTTTTTGAGATACTAATTAATCTGGATATCTTTTGGTTTATAGTTAATATCCTCTATATATTAATTGAATATATATGGTATTATTTTTTAAAGAATATGTTAATTCATATATAACTCCTATTGACTTATTATAAATTTTTAATTTTTTGATCTTTGTCTTTGTTTAATATTAATAACTTTATGGGTATCCCCAAGTAATTAATTTGTATATTATCTTCCTACTCGTTAAATAATTTTGCTTCTTTATTTTTATTCAATTTCGAAATAGATATGGAAGCAACACAAATTTCTGGGAAATCTCGTGAAGAAACTACGAAGTATCATATTTTAGATATTCCAAAAAGAGTTGGCAAGACAATAAATGGAATTAAGACTAATCGTCAACTTTATATTCAATATATGTTTTCACTAGGTATTGGGAGCTGTATTTCACAAATAATTTTAGGACCACTAGATCGTATTCGAATTCTTTGTCAAACAAGATTCATATCTCCAAGATTAATGTTTATCAAAATTATTAAGGAGCAAGGGTTTACTTCGCTTTGGTGGGGTAATGGAACTCATGTACTTCTTTTATTCCAATCTAGTCTTGTGAGGAATGGAGTATTCTTATTAATATCTAAATATACTGGAATAGATAAATCTAAGTACAAAGTGACAAATTCAAATGTTTCTGATAATATTATTGGTGTAATAGAGAACAAAGAAAATATAGATTTTTTTGGAAATGAACAATCTAGTCATTTAGTCAATAAATCCGAAAATCCACTATTAGAACTTTCTAGTACTTCGAATTTATCAAACTCCAATTTAAAATCAAATTCTCTTGTTTCCTCTTCTAGATCAACACATAAATTGATGGTAAAGCCAACTTATATTATATTATCTTCTTTAATTTCAATTATTGCATGTTATCCACTAGATGTTGTTTTAACAGTTATATCAACAGGATGTAACAAGGAAATTATTCGTTACAAAGATATAATTACCAGAGTAAAACATTTAAATAATTTAGAATATCAACATCTTTATAATAAAAAGTCTTCTATTATTTATATTTCTAATAGAATAAATACCAAGTCATTATCTAATGTAAGATTATTATATAAAGGTTTTGGAATATCGCTCTTATCACTATTTCCATTTATGTTTATATCTTTAAGTACACATCAAATATTGGAAAAAATCCAGGCTATAAAAATAATTCAAATAAAGAAATCACAACTATTAAGTAATGATTGTTCTCTTTTATCTAATCCATTTATATATCCTGTTTCCATAGGTATAATATCAGCCTTAACTGGTCAATTGTTACTTCATCCTATTGATACTGTGAAGAGACACCACATTATCGACTCTTGGTGGTCTCAAAAAGTGCAAAATAGCAGATCCCGACTGAAACTTGATCATTCACTGCTAAATTCCGTTAAAAATTTAATAAATGCACCTAATATTAAAAATCTATACAGGGGTTCATCTCTTCATCTGTTTAAGGCAATACTACAGCTAGCAATTCTCCCAAGTTTGTACTCCTTTTTATCAAATTAATACACTTAATGCTTATTTATTTATTTATTTGTACATCATATATCCACAACATTTACACTTATGAGTTCTCTATATGGTCTTCAAGTTAAAGTCCTATATATAGTCCCAAAAGCTGATCAATCGTGGTTTTTTTTAAAAAGAAAATCCCTACTATATAACTCTATAAATGGAAAATTATTAAAAAGTTAGATAGTGGTTTAACCTCGTAGAAAAGTTCTTCAAGAAATTTTTCTAGGAATCGATAGTCTATACTATCCCCGAGGGCCCACATACTGGAGAACTGTACGGCGGGATATGTGACCGCCTTTTGGTATATTATGTAAGGGCGGGTCAAATTAGATTACTAATTACTAAGACCTTAGTTCAGCCTATTTATGGATAAAATCTCATACAAAAATTAATTGACAGAAGTATTTACGACTTTTTTTTACTTTTCTATTTTTATTTTTTTTATTTTGTCTAATTTTCTTTGGAGTTAAATTTCGATTTGTAGTAATCGATTTTAAAGTATGGCTCTGAAACGTATTCATAAGGTAAGTTTTAAGCGGATATGAAAATGCTGAGATTGCTATGAAGAAGTATCCTATATATGTTTAAGAGTGAGATACTGCTGCATATTATATATGAATATATAGAGTCTGGGGTATTTCATATATTATTAAGGGATACTATTTGTAATGTTTGCATTTTATATTTGAATATCTGGGTTTCATATACTTGGATATTTGATATTATTCATTGTTATTTCTTTCAGGAATTAAGCGACCTAAATAGGGATCCACCAACTAACTGTTCAGCAGGACCTGTAGGTGATGATATGTTTCACTGGCAAGCAACAATTATTGGTCCAGATGGCAGTTCATATGCTGGGGGCATATTCTATCTGAATATTCACTTTCCTAGTGATTATCCATTTAAACCCCCTAAGGTGAATTTTACTACGAAGATTTACCACTGTAATATAAATTCGAATGGAGCTATATGTTTGGATATTCTAAAGGATCAGTGGAGTCCAGCATTGACTATATCTAAGGTGCTATTATCTATATCTTCTCTACTAACTGATGCTAATCCAGATGATCCTCTTGTACCGGAAGTAGCTCACTTATTTAAGACAGACAGAAATAGATACGAGCAAACTGCTAGAGAGTGGACTCAAAGATTTGCTCATTAAAATCTTAATGGGGATATTGAGTCGAATAAAAAGGATGACTAATTTTATGTTTATTACTATCCCATGAGTTACTTTCCCTATTTGGTTATTCTGTTTCTAGAGTTACTGGTAAGATTATTTGCTGAAATTAGATTTAATATTAGAAAGAAGAATGGAAGTTTGCATGAAGCAAAATAGAGTAACTAGACAAGAATTAACATTAATGAGTTGAGACTCAGGGAATTATTTGAGGAATTAGTCAATACTAATGCCAAATTTTCTATTCTCTAGTAACTTATAGTTTGTCTTATATATTAATGTTCTTTGTATGGGACAAGTATACTAGCACTGAATTTTCCAGCCTTATTGGTAAATTAATATTGGCAGGAACATTGATAGTGATTGAAAATACAATAAGGCATTTTAGCTTAAGGGAGTTTCATACTATCTGAATGATAAAGTTAACTATATATAGCAATGAGAACTTATTGCTACAAGGTTATTTAGACCTAATTTATCTCTTTCACTTGATAGCTACTCTCCTAGAGTAATGCAGAAATTTAGACCTAGCATTCGATGAGTTACCTAAAACTGCAAAGGTTACTAATGGCTGCACCCATTGTAGTCACTAGAGAAATGGAATAGAGTATTTATTTGATTGACTCTTGTATTTGAGGTGAAAACTCCTCATTTCCTCTATAGATATTTAGATAACTAAAGTAACAGGAATATCAACAATAGAGAAAATCAAAGTAGAGACGACCTAATTTATAAGGTAGATCTGCTCCTATTCAAGTTCTAATACTATTGAAGTAATTATTGTATCATATTATTATCAGCCTATTGTATAGATATCTAGATAGCTATGGTTTCTGGAAATATTCTTGTATAGTAAGGAAATAACATTGCTAGTAAATGTGACTAGAACTACCTTTATGCTTAGATCTGCCAGAAGGAGTATTTGTAAAGTTTGTAACTTGGTAGGAAGTTTCTCCAGAATTTGTCCCCATTGTTCCTATCCCAGTTATTAATCCTGAACCTGTCGTCGATCCTACTGCACCACTTGTCTGAGCATCATTTCCATATGCATCAAATAATCCATCAGTACACAACTTATCAATTAAATCACATAATATTCTTGTTTTTCTATAATAGGCATGGATAGCAAACTGATTATTATAACCACAATTAACACCAAAATCTAAATACTGAGGATGGGTGAATAAAGGTTCATATTTACTGTATGCCATTCGTCTATCAAACCATATCCTGCCACCTCTTCCACGACGTTTAATTAACCTATGAGGCTTACAGGGACTTCTAAAGTTCTTAATAGCCTCAATATTTGATATATCTACACCAGCTTTGTAAGTAGATAAGATGTAACTAGGAAGTGCAAAGCGGTTTAGTGCCGAGCTTATACGTTTATTATTACTACTATTATTCATTGGTGAATTGGTAGATATATTACTTGTATTTACATTAGATGCTGTATTTGGCAATACTGGCCATAAATTCAAGGTTCCGAAGTAATAGAATGATAATAATGTAGTTTCATCAGGCCAGAAATACGTTAATAGTTGCTCTAGATTGTTACAATCATATATAAGCTGTCTATAGGTTTGAGAAGGGTTCCATCCATAATTTGATACACTAGCCAACATCAAATTCGGATATTTAACTTCTTTTTTGTGTGAACGTTTGTATATCTTGAAATCTTTTAGTTTGTCCCATGTTGGACACCTATAAAATGGATCCGAAATTTCATGACGTCTTTGATCAAATATACATACAGCTAATTCAGCTAACAAAAGTTTCTTCTCGTCCCTTTGTCGTAATTTTCTGAAACTCTTCTCAACTTTCCTGAAGTCATCTAATAGCTTCTCAACCTTATCAAGCATCTCTCTACTGTTCCTTCTAGGTCTTCTAAGAGTCATCTTCTCACGAATCCTTGGACGAAAACAGGCATAAGGTGATGTATCATGTGGAGATGTTATAGGCCATAAATGTCGCAGTAGTGGCTTCCCGAGTTTTTGGCGTCTTAGACGCCAGTAATTATATACAATTAGGGCTACAGGACTTCTAATCCCAATATTTCTGTCTCTAATAACACGTAGAGCTTCATCAAAACTAATTTCTGGACCTCTATTAGTTGTCTTCTCTAAGCAGTCAATAATTTTTATAAAATCAATTTCTGTAATGTTTTTTACAGACCTTTGTAAAGATTCCAAGAATTCCTCATCTTCACGTGTCATATCATAATGAACAATTGTATTATCTTCCAGACGGATACCAGATACGAAATCCTTATGTACTGGAAACTTAATATAGTGATCAGGTCTTTGGAACTTTGTTAGCTTGGGTACATTTAGTGGGCACACTTCAACTGGAGGAACCAAAATTGAGGTTACTGCAGTTTGGTTCTTGCTATTCACTTGATTTACACTTGCCTTTTCTTTAGACTTGATATTTGTAGTAATTTCTTGTAATTTCTGTCTTTCTGCTTCAATTATACTCTCAATTTCACCTAGCTCTGTGCGATCTATATATTCTTCCAAAGCTTGTTGAAGTTGATCTAAAGAATATACGACCAACAACTTCTTGTTAGGTTCTACAACCTTGGGACGGGTTTGTCGTGTTGTTGCCTGAGACATTAATTTAGTTCCTACTCGTACTTTGCAGCCCTAAGTAAATTTTTCAGAGGTGCACCTTACTTCAAAGAAGAGAATACCTAAAGTTACCTCTCGTTTATAGTTAATAAGTCAAACATTTACAAAATTGTCAAAATTCCTTCTTCTACGGACATCACTGATATTAATCTTATTAGCTTTTCTATTTTATTCCGCTATTTTAATCTTTATACACGGTACTCATGGAGACATTACGTGGAAGCTGGTATATCAAAAGTTATCCCGCTAGAATGTGTGTGCTTTCACACCAGGCACTTTTTTCAACCCCTAATTTAATGATTTTTCATATTAAAGAAGATATAGCATAACTTTATATAAGAAATGAGACAGATTATTCATCATCTTTCAATGTATATTTTAAAGTAGTAGGATATATTTCTCTATTGTATAATATATAACCGCATATAATCTGTCTTTACAAAATATATGCTTATTTTTAAATATATAATACACATATTGACTATAGGATATGTCACAGTAATGATGAATTATTTTTCTGGTGTAATCCCTGTAAGTCTCAATAATATAAAAGTAGTTATGTATAGTGAGAGTGACCTTCCAGAAAAAAATTTGCGTGAAGGTTACGCGTCACAAATGCCTAAAATACATAGTGGCGCGTATACGTCATTTTAAGGTTTCAGAAATGAATCATTATTAAGGTTAATAATACTTTCAGGTTTCATAGTATTTTGAATACATGACTCAATCAGTCAGTCTAAATCCTCAATTTGATCAAATTGGAAGACAATTTGTTCAGCATTATTACCAGACATTTCAAAATAATAGGTCAGGTTTAGGTGTTTTATATGGGCCTCAATCTATGCTAACCTGGGAGGATTCTCAATTTCAAGGACAAGCAAATATCTCTGCTAAACTTGGCTCTTTAAATTTCCAACGGGTAAAATTTGACATTGTTAGGGCTGATTGTCAGCCTTCTCCAGAAAATGGAGTTATTGTATTTGTAACTGGGGATGTTAGTATCGATGAAGGACAACCTTTGAAATTTTCGCAAGTCTTTAACCTGCTTCCATCCGGGAATTGTGGGTACATTATTTTTAATGATCTATTTAGATTAAATTTAGGATAGTACAAAGTCCTTAATTATTTGTATCGTAAGTAATTAGAATATTTCAAAATGCATAATATATTTCGACTTAAGAGTTGGTCCTATTACTAACAATACTTTATCTAAGTAATTTTTTACTTGACAAAGATCTATTATAAATAAATCTGCTCTAAATAAATTTGTGATTCACAATAGCTGTTTCCTGACTTTGGGAAGGAGGAGAAAGGGAATTTTACCTTAAAGAGCTTTTCTATTTTCTTGTGACTTATAACTTCTGACTTGCCACTACTATCAATCCAAACAGTCACTACATTATAAGCCAATCTTTAATTACAATTTATTTCATAAATCTACTTGCTTAAAATTATTAAAAGTATCTATCCCGAGAATTTTAATGCCACATCTTGAGAAGTGTTGCTGCTTTCAACACAAACCTATTTATCTGTAGAATTTGGGAAAGTACTTGTACCTCGATAAGGTTCAATTAGTAGTTCATTTGATAATTGTGGTTCAGCAGAAGTACTACATGTTGTAATTGACAATGGTAATAGAACACTTTCTACAATTGATTTGTTACCATTGTCATTTGATGAATACTCCTTAAATGGTTGAAATGAATATGGTCCAAGTGATCCAATAGGTGGTAAATGTAAATTATTATTTGAATTAGTTTTACTTAGAAATGTATCTTCAATCTCAGAATAACAAGATCCTAATCCTTCAAACCAGCATGAATATGGAGAGTGTATATCATTAGATTGATCATTTACATAGTTACTATTTAAATTATAACATGGATAATTTCCACTTGAGGTCATTGATTGATTGGAATTTGACAATAAAGAATTACTATTAGTATTCAAGTTGCAACCTGTTGGGTTACATTCATTATTTTCATAACTGTTTGTGTTGAATCTATTGTTAGTACCATTTTGACCTATTGATTGATTTATCCTCATATATGGTGTCAAAACATTATCATAATTGTCTAGGTTTTGGTAGGGAGTTGACTGGAACATTCTGCCTAAGGGAGATGAAGATGCTATAGAAGGATGCAAAGAGTCTTCTTCTTGATTATTTGTGCTATGACGCTGGTAAGAAACATACTTCGGAGTTCTTATATTCATTAAATCATTCACACTATTTGGATCATTTCCTTCGCAAATGAATGGATGATTATTTGAAATTGGTATAGATGAAACTTTATAGTTTGAGTTGCAATTTGACTCAGAACATATGTGAGAACATGAATATTGGCAAGATTGTAATGTCTGACGATGTTTATACTGTGATGGTGAATAGCAGCATTCACAGTAATTTTGTCCTTCAATACAATGATTATTATTGTTTATATGAGAATTAAAATACATTAAATTATCTTCATACATACCATTATGAGTATTAGACGATTTACTGGACTTATTTGATGGTACACCAAGAGATGAAGAATGCTCATATATGGATTTCCTTTTTTGTGAAAACCCACTATTTTTAGATGTATTTATTGCATGAGCAATAACTGCAGCAGCTGCTACATTCCACTGCTCATTACTTGTATTTTCAATACCAAATAAATGATTATTAGTTCCATTGACATTAATTTTACCATCACTATTATTCTCATTTGAGATTCCCATATTATTATTGTTACAATGACTAAGACTAAATTCAAAGCCATTATATGTAGAAGACCACTTTGAATTACCATTGCTAGACTTCATCAATTTGTTTGAATTAGAGCTATTAATGTTATTTACATTCACATCAATTGCACTTGTTGTAGGATGACGCATATCATTCATCTTCTTTAAATTTACACTTGAATTTTCACTTTTGGAAGAATTACTTCCATTTCCACCGCTAGGTTTATATAAACTTAACTTTGCCTTTTGTTCGCGTAAATATTCTACAGCTGCTTGCCTTGCTTGTTCTAAACCACCATAATGTCGTGGATTAAAGCTTTTGGTTACTCTTTTTCCTGGTTCTGGAGCATAACAAATTCTCCATGTTCTTCTTTCACTGCACCAAGTAACACCAGGATGACCAGATTGAGGATGAAAAGAATTACTTGAATTTGACATTTCTATAACCTATAACTTTTCTCCTCTTATCTAATACTCAAATGGTTAATATTCTTTAGATATCCAGTTTATATAGCTCTTTAACAAAAAATCTTTTTTTTTTTTTTCGTAATTTATCCTTTGTAATTTTCAGTTCTTAATATCCCCACAGTATATTATTTTATATATATACAGTTATGACTATAAAATAAAGAGCATGTCCTAATGGAAGTCTTTTCTCCAAACTAGTGGAATGCAAGAACTTTTGAAAGTTTCTCCGAGTCTATATTACAACTTTTACACACAATGATTAAATCCTCTACATGCCGACATGACGCTGGATGCATTATTATGCTGCATTAAGCGTCTTGTCGGAAGATCCGTGATTATCATGTCTACTTAAAAAGAAGTTTTCCTTTATCTTTATCTAAAGTAACTTGTATATAAACCTTTAAAAGTTATCATTACAATATAATTTTCCCATTATAGCTCAAGTTTTATTTTATTTTATTTGATAATTGATAACCAAAGATCACTTTAAACTAATCTGTCAGCCACTGATTTTTATAGCGCCACAACTTACAAGTCTATCTATAGAGTCTACATGGAATAGTCTTAATATTAAAAAGTTAGGTTAAAAAATTCAAAATTTTAACTATTTAAACAAGTATTGCTAATACTAATATCAAACTTGAATTGGAATCTTCAATACAAACTGTATTAGTGCTCTTAATTATCTTAGAAACACTTGAATCAACATATTTCCAATTATTGACAAATTTTGTAATATCTGGACGAATAAAGAAAGTAGAGAATATTAAATCTTCTATGCTTAAACCAGATTTATAGCAAACTTGTTCAATACAATATACCAACTTTTTATAAATTTCTGTAGATTCTCCAAGATCTGGTTGACTTAAAATGTCATCTTTATAAGTAGTATTAGATCTAAATATACAACAAGCCGATATCCCATAAACAAGTCTAACATCAATGTCCCACATTTCAACTCTTACAGAGTGTTTTTCTATGTTATTATTTATTGGGTTATATATAGCTAAGGGTTGAATTGAACATATTGATGAAGAAGGTATGCCTGGTACTTTAACACATACAATTAAAGGATCCAACTGATTATTATACTTATCATATTTTTTAGAAAAGTTGTGAATAGTGGACCAATCTTCCTTCTTCTCAAAGTTCTTTATTTCAAAATCACTATATTTTATTATTAAACTTTTAAAGTAATTTATAATATCATCTATATATTGATTATTATATCCATAATTAGTTTTAGAACTATCAATCCTAATAATCCATAAAGATACAGAGTTGAAAATATCAGCTTTTAAATTATGACTACCAAATGAAAGAAAAGCCGCAGAGTATAAACTTGAACTAAAATTACAACGATATGAACGTAGTGCTAAAGATAATTGGACACATAAATTATGATCACATATTTCAATAGTGCTATTAATACTTTCCTTAGTTTTATCAAAATATTTTATTTGTTGTAAAGTTGGAGCTGAATCAGAATGAGGTATTACTCCTGGAATAGGTGATGATAAAATAAATAGATTGGATTTTATATCATTACAGCCTGCTGAAAAGTTATTATTGGATAATATCAATGCTGTACTAAATGGCCTTGGTATTCTATAACCATATGAAGAATATGATGTAGATGTATTCATTGTTAAAAACTTGAAAGAATTATCCAATTTTCTATTTTGAATATTACAATTATCTATGGATTGTTCAATATGTTGAAATATCATCAAGTGGTGTATTTCCTTTTTTGTATTATCAAAGTCAATTATTATTATAGGATTCCATTTTGGGCATAAATCAACTAATTTCTCGTACCATTTACACTTTATCTTTTTAAATATCTGTTCTTTATCATATTTAGATAATATGAGTGTTGGAATTATAATGTAGTATGATATAGGAGTCCAAATATGTTGCCAATTTTCATAAAATCCCAATGTTTGCTTTAATATATCAACTAAACAATAATTATTTGATATTTCCAAGGATAAACTTGTCCAATTTATAAAATAACGTTTACCAATAATAAAGCAAAATATATCATCTTCATAATATGTATTATTATTGTTGTTTAATTGTAATTTTGAAGATGTCCTTCTAAATGAACTTGGAGGATTTAAGTAAATTCCAGTCCTCAATAAATAATATTCAAGACAATATTTATCATTTAAAAATGGTAAAGGAATAATATCTTTATCATCTTCAACTTTCTCTTGATTATCTTTATCTTTAACATAAAATGTGTTTGGTTTAATTACATATACAGGAGCAAGTGGATTATTATCGAGGCAAATTCTTTCAAACCTTTCAATGGAAATCATTTTATTGGGATATAATATTTTAGGTGCATTTATTGTTATTGTTTCAAACTCTCCACCTTCACCACAGCAATGAAAATCCCTGCATATATTATCTTGTATATTTAGAAATCCCAACAAATTTTGTTCAATTGATTTGGCTAAAAATGAATCATTCAATCCATAAGCTGCTACTTTTATTACAATACTTTCCAAGCCTGATTCAATCATTCTATATAATAATGGAACTTCAGGTAACATCCACAAATAACATAAACATTCCAAATCAAGACGAGCAGCTATTTCTTCCAATCTACATCTTTGATAATTAGACATTATTGCTCCACAGCTTATTCCTTCAATATATGGATAATTTTCTTTAATATATTTAAGTGCTTTGTATAAATCTTCTACTTCATCTCCATATGTACTTATATATTGCATTTCTTTATTAATAGGTTTTCCTTTAATATTAAATTGAATTAATGGGATTTCCAAACATTCAGCTACCATTGGAATCAATTCCTTTCCAATACTTTGATACATGTAGCTATCTAGTTCTAGTGAATTTTCTGGAGGATTCATATGTGCGACAACTTCTATTTCATGACCCATATATTTACAGCACATCAAGTTAAACATACTATCCTTTCCACCTGATATCAATCCAACGATTTTCATATTATTATATTATTTATATAGGTTCAAAAAATAATGGATAACCATTCAAACGTTTCAAAGATCATAATGTTACAATAGGGGTGTAAATAGGGCGCTAGAACCCTTAAATATTTAAATAATAATTTAAATATTATCTGTATTTTAAATACTAATAATTGCCATATATTATTTTATTAAAAGTTGTAATTAAATCATTCTCCTAAGGCTACTATATTTTCATTAATTTTGATCTATATTATATACATTGAAACCATAATCTTCAAGATATATTTTCTATTTAAATACAAGTTTTAGAACCATTAAAAAAAAAGTGTTACTTTTATTTCATATCATATATTCAACAAGTCTTAGTAACAATTAAATTGAAGATATTTGTAAATAAATATTATTAGTGGATATTTTTAAATATTAAATTTATTTTTTGGAATAGTATATACTTGATATGGTATGACTTTCAAAGATTTTAGTAAGAAAGGGTTAAAGTTGTTACAAATTTTGGGAGTTTTCCATGTTTTTCATGAGTATCTCCTAGATTTCTGTATAGCTGTTGGTCCATCAATGTTGCCAACAATTGGACCCTCAAATGAAATTTTAATATATGAACGTCTCAGCAGATGGTTTCCAAACTTCAAGTTGAAATATTGGCCAAAATTAAATATAAATAGAAATGATATTGTAATTGCAATATCAAAAGATGATCCAGAAATAAGGATCTGTAAAAGAGTTCTAGCAATCGTAAGTTTATACATTTTATACTACTATTTCTTATGTCTAATATTATTAGTTTTATTAATTTACTAAAGGCCAATGATTTAGTTACTGTATGTCCAGATTTTACAATCATCTCTAAATTAGGAGATATTCACAGTACAGATGTTGCTACTTTTACTCAATGTTCAACTTATTTTGTACCTCCCGGATATGTATGGCTACAGGGTGATAATAGTAAGTGTTCCCGTGATTCAAGACACTACGGACCTGTACCTAAACCAATGATTTTTGGGAAAATTTTATATAAGGTCTGTTAAAGTAAGAAAAAAGAAGAATATCCCTTATTTCTTGTGTGGATATTCTTTAATTGCTTTGTAAAAAAAAAACTTTTTTTTTTTTTTTTTTATTAGATTTGGCCTCCCAATTTATGGGGATAAATTTATAAACAGAGTTGATTGTAATATTTCAGATACTTATATGAATCATATGTATTATATTTCCTCCCACTTTACTTCGAAATTGCAATCTATACACCTTTTCATCATGTTCCCTTGACCTAGTTTAATTGGTTTACTGAAATTATGAATATGAGGTTCTTTCACTATTGAATACTTCATTAAAACTTCTTCAGTTGTCGATTTTTTTTTCTTAGATAGTTTGGGTTTAGAGTCATCTTTTAATTTAGGAATTCCATATTGTTTATCTAATTTACTTTGTAATCTTATATCTCTTCTTATAGATGCTTCAACAAATGCATTATTCACACTTCCATGACGAATTTTAGCTATTTCCTCGACTTGGAATTTGTAATATAACTTCATAAATTTATTTTTACTATGAGGATTTGGTTTCTTAACGACTGCCAGTTTAGTATCACTTAGATCTGTATTTGTCAAACAATAATCTTCAATTGCCCTAGTCATTGTCATCTTCTTATAGTCTCCATCACGATTAGCATTAAAGCACATGCTACAAACTCCAATTCCAACTTCCCACAGAGTCTGTTCAGGTTTTTTTGATAAATTTAATCCCAACATAAGTCCACAGTTGCGACATGGCCGTTCCAAACGTGAGCCGTTAATCATCCATTACAAATCACTAAATTTATGAATTTATTTTTCACAAAAGTTTAGAATAATATATAAGAGGCAATTTGTTAGTGTGAATATAATCTATGTAATTGAATTCCCAAAAAATGTCATTTCAGTTCTTCTTTATAAATGAGCCTTTACTAAGTAAATGAAGGCGCTTGAATTACTGTCTTTCAGTTCAAATTTAGTTTTAAAAAATAAATTGTTATTATTACCACTTTATTGAGCTAGGAAGACTTTTTTGAGAATCTAAAGGAAATATAAACACCCTTAACAAACATATCCCATGATAAATGAGCTGAATAATAAACAACAAAATTATACTTAAATCACTTTATAAATGTATCTGAATTTTTTAATTGAAATTAAAGATTACTAGCATACTTTTTTTGCTTTTTTTTGAAATTTCAACTAATTTCTTGAAGTATTACTTCAGGTGATTATTGAAAACTTGGACTAGATTAGAATTTTTCTTCTAAATAGCTGAAAATATGTCATAATATTGACTATCCCAAATAATTATGACTAAAGATAAATTTACATGATGGAATTTCCAACTATATTGTATCAATGAATAAATATGTTAATTTAAATTTTCAAATGAAGTTCCTTCTTTTCTTAGCTATATTAAATTGAGGTATAGTGATTTATAAAATTCCCTTAAGGTTAATATTGAATATTTTTCAATTAAAAAAATTTTTTTTTGTACACTTCTTGCAGAGGTTAGTAATTTGTAAGTCTTAGTAATTGAATCTAATATAATGTTATTTCCAAAATACTGAATATATGTCTAAGTTATTTTATAACTTGAATTATCTAAAATTCATATTGTTGATATCCATAATTATTTGTATAAAAAATATTTTATTTTTTAGTATTACTGGAATTTTTTGAAAATGATCTCCAAGTTTTAGTAAATAATTTAGAACATCTCATTAGTATGAATTATTTTTAAATTAGTTTTTTACTTAATATTAATAAGAATATGAATAAAAATATACACTTCTTTTGATGAACTTAATCCAAAAAAAAAAAAAGTGCCTATGCTGGGCTGCTCAATTTCCACTAGATGTTATTATTGATGAGTATAAGTACTTTAAATAAATAACAACAATTAAATTTAAATCAATATATAATATGATTTATCTGATTTACAAAAAAGTTCTCTCTTTTCCATATATACCTGATCTTAAGTAGTTCTATAAAAAGTAGATTAAGTACTATATTTATATTGAGATAGTTATTCCATACTATCAATGAAATATCGGAGAGTATCTAAATTTCTTCTAATACTTTAATTAAAATGACTTTTGGTAAAAAGTTTTTTTATTAAACACGTAAGATACCGGCATTCCACATGCACCTTATTGCATATAACTATATCTACTAAAAAATGCAATTTTCTTTATTAATTTGAAGCTACTAATAGTATTAGATTACACTTCATATGCTATTAATTCAATAAATTAAATTGATATTATTTGCAAATAATGGGTGGACCTATTTATAGTATGGGGCGAAAATGTGCTGAGATCCCCATGAAAGCTGTTGTTAAACTGCTTATCATTTGAAAATGTTTCTGGTATACCATCTAGCTTGGATTATTTTTATCTTACCAACTTACTCTATATACTGTTGGGATATATATAATTTATATGATGATATTCATATTGAAATTTTCTATGGATCAGAGGTGCAAATAAAAGAGCTGTTTAAACTCACAAACTCCAATTTTCTACCAGTATTTGTTAATGCTCACTTTAAGTGGAAAAAATTTAGCAAGTACTACGATAATGTTCATGAATTTGTACCACATTTTAAATTTGGAAATTCTAAATTTCATGAATATGACAATATTTACAATATATTTGATAACAAACAAATTACAAAGTCAGTTATAGATCATCGAAGTCAAAACTTATTTCTATTTTATGATTATGAATTCAATCCAAATAGACCTTTAGATACTAATGAAGAAGATATTTGGAGAACAGTGGAATATAACTCAATTTTCATTGAGAACATAATTATTCCTGGAAAGGGAAGTGGTAGACTTTTTGCTGCAATTGAAGGATCAAGAGTTTATAGATGTGGCTTGTATGAAGGTATAATTGAGATAACTGATGGTGATAAGATGATGATTAAAAAAGTTAGTGTGCTTGTTAAATATCCTCCAATAGTTATATTTGATGGTATGAACAATAAAGACAACATTTTACCACTAAGTAATAGGTTGATTGCAAGCACAGCCTCAGTAAAAATACGAAATTATTGTATTAATAGTATACTATATGTTGATATTTTAGTTAAAAGAAGTGCTCATTTAAAATGTATTATTTGTTCGCAAAAAGCTATATTACCAGGTTATGATTTATCAGTTGAGTTTAAGTGTAGTGAACCCTCAAATCAATTAGAGTTAATAGAATACTTAATTGAATTAAAAGCTAATTGGAAAGGTGGAAACTACTTTACAAAATTTATTTTTAAAAGTTTAGATGGTAACATTATGAAGAGGGGTTTATTAGAAGTAAGAAACCATAATCCTATATTTGAATGGAAATCTCCAATAATAATTGATGAAGGTATATACCCAGCATGCATGACGTGTCTAAGGAAAAATTATACTCAAGGTTTAAATGCACAGATATATTCCGTAATTTATTCAGATGAACTTGGAGTATCTATTTATTTAGAAGCAGAAAATACTCTTCAACAATTACCAAAAGTACCATTAAGGACTTGGAATACTTATACTTATAAATCTCTATTAAGATTTCATGATGACTCTACTGTAGATATTTTTGAATGTGAATTCTCCTATATTACAAATATATCAAAAAATCGGAGATTTTGTGAGATATATGATAGTGAGGGTGGTATAAAAGTTTTATTAAATTCAGTTGAGATCTATCTTAACGAAAAAATATCTGGAGAAATATTTTATTATTCAATAAATAAATTAGGTAATCAAATTGAATTATATAAAAAATATCCAAGTGGGGATTATGTTATAATAGTTAAAGCTGAAATTAAAAATATATTGGAAACAATTGTAATTCAAGTGTTTAGCAAATCTGTAGTGGATTTTTGGTTTGCAGATAAAACCCAGTTACGTCGTGACATGGTTGGAGATACCATGGAGTTATATGGGATAATTATTGAGAAAAAGACATTACAAGACAAAATTATTAGAAGTTTATTATCAAAAAGAACATTCCCTACGGATGAATTTTTTGTTGGGGAAATAGAATCTGTTAAATTAGGGAAAGAGAATATTATATTTGACTTTGAAACACTATCGAGATTTGGTAGTGTTGAAATATTTGACTTGGATATGACATTAACATTGGGAAAACTTATGGGAAAGTTGAATAATGGAGATGATATAGAACCAAATATAATTGGTTCACTTGTTTCAGTCTCATTCCATGCTGGAAAAAGAAATTTAGTGGTAAAGATGGAAGCAATGACATACAAGAACTCACTTCTGATATTTCGAGTCTATTTAAATTCAACTGAAAGATTATTTGATGACTTAATGATACACTCAAATATAAGAGAGTCTATTTTAGTTAATCCATTTATATGGCTAATTATTCCAGTTAATATAATAGCATCATTTAAGACCGCAAATACAAATTCAGGCAAATATAACATTACTCAAACAATTTTATTGAAAGTTATAATTAGATTTCCTTCTATATTTGTATACAAAGGGTATTTATGTAATGATATACTATTTGTAAATATTGAAAATGATTACTTAGACCTTCAACATGTGAAAATTATGAAATATGAGCAAGTCATAGGTGGCAAGACTGAAATAGAAGTTGCCATATATAGGCATAATAGTGATAATTTATTGATGAATTACACACAAATAACAATACCTTATGGTTTATATGATGTTAGATTAGAATTATCAATATTTCCAAAGTCAGTCATTGAATCTGCACTGAAAAAATCCTATAATCAAGGAATTCTAGTAGAAATTCCATACTTTTTAAAAATAGGAGAGAAAAGATTTCAAATAGGAATATTAGGCAGATGTGGTTTAGTGAAGGTATCTAAATTGGAAGTTAATTTTGATATTATCCCAGTGAGTATTAATAAATACAAAAAGTATGTCACCCTTCAACTGGAGTCACAAGATAATTTGTGTAATAAAGAAGTTGTTGTTTGTTTTGAAATGTCTAGATATTATAAGCTTAATATAGTAGGTGAAGAAGTATTAGAGACTTTAAATAGTTCGGATACTGGTTTATACTTCCAATTTTATAAATTGAATCCCAAAACTATATATTCAGTGTATATTGAAGTAAACATAAAAGATGATATTAAACTAGGACCCAAAGAACTTCTTAATATATCTCACACTCTAAATATTTATAGTAATGCAGCATATTCAATGATGAATGAAATGCAAAGCGAATCTATTAAATTTATCCGTTTTTCAGATCATAAAAATTTGCCAGAGAAATTCAAAGAACTACTATTTTTAGCACAGTTTGTCACATTAACTGGACAGATTAGAAGTTTGGATGTTAAAATTCAAAATCCAAAAGTACAAAATAATTATTCTAGATATACTTCATATAGCAAAAATGAAACTATGAGTTTACCAGTTGGACTAAATATGATAGAAATAATTAACCAAGAAGATTTTTTAGTACAATATTCAATATTAATGTCAGATCAGTCTACTAAATATGATCTTAAAGATAAGATTGATTCATTAGAAAGGTTTATAACTAAAAACTATGCTATATATACTTCACACAATCAATCTAAGTCTATTATAGTAGAAGCTCCTTTATCCATAACAGATCGTATATTATGTTCATTACAAAATGAAAAAAGTTACTATATTTATGAGAATTTAATATTTAATTTTCCATTAGGTGAAAAATTATATTCAAATATTGAGTTTGACTGGTTAAAAGGAACACTTAAACTAAGGGACAATTTGAAGACTAACAAACTGAATATACATTTAATGGAACCACTTGACAAGGTATGTAAGATTAGCAAGGTAGAATCAATATATATTGAAATAGGGCATATTAGCACTACTAAATGGCTAATTAGATTGAATTTTTCTAGTATATATGAAGTTCAGATACTATTATTTGAATCAGGTCGCATTGACTGGATTTGGAAGAATCATATATCTTCTGATAGTGAGGATATTTTAAAAGTATTCAGTATTAGTACAGACAGAAGTGATGTGCTAGATTTTATTTCTGAGCTTGAAATTGATAGACACTTAAAATATTTTTCAATATCTATCGTTCCATGGTTAGAGGTATCTTCAGATATTCCTAGAGATGGATATCTAATGCCTAATGAAAAAAGAACTGTACCTATTTGGGTTCATAATCAAATTACAATGACCAGTTCTTATAGATCTCAACAAAAAAGTTTACATGGAACTACTTTAATTAAATTTAGAGGAATTACTGCATCTAAAGATATTCATGGTATATTCCTTAAAAGAACGCTTAAAGAAAATTCGGATCATTTCAATTTTGATAGTGCGAGTTCAGTACTCAATTTAGACTGGTCAGTACCTAATATCATATATGAAAAAAATCAGGGTACTGGGTATGTGAAATATATAGCATTAATGAATTCTACAGCACCAATATTATATTTTATTTTGGAGATACAAAAACCTACATTGTGTACAGGCTCTTCTAATAGTGGAAATTATAAGATATGTAAACCATACAGTAATGATGATGTAGTTAAAGGATTTAGAGTTATTTGGTATCCTCAAAATAAGTTTAATCCAACTAACTACAGAAGTACTGAGTTTTTAATTAATGATATACCAAAACTGGATTTAAGAAATGATGTTTTTGACGGTGAAGCTCACTTTTCTAATATATTTATAGAATATAAAAATAAATACAAAAGAGAAAAAAGTGGTTTTGCTTACATATTAGCCATTGAATGTGATTGTCTTCCATCTAAACATTATACTTTCAAATTTGCAATAACCCACAATTACAACATACCTAATAGTGTATATATACCCCCATTTGGCTTTAATGTAACTGTCAGTGATCTTCCTTTAAGGGTACTAAAATCTAAATATAATGGAACTGATAATATTGAAGAACTATGTAAAGGATTTATTACTTTAAACTCCGACAACACTGGAATTTTTAAGTGGAAGAGGAATCGAGAAATTAACGGGTCAATAAGAAATATTGTTTTAGGATACAAAATTGCTGATATAAAAACGAACACAATTGAAAATGCTTTAGATTGGACATTCTCAGATAGTTATAATGCACAAGAGATGTTAATAAACTTTTCTAACCCTAATTCAGATGAAATAATTAGTGAATACATTGAATCTGAATTTACAATTAAATCTTTACCTGCTAATAGCAATATTCAGTTTATATTTAAAATGGAAAATAATAATACAGATGAAATTATTTGTAATTCAAAAATATATAGTACAAATAAGGGTGTCCCTACTAAACCAACAAATGTACTTTATAGCCCATTAACTTATAACTCAGTTAGTATCTCATGGAATAATCCACTTAACAATGGAGGTTATAAATTAATTGGGTTTAGCTATAATATTTATTCATCAAAGAACTTAACTACAGATAAAATATCAAATATGACAAAAAATTCATTCCTTATTATTGATAATATGATACCAATGGTACCATATACTGTAGAAGTATATTCAATAAATAAATTGGGAAAAAGTGAACCATCTTTAATTGAAAATGTTTTCACAAAGCCTATTGACTGTAGTCAATTTTCAAATAGTGTCATTGATTTGGTTATTAGTCAAAACACAGGTATAGAGATCACATGGGCTTTAAACCAGGCTTCATCTTTTAAAAATATTGATAACAATTCTATGATTTTTATATATTGCAAACAAAGTGGGAAAAACATTTTATTGGAAATTAGTTATATAAAAGATCTATGTCATCTTAATATATGTAAATGGACTGAAAATAAGGTAAATAAAGTGAGAAAATGTGTATTTTATTATATAAAAGTCTTAAATCAAGATAATAAAGAGTTTAATTGCCAAATTTATTCAGAATCAGGAATTACATCTGAATTTAGAAAATTAAATTCAATAACTGGTAAACAAAATTCAATATATTTTATTGACTTAAAACAATATTCTGAAAACTCGAATATATATTATCCAAAAGGTTATAGTAAGACTTGGAGTAATGGTTTATCTAGAGCAGTTTTAAAACTAGGTATTTCTTCAAATATTGTACTAGTTCATATTAGTATAAAATATTTACATCGTATAAGTATATTTAACATTACAATATTAAATGGAACAAGTGATCAGATTTGGTATAATGAATATGAGTATAATGTGAAATCTTACGATAATAAAATATCATCTAAACATAATATCGAATATGAATTATTTGACAATTGGTACTTAAATAGAATTAATAACGAAAATTCAATAGAACGAGAAATTGAACTAATGCTAATAAATTTAGTTCCAGGGGAAGTATTATTAAGTATTCAAGGTATTGACAAGTTTCAAAATATTACTGATGAATTAAATCATATAATAAAATTTCCTAATTATTCTCACAGTAAAAATTACTTAAGGAATTTGGTTGAAACTAATATTCTAGAGGTTCAAATCTACACTGGAAAAGCTCTGATAGATTCTGCTCTTAGTAATCATAGGCAGCTTTTAGTTGAAAATTTAGAAAATGCCACTTTTGAACTGAGTACTCCCTCACAAATATCTAAATATCGACATTATACTCCAAATCACTTATTTGTAACGAGTAAATTAGTTGTTTCAGAATGGCCAGATGATTATGAACGACATCTTTTCAAAAATATTACTGTCAAAGCTTATTCTGGACAATACAACTTTGGTGATCATGGTGAAGAGCTTTTGGAACAGCAAATAATTTACATGCCAGTTTTGGAACTTAAACCATTTATGCTTCAAAATCAGATATTTATAAATATGTTTGATGGAAAAGCAGAAACAGAATTTAAATTCTATAAAACACTTAATCAAAGTTTATCCGACAACTTGAGAGCCGATCGACAATTATCATACTTTCCGCATATTTCATTATTATTTGATCCCCCGTCATGTGTAATGTATATTAAGATAAAGTGGTCTGCTAATTATGCACCTTTGTCTACAAAAGTATCAACATATTTAAAGACAAAATCATCGAGAAAATATGTACAAAGACAATTTAATGAATCACCACATTCGTGTAATCAAGTGAAAAGTCCAATAGATAATAACTCCTCATTATATAATTATACTAAAGAAGATAGAATAGATATATTACAAATTTTTCCACCTGAAGAGATGGTGAATACATATATGGTGGATCCAAGTCACAGATATCCTCTAATGAAAAACATCACATTATTATTTATTGGCTCTTGTAATTTAGATCAAAATCAATCAGAAAGTATTTCACCTGTATTATCTATCATAGAAATGGATATTATTCCATGCCAAACTCATGATCTTATGTTATCATATTCAGATCCTCTATCATCGAAAAATACAACTTTAATTAATTATAAACATAAGATAGACAAGCTATTACTAGAAAAAAAATATAGACAAATACAAGATATCATTGTAAATAATATAAAGTCCCATATATTTAATGATAAATTAGTTGGAGACGGTTATACAGATTTATTATTAGCTAGATACAATACTTCTTTATATGAAAATGAAGTATATATTGATTTCCAAACAATATTTTCAGAAGAATTTGCACTAAGATCAATGGAATTTTCTCCATTAAGAGTTCTATTATACACAAATGATTGGAAGAAGCTAAAAGAGCGTTCCTTATTATCTAATCATGTATCCCCGTATAAAGTTACAATTGACCAAACAAATAATTCTATAGAATTATTAAAATCCTTCAAATTTGTTATTAGATGGATATTCTTATCTTATATTCTTTATAAATTTTATTTTATACTAAAAAAAATAGTGATATGTTGAAATTCATATTGCCAAACTATACCTTTAAGGGTACTTCTGCCAATAAGAAGTCCGGTAGGCTACCGCTATCATATTTGACAATAGTGACAATTTAAAATAGTGAAGGCAAGTTCTTTATTACATAATGGATATAAATAAAGATGATTCTAATTTCCCTTCTATAGAAATATTATCTGTGGAAAATATATATAGTGACATATTGGATATAAATTTACGTAATACAAGTAGCACTGATGAGTTTAGTGATGAAGAGCGAGCAAAATTCCCTGTAACACTAAGGGATAAGGAAATTGTTGTAAAACTTCCAATAGATATAGATGATGAACCTACAGAGTCTTTTGAGTCTAAAGTTGAAGAATCAAGTAAGCCTAATAATTCTAAAGGATATAAAGATACACAAGAATTTACAGTGAATAGCTCAAAATTACAAAGAGAATATTGGGATGAAGAAGATATTTGTGATGAACATGTAGAGATAAATAAAGTATTAGATATATTAGTTCAAACACCAAAAGAATTTGTTTCAGAAAAAGATGAGTGGAGTTACTGGGGAGATATAGATAGTTATCAGGTAATAAATAGCAAAACTGCTGGAGTAGGAAATATAATAATAGACAATGACGATAGTGATGATGAATATGAAGATGATTTAGACTTTGAGGTTCTTGGTAATTATAAGAATAATAGAGATAAATTAATAAAATATGGTGAGAATAATTTGTTGTCCAGCTTATCTAATTTTAATTTCAATATATTAAATTCATGTTTGTATCTTGATACACGTGATAAAGGTTTGAATTACTTAAAAAAGTGTATTAATGAATTTTCAACTTTAGAAAATGATACTAATGTTGGATTAAATAATGATATTAGTAACTATACTAATGAATCTCAAAATATGAATGATGAACAAACAAATAATCTAGATAGAAATATCAAAATTCAAAATTCAAAATCAATATCAGAAAAACCACTAAACAAAGCCCAGCAAGATAGACAGAGGAGACAGAAAATGAAGAAAATTGATAAACAAAAAAGATTGGAATTGGCAATATTAGGTATGAATCCGCTAGAGTATGAAGACACTACTAATACCAATGATACAAATATGGATAATAACACTAGTATGATATTAAATATAAATAAAGCTATGAGTCAGTCTACACTATTTTCTGATGTGCCAAAAGATTTAACGAAAGTTGTTAATACTTCAAGTGGGATATATTTTTTATCTTTACGACAATTTACTCAGTTTTTTCCAAAATTATTTGATCGAGTAGATGAAAAGGAAATAAAAAATTTTTTAATTGATGTATTTAACAATAGATATAAAGATAATGAGAATGCATTATCAAAATATCCAACAAACTACAATAGTATAGACGGATGTCTTAGTGGATTTAAGAGTTGGATTTCATTCCTTTGTAGGCCTGATATAAAAAGTAGAAATTCTACATCTGTATATGAAATATGGAAATATGAAAAACGTCAATATCATGAACGCCGTATAATGGTTGGTAATAATAATGAATTTGATGAGAAATCAAAGAAACATGTTCCAAGTATAGATTCATTACATACTCCTTTAGCATGGTCATTTTATGGTATACGTGGCTATTTATCGCCTATAGATGGTGTCAGATTCCACCGTTTTGATTTTAGAAATAATATATATAATGCTTTCTTTTCAAAACCTAATAATAGCAATTATTTTGCTACTTGGAATAATTTCATCAATAATAATTTGTATAATTCTACTGAAGTTAATAATAGTGAACTATCAGGACCGTGGTATGTATATCCAGTATTTGGTGGGAAATACTTATATAACTCAAATTCCCAGTTATTACATCGTTATCTTCAGAGACAAAAGGAATCCAAAGATACATTACCTTGTATTAATTCATCTGTATGCTTTATATCACCCGAAGACTTATCATTAACACACCAAACTCCAATAGCCTTATTGGAATATGTTGAACAATATCCATTGTTAATGAATAACTTAGGAATGGCTGCTAGAATTAATCGATTTATTAAGAGTAATACCTCAGATTCGGATAAATTTGAGAGTATACTTAACTTGGCTGGTCCACTTGGTTCAATTCATATTGTAGAAGATAATAAAAATAATAAAAGTAGTAATAATACCCAACAATATCATCCAAAATTATTTGGTGTTGAATATCCAATAACTAAAGATGAAAGTGTTGCAATACTTGAAACAGGTTTATTTAATGCTCCAATATTTTATCATCCTAAGAAATATAATGAAAAAACTAATAACAAAAATTATAGTCAAAATGATATGTTTTCAACGGATTTCTTGCTTATTAGGCAGAGTATAACAAATACATCATCTTTATCTAACTTCAAATGTAGACTATTTCTTCGTCCACTTTCGGGTGATTGTTTAACTTGCGTATATTCGGTAGGACAGGAAGAACCATTACTGGAAGTACCTTGTATTGATAGCAAAACATATATAGATCTACGACGTGATCATTTGCGTGCAATTGCATTAAGAAAATCAAAAGAAAATGGACGTGACTCAACAGATAATATTAGACAACTCTGTCAAAATTTATTCAGGGGAGTATTTGATCCCAATGTAATTCAGAAAATATTACTCTCTTGTAAAGAAACTAGAGATAGTAACACAAGTAACTCTACTTTAAGTGTTAGTGCAAGCTCATCTTCATCAAATATTGGTGTTACATCTATTTCAAATACTGGGCCAAGTAATAATGCATTGTCATCTTCACCACAATCTTCTTTTCAGATTAAGCAATTGAGCGAAAATAAATTAAGGGAAATTATAACACCTGAATTAATATGTGCATTAGATAGCGCAGTTGCTGGTGATCTTAAGCTTAAGCAAATCGGAATTCGATCACTACGTCACTTTGGCAAAATTCCAATAGTTGTTAGTGAATTAGATCAAATGGAAGGTATTGCAAAGAAATATGCAGATATTGCTAGAATTAAAGCTAAAGATATTTATAAAAATAAAACAATTAATGAAGGTGGAGTATCAACTGATAGTGATCATTTAGCTTCTAATTTATTGAGATTGATTAATGAGTCAAGTACTGGTATTATAAACTCTAATGGAAGAAGATTAACTCCAATAGCACGTTATATTGAGGAAGCACTATTATTATCTCCTTGGAATATAACACAAGAATATATTCAAGTTATTAAGAATCAAAATGGTCAATTTAGTATTAGAGGTATTGGTGATCCTAGTGGTGGACGTGGTGAAGGTATAAATCTAATACGTCGTGGATTAATTGATTCTACAATGGAATCAAGAAGTCAAAAGTCAAATAATAAAAATGAAGACTTGAGAAAGTTATCAATGGATCAATTAAGACAGAGATTATTGCAGTATGGTTTTGATGAGGATGCAATTGCACCATTACCTAGATGGGATCGTGTAGCTCTAGTTCGTCATTTTTCTTTGTCTGGAGAACCTATTAATGCATCTAATTCAACAAATAGCAAGCAAGTATCTCAAGCATTATCTTCAGATGATTATATTAATGCTATTATTGAAGTTTTAAGGAATCAAAAGAATGCACTAGACCCAGACAATCCAGTTATGACTGATGATAGCAGTTATAGTGATGATGATGAAGAAACCCAATCATATAATGGAAGTAATGAAAATAAACTTAGTGATTTACACACAGTAGAATTTGAAACTGAGGGTAACAAAACTTTAGGTAGAGAAGATACGACTTCAGATGGAAATGAGGATAATATAGAAGATTTAGATCTTGAAGAGACATTTATATCATCTTTAGTTAATACAAATAATACAAATAATGAATCTAACGATAATATAAATAACAGTAGAATAAATCAATCTAATAAAAAAGCTGTGAGATCCAGTAAATTATATGAGCAATTATATGGCACAGGGAAATTTCCGACCAATGAAAGAGAGGATGAAGAAGAAGAAAAAGATCTTGCAGATTTTAGGAAGATGATTGCTGGTGAAGATGATGATATTAATAAACAAATACATGGAACAAGTGAGCACATGAAGGTGAATTCTATTAATAGTGTTTATAGTTCGAAAGAAAATAAATTAAATGAGTTAGAGTATATTCCTAGACTAGCCTGGATTCGTGTTAGACGTAACATGACAAGTTGGGAATATGAAGATGAGAAAGTAGTTTATATTTATGGGGAAGAAAATATTAAGTATTTTCAACAATGGAGAAAACTTAGGATGCATTATAAAAGAGAAGAGAGACGTCAATTAAATCCAACTGGCATTCCAGGTGTATTGGGTCGTGCAAGTAGAACATGTCGTCGTTGTGGTCAAATTGGTCACATTGCATCAAATCCAATGTGTCCTTTATATGAAGGTAATAAAACAGGTAGCACAAGTAGATATCAAAATGCAATTAACCAATCAAAGAAGAAAGGAATTATACTACCATTAATACAACCTGGTAAATCTACAATTATTGATGAAGAAAGTACGATAGCTAACTTGCTAGGTATGGGCTTTTCTCAAACAGCTACCAATGAATGTAGACAATTGGTTATGTTAGATTCATTGCTACCAACTGTTAGAGCTGGCAAGCGTGGTAGACCACCATCATCACAATTAGCTATTAATGATTTAAAAGTGGGGATTAATAATCAAATGTCTTCTATAAATGGATTTTCTAGCATCAATAATCCTAATCTAAATCTTTCATTACAATCAACAAACTATGAAGATCCGAACGATAATTCACTACATTTTAGTCGCTTATCAGCACGTCAAAGAAGGAAAATGATGGATAATGACGAAAGATATTCTAATATTAGTGGTGCAGATGTAAGTACTACAAATAAAAGTCAGCATAGTTTGAATATTATGGGTAGTATAGCTGTTAGTGATGTATCAGTTGATGCATCACTAGTAGGTTCTGGCCCAATGATTAACTCATATTCAGAAGCTCTAGATGAATTTTGTATAAGTTTACAACGAATTATTAATGGAACAAAAACATTGCATCACTATTCCCATGTATTTTGGAATCGTGTGAGTGAAAGAATAGCTCCTAACTACTATAATATTGTTAAAAAACCAATCTGGTTACAGTTAATGATTAACAAATGTAAAAAAAGAGAGTATCATTCTAGGAAGGAATTTCAGGAAGATGTCTTACAGCTAGTTGAAAACTGCAAGCTCTATAATGGGCCCAATCATCCACTAGTAACTGTTGCTACGTTTATACAAAATAATTTGTTGCAAAAAATTGATGAAATACAGGGAATAGAGAGAATTGAAGCTTATCTAATGATGAGAAGATGAATTAATTAATATATAAATATTTTAAAGCTAAAATAATACTTTCTTTACTGACTATTTCTATTTTATTTTTTTTTTCCAAGATTATAAGTTTGTAACATAGATAATATAAGTAATAAGTTTACTAATAATATTTATTTAGGGAAGTGTATTTAAAATCTTACTGTAAAAAAAATAGATGCGTGAGATATATTTTAATTAAGATCTTACTAACTAGTTTAACTTAACTGAACTACCACTTTATATTTATTTTAGAGCGCATTTCAATTCTTGCTCTATCCCTTTATAAAACTAGTGAAAAGTACTAAGAAGTATGACTGTTCTAAAAAAAATATATTACAGTTATCTGATAAGAATATAGAGATTGGGATGCTGAGTATAGGAGTTTGTATTTCAGTATACAAATTAGCTTATCTAAAGGTATCGAGCAACGAATTACTCAACAATCTTAGAATAGCAAAATCTTATTACCCACAAAAATCACAATATCCTCTAGAAGTATCAAAAAGTAGTATCTTAAAGAAATATTTTATTTCTACTAATACTAACTCCTTAAATCGTCCTAAATGGAGAAATGTGCTAAGTGCTGATCGCAAAGAATTTAATTCAAAGAAACATAATCATCTTAAAATAGGTAAAAATTATAAAATTGGGGAAAGATCATTGTTTGATAAGTCATATGAACCTTTGTTTCAAACGAAATTAGAAACAAAGGTATATTTGAGTAAAAGTGAAATAATAAAACTTTTTTTATACCCATTAGCAACAATTGTCAGTGTATTATGGATATTCTGGTATATAATAAAATATTGGTGTAATATCAAAGACTTTGATCAATTTTTGCGTACTACTAAATGGCTATTAAAGAAAAAGCCTATCCCAAAGGAATTTAATACAATTCAGTAAGATAGATAAAAATAAGTGTAGCTATGTATTACTTCAAACTTGCTAAATTCCTATTATAGTTAAAATATTCTTCTCTTTAAATTAGATCTACCTCTTCTCTTAAATACTCTCCTATATCTGTTTGGTGATATACAATAATATTCTCTGCATCTGCTGTTTTTACTTCACTGGAACTTTTTGCTAACACACCAAATCCAAGAGGTGTTTCATCCATAGAACATATTATCACCCCCATATTATTGCTTAATCCATCTGTCATACGCCCTATATGTCGTTTTATTACATGATTCCCATATATATAACTTTGTTCACCACCTGCTTTAACCCAAACCTTGTTTGTCGTTAATCTTGCCAAATGCTGCAGTGCTGTAATGCCAAGACGAAATTTCTTTGATTTAGTAAATTTCCCTAAGCAGACCCCCATACTTAAGAGACTCTTCTTTGGAACTAAAGAAGCTGCTTTAGCTATAGATTCACTCATGTAAAATACGCGTTCTTTATGCAATCTAAATACATAAGTCTCATCTTCACAATCTATCAAAGACATAAGATTTCCACCTATATAAATACTCAACTTCTGGAATAATATCTTCGTTTCATCTTCAGTTAGAGGCCTCATTATATATATTAGATGAATATATTGTTAATATAGAATGATTTTAAGTATACTAGAACCTAGTTGACTATTATCCATTATTGACTTTAGCGGTATACAGCTAAGCGACCTTTTTATAATAAGCGGGTTGAGGAATATTAAGTTGTAGGTCTTATTCACTTCGGAAATATATTGTATAAATAATAAGGTAAAATCTTATTATAATTCACCTCTTACATTTCTCTTATTACATCTTTTGAGTCTCTACTTTTGCGAGTGTTATTATGAACTTTAACACAATATCCATCTTTTCTCATATATGTTCCTTTAGGACATTGATAAGTAGGATCCACAACACCTATACATTTCCCTTCTGCCTCAGTATAACCATTAGGACAGCTTAATGTATATGGTGTAAATTCTAGAGCTGTACACTGACCCATATTAGATATAGGTCTTACTGGTCCCATAAGTTTTCTAGGAATTCCAGTATTAGTATTGCCTGTATTGGTCAATTCAAGGACATTTGGTAAAGCAGTTGAGATGTATCTAACCTCAGAATATCCTGGTGGACACTGATAGCTTCCTTCAACTTGATTATACTCTTTACAATTTTCATGTTTGCAAGTTTTTTCTCTAGTATATGTACATTTATTATATTGTGTTAATTTACCACCAGTATCACACCTATACAAAAAAGGTGAATGGACAATTTCCCTACATAAATCTGCATTATGAGGTCCAAGTGATTCAGAACCCTTTTTACACTCCAGTTCAGGTGCAAATTCTAAAAATGCTTCACATCCTCCTATTGGACATTCCATTTCTACATTTTCTATGCACATTCCATTTTGAAATTCTGCCATAGGGTTTGCACATTGCTTAATAACTGGAACTTTTGTTTTAGAAATACATTTTGGAGTTATTTGAATAATTGTTTCATGAAAGTCATGGGAACTATGGGTATGATGATATTGTAATGATAATGAATGAGAATTTAAGGATGAATTATCCAATTCATAGCCATTTGGACATTTCCATTGAGGAGATAATCTTTTCAAAATAGTTTTGCAATTTGATGTATTACAACGAGGTTGCTTAGTTAACACACATTCATATTGTTTGGATTCATTTATTGTTAAAATTCCTCCATATGGACACTCATGTAAAGCTTCCTTTATTGATATCTCATTTTCTTCATTCTTATTAGGGATACAATAAGGTAATTTTTCTTTATTTGTAGAAAGAGAGTAATATGCTGGACAAGAATACTGTATAGAACTAATTTCTCGCATTTCACACTTTGATCCAACTAGGTTATAACCTTTAGGACAAGAAAGTATTGGTGAAGTTGTCTGAGAAACTTTGCATTCTATTTTTACTGATGATCTTTTTCCATCTGGACAGATATATATAATAGGTGTAGTTTCAGTAGAGGTACATAATTTCTCGATATATTTTGGAGTTTCTGTACATTGATGAATAATTCGTTCTGGGTCAATTTCTAAATGGTTGACATGATGGTTTTCATGATGATGACCATGGTGGTTATGATGACCACGATGGTTATAGTTACCATAATATCTTCCTTCTAAATTTATAGATGTGTCAAATTGTTGAATTTCATTTCTAAATGTGCTACACTGCTTGATATATTCTGTCTTTGAACAATCTTGCTTAATTTTTCTTTCACATATATTTTCTAGTTTATTTATTGAATATCTTGGTGGACATGTCTTAATAGGTTCTAAAATAGTTTCATGAATACAATCTTTGGTGGAATCTTGTAAATTGTAATTTGGTGGACAATTTAGAATTGGATCTTCACTTTTACTCTTTACACAATATGACCTCACTATAACTGCATCTGGATCAGTGCAATATACATCAGGTCTAATATCTAATCTTGGGATTTCTGGTAAATGGCAATGACCATTTTTATATATATATGGATGATCACATTTTGAATTTGAAGTATAGCGTTTTATACATAATTTTTGGCTAGGAATGAAAGTATAGCTATTTGGACAAATTTGAGGTATCTCTTCTTTGTACAAAATACAGACTTCAACCCCCATATTGTCACTTTTTTTAATCATTTGAGGTGGGCATTCACTTATAGCATCTATTGATTCAATCTTTTCACATGTTAATTCATGATGTTGATTTAATGGTATATTGCTTGCATGGTGTTCTATATAAATATCAGTAAGACCTCGTAATGTATAATCTTGAGGACAAGAAACTTCAGGTTTTACTTTGAGTATACATTCTCCATTCGATGTTTCATATGCTTCAGGAGGACACTTTGGAGTATGAAATACTTTAATTTTGCAAACTGGAGCTGGAGACCCATCATCTTTATAATTTGGGTCTCCATCTAAAAATGCTGTTGATGATACAAAGGTAAGCTTATTATGAGAATGCATTAATTGAAATTTATCGGGAATTTTGTAGCAGTTATATTGTTTATTATGATTTATATGTTTATAACATCCATCTAATTCTTCCACACTATCATTATCACAATATATTTGAGCATCTTTCAGGGCATAACAACCTCCCTCACCATCATCCATAAATCCAAATTCACATTCTGGAGTTTCTTCTATTTCAAAATAGCATCCTTGTTTTTGTTTATATTTCATATATGTTGTACCTGTTGGACATGTTATAATTTTCTCGGTATGAATATTTCTGCTACATTGTGTAACACCTGTAGGTTTATACTCTGGAGGACAACTTTTAATAATTGGTTCTGTTATTACACATCCCTTCTCTTGAATTGAATAAATTCCGTTTAGAGGACATACAGGTAATGGAGTTGTTGCACATTCTCCTGATGTGCAGATAACTTCTTGAGAATATGAGGTTAGAGTAAAATTCACCCATATTACTAGCAATAGCCATGGGATTTCAAATTTTATAAATTTATTCCTTCGAAGCATTTCAATTGCTTCCTATTTCACGCATTTCTATTAGCTAAAGTTGTTTGTTTTATTATCTTTTATTTTGCAATTGGTAAGAATTTTCTCGGTTTCGAGCTTAAAGTCAGTTTGATCTCTTTAGGCTTAGTATAACTACTATGTAACTTTCTATAATTTTATTGATTTTAGGCTATAATGTAGGATAGAGGTTACACTTTCTAGATTTAGGTAAAATTATTTATGATTTGTAATAGCTACATTAGACAAGTAAACTTAATATAACACAAAATATCCGAAAATAAGGAATAAGACAAAATATGAATATTATTATGAATAATCGACTAAGCTATGAATAAAGAGATTGACAAGTGAAATATTCAAATATTCCAATAGCTAGATACTTGATCAAAACTAAAAAACAATTCTACCAACAATGAGGGTGGAAGTAGTATACAATCAGCTTGACTCTAATACTTGATTGCAAATATCTCAATTTAATTGTCAATCATTGGGAGTCATTACTTTCTTGTTATCTTCCTCTAAATTCTCCTTGATATTATCAAATATGTTTACTGAAGATTCAATATTTGAATGAGATGCTGGTGGTATTGAGACTTGATTATTCATGATATTTTTATTTTGTTGATTGCATCCAATATTGCAAGTCGCTGCATTTGGTACTATTGTCGGGATAAACTGTGAATATGTTCCGATGAATGGTATTCCATAGGCATAAGGACTTGGATACCAACCTGGATATGTAGCAGCTGCTACCATTGCAGCTGCTGCAGCATAGTCTTGCTGATAATTTATTGTCGGAGATGTACTACATATACTAATATTTGATGAAGGCATGATCTTCATATCTTGCCCTGGAATCTTAACATGTTGTTCTATTAAGGATGCCATAGCTGGAACCTTTGATGAAAGATTTAAAGATGACATACCGTTTGTATCAATATTTTGAATTTCAGGACCTAATTCAGTCTTAGATTCAGGTAATGTTGATTGTGCAATTCCCAAATGTGTTGGAATAAATGAATTGGTATTATTTGGAGCTCCTGAACTCATTCCAAAATTAGCTGCGGCAGCTGCAAAAGCCATTTGTTGCTGCAAGTAATAATTAGTCATTTGTAAATGTTGTAAAGCAGCAAGTGTATTATAATCTATGTTGCTTAATGTACCCCCTCCGAGTGATGAATCAACAAATATTGGACTATACTGTGGAGTTGATACATAGCTAGTATCTGATGACTCCACTGTATCAGATTTTGAGGGTTTGAATCTTTTCGAAGAGATAGAGGTAGCTGTTGTCGTTGGATTCATAAAAACACCTGTTGATTGTCTTTCAACCATCCTTTCAACATCATTTTGACTAGCCATCAATGATAAAAAGATTTCATCTGATGATAAATTATCATTTGAAGTAGTTATATTACTAGTACTTTGCTCTGACAGACTTTGTGCTATTTGTTTGTTTTTAGAAGTAACGTAATCACGAGCTGATGTTATTGGACTTGTTAAACCTGTATTATTGTCACTTGTATTATCCATCTTCTTAATAATTTCACCATATAATGTAGCTGGATTAATATTAGATGTATTATAATGTGACCATACTTCATCATCACTTTCTGGAGCAGGGAAGTGCAGCATTATACCCTTAGTTTTTCTTGCTTCTTTCAATGCCTGAGTACCAACATAAGGTTCGTTTGATTCATCATCACTTTCTGTAAATCTGAAATGTTTTAAGTGACTTCGACGATGCAATGGGCTATTAATCAATAAAAATCTTATAGCTGCCTTCTCAGCTTCTCTTACAGTTGCGTATGGTTTATTAGGTCCCACATAAAAACTTTTAGAATACTTCCTTGTTGCCCAAGTAAATCTTGCATAAACTCTGCTTTCTTTATCTTTCCAATAGACACCAATTTGATTATATTTTAGCTGACGTGGACCAATATCATAATTAGCAGTTGACAATCGTCTACATTGTTTAGTAGAGACTATTGGTCCCATATTATTGGAATCCTTACAGAAATTTGTATTATTTACTACATTATTACTTACATCTAATGGCTGTATATCAAAGGCTGATTGTTCCTCAGCTTTATCATCATTACTTGTAGAACCATATTGGGGCAATATACCAGTAGAATTAGTACCAGAGACTGATAAAATACTGTTGGAATCCCCCAGTTCATTTGTAGTTATTGTTGTAGTTAAGCAAGAATCATCATTTTCTACGAAATTAGAATCTACACTCAATGTTGACTTTGTAATATCATAGTTATAAATACCTGTATCAGCCTCCTCATTAATTTCATTATTATTAACATCACCACATAATTTTGAGTCAGAAACAAAAGAATCTCTCACTGTCAACATGTTAGAATAATTCTAACCACCACCTTTATTTTATATTACTTATACTGAATTCACTCAGCGCTGATGCATGTACTCATAAAATCTCCGTCAATTCCCTTTAATAGCCGTTTTAAACAAGAATATACGTAACCAATTGAGATAGTATTCAACTAAAAAAATTATAAGAAGTTTAACTCGAAAGATCTTTCTGATCTAATGCAATCTTTGGCTTGAGTATTAATATTAATATTTTTGACCTGTTACCTTGAAAAACGACTTTCACCTGTGCAATTAGCAATATACAGCTCCACTATAATTTGGTATATGCTCCAAACCTCCTAATCTGTGATTATTCGATCAGAATCCACGTAATTTAATAAAATGAATGGTACCGATACCACACGTGCGCATATGAGCATGCCTTTAATGTGGGCAACACGTGGATAGGGCGCCAATATATTGCCTATAGGCGTACTGGATTTAAAAATAAAAGATGCTTTAAGTCTAATCTTCCGTAAGATATCTTTCATCAAGAGTGGAAATTCTTTGAAGTGATGTTTTGACTGAACATTTTCAGTGGATTTATATAAGATTTATGAAGTGTTGTTCCTAATTTTTCTACTTTGTGTGGTTTTTTTTTTTTCTAAATTTTGCATGTACATACCGGCAATAATACATGCAAAGGTACATATAATAGATAGTAGGGGCATAGTTTGATATATCTTTTTTAAAAGACTCTAATCTATAAGATATTAATAATTGTAGTACTTTTTTTTGAAAGAGCAGAAGTTTTGCTGAAAGTTCTAATGATTTGCATATTTTAGAGATTCATGCAAACAGTACTGCTAAAGGGCGCTAGTTATGTTTAGTTTTGCGGGCTTTAATAGCTCTAGCTACCCTAACGGGAGGGGAAGTGAGGGGAGATAATCCTAACGGGTGCAACCACTGTTTCGAGTACAACCAGTAATTATTTTTAATTTATTTTGGTGAGGTGTAGAATAGATTTTGTTTGGTTTAGATAATATTGGGAACAAGATCATAATTGAACTATACTGGTGTAGAAATGAAGAGTGAGATTGTTGATGGTTGTGTAGCTGCATGTCACATTGCATATGCGTGCTCTGAAGTGGCTTTTATATATCCTATAACTCCTTCTAGCTCCATATCAGAGGCTGCAGACTCTTGGATGGTTAAAGGTAAAAAGAATTTATTTGATCAGGTAGTGTCTGTAGTAGAGATGCAGAGCGAAATGGGCTCTGCAGGCGCATTACATGGGTCTCTATGTGTTGGTTGTGTTACCACTACATTTACTGCCTCTCAAGGTTTATTACTAATGATTCCAAACATGTATAAGATTGCTGGTGAACTTTGGCCTTGTGTTTTTCATGTTACTGCTAGGGCACTAGCTACTTCTTCTTTATCTATTTTTGGGGATCATAATGACATTATGGCTGCACGTCAGACAGGTTGGGCATTTTTAGGTGCAATGACTGTTCAAGAAGTGATGGATTTAGCTCTTGTTGCACATATTAGTACTTTGGAATCAAGCATGCCATTTGTACACTTTTTTGATGGATTTAGAACATCTCATGAGCTTCAAAAAATTGAAATGATTGATTATGATACTATAAAGGCTCTTTATCCATACGATAAACTACGAGCTTTTAGATCTCGTGCACTAAACCCAACTCATCCAGTTCTCCGTGGTACTGCAACTAGTTCTGATGTTTATTTCCAAACAGTTGAATCAAGAAATGCATATTATGATGCCGTACCTACTATAGTTCAAGATGTAATGAACAAAGTTGCAAAATATACTGGCAGACAATATAATTTATTTGACTATTATGGCTATAAAGAAGCAGAGTATGTTATTGTTGTAATGGGATCTGGGGGGTTAACTATTGAGGAGATGATCGAATATCTTATTAAAGAATCTAATGAAAAAGTTGGAATGATAAAAGTTAGATTATTTAGACCTTGGTCACCTGATACCTTTGCAAAGGTTTTACCAACAACAGTTAGAAGAATCACTGTTTTGGAAAGATGTAAGGAAAGTGGTGCACTAGGTGAGCCTCTATACTTAGATGTAAGTACAACTATTATGAGGATTATGCAATCAGATAGCAGATATAAAAATATCTCAGTTATTGGTGGGAGGTATGGTTTGGCGAGCAAGGAGTTTACACCTGGAATGGCACTTTCTATATGGGAGAATATGAGGTCAGAGAGTCCAATTCAGAACTTTTCAGTGGGTATTAATGATGATGTTACGTTTAAATCTTTACAAATAAGGCAACCTAAACTAGATTTACTTACAGATGAAACACGTCAGTGTATGTTTTGGGGTTTGGGATCAGATGGCACTGTTTCTGCAAATAAAAATGCGATAAAAATTATTGGGGAATCAACAAATTTATTTGTACAGGGTTACTTTGCTTATGATGCTAAAAAAGCTGGTGGTGCTACAATGAGCCATTTAAGATTTGGACCTAAGCCTATTAAATCACCATACTTACTCCAACGTTGTGATTATATTGCTGTTCATCATCCATCTTATATATACAAATTTGATGTTTTGGAAAATATCAAAGAAAATGGGATATTTGTTTTGAATTGTTCATGGAAATCTGTTGATAAGATTAGTGAAGAACTACCTGCCAGAATTAAATCAATTATTGCTAGAAATAATATTAGGATGTATGTTGTTGATGCTCAAGATGTTGCAATTAGAGCAAATCTTGGTAGGAGAATTAACAACATACTTATGGTAGCTTTCTTTCGCTTAGCTAATATAATACCTTTTGAAGAGGCTATTAATTTGATTAAAGATGCAATACAGAAGTCTTATAGCAAAAAGGGAGAAGCTGTTATTAAATCAAACTGGAGGGCTGTAGATCTTGCCTTGGAGTCTTTAATAGAAGTTAAATATAACCGGGATGCTTGGTTATCTAGCTTTTCAAATCAGATAGTTGGTAATGGTTATGAAATTTCTAAAGGTATAATTGAAGAATATCCTTATAGTAAGACAACTAGTGAAACATCAACATGTGAATCTCCATTTTCAAAGAAGCAAATTCAAATATCAATAAATGAAAAACCAGATCTAAATAAGTTTGTATCAGATGTGTTAGAGCCAGTTAATGCTTTAAAAGGTGATAACTTGCCTGTATCAGTTTTTGACCCTAGTGGTGTTGTGCCTTTAGGTACTACAGCATTCGAAAAACGTGGAATTGCTATATCTATACCAATAGTTGATATGAACAAGTGCACACAATGCAATTATTGCTCCATTGTTTGTCCTCATGCCGCTATCAGACCATTTTTATTAGAGGAAGTGGAATTTGAAGAAGCTCCTAAATCTATGCATATATTAAGAGCAAAGGGTGGTGCGGAATTTTCATCTTATTATTATCGTATACAAGTTGCACCTTTAGATTGCACAGGTTGTGAGCTATGTGTACATGCTTGTCCAGACGATGCACTACATATGGAACCATTACAAATGGTTCGAAACCAGGAAATACCTCACTGGAATTACTTAGTTAAATTACCCAACCACGGTTATAAATTTGACAAGAGTACAGTTAAAGGATCACAATTTCAAAAGCCATTATTAGAATTTTCTGCAGCATGTGAAGGTTGTGGTGAAACACCTTATATTAAGTTACTGACACAATTGTTTGGCGAGAGAATGGTAATTGCTAATGCAACGGGTTGCTCATCTATATGGGGTGCATCATTTCCATCTGTACCATATACCGTCACTGACAAAGGGTATGGACCTGCATGGGGTAACTCTCTCTTTGAAGATAATGCTGAATACGGCCTGGGTATGGTAGTAGGCTATAGACAAAGAAGAACAAGGATAGAAGCATTAATCAAGGAGTTTTTAAATAAATCTGACGACCAGAAACTTAAAAATATACATGAAAAGAGTGCAATTAAAGATGTTTATCTAAAATTTGAAGATTACTTAAGATCATGGCTTAAGAATATGAATGAAGGGGATGTATGTCAATATTTATATGAGAAGATAACTACAACTATTGAGGAGAATTTGGAATGTAATAAATTTGATACCTTATTATCAGATGAGCATTTAGAAATGCTGAGGAGAATTTATCAGGATAGAGATTTATTTCCCAAAATAAGCCATTGGATTGTAGGTGGAGATGGTTGGGCATATGATATTGGATATGCAGGGCTAGATCATGTTCTAGCATATGGTGAAGATGTTAATATTTTAATTTTGGATACAGAGGTCTATTCCAATACTGGAGGTCAGACATCAAAGAGTACACCATTTGGTGCTGTAGCAAAATTTTCACAAGGTGGGAATTTGAGACAAAAAAAGGACTTGGGATTAATTGCAATGGAGTATGGATCGGTATATGTAGCTTCTATTGCATTAGGAGCGAATTATCAACAGACAATCCGTTCATTAATGGAAGCAGAGCGTTATCCTGGCACATCTTTGATTATTGCATATTCAACTTGCATTGAACATGGATATGATAAGTATACATTGCAACAAGAAAGTGTAAAACTGGCTGTAGAAAGTGGTTATTGGCCATTGTATCGCTTCAATCCACAACTTTTAAAGTTCGATGAAATAAACAACACAATAGTAACATTGTCAACTGGTTTTACGTTAGATTCTAAAAAGATCAAAGCAGATATTAGTCAATTTTTAAAACGTGAAAATCGTTTTTTACAATTATTTCGTAGTAATCCAGAATTAGCATCTATTACTCAGAGTAGATTAAAGATTTATTCAGATAGACGCTTCCAGCATATGAAGAACCTTTCTGAAAATTTATCTGTAACTTCTTTAAAAGATCAAGTTAAAAAACTCAAAGACAAACTATTAGCTCTACAGAATGGTGAAGCTGGAGGGGGTGATCTTAATTTACAGTTTGAAAGAAATATGCACATACTGTATGGGACAGAAACAGGAAATTCAGAAGATGTTGCTTTGTATATACAGGCAGAATTGACATCTAGAGGGTATACAAGCACCGTATGTAATTTAGATGATATAGATATTGATGAGTTCTTAGATCCATCCCAATATTCTTCATTTATTCTAGTAACAAGTACTGCTGGTCAAGGTGAATTCCCGGGTTCTTCAAAAATCTTATATGAATCATTAGAAAGGCGTTATATAGAATTATTATCAAATGGTGAAGATGTTAAATTTCTTTGTAATTTTATGCAATATGGAGTTTTTGGTTTAGGTGATTCTACATATGTGTACTTCAATGAGGCTGCAAAAAAGTGGGACAAACTACTAAGTGACTGTGGGGCAGTTAGAATTGGAAGGATGGGACTAGGGGATGATCAATCTGATGAAAAATATGAAACTGATTTGATAGAATGGTTGCCTGATTATCTACAGTTAGTTAATGCACCAGAACCTAGTAATACTGACGATCAGCCTAAAGACCCATTATATAACGTCCAGGTAATTGAAAATATATATCGCAATGATCAATTAAATATTCAAACAGGAACCTTGCATGCAATTAATTATGAAGGAAATTGTGATATTCCTTATACTCCTATATTGCCTCCTAACTCAATACTATTACCATTAATAGAGAATACTCGTATTACATCATTGGATCATGATAGGGATGTTAGACATTTAATATTTGATCTAAGTGATGATAGTTTACATAAAAATAACTTGCGCTACAATTTGGGTGATAGCCTTGCATTGTATGCTCAAAATGACTTTGAAGAGGCAAAGAAAGCATGTGAATTTTTTGGTTTTAATCCATATAGTATTATTGAGATTAACTTAAATCAGATAGAAACGAACAAGAATATTAGGGTAAATCAGAGATATCTATCTATATTTGGAATGAAGATGACTATTCTGCAATTATTTGTAGAGTGTTTAGATTTATGGGGAAAGCCAGGTCGTAGATTTTATCATGAATTCTACCGATATTGTAGTGGATCAGAAAAGGAGCATGCCAAGAAGTGGTCAAGAAATGAAGGAAAATCATTGATTCAAGAATTTCAGAGTGAAACAAAGACATTTATAGATATGTTCTATCTGTATCCATCTGCAAAACCATCTTTGAGTCAATTACTTGATATTGTACCACTTATTAAACCAAGATATTACTCAATTGCATCATCATGTAAATATGTTAATAATTCAAAGATAGAGTTATGTGTTGGAATAGTTGATTGGAATACATCTTCAGGTATTTTAAAATATGGTCAATGTACAGGTTTTATTAACAGATTACCAAAATTGATCTCAAAAGAGTCTAATGAAGGTATTATGAGTGATACTTCAAATTTTGATATTGTACCAGTTTTACCTTGCTCCTTAAAATCTAGTGCATTTAATTTACCGAAAGATAATATGTCTCCTATAATAATGGCATGTATGGGTACAGGATTAGCACCATTTAGAGCTTTCATCCAATACAAATATTATGTGAAGACTGTATTAAAACAGGAAATAGGCCCAGTTATCTTGTACTTTGGATGCCGTTATAAGAATAAGGACTATCTTTATAGAGAAGAACTTGAGCAATATGTAAATGATGGGATAATCACATCTCTGAACGTTGCATTTTCTAGAGATCCTATAGAAGATAAGAAACAGAAACTTTGTAAGGACAGCCGTATCAGGTATAGACAAAAGGTGTATGTTCAACGCATTATGGAAGAAAATAGTAGCGAATTACACGAGAACTTGATAGATAAAGAAGGATACTTCTACTTATGTGGTACCAAACAGGTACCAATTGACATTAGAAAGGCAATAGTAAATATTATTATGAGTCAAGATAGTAATGCTACAGAAGAAAGTGCCAATGAAATACTCAATGGCTTACAAATAAAAGGCAGGTATAATATTGAGGCCTGGTCATAGAATTAAGGATATTTATTACTTATAATATTGATCCTAGTACACCACTTAACTTAAGAATTCATGGTCCCTAATATTTAAGAATATAAATATTAGATAACTTAGATTTTCGACTTTATTATTTTTTATTTTCTATCAAGATTCAAATAGTTCTATTCCTTATGAAAAACAGCAAATTACAAAGTATTCTAGAATATCTTACATACTTATTCAAAATCATAATATTAAAAAAGAAATCACTCCTGAATATATTGGGTATCAAATTGCATTCCAAGATCCTGACAATACTTAATTACTGTAGTGCCTAGTAGGCATGCTGGAGTGGAAATCCCATATCTAGGCGGTAGAGCCTCTTCATCATGTATCAAAGCAAGCACAGATGAAAGTGCTGTCTTTGCAGTGGCAACATATGCCTCGCAATCTTTCAATTGTACAATGCATTTAAAGTGCTTTCCTTGTAAGGTATGACCCAAGAATATAGCCTCAAGTACGGTATCATGGGCCTTAGTAGTATCTGGTCCAAAGCCACTTACATATGTAGAACCACATTTTAGTTTTGAAATCAGCAATGAAAATTGGATAAGAAAAGGACTAACTTTAATCATTATTGAGTTCTTTAATGCTTCAAGGTATGATTTACAGATGTTTCTCACAGAAAATATAAAATCCATACCATATGGGTAACCCATCTCTTCATTAGAGAAATGAACAAACTGATCAATAGTACTAGACATTACCATAGGTGAGGTCCAAGATTCAAGTTTTTCATCATAAATAGGTTTTATTACTTCTCTATTTTTTAACATAATTTCATTTATATTGCTTAAACATAAAGTACCGCTACATAGATAATACGGATTTCCCATTTCAGTCAATTCTTCTGAAGTTAATGATTTATATAAATTAATCATAGAATGAATCGTTCCGCTACTAAATTCTTGTGAGTGACCTTCATGTCTAAAGTAATGTTTAACTTCTTGACATGGAAACCCACTTGTAGATGTTGCAAAATTTTGTAAATGTAGTAGTCCTAAATCACTAATTGAAGCTATAAAACCGCTACAAACAACAAATTTTAAATTCTTTGAGGCTATTGATATGCCATACATCCTTTGTATTTTTCTAATCCAATATAGCTCACCAGTGATATCAACATAATTAGTATAATTTTCTGCACACAACCTTACAATTATTTCACCACATTCAAGATATGGCCCAGCTAAGTTCAAACAAACTTTTGAATTAGAAATACATTTCCTTAGCTCATCTTCAGTAGTGCACTGAAACATCGGAATTGTAGAGATTATCTTCTCACCTTTCCTATTATCTACATCTAATATTCTTATTAGTTTGTTCCGTAGATTCTCCATTTTATCCATATCTCTTCCTCCCAAACAATATTTTAACGAAGTTGTTGATCCAAAAGCCTTTACTAGTAGTTCACATACTAGATGACCCGTATAACCTGTGCATCCCCAAACAAATAGATCATATTGCTTCTGTATTGTAGACATATCTCCGTAATTATTTAAATCAAAGTTTCATAAAAACAATTTTATTATATATTAATATTAATTCAATGATCTTGCCTATCTCACTATTTTGTATTTTTGTGGTAATATTAAATCTGTAGACATATCTTTACATATACTTGAGCAGATGTTGTTATGTAGCTGTCCCCCTTTAAAACCCCTTCCACAAGTGCCAGAACATTCAATTCTACCAAATAATTATTTTTACCTAGTATATTTAGATCCAACCTAAAACCCGTATATTTAGTCTTTCTTTTACATATAAAAATAGATATTATATAGATATAACCTGACCAACTTTCCTTTCTTTTCTCTTTTTTAAATAAAATTATGTACTTAGTGGAATAACACCCGCAGAAAGAGGAAGCAATATAAAAACATCTTATTCAACTTCTTTATTAATATATCTTTGTAGTAATATATATATAACTGAGGCTTCTTAATCCTGAGGTCTTACTGAAGATATAAGTTTATTATTTCTGTATATATATATTATGAAATATTTCCAATTTTATTACACATTAACTTACAAAAATATTGAGAAATATACAAATCTTATCCCATTAGTAAATAAATACTAATTTCTAACTTTATAATACCAACTTCTTTTCTCTTGCTGTGTATAAATACAGCTAAATATAATGTGCCTTAAAAAAAATATAAATCCCATGAATAGTTATTTGCATGCATCTAATAGTACTATTTATTTCCACATAAACATGTAATGTGCTAGTATTGTAGAACATTATTTACATGCAGAATTGAATTAAATAGAGAAATATCCATAAATTCCTATACCATTATATATAATACAGATAATTAATAGAAGTAATCAAAGTTTATTATAAAAGATGACTTAGAGAAACTTTACTTATTTTTTCATTATTTTCCGAAATATCTTTTATTTCCCCAGTATATATGTATTTTATATCAGAACTATCTATACTGTTTCCTTCACATTTATTCATCTTCTGTAACTTTTCTTTCCTTTTAGCTTTATCTACTTGTTCAATATAAAAATTATTTTCTTTTTGAACTTGGTTTAGTCTAGCTTGTAGCTTAACTTTCCTAACTACTTTCTTGTATCGATAATGTTCAATCAAATTATGCCACTTAAACTTTGGAAGATACCTAAGGCACCATATATCATCTCTCCATCGATTATGTCTCTTTTTCCCACCAATATTTGTGTTATTTAAAGAAATAGCAACAGATTTTGCTATTTGCTTATCCTTAAATTCTATCCATCCATCTATATATCGCATTTGACGTGATCCACCCATTTTAACTCTTTTTTCATATATTGACTTATCTTCGGGATACATAAATATCCTATCTATTTCACCAAACTGGCTCATATACTCACGGATATGATGTGGTTGCATACCTGGAGGTATCCTAGAAATATAGATAACTCCAGTATTATCACTAGTAGTTAAACTGATAGATTGGGGATTAATAGATGCTCCCAAATTATTCCCAATATCCCCTTGTAAATCAGTTAGTTTAAGAGACTTATTACTATTAATATCTTTGATTATTTCATTCATTATTCAGAGAGTTCTGTAGTTTCAACACCTGACAAATTATATTATCAGCGCTAATATTACTTAGGGGGCCGCTATATATATAGATTTGAACCTAGCTAATTAGCATTATTCAGGTACCTAACCATGTATATTAATAATACAATGGAATTTAATGTTATAATGTATTATATATATTTCTTAAATATACTGACATAGTATAGATAAAACTTTAAGATTTTAATAGACTTAATATTAAAGTAATAGGAGTAAAGATATAAACACTATTACAAAGATTTCAATAAAGGAAATATAACAGAGAATAGATTAAGTAATAACTAAATTTCAAAAACTAATAAACTAAACTATTGATTCTTACACTCTTCACCTGTTTTAGTACTAAGATGTTTGTGATTTGATTTCCTGAATTTAGCTTTGTGTTTTCCACCATTATCATCATTATTATTATCATCATCGTCATCATCATCGTCATCATCATTATCATCATCATCAATATTTAATATATCACCTTCATCATCTTCATCAGCTTCATCATCTTCATCAATAGCTTCACCCGTAAACCAGTGTACTGCATATGGAATTAGTTTGTCTCTAATAAATACTCCCATTTCATAGTCTGTCTCAATAGCTGCTTCTAGTTCCATTACATCATATCTATCCATTTTTTCAAGCTTATCATCGGTAGGAACATCTAATGGCTTGAAAAAATTAAAAAAGCTCTCTCTTGTTATTGTTTCAGTAATCATACGAATTTCTTTTGTTTGTTTATGTCTTTGTCTTCTTGTTACAACTTCCTGAGTTGGGTCTTTACCTTGTTTCCATAATATTGGGCTTACTGTAGTATTGCTTAATAATGGTTCATCTTCATCTAACTGAACCATTACATATGTTTTAGATATACTTGTACCTTCAAAGTATGAATTTGGTTTAAACGTAAAATTTAATGTAAAGCCTGCTTGTAATTCATCTGTCCATTCATAAGTAATATCTACTAGATATGAAAGAATAGGTATATCATATAGTTCAATAGCAGAGCCTAGCATTCTACTATTCTTCATTGCAATTACCCAAAATTGAGGTAAGCCTGGAGTTCCTCCTTCTTCAGCATCACCTTGCACTAGAACCTGTTTCCTGCGTTCATATATCATATTATATTGAATTTCATATTTGGCACGTAATTTTCGCATTTCTGCCATGTGTTCTTGTTCTACAAGTCTAAATTCATCTTGTAGACTCCGGAGTTTTCCCAAAGATATTCTACCTTCATTCGTTAGGTGTACTTCTAGCTCATCAAGCTCCTCCAAAATATCATTACCATGAGCGTTCATCGTTTATTTCCTCAATATTCTCTAAACTTATTCTTTTCTTTGATTTATTAGTAACAAGTTACTGAGCGCGGTTATGTAATCTCATCTAATTTAGACTAAGCTAAAAAACCTCCCTCTATAATTAAATTGTTCTGTGTCATTGTTTTATTAATATACAGCTATATATTATATCAAATATATTTGTAATTTACTTAAATAATTAAATTTTTTTTTAGAGATAATAGAAAATATATTTATTTGCCATTATAAATGCTCTATTATTATTCGTTATATATCTTAATTTCACTTTTTTGAATTAAAACTCTACTAATACTAGAAATTTTTTAAATAATTAATACCAATTTTACTTTAAATATTTGATATGTAATACCGGTACTGCATGCGACTTTAATGTGGACTTAGTTATGCATGAGTATCGGCATTACATCTAGAATAGACAAAGTAATCTTGCTGCAGTTTCTAAAATAACTAAATGATTACATATTTACCTGATTTCTTTTTAGAAGAAGACGAGGAATTTAATGCTTCTAATAACACTTTTTTAAATATCCAGAAATCAGAAGAACTGGTTACTAACAATCTACAAAATGGTATGTTGAAGGCAAGTAATAATAAAAACTAACTTATATTAAATAATTTTTTTCTTATGATAGCGGAAATTATAACGGGTAAACTAAAAGACATTATAAACTTAGGAAAAGTAAATGATGAAGCAATTAGTGTAAGTTAATATACATAATAGTTATTATTTTGCTTAGGCTTGCAGCCTATATTTACTAATAACTATTATTTTTGACTTTATAGTTAAGTATTGAAGAAATAAATAAAAGTATTGAGGAACTTAAAAATATGGAATGCCAAATTATGAGATACATTGAAGAACAATCTTCACTTGAGTCATCTATACATAAAAAGTTTGAGGATTTTTATCTACTTGAATTGCAAAATAAACAAATGATTATAGCAAATAAAATGTCAAATATTCAAACATATTCAATCAAAATTAGTGAACAGTATGAGAAGCAAAGATATAATAGAACTATGAATGAAAAAAAAGAGAAATCTTATAAGTTGATGATTCATGTAAGTTTTATTTTTATTTTTATATCAATCAAGAATAAAATTCCTAAATTTAAAATAAAACAACGAAACTAGAATTTTTTCTTGAAATATGAATTAATTTATTATTTTGGTTTAGGAACAGATGAGTTGGAAGGAATTGAAGAATTATTGGAAAAATAGACAAATTGAATATGATCAAAGGTACAAACAGTTACTTAATCTTAATGAATATATTGAAGATAGATTTAAATCATTAAATACTGAATATAATAATTTGATTGAAAATAAAAATAGAGTAATAATAAATAAACAAAACTTAGAGATGTTGTTAGAGGTTTCTAAAAAGGAAATAGAAGAAAAACTGAATGGATTAATTAAAGAAGATAATTTAATAGCAGATAAAATAATAAAAAGTAATAAGACAATAGAAAATCAAGAAGCAGAACTAAAGGTGATAAAATCTTCAATTAATGAGAGTTTACATAGCTTGGAAATACTAGAAAAAAATAGACTTACAAAAGAAAATGATTTGGAAAATATGTTGTTATCAATAAAAGAGAAGGATACCATTTTATTAAAAATCAATGAAATATATGCACTTGAGAAATTAAAAGTTGAAAAGTTGGCCGGGTATTCCAAGGAGAGTGAACTTACAATCCAAGAAATTAAGAAGCTTGAGATACAACTTCAAAATGCAAAAGATAATTATGAAAATATCAAGAATAGGGAAGTTGAAGATTTGTCAAACTCAGAGGGTATTATTGAATTGCATCATGTTGAAAGAGCAAATGCAGAATTAATGGAGGAGATACATATTTTGGAACAAAGTATTATATCATATGAAACTTCAATACGTATGGAAGCAGAAAAAATAATAGAAAAGAAAGATATTAGCTCAGTTAAAGATACTAGTTCAATAATAAATACTATTAATGAAGTTATTGAAAAAAAAGAGAAAGAAATGGATAAGGGTTTATTTGAATATTTTAGTAGTACAAATGAAAAAGGTATAAGTGAACAAGATATTAAAGAATATATTACTAAAATCAATAGTATATTAATAAAAGAAGCAATAAAAGGAAAAGTGGGTAATCTAAAAAGAAATAAAGCTGAAAGTATGCGAAATATGGAGAAATTACTTGTGGAGTCACTGACATTATTACAAAAAATAGATGATGAAGAAGCTCAGAGTGAACAATATTTTAAAAATAGCCCATTACAACAAATTCTTATGCAGTATAAACTAGATTCTAGTCAGTCATGCAATAATAATCGACGCCTCTTAACCCCAACAAAGGTAAGTAAGAAATCTATTGATACTTAAAATAGCTCATTGTACTTGAAAATTCTCTTTAGTATCAAAATATGCTAATGATATATCCTAATAAGAAGACAACAAGATGTGATGACGATATATTATTTGGATCTGACTTATAAAAAGTAAATAAAATTATTGATTTTTAGTAACAAATAACTATGATATGAAAAAAATATTCAAAATTTTGATTTTATTGTGAAGACAATTGTCTAAAAGTTAGACTTTAAGTATTCAGATACACCGACATGAGAGGGGGTCATACCCTTTAGACCCTTCTTCCAATTAGCAGGACATACTTCACCATGTTGCTCAGTAAATTGAAGAGCTTCAACAACACGAAGTGTCTCCTCAACAGACCTTCCAAGTGATAAATCATGTACTACTTGAGATCTTACAATACCTTCTCTATCAATAAGATAAAGTCCCCTTAATGCAACTCCCCCCTCAAGAAGAATTCCATAGTCCCTACTAATTGAATGAGTAATATCAGATATTAATGGAAAACTTATTGAACCAATACCTCCTTGTTCTAATGGTGCACGACGCCAAGCAGCATGAGAGTATTGTGAATCAACAGACACCCCTAATAACTGAGTATCCAACTTCTCAAATTCCTTGGATGCTTTATGGAAGGCCAATATCTCAGATGGGCATACAAATGTAAAGTTAAGTGGATAAAAAAACAAAACAACATATTTTCCACGGTAGTCACTCAATGACACGGTAGCAAATGATCCATCCGGCATCACTGCACTAGCAGTAAACTGTGGAGCTGGTTTTTGTACTAAAGATGGCATATTTATGAAATTACTTATTTCTTAGAAGTTCTAATAAGTGAAAATGGATTAAGTAGAATTGTGTAGACGAGCACGTGTAAATAAAATAATTGCGGGATAAAAGAGAGGGAGGTATTAGAGAGCGTTTTAGGAGGGTTTTCTTTTTGTGTTAATGGCATGATATTAATATAGTGAGTCCAGTTCTACTAAACATATAAACTCAATAGAGTGCATGTATAGAAAGTATTTAGAAAATAGAAATCAAGAATATATAGGAGTTATGTATAGTTATCAAAGAGACTAGCTAATGTATATCCACTTTTTAAAGTTGTTAGTTTACAGGTAGAAAAGGTATCCCAAGAAGAAACTAGGGTGATACAAAGTCTTAGAATTTGTGAATTCCTAAAGGCAGTCAGTTATACTTATATTTAAGATAGTAATAATATTTGGTTTTTCATCGTGATACTTACTTTTTTGAAGTAGATAATATCGCTCTAGAAGTTTTTACTGAAAAATACAGTATATCAAAAATAACAGATATTGAGCCAATACTTCCCAAAGTATTAGTAATAGAGGTTTGAATAATTGCTCTTAGTATTTGGTTTGATAGTATATTTCTTGAGATTCCCTCTCTTCAATATAAAGTAGGAAATGGAATTAGATTACAATTAGTATTTAATATTAAATATATTTCAAAGAAAAGCTTACACTTGAATTAAAAAGTATACATTTGTACTGGTCTTTGAGACAGATTCCTTCATTATAGAATCTTATTCAATAAGGGAGTTAGCAAAGTTATATAGTAATCAGAAATGTAACCAAAAAAAACTAAAATAAAAAAATTAGTAAATTCTCAATTTAAAATATATATAAAATAACACCTATTTGAACATTTTACTTTTTTTTTTTTTCTATAGGGAGCCATGAAAGCTGAGAGATTTGGAGTTAATATTATTATGGCGCTTGTGATATTAGTATTACTAAACCTTAATTTATATTTTGAAAGTTTAACCATGCATTAGTTACGCGGTAATATGTTAACATAGCCTATATAAATTTAAATTAGCTAATATAGTACTATTTTAGTTCAATAACTTCGATTAGTAAGATATTTTGATATTAGAAATTAAAGTAAATTACTTATTATAAATATAATTAGGGTTATTTAAACAAAAGTAAATTTTTCAAGAAAAAAAACGAAACCTCTTCATGATATTACATTTAGGGCATCTAACTTGGATATCTCTATTTTTATATTATGCTAAGAAGCAGATGGAGCTTATTGATTACTCAAACCATGTACAGCAAGATGAATGTGCTATACAGTGCACATTAGATTTTTTTCCTCATTGTGCAAGTAATGGTGTAACATATATAAATGAGTGTTTTTATGAAAGAGCTCGTTGCAGAGATCCCAAAATACAGCTTTTAAAGATACCTGGAATACCATGTGGATTATGGAGTAATATAGATGCTACAAGATATACTGGCTGTGAAAGGCCATGTGAACCAATAGCATTTCCATTTTGTGGAACTGATGGTATTACATATCTAAATGAATGTGCATTAAATGTTGCATCATGTGAAAATCCAAATATACAATTAGCAAGATTACCAGGTATTCCGTGTGGTAGTGATCTTTATTTAATAGAAAATTCAACCGAATGTAATCAACGATGTTCCGAACATTATAGACCATATTGTGCAAATAATGGAATTACATATAACAATTATTGTGAATTCCGTAAGGCTCAATGTAATAATTTAACTTTATCAATTGTAGGTTTCCCAGGGATACCATGTGATAGTCAGCTATTTGATGAAAATATAATTAAAGAACAACTTAGTAAATTAAAATGTTCAATTTCTAAAAAGTGTAGTAATTATGTATTTCCAGTTTGTGGTAGTGATGGTATAACATATAGAAATAGTTGTTATTTTAAAAAAGCACGATGTAAAAATCCACTTCTTCATAGAGCAAATTTAATAGGTCTCCCATGCGGTTCTTATGTTGGTGATAGTATTAGTGATATTATTAATAATATCCCTAATAGGCCAAATAATTCAAATATTACTGAAGTAAATAGATGTTGGTTTAATTGTACAAAAGTGTGGAAATATCCACTTTGTGGTTCAGATGGAATAACATATAGTAGTTATTGTGAAATGAGAAATGCATTATGCATTGAACCAGATTTACGCCTTGTAAAAATACCTGGTGTTAAATGTGAGAGTGTATTTCAATTTATTAGACCAATTGAGATTGATAAGTGTCAAAATAGTTGTACTTATGGTAATGAATTATTATATATGTGTGGAAGCAATCATAAAACATATTATAGTTTTTGTGAGCTAAGTATTGCAATGTGTCATGAACCAGAAATATTTTTATTAAAACCTATGGGTGAACCATGTTCTATAGAAGATAGACGCCCAGATTTAGAAGCAAAAGAAAAACTTTATAATACAGTATATGATGATTATTACTCAAGTTTACATTTTAATAATACTTCAGAAGATTTACTTAATTATAATTATCTTTCAGAAGATAACATTGATCAGCCATACAAAGTAGTTGATAGACATATTGAATCCGATATGAAATCAGATATTTTAGATATGGATCAAGATTTTAATGATTATAATGAAAATGATCTTATAAATTCTAGAATACAAGAGATTTATGATAATAATAATAATAATATATTATCTAGAAATAATAGTGGAATTTATCAAATTGAAAGTAAATCAAATTCAACAAATTTTGGCATGAAATTATTAGGAGATTGCGATTTTGATTGTAGTGAATCTCCACTTATTCCACATTGTGGTAATAATAAATTAACTTATATTTCTGACTGTGCCTTTCATAGAGATAAATGTAGAGATTCAAAATTAAAACTAATATCTGAACCTGGAATTCCATGTTCTAGTATACCGGATTATCAGATATCAATTTATAGACTTAAAAAGTGTGCAAGAGATTGTTCAAATGCTCCAATAACATATCATTGTTTGAATACAGGACAGACAGTAAATAGCTATTGTGAATTTTTATATATGCAATGTTTATATCCTAAAATAAAAATAGGAGGTCCTGTAGGAATTCCTTGTGACGGTATATATGTATCAAGTAATATTAATACACAAAGAAATATTTGGTAAATAGCTTGAAATTTAACAAAAAGTTATTTTTATAATATAATGAATTACATAATATAATTTTAAACAAAATTTACAGAACTTCTAATTAAAAGATAAAAATGAAATCGCTTCAGAAAACTGTAAATAAGAAAACCAGAAAAAAATTTTTTTTAAATATTAATATATATGATATTTCAATATAAAAAAAACTTACGACTTTAATCCTTGCTTTTATTGTTGCAATTTTATCGTTCAAAATATCAAGTTTCCTAAATATTATTGGAAATATTTAATTCAATTTATTAAGAAAAAGTTATTTACAATTAGATTATTAATTAAATAATCATAATATAAGCAAAGACTTACATATATTCCAAGTCCTCTTTTAAATCCAAAATATATGGTATCTCATCTAATTTTAACTCTAAAAAAAATCCAAAAGCTAACTCAACAAATACCATAGTAATATCGGGTCTAATATATATATATATATTTATTTATTTACATTTAATTAATTAATCAAATCAAAGTGTTTAAAATAAAAGCAAAATAAATAATGAACTTACATATTGGCTTGGATATATACATCACAACCAAGGTCAATACTTGTATTCAATTCACTTAATTTCATTGCAGAAAATAAAGAAATATTCCTACGTAGTCTTTGTCTAATAATTAACAACAAAAAGGTAAAGGTAATTAAATAATTTATTCACTTTTTTTCCTTCAATAATTTAATTAAAAATTGGTAATATTATTGATTCCTTACATTTCATTGATTTTAATAAGAATTTCTTGTCTCTTATCTATTAATTGTTTTAAATCTTTTTGGAGAACTTTCTCAAGAAAGTTTTCATATTTAGTAATATCATTACTCTCGAGATTCATTGTAAAAATTAATTATATTGAATTTAATAGTACAAGACTTTAAATTTAAAGATAAATGTCAACGCGCTGTGCTACAAAAAGTACATAATAATATAGAAAGTGATCTTTCTATAATGAAGGCGAATTTGACAATATATATTAAATAATTTTATCTTAAAATCAAGGTCTCTTATCCTTAATATTACTAAATAGTATAGGATTATATTGGATTTAATTATAAAAAAGATTTTATAGTTATTAATAGTATTGTGAATTCAGTGAAATATTAATATATTGAAATCTAATTATAAACAAAAATAAAAGTAAAAGATTTAATGATTTAAAGCAATATATATAGCCTTATTTCTTTGGCATTTAAATATAACAATTTTATTGCTAATGGTATATCTTAATTATGTTTAGTGACTTACATTTACTATGTTATTTGTATCTTCATTTATATATGTAGCTTTACAGTTAACAATATTATCACTATATTTTGAATGATTAGATGAAGATGATTCATTTTTGCAGTTTAAGTTATCCAATATTGAATTATCTGTTTGGTTTGATACTTGAAATTGTTGACTATTACCATCTTCATTATTTGATAATTGGGAATCTGGTATTTCATCTACTTTTATTTCCTCTCGACTATTTGAATCCCATGAAATATTAAATCTTGTTAATCTTGGTGATTCAGATAAAATAATTCTTTGTAATTTTTCAATAATAGGTACATCAGGTGGATTATCTTCTAATATTGGATCTATATAAACATTATGAACATAATATCCAATTCTAATAAACTCCTCATTTCTATATGACCCCAAAATTAATACAACAGCCATACCATGAATATCTTCTGCTGGGATATGTGTAAAATTTGGTGATGGTGCATGGAAAACAAATTTTAGAGCTCCTCTTGTAATTGGCCCTAGTGCAATACAATCTAATTCTTGATCCATATCTCTTGATTCAGCACAGCTTATATATGTAATCTTCCACTCTAAATCTTCTTGTAAATTTTGTAGGCATTCAAATGAGATTTCGAACTCAAATGGATCTGTAATACCTGCCGGATTTTTACCCACTTCAACAGATGTTACATTAACTAGTGCCATTATTAAAAATAAATATGAAGTATTTAGAATAATATATAGAAACTGGGTTTTATTAAGCAGATATAATGATATATGGAAAAAAATTTGAGTTATTTTAAATATTATCCAAGGATTTTCTTAATTTGATTTTAGGAAGAGAAGAAAAAAAAAGAAAAAACAGAAAAGTCACAAGTGGGAGCGCCTGATAAATATATTAAGTATGTGATAGTAGAGGTTGTGTGTGAAGGGGTTTTTTAAGTTTTAGAAATTTAATATAGGCGCTAAAAAAGTGGCACTTTAAATTAAGAGGGTATCGATATAGCTTGCTTAAAGAAATTTGCAAGCTAAGTGAAAAAAAATAAGTCAGATACTTAAAGTAAACAAAATTAGTTGAAGAGAAAAGTCTTAGTAATAATAATAGAACACTTTTTATTTAATTATTTATTATTAATTTCGTCTTTAACTAGATTATAAAATATTGATATACAGTTATTGATAATAAATGGTAAAATAAAGTTGGATCTTGAAAAATATCATAGTGAAATTATATATATGAAATATTATTGAGCTTATATTGAAAGATTTAATAGTTAATTTTTTTTTTTTCTTTGTTTTTAACGAGAATTTATAAAGTAATTGATTTAAAAAATATGATAGAACATTATATTGATGTTAAAAATGAATCTATAAATGGATCTATTCAGAACATTATAGAAATATTGAAGGAAATGGAGATATTTAAAAGTAATGTTGAAGAAGAGTTACATATTATACTTAGTAATAATAAATATTTAGAAACTGAATTAAGAAATAGTACCGAGATGTGTACATACTGGAAAGGACGATATGAATCATGCTTAGCTTCACTTAGAAATTTAAATAATGAAATATTAGTATTAAAAAATAATCAAAGTATGAAACAAGATAAAGTAAAGATGATAAAAGGGATAAAGTGTAAAAAGTGTGGTAATGATATAGCTGATATAAATTTGAATACTAGTGAATATAAAGATGATTCTTATAATTTAGAGGTTAATGATATTACAAAAAACATTTTCTATATAACAAATATACTTGCCAATGCTGTTTTGATTGATAATTCTACAGATAACAATATATCAGATTTAGAAGATAATTTAAATTCTAAATTAAAAGAATTTGAACTTAAAAATCATACTAATGAAGTATTAATTGACGATCTAAAACATAAAATAAATTTAAGGGATCAGAGTATAATACAATTACAGAGAGAAATAGGATTATTAAAAGCACCAAATATTGTAAAATCACATATACCAGACTTTACTATAAATATAAATACAAAATTGGATAATTTTGAGATTGAATATAATGAAGTTTCAGTACAAACAGATTCAGATTGTAATAATTACTTATTAAATAATATTTCAGAAGATATGAAGTTGAATATCTTAGAAGAAATAGAAAATAATAGATTTAAATATATTAAAACAGAAGATATGGTTTTAAATTTAGAATCCAATAATAAAGAATCGGAATCTGGATATAAAGAAGATTTTTCGGACAAATTTAATTTAATTGAAAAGAGACATGAATTATCTGTATTTGATAAACCTGAAAATTTAGAATCTGAATCAATAGGAATGAATGAGATTTCATTTAAATCAGATGAATTAAATATGAACAAATTAGAATGTTTAGTTTTAAATAATAAAGATGATGATTGTTTATCTGGATTATCAAATTTACTATATATTCAATATTCAATATCACAAGATTCAGTTATAGATGAATTTCAAAAGACTAATTTTGTAGAATCTAGAGAGGAAGAATTAGATAGTAATATTAAGATGGATAATAAAATTGATCTAAATGAAAATGAAGAGTTTGAATTATATGGTAATAATATTAAAATTGGTAATGATATAGAAATAAGGAATAATATGAAAGAGATTCATAACGCATTAGATATTTTAGTAGATGGAGTTAATAATAATAATAAATCAGAAGTGATATTAAATAAGAATGATAAGTATAATAGAGATAATAATACTAGTCAATCAATCTTTTCATCTTTTTTGGATGATTTTATGAATCATATATCTAATACTTTAGAGGAGAATATAAATCATCCAATAGAAAAAGAAATATCTTATGATAATAAGCTAAATAAAGATATATACTCAAATAAGATTATTCCTGATATTACATCTAAAGCATCATCTGCACTTTCAGCAATATCATCAGTTATATCTTCTGCAATTCCACAAATAAATAATCAATGGGATAATAATAGCCTTTTATTTGATAATAAAGATGAACATATATTAACAAACAATGATGGATTTTCTAAAGATATTGATAGTATAGAATTCCCTGAGGAATATAACAATAAATTATATATAGATTCTGTAATTTCGGAGTCTAATAAAGTAAAATGTTCTGAAGAAGATGAAATAATAAAGGATAATAATCATGAATGGGATTTTGATGATAATTGGAGTATTTCAAGTAGTGATAAGGATAAATCTGACAATAATAAAGAAAAGAATATAGAAGTATGTAGTTCATCAAAATTACAATTAATTAGTGAACAATTTAGAATTAATGATACTAATAATAAAGTCTTAACTGATAATAATTTGTCTGAAAATGATATAATTGAGAATCAGGATTTAAATAATAGTGGTTGGGATGATATTGAATTTGATGATTGGAATATTAGAGAAGATAATCAAATAATAAATTTAAATAAGGATATTAATTTGAATGATGTACATAAATCAGAAATATCTGACTCTTATATGGACAATATAATTATTAATGAGAATATGGATAAATATGATAAATTAGAAGTTAACATAGATAAACAAAGTGAAATTTTGGGAGAAAATAAATTAGAGGATATTAAATATATACCTAATGATAAAGGTTCAATATCTGAGGTTTTTGGAACAAAAGTAGAAGTAGATTTATCAGATTATAATGAAACTAAAATAATAGAAAATTTTAATATTGATAAATATGAAGAAATGAGTGTGGATTCTAAATCTGATTTTATTAGGGGACATAATTTATCTATTAATCAAGATATTTCAGAAATAAATTCTAATAATGAATTGACTAAAGATGAAAATTTTACAATAGATAGTTTGGGATTATTTTTAGATAAAAATGAAGGTATTAATACAGAAAATAATGATTTATCTTTAAAGCAAGATATAGAGAAGCTTGTAATTAATGTTGAAGATTTGGAAGATAATACTAAGTATAAGAGTAGAGTAAATATATATAATAATATGGAATATATAGATATAGCTGAACCAATATTAATAATGGATAATCCAGAGTATTCCAATAATATTTCATCTTCTAAACAGAAAACTTGTGATATTAGTTTAAATTATAATGTGATGGATAATCTGAATAATAAAGAAAAAAAGGATTTATCTTTTCTAATATCAAAAGAGATGAAATATGAAGAGTTAAGTGAAACAAGAGATAATTTAAATTCATTTGATAAAATTGGATCAGATATTTGTAATGGTACAGAAATATCTCATTCTGTTCTTGATAGTAGCGTTAAAAATGTAATTAATGATATTGAAAATAAAAATAAAGAGCCTCTACTTTTTAATCAAAAAGAAGATAGTAACAAAGTTGAGTTACAGTATGAACTTACTAGGTCTTTGGATATTAACAATAAGGATCATCAAGAAAAGGACGTTAATATTATAACTACAAATATTAACAAGGATAGTGAAGAAAAGGATGTTAATATTATAACTGCAAATAATGATAATATTGATTTTGAAAATAATGTATCTGTTTTTAAAAATAATCTAACGAACTCTCTAAATTCTTCAGAATCTATTTTAAACTGTAGTAATAAGAAAAATGAAGATGATATTTTAGATACATGGGGACATAGTAATTGGAATAACGAACCACTTAATATATTAGATAAAAATAGAATTGATCTATTAGAACAAGATATTGAAATTTTCAAGACTCATGAAATAGATCATTATAAAATAAATGATTTGAGTAATAATTTGGATAGTGAAAGTATAAAGTTGAGTGAATACCAAAACCAAAAGGAACATGAATTAGATAAAAAGACCCAATTTGAAAATATAACTTATGAAGGGAACTATATTCATCAAATTGACAATATAGAGAATCATATAGAGGTGGATAAATTAAGTAATAATAACTTAAACATATTACCAGACCAATATTCTAACAAAGATTTTGAAAATAAGAATAATAAAGAATATAATATATTAAAAAATAATAGAGCTCATTTCAATTCTTTAACAGACGAGTGTAAAAATAAGGATTTGTTATCACTAAATAATTCTGAAAATTCTCAGGATGATCATCTTAATAATTTACATAATTATTCGGATAGTGATGTTTTTGAATCTGAAATTGAAAGGGGGAGAAAACAAGAATATAGTAGAGAAGATATAATAGATATACCCAAATTTAATAAAGAAGTTTCCGAAAAACAGAATGAATTAATTCATGAGGATGATATTAGTGAATTATTAAGTCATAATAAAGAGGAATATAACAATATTATTGATCATGATTATGGCTTTAGTCCTATTCATATTCAAGATTTTAAACGAATAGATGAAGCTCATTCTGAAATTAGTAATATGTTAGATTTTGGAGATTCTGTATGGGGATGCAATAATTTTGACTCAGAAAGTGATAAGGAATCTCAACATTCTGAAAAAGTGGATTTAAGTGTCTCTGAGTATCAAAGTAATATTGAAGGTGATAGAAAATTAAAAAATGATCATTTTAAAGGAGATGTATGTGCTAGTAAAATAGGGATCCAAGACCAAGGCACTACTACTTTATATAATCAACAGCTTATAACAAATCAAATTTCATGGGATAGTTGGAGTAGTGATGTTAATGAAGATGACAACCAAAGTAATAGTGAATGTTTAGCTAATACTAGATCTTTTGGAAAGCAAAGTGATATAAATATCAATAGTTTAGAATATAATCAACAAAGTGGTTTAAAAGTATCCCCATCTTCACTTAGATTATCAATTAATCAAACTAGTTACGTCGAATGTGGAAAATTAAATAGTCATATACATAATAAACAAAGTGAGAATCAAGAAATTTTAGATTGGGATTTAGATAAGTGGAGTGATAATAATAGTTCAAATGGAAAAAATACTGAAAATGAAGTTGAAGATAGAAATTTAACTTATTCAAGTAAAGAAGTAAAGGAGATATCTTGGGATGATGACTGTTGGATTGATGAATCTTCACTGGATAGTGATTGCATGAAGGATTGTGTAGAATATCAGGGAACATTGAGAACTAATGTGAATACAAGCAATTAAAAAGTAAGATATTAATTTAGAGAACCCAGGAATTTGTAATAATTTTAAAAATAAAGATAAAGAACATATATACTCTCAGGAACAAGCGGTATGGGGGGACTTTGATATTTAATACATAATTATTTGCATGCATACATATTTTTGTAGAAGTACACAAATTAGGGGAAATCTAAGACTTTTAGATTAGTGATTATTCTTATTCTTATATAATTTTTTTTATTTCTAAGTACTGTTAAGCTATATTTGGTGTATATTGTTTCATTAGTTTAAACTGTAATTTTCTTGGTGAGGTCATTAATATTGCGAATTCTAATATTACCTGTATTATATTTATTGGAGTTGGGTGTATATTATCTTTTTTTACTTAATATATTATAATTATAATCCAATAATTGTAACATAACTAAAAGAATATTTCACAATTGCAGATTAAATTTCGTAAAAAAACTTACCGAATATTCTCTGATATTACCGGGAATTATAGAACTGGATGAAAATACCCACATAACCATATTATAATTTCTTTTTTTCCTAAAGTAGAATTTTGGGACTTGATATGTCATTATTTACTGATGAAAATAATGTAATAATTAATAATGGTAAAGTTATGAAAAAAAGGGCTAAGACGGTTGAAGAACGTTATCAAAAAAAAACTCAAATTGAACATATTTTATTGCGTCCTGATACATATATAGGTAGTATAGAATATCATGAGCAAAGTTTGTGGGTTTGGGATGAAATAAATAATAAGATGGTATATAAATTAATAAATTATGTTCCAGGATTATATAAGATATTTGATGAAATTTTGGTAAATGCCGCAGATGTTAAGGCTAGAGAGATCTCAATGATAAATAATGAAAGATGTACCTGTATAAAAGTTGATATTAGTAAGAGTAACAAGAGAATTAGTATTTTTAATGATGGAGATGGGATTCCTGTTGAAATACATAAGGAATATGGTGTTTATGTACCAGAACTAATATTTGGCCACTTATTAACATCAGATAATTATGATGATAATGAAGATAGAGTCACAGGAGGTAGAAATGGATTTGGTGCTAAGTTAACAAATATATTTTCAACTGAATTTTGTGTTGAGTGTGCTGATTCAAATAGCTGTAGGCTATTTAAGATGACTTGGTTTGATAATATGTCAAAGAAAACTGATGCAATCGTAACTAATTATAATGGGAAGTCTTATGTTAAGATAAGTTTTAAACCAGATCTTGATAGATTTGCAAATATGAGAGAATTCGATGGTGATATTCTTTCGCTATTATATAAGCGTGTGTATGATATAGCAGGAACTTCTGGTGTTAAGGTATACTTAAATGGTAGTTTGTTACCTATAAAGGATTTTAAATCTTATACATTATTATATTTAAAATCAAAATATCTTAATACTCATAATAATTTAAGTGAAGAGAAAACAAATAGTAACTCTCCTGATAAAGAAAATAATGAGGGAATTGTTGATGAAAATAGTGAGCAAGCAATAAAAGTAGCTGCTAGGACAACACGCGCGGGTAGGAATATCTTAAATAAAAAGTATAATGATAAAACTTTGTATGATGAAGATATTGATGATATTTTTGATGATGATGATGAATGGGAAGGTAATAATAGATGGAAACAAGGAAAGAAGAACACAACAAATAAACTAACGGGAAAAATGAAGACAACTAAGGCTAGAACTGATAATGCAACTAAGCATAATTTTTCTTTATCTTTAAATGGTATTAATGAATTAGGAAATAATGGAACTGGACCTTTAATTATTTATGAAGATCATCCAAAGTGGGAAATTGTTATTAGTGAATCTGATGGGCAATTTCAACATGTTTCATTTGTAAATTCAATATGCACAATTAGAGGTGGTACCCATATATCATATATATTAGATCCTCTAATTGCAGCAATATTAAAAAGGGTCCAAACAAAAAATAAGGGTGGTATTGATATTAAAAACCATCATGTGAAAAGTCATATCTGGATATTTATACGTTGTTTAATAGTTAATCCATCGTTTGATTCGCAAACAAAAGAAACTCTTACTACAAAAGTAGCGAAATTTGGTTCAACGTGCCAATTATCCGAAAAGACAATTAATAGTGTTGTTAAGAGTCCAATAGTTGAAAATGTTTTAATGTGGGCTCAAATGAGACAAAGTATGGAGTTAAAAAAGAAAATGAAGACAAACCAAAAGAATTCATTATCAAGTCGTCTACTAGGTATACCTAAATTAGAAGACGCAAATGAAGCTGGGGGTCCAAATTCAAGAAAATGTACACTAATACTGACAGAAGGAGATTCGGCTAAGACATCTTGCTTGGCTGGTTTATCTATTGTTGGACGTGACTATTACGGAGTATTCCCATTGAAAGGAAAACTTCTAAATGTTAGAGAAGCCTCTTTTAAACAACAGATAGGAAATATAGAAATACAGAACATTTTAAAGATTTTAGGTATTAGTATTGGTACCAAATATGAAAATGGCCCAATTAATTTGAGATATGGATCACTAATGTTAATGACAGATCAAGATCATGATGGTAGCCATATTAAAGGTTTAATTATCAATTTAATACATTATTACTGGCCTAGTTTAGTTCATTTTAATGGATTTCTTAAACAATTTGTAACTCCAATTGTAAAGGCAAAAAAAGGAAATCAAGAGTTGTCTTTTTTTACATTAGTTGAATATGATAAGTGGAGAAAAGAAAGTAATCCTCATGGATGGAAGATTAAATACTATAAAGGTTTAGGTACTTCGACAGATCTTGAATTTAAAGAGTATTTTACTAATATTGAGAATCACAGTATAGAATTTGACTGGTATAATGATGAAGATGATGAAGCTATTGATATGGCATTTAGTAAGAAAAGAACAGAAGATAGAAAAAAGTGGATTGAATCTTACCAAGAAGGTACATATATTGACTACTCAATGGATAATATTTGTAGGTCATTACGATACAGAGATTTTATAGATAAGGAGTTAGTATTATTTAGTAGATATGACACAGCAAGGTCTATTCCAAATGTTATCGATGGATTAAAGCCTGGACAAAGGAAAGTTCTATATTCTGTGTTTAAAAAGAAGCTGAATAATGAGATGAAAGTAGCACAATTAGCTGGTTATGTTGCTGAACATAGTGCATACCATCATGGTGAAGCTTCTTTACAGAGTACTATTGTAAATATGGCGCAAGATTTTGTTGGAAGTAACAATTTGAACTTACTTCAACCATGTGGTCAATTTGGTAGCAGGAAAGAAGGTGGCAAGGATGCAAGTGCTGCCCGTTACATATTTACAAAATTATCTACTTGGACTCGTTATATTTTCCCAGAAGCTGATGATCCATTGTTGATATATCTGCAAGATGATGGTCAACAAATTGAGCCTTTATTCTATGTACCAATTATACCAATGGTCTTAGTTAACGGTGCTGATGGTATTGGTACTGGATGGAGTTGCTCTGTTCCAAACTATAACCCTAAGGATATCATTAATAATCTGAAAAGAGCCTTAAGGGGTGATATAATGATGCCGATGACACCTTGGTATAGATCATTTAAAGGGAAAGTTACTCCAATTAAACAAAAGAATAGGAAAAATCTTAGTAAAAGAAAAAATTTAACTGTTAAATTGCAAGATAATAACATTGATATTTCCCATAATAATGGTACAGTAAGTCATACAATTACTGGTTGTTCACAGTCAGAATTAGATGAAGATCATGTAATTTTGACTATAGATCCTGATGATAATTTAGAATTAGGTGCAAACTATGAAACATTTGGGAATTGGTATAGGAAAGATGATGAAACATTAATAATTACAGAATTACCAGTAAGAAGATGGACTCAAGATTATAAGGAGTGGTTAGAATCTACATTATTACCACCTCTAAATACTCCAGAAGGTGATGATATAGATCATTCATGGATAATGGATTATCGTGATAACTCATCACATGATAGTGTACATATTACAATTCGAATAAAACCTGATAAATTCATACAGGCTGAAAATGAGGGTATCGAGAAGGTATTTAAGCTTAAGTCTACTTTATCTACAAGTAACATGACATTATTTGATAATAACTCCCATATAGTTCGATATGAAACTGAATTAGATATTTTGAAGGAGTTTATCCCGACAAGATTACAAATGTATGAGAAAAGGAAACGATATTTATTATCTAAGCTAAATTATGAGAGAGTGATCTTGGAACAAAAAATCTTATTTTTAAACTTGGTTATAGAAGATAGGATGAAAATTAGTAACAAGTCGAGATCTATCCTAGTTCAAGAATTAAAAAAAAATAATTTAAAGTCTTTAAAGGATATACAGCTGTTAACAGAATGGAATAATTTTAAAAATGTAGTAACTGTAGATCAATTGGAAAGTAATAATTTAGATGTTGATTGTAATAATGAACAAATACCTTGTGTAGATGATGAAATAAAGGAATTTGATTACTTATTATCACTGCCTCTATGGAGTCTTACAACGGAAAGAATGGAGTTATTAAAGGATGAACTCAATAAAAAAATTGCAGAATATAATAATCTTAAGAAAACATCTATTGAAGATTTGTGGAATAAAGAACTAGATGAATTATTGAGCGTAATTGAATGTGAAGAAACAAAAAGAGAAGTTATTGAAATGGAACATAAGAAGTTAATCCAAAAAAGAAGACTTTCTATTGATTGGAGTGACAAGAAGAGTAAAGGTAAAGAAAAGAAAAGGAAAAAGAGTAATTCTACTAAACTATCAAAATATATATCTAAGAAATCAAATATATTTTATGATAATAGCGATGACTATTGTGAAGATAATATAGAAGATTGTTTAAATGAGGAAACAGACGAAGATTTTATTTCAATTAAAAAGACAAAATCTAAGACAAAATCTAATAATAACAGTATCTCACTAATTGGTGGTTTAAAGAAAAATGTGGTGAATAAATCAGTTTCTATGGATAGTAGGCCTAAGTTAGGGAATACACTTAAAAATGAAGTAATCCTATCATCAACAACTGAGGGGATTGATTCAAAACAAGATGGGAACTCTTCAAATTCACTGGAAAGTCTCTCTTTATTGCAAAGATTACAACAGAGATATGGTTCTTCCAACACTCAAGGACCTAACACAGCAACTACCCTGAATGATATACTTCATCAAAATAAACAGAAAAAGATGACAATTTACTCTACAAACAAGCCAATTGAGCTTAAACCTAGCATAAATATATTAGATAATAACAAGAATACAGAAAGAAAAGAATCCTTAAGAATTTCCAGTAGACTAGCCGTAACAAGGAAGACAGCATCTAAAAAAAATGTTAAGATCTTCAGTGAGGACAAGAATGAAGATGAGAATGACAATGAGGAAGAAGATGATGAAGTCATTCAGATAGATGAAGATGATTCAGAAAGTGAATCATTTGAAGAAGAAGATGATATAAGTGACTTCTCTTATTAATAAGAATAATATTTTAGAAAATGGCAAATAGGCCTCATATCCGGCGGTATAAATCTAAATTTTCTAACTGTTCACTAGTATGAAAACATATCTAATTCATTTCTTTTTCTAATTATTTGTTTATATTTCACCTTTTTTTATTACTTATGTCTCGTGGGAATCAGAGAGAGATTGATCGTCAACGTGCTCAAAGACGGCAGGATAAATGTGCTCCTAAGAGTGGGAAATCAATTATTGAAGTGAAAGATAAGCTTTTAAGTATTGTTTGTAATGTATGCAAACAGTCCTTTATGTGTACAGCAAATAGATCAACCTTGGAGTTACATGTAGATTCGAGACACCCCAAATTGATCTTTTCACAGTGTTTTCCAAATATGTAATTTTTTGAAAGGACATCCAATATATTAATAGGAAATCAAGACAAATTCAATAGTAAGTTATCTGCTACTTTAACCTTCTAAATCTATAACTTTTAATTTAAAAGATAGTTACAATTGTGAAACATGCATATAATAAGGCAATTGGATAAGCTATAAGAAACCTTTGGTGTTTCAATGACACGGTCAGTTCGAAAAATCTGGAAGCTGTAATTGTACTCCACATATTAAAAAATATAGCTATTGAAATCCCAATTTTACTACGTAGTGAATATATTACAGAAATACCAGCTAATAATACAATAGGTAAAAGTGAATATCCAAGTATAGACATTGTAGTATATAAATCAATACTTTGTTTATTGCTCATTATATTTAATAGAATATATGTCCCTAAACAACTTAATATTCCAATCCCATAGATATATCCGAAGTGTATCTTTCCTGCCAATAATAAACAAAATCCTAAGCATCCAATTAGTAAAATAGGACCTGCCATATCCCACTCCATTCCATTCATATTATTTTGAAACAAGATCACACACTTTATATAGTTCCAAATATTTGTAGGATTAATTCCTAGCTCTTCCAACAATGGGGGCTCATCATCTATATATAAATCATCATTTTCAAAACCGGAATTATTCTGTTCATCAGAATTTATTCCATTAGAGGACCAAAATGAAGGCTTCATAAAGGAAGAAAGTGTCGAGATTATGGATGAACTACTTCCTGAAGAAATATTATAAGATGTTGTTTGCTTTGTATATGAATTAAATGACGACATTTGACCTGAAGGTATTACAGGTACTGTAGAATCCATAGTAATTGTAGTTGGAGTTTGCAAATTAGATGATGGTGTAGTCCCAGGATTGTTTACTAGTTTAGAGATATTAAATGGACTAGTTATTGGATAATTACTATGAGTAGCTTGTTGAGATACTGTATTTGAAATATCCCTAATACCTTGATTTTGTGCAAGAGGTTGACTTGAGAAGTAAGTACTATGACTCAAATGTCTGTATTGTTGATTATATTGATTTTGATTATAGTGGTTAGGCTGATTTGGATATTGATAAGATTCATGTGTTTGAGATGTAGGTATATTACCAAGTCTACTAATATTCACATTATAACCCCTATTTAACTCCTCTTCCTCCGCCTTCATCTTATTTGCTGTATAAAATTGTAGTGAATTTATTTCAGCCATTTTCAGTACTGCTTGTTCCTTAAGCATACAGTAGCCCTAAAGTATATGAAAGTATATTTAGCGCTAAAAACATAGCGCGTGTATTCGTTATTTTTTAGATTGTGATTCTTAGTATTATACTTTCTAACACTTTCAATACTTATACTTTAAAAAAAAAGGATAATTATTTTGTCTCAGACATATTTAAATTAACTTCTAGTGATTTTTATCTATAAATAGATCCTTAATGAGAGATTCTCTACTTTAAAAAGATTGCTAATAGTACTAAAATTCTAAGTGACCAAAAAATTATACTAGGTATAAATGAAATTTCAAGAAATAGAGTAAAAAGTCTACAAAAAGAATACTCCAGTATAACATATCGAACATAATATAAAGAAAGAAAAGTCCAGAAATATCTATACCAGAAAACACTTCTATACTTATAATATATTATAATCTAGTCATATATCCAAATATATTCAAAACTATTCAGAAATTTCAACATACTCTTGATCAAAAATCTGCATCTTCAAATGTTCAAGACCTTCACCAGAATATGAAACTAATGGTGATATTTCAATATATTTCACACTATTACAAATAATTGAATTAACCTTTAATAAAAAGTCTCTATATAATTCAGACATAATCTTTTGACAATTAGTAGGTGTATCTTGTCCAGTAGAACTCTTAATAGGTGCAAATTCATCAGATCTTAATACTTCCAATCCATAAACTTTATTTGCAAATTTAAAACAATCAAAAATAAAAAGTTCTAATTTAACTCCATTCACATCCTTAGGTTGTATAATCTTGTTAGTATCCAAATCATAAAATGGAATTTTTTTAATAGCTTGGTGATAAACAAATTCTTTGTCTCCCATTTCCTCTACAAAGGTTAATTTCATATTATGGATAGCTATACTACCATGACTAAATAGCATTTCCCCAGTATCCTCATTTATAGAGTTATTTATTTCATCCCCCATTTCTGTATATTCTACAATACATGGCATTAATAATTTACAATCTTCTGATGATGTATTCATAACATTTTTATATATCTTTTGAGCTAAACAGCCAACTTTTTCTAAAGGATCAAGACGAGCTACAGTCTTAGTTGCAATATCTAAATTAAAGGTGTGAGAATATCCTATAAATAATGGATCAGCAATTTTACATAGAGGATTATCAACAGTTGAAATAAAGATATATTTAATACCTCTTCTTTTCATATCTTTAATAACACCTTGTTCCTTCATGCTAGCAAAAATTCCTCCATTCCCATTAGGAGATTTATTTATAGTTGAAATATTAGAGAGCATTAAACTCTTTGAGTTTATATCAATACATGGTAACATGGACTGCTTAAATAAAATGACATTTTCTTCTTTTAACCCAAAATTCTTGTTTAATTTAAAAAATTCACTTATTGCAGAATAGTTTGAAGAAGATGTCATAATGTATAATGGAATTTTATTCTCATCAGCTTTGCAAATCCTTGTTAAACATATAATTCGTTCACACATTATCTGAAATAAGCTTTTCTTACTAACAATACCAATAGGATATGTTCCTTTTGGTCCATTCCATCCAAGTCTTGTCCCGTCACCTCCCGACATTATTATAATCCCAACTTTACCATTTTTAATTAAATCAATACCTTCTTGATAAATATAGTCATAAATACCTTTTGGGATTGTTTTAATATCTGTTATTAAACATCTCTCATCTTTTATGTTATCTTTTGTAATTTCTATACATTTCTTTGCTTGTTCTATAGTATTACATTCTTCCCATACAATCCTTTTTGGAGGAATAAGGTGATATTTTTCTGACATACTAGTCTTAGATATTTCATATATCTTCATCAAGTAATCTATATCAATGGATGACAGATCATCTAAAAGTTTACAATATTCTTGAACCCTATTTTCATCATTTTTTAAATTTTTTAAATACCAAGCTAATTTTTCCATTCCATTATTTAATAGACACTTGTAAATTGTATCGAATCTATGTATCATTAATTGCTAAATACTTAATTGTTCAGAAATAATATTTATCCTTTATGTAATAGAATAGGTAAGACTACTCAATTGCAAAATACTATTAGTTAATTCATAGCGGTAGAAGAAGTCTTAATGTTTAATAATAGTGAACTCACTATTATATTTTTATATTTATAAAATATTCAGACTGTTTATTTTATTTCTATGAATTATTATTTATGAATCTAGAGGCACTTTTTGTAGGTTACTGTGAAGAACTAGAATCATATCTAGATGATTCTGAAAATGAATTAAAATCTCTAGAAAATAAAAGTATAGATGAAATTAACAATAAGAAACCAACATTTCAGGCATTGATATCTTCAATTAAGGCTTTATATTCAATAATTGAGGTAGAGATTGATTTAATGACGACAGATAAACGAAATGAAAATCAGATGAAGTTAACAAAGTACAGGCAAAGATTTAATATATTACAAGAACAGATAGAAAGTTTACAATTGGGAGATTTAGACATGTTAAATATTATACCTAATACTAAAAATGAATTAATTACAGACAAGAATTTATCTATAAAGACTCACTATAATACTAGGAAACAAAGTAATAGTAAAGTTATACCTTTACACTCAAATATTCAAAATAAAGATTCAAAATTAGTCGAGGAATATTTATTACAGAGTAGACGTTTGCTAGAAGAAACAGATAGATATGGTCAACAAGTTTTAATGAATCTTAATACACAACGTGAACAGCTACAAGGTAGCAATAATAAACTTGACAGGATATCCCAAACATTAGAAAGTTCTTCACAAGTTCTAGATAAAATGACTAAATGGTGGTATAAACTTATATAGAAATTAAACAATCTTCTTTTTTTATTTCCTATTATTAAAAATTCTCTTACTAATAATATTAATGAGTAAGTTTCTTCATCTAATTTATACATAATATTAGTGCTATATATTAAGATATTTAATATATATTAAAGCAAACATGAATAGTAATTATAGACTTATATTTAGAAATATTTTATAAAGTGAAATGATGAAATATAACATTCAAGTATTTGTAAATTTATATCAATATAAGAAATACTTATTTATCATTTTTGGTTATACTAACACATTACTTTTTTCTTTAATAGTACTTATAATATTATTAATAATTTACTATAAATATAAACTATTGATAATTATTTACATCTATTTAATAATTACAATAATTAAGTTATATGAACTTTACTACTACCAAAGTTACTAAATTCTAATTAAATAACAAAAAGTACTAAATACATTAATTATATATTAAAAATATAACATGTACCCCTTTCTCTGTTTGTAATTTTCTGTTTCAGTACCCAATACAAAACCTTATCTATTTTATATTAAGATACTTCAGTATTTTTAAAGTATATAGTATTTAACAATAGTGAGTGGTATTTTTTAACTCCATATTAAATATAATAAGTAAAAATACGAGATATAAGAATTAAATTTATATACATTTAATGTAGAATTTAATATTTTCATCGATATCCATAGCTTTAGAGAATTTTTTTATATAAAACCTATTTAATATTAAGTAAGACCACAATGATAATATTGAAAAATAGTACCTTTATTATCTACTGTAAATCAAATGAAAATTCAGATCATATATGACAAGACTTATGAATTTTCAGAGTATAATAAATAAAAAATGAGATATTACATACATGGACAAATATAAATAATGATCTAATACATATTTAAAATAAACATGAGTTTACTAGGTCTATTACTGCCTCTTCTTAAATAAACATTTTACCGCCAAAACGAATATTTTTTGATGTGTACCGATTGGAGGTATCGAGTTTGGGCGGTTTAGATGTTATATTGGCTATGGGATATTAGTATTTTAGATAAAGTTTAAAAATAGAATATAAAATAAGGAATTAGAGATATTATTTATTGAATTTAAATACAATGGGTAAGGTAAGTCAATTCGAGATTTATTATATTTCCATATTTATATTTTGGAATATAACCTATTTTTGTTTTATATTTTCCAAATATGGATATTATATTGTTTAGAACTAAAATTTACATTTGGTGCCTTTAGGATTATTACAAAACTTTGGGAATATCGAAAGATGCAACAGATCAGGACATTAAACGAGCTTATAGGAAGTTGGCTGTGAAGTATCATCCAGATAAGCAGACAAATTCTAGTCCTGAAGCTAAAAAGAAAGCAGAAGAAATGTTTAAGGAATTAGGTGAGGCTTATGAGGTACTTAGTGATAAAGAGAAACGAAGTATATATGATCAATATGGCTCCGAAGGTCTGCAAGCTGGAATTGGAGGTAACGGTGCTGGAGGAGCTGGAATGGGTAGTGGTATTTTCATAGATCCGAATGAAATATTTGCAAGATTCTTCGCATCAGATCGTGCTGGTACATTTGGAGATGATGATAGTGGTTCATTTTTCTTCAGTGGACCAGGAGGTGTATTTAGGCAAGTACACATAAATACTGGAGGTCATGGTCCAAAAGGAAACTCTAGGCAAGCTCCAAAATCTCATGAAGTACCTCTAATGGTTACACTTGAAGAATTATATACAGGGAAAAGAAAGAAAATAAAGGTAACTAGAAAAAGATTTGTTGGAAATAAAGTTAGGAATGAAGAAAATATAGTAGATGTAGATATTAAACCTGGTTGGAAGGATGGCACAAAGTTGACATATTCTGGAGAAGGTGATCAAGAAGCTCCAGGAACAACTCCGGGTGATTTAGTGCTTATAATACAGACTAAATCTCATCCACGTTTTGCTAGGGATGATTATCACTTAATTATGAAAGTTCCAGTACCTCTTGTCCGTGCCTTAACAGGCTTTACTTGTCCAGTAATTACACTTGATAATAGAAATTTACAAATACCAATACAAGAAATTGTTAATCCTAAAACAAGAAAAATAGTACCAAATGAAGGCATGCCAATTAAGAACCAACCTGGACAGAAAGGAGATCTAATTCTTGAATTTGATATAATATTTCCAAAAAGTTTGACTCCAGAGAAAAAGAAACTTATTAAAGAAGCATTAGAGTAACAATTATTAGAGTAATTAATTATCTTAAATTCCTAAAATTTTGAAACATTAAAATATCCTCTTAATTTTATAAATGGTTGTCTTTGAATTATTTAGATTTCTAAAATTATTTAATTTTTTAAGTGACCTTTAGTTTCTTGTTATATAAACTTATACTTATATACTGATTTCCTAGATATTATAAAAAAAGTAAATTCAAACGATTACTTTTTGTATAAGATTTCTCTTCAAATTCAAAATATTTCTATTGTTAGGCTTTTAATATTACAATATCTATATATTTTATCACAATCAAGCAATAAATTTAACTTTTTTTCTTATTAATACCAATATTTGGAATAAGTTTAATAATCAACTTGAAGAATTCTATACTTAACAATTGAGATTAAAACATTTTGCTTACATTTTAAAATATTAATTAAACTAAACAGATTTTGATATAATTTGATATTTGTTAAGCTAATATTAAAAATTTATAGTAAATATTTTATTATCCTTGGAGAATTTTCTTATTATGAACTCATCACTACTTTATTGGAATATGTGTTCTGTACGAATACTTTACTGATATTGTTTGAGTCTACTAATATATGTGTATTATTATTAGCACAATTAATATCTTTGTGATTTTAATGTATAATAAAAGATTACTAATCCTTAGGTTGAATACTTTTTTTTTTTTTTATTTTTAAATGGATTGTAGTAATATTCCCAAGAAAGAGTTCTGTACCCAAAATGCTCAATTTATATAAAAATTATTAGGAACTTCTTTAATATTACATTTTTTCAAGTTGAACAAGAATTTTAATTTATAGGTAAAAGAATCTAAAAATCAAACTATATAGTATTCTTTAAACTATAAGCTTATCAAACATATTTCAATTAGTTAATACAAATGATCAAATACTATTTTAAATATTAAACTTAAATCTGAACTTTGAGATAAAAATAAAAATTCTGTGATATCTTTTTAGCATTTGATAGCTTGTACCTATAAAAGTAAAATAATTTAAAAACTCACCATATAACTATTTTATTTGACTATGGATTATATTTCAAAATAATATAATATAAAAAGTAAAAATTAAGTATCTAAATTATATAATAATTCATTTTGTCCTACATATACAAAGGTTTTATTATGATAGTATTATTTAAAAAGTTTGTAGTAGGAAATATAAGTTTTGTTGTATTTTAAGCAGCTATCCTATTGGGATTTATACTATTATATCTATTATATAACACATAAAAATGATTTTTTAAAGGATATACCATTATTATTTCACTTCTTATGTTATATTTATTATGTTTATGTAAAATAAAAAATAATATTGTATTACAATATATGTTAATCACTTGTAAAATACTAGCAAATATTAATATTATTAACGAATTCAATTTGTAAAATTTATGTAAATTTAATTTTAATTATATTTTTAGTGTTAGTTCACCAGTGTTAACATTTCATCAGATTTAAATTATTAAGTTATTACTATTCATACATCTTGATTTAAATCTAGGATTAAAATATCTAACTATTAACTATAGATCAAATTTAGATAATAAGAATTCTAAACTTACTTTATAAATTAGTTATAGTAAATAATTTATTTGTAAGATAGATGTTCAATTTAAGTATTATATCTCTGGTACTTTTACTCTAATATATCCTATTTTTGGAAATAAATGTATGCAATATCTAAATTTGATATGATAACAAAATTCTTGAAATATTATGACTAAGACCTCTAATGTTTATAATCTAATAATATTTTAGCTTGTTTTGGTTTGGTAAATTTAATTATAGTCTTGTTTTACCCAAAGATGCACAATACTACTTTAAACATCCACACAAGTCTGTCTACTAGGCGGGTATAGTCTTTTTATTGTATCCGATACCTAGTAGGTCTAAAATTAGGGCAAGATAAAGTTAGACTACTAGGAAATAACATTTACAATCATTTTAAATGAATTGATAGTTATTACTAAATAATAATGAGATGGTAGTTAAAACGTCTACTGATTTTAAGAAACAAAAACTTCGTATTGGCTATAAGAAACCAATTCCTACGAACTTGACTAACCCTAATATTAGGAGCAAGAAAGTACAAATTCTGAAGCAAAGTATTTTGAAGTCAAGTGATACAGATGATATTAATAATAAAATTTTATTTTTGAATGAATGTCTGAGCTGTTTAACACATCATAATGACAATTCTAGAAGAGCAGCAGCTGCTTCTTTAATAGATATTACCAACAAATATCCAAAACTTATTGAAGAACATATGGACAAAGTTATGATATCAACATCTAATTGTTGGGTAGATCATGACTCAAGTATAAGGAAATATGTTCGACAATTCATATTGAAATTATTATGCAGTGAAAAAATTTCAAGATTATCTCCATTTAGTTCTCTTCTATGTATGCAAATCCGAGGAACTCTATGCCACTTTAGAAACGATGTTAGAATTGATGGTTTAAATTTTTTGAAAGACTTTATATCTTTGAATTTAGGTAGTTATAAATTTAAGTTTCACTCCCTTGAATCAATCCTAGAGTGGGCACCACTTGTATGTAAGATAGCATCATCAGCATCATTTGGAATATCCATAGATTTTATATATATCTCAATATTTACAATTAGAGAGTTGATATATGGAATAACTTCTGAATCTGTAGTTTATATTAAGCTGAAATCTAATGATAAATATGAAAATATTTTACAATGTTTAGCAAACTTATATAAAACAGTAATCAATATATTATTCAATATTATTAATTTAAGGGGACAAAGCACATATTTTTATTCTTCTAAGTCAAATAAGAGTCAGAGTAAATTTAATTTTAATTCGTTAAAACACCGCTATAATACATCAGAAGTTCCAAATATACCAATTTGTGTTCCACATGATAGGGATTCATTGTTTACATTCCTTGGTTGTTTATGCCTGGATAGCTTATCATGTATTTTACAGTATAATCATACAATTGAGGTGCCTAATTTGAAGCAGAATATTGTTGATATTATTAAGAAGATAAATCTTATGCATGAAACTTTGGAAAGTGAGATCCTTAATGAAAAAGTGATTATCTCACTATCCGTAATTGAAAAGATCCTTCTCTTACGCTTATCTTTATTATACCAATTAAAGTTAATTGAGAAATCAGATATCAATACTATATGTAAATTGGCTACTGAGTGTCTACAAATATATAATGTATTCATTAGAAATCCACATTTTGATGAATTATTGATAAATGGTGAACCCTTTGTTTCAAATAATATTGTGAATATAATATTAAATAGAAGTATAGAAATAATGATAAGGAGTGAAATGGACAAAGAATTAATTCGTGGTATACTTTCTCCAGCTAAGTGCATTTCAATAACAATACTTTCTATAATATTAGACTTAAAGGAATTATTATATCCTGAAAAATTGTTCATACCTAATAATTCAGAAGTAGATATTGAACTTAGTTCAGTTATGAAATTTGAATTAAATAGAGTTTTGGATAAAAGTTTTTTAAGTATAGATTCTGACAGTAATATAATACCTTCAATACAGCTGTATAAACTTAAATGGATATTTCATTACATGATAATGGGATATTATGGTAGATGTGAGGATTGGATTGATAAGAATAATACTCCACGAATTTCAATTTTTAAAAGTCTAATAGTAATGCCAATTATTGGGCATAAAGTTGGTTTTAAGACTTTAAATGACAATACTGCTTGTGAAAATAATACATTAAATCATTGGTATGGATTTGAAGTAATAATGTCATTATTTGAAGTACGTATAAGTAATTTGTACAGTAAAACATTTTACAAATGTGACAAAGAAATGGAATTACAAATAATCCGATTATGGATTTCAAATATTCCCCAGATGATATATATACTATACCAAGTATCTGTAACCAGCATTAAAAGTAAACCTACAAATATAATATGTGCATTATCTAGAATTCTTGAGTTATATCTCAAACGTCAAGTTCCAATAGAATTACCAATTGAAGATCTAACTACCAAAGTTTGTAAGGGACTCATACCTTTCCTGGTAGGTTCATCATCCAATACAAAGTCATTTGGAATGAATAGTACACCTTTAGCATGTATCCCATCTTTTTATCAAAAAGCTCTAATTTCAACAATTATTGAGTGGCCAATTATACCAATTAAATTCATTAAGATTCTTTTAAATAAAGTCATTGAAGACATAAACAATGGTACAAATTTAGAAATATCAGTGTTGATCATTCAAATATTAATAGTAAATTCAAAATTTGAAGTATTATCATTCGAACAAAGATTTAGTATGATTATAACAATACTAAAGCAGTGTAATTTTTACTATGAAGATTCAAGGTTAATCTTACGTTCTATAGCTGAAAATATTACACATCTTGCTTTTGATATTTTTGGATATCCTATTCTACAAAAAACAAGTGAAAAGTTATTTAATTTAACTATACAAACTAATTTAATTTCAAAATGGATCCTTCCATTATTTAAAAAAATAAAATGTGAGGATTGTTACAATACCCAAATAATTCAAAATTTTTGCATATTCTATTGGCATACTTTATTCTTAACAGTACCTATTAATGACAATATAACTATTAATTATAGAAATTGTGATAATTATATAGTCAAATATAAAAATATAAATAGTTTTTGGGATCAAATACTCGATATTATTACTGAATACTTCTCTATTGATACAGATAAACTTTTTCTAATCTCATCTGTATCTCACAGCTTTCAGTTGAATCTATACAACTTATTTTTGGGAGATATTAGGGAATGGAAAATTTCTGGATTAAAGATTTTTGTCAATGACTTAGATGAACTTTTATATATACTAAAACCTTCCTTTTTTATTCTAGAATTATCCTGGAGATCCTATCTAGCTCTGTTGCCAGATTTAGAAGATCCAACTGGTGATTTTGTCAAAATATCCTTTATAAATTCAACTGCATCAATTCTAAGAAATATTACAAAGCACCCTTTTCAAAAAAAAACGAATTTTAGCTCTCTTTTTAGTTTTACTTGTTTCTGGTGGCTATTTAGATCATTTTTCCCCTTTAATAGTGACTGGGATCCAATTTTAAATAGTATTTCCTCATCACTCGAAGATTTACCCTTCTCTGATATTGTATATATTTGTAATTTCTTTAGAGGTCAGTTAAAGAAATCTATATTGTAATTCAGGTAAATTATTCATTTTTTTCCTACACTTTGTAATCTTACACGTGATTCCACGTTTACACTGCATGCAGAAGTATTATTCATATTACTTTTAGAGTATAGAAGTATCGCAAAAGTGTTAGTCATAAATATTAAGTTTTTTCTTATGAGATTGTATAATAGTATATAATTGCATTGACGCATTTATGATACTGAGAATCTACAAATAAAATGGCTAAAGTTTATGACCCATTACAAAGCTATTTATGTTCAAATTATGAAAGATCTTCAATGAATTGTTTGTTTGAGCCAAGAACAATAGCTCTAGTAGGTGCAACAGAAAGAAAATTTAGTGTTGGGAGAGCATTATTTTTAAATATGATACAACAGCATCTAGAAGATGTTGTTGAGAATTCACATTTTAATTATACAGTTTATCCAGTAAATCCAACAAGAAAGGAGTGTTTTGGTAAGAAATGTTATGATTCTCTACTTAATATCCCAGTCGTAATAGATTTAGTGGTTATTGTCACACCAGCTAAGACTGTATTGGGAATTGTACAAGAAGCAGCAAAAAAAAAAGTACCAGCAATTTTAATTATATCATCAGGTTTCAAAGAATCTGGACCTGAAGGTATTGATAGAGAAAAAGCAATTTTAGATATAGCAAAGAAGAATGGGATAAGAATTTTAGGGCCTAATTGTTTAGGATTTATGAATGTAGCATATAACCTAAATGCAACATTTATTAATTGCATGGCATGCAGGGGAACAACTGCATTTCTTTCTCAGAGTGGAGCTTTATGTGCTGCTGTTTTAGATTGGGCTGTAAAAGTGAGGATCGGATTTTCAGCTTTTGTTTCAGTGGGTAGTATGTCTGACATTGATTGGGGAGATCTAGTGGACTATCTCGGACATGACCCAAATACTAAAATTATTCTCATGTATATAGAATCTATTGGAAATGCAAGAAAATTTTTGTCAGCAGCAAAGGAAATTGCTATATCTAAACCTATTATTGTAATAAAGGCTGGGAAAAGTAGAGCAGCTTATAAAGCTGCTGCTTCTCATACAGGATCACTAGTTGGGAATTATGATGCTTTTATTTCAGCAATGAAGCGTATTGGAGTTTTAGTAGTTGATACTATTGAGGAATTATTTAACTGTGCATTAGTACTTAACAAAATGCCACACCCAAAAGGTCCAAAGCTATTAATTTTAACTAATGCAGGTGGACCTGCAGTGATAGCTGCTGATGCCCTCGATATAAGTGGTGGTGAGCTATCAATACTTCCAAATTCTATAATAGATCGTATAGATCAAATTGCATCACCTGGTTGGTCAAAGTGTAATCCAGTTGATATACTTGGTGATGCTACCCCACAAGATTATGTAAATATCTTAAAAATATTAGGTGATGAAGAAGTTGGTGATGGCTTGCTTATAATTCTCTCTCCGCAGGATATAACTAACCCAACCCAAGTTGCAGAATTAATAATTCCAATAATAAATAAAATCAAAGAGAAGATACCAGTAATCTGCTCTTGGATGGGAGCTAATGAGGTTGCGATGGGACAAGAAATTCTTGTTAAAGCCGGAATCCCAGAGATAAGTAATCCAGATACAGCAGCTCAAACATTTGCACTTATATGGTGTCATGCAAAACACCTGAGGGAAGTGTATGAAACTCCACATTTAGAAGATGTTAAAACATTACTACCAAAAGCAAAAGAAACAGCATTGTCACTTATAGAATCAGCATTATCAAGAGGCCTCCTAACCCTGGGTGAGGTAGAGTCTAAACAAATTTTGAAAGCTTATGGATTACCAGTTAATGAAACATTCACATGTACTACTGAAGAAGAAGCTATAAAAGTAGCCCAGAAAATTGGTTATCCTGTTGTATGCAAGCTATATTCACGTACATTTACACATAAATCAGATATAGGTGGTGTATTCTTAAATATAAAAAGTGATGATGAATTACGTGAAGCATATAAAAGTATCAAATATAATGCTTATTCAGCAGGATCATATACAAATCAAGATGAAGTTTTTAGTGGAGTTACAATTGAGGCAATGTTATCTGGTCAAATATTGGAACTAATAATTGGAAGTACTACAGATTTGCAAATGGGTCCATTAATATTATTTGGTACAGGTGGAATATATGTCGAAATATTTAAAGATACTGCCATAGCATTGCCACCATTAAATGATACGCTAGCTAAGCATCTAATGATGAGAACAAAAATATACAAGGCTTTTGGATGTAGTTCAAAACGATTCCCATATGTAAGCATCGATGAGCTAGCACTTATACTTACTAGGTTTAGCAACATGGTTGTTGATCTATCGTGCTATGTGTTAGAGTGTGATATAAATCCGTTATGTATTAGTATTAAAAATGACCAACATAGTACTAATACATTATTTTCAAACAACATTAGTGTACTTGATGCAAGATTTACACTACGCTCATCAATATTAGATACAAGTCCACTAGTAATAAGGCCATATCCAAAAGAATATATATGGACATATAAAATACCAACTTTAAGCGAATCACTATCATCTGCAGAAAACGATCATACATTACTAATTAGGCCTATTCAAGCAGCAGATGAACCAAAAATGATCGAATTTCATAAACAACTTTCTACAGAAAATATTAAAAAACAATATGTCCCAGATGTGTCATTTACAGATTTAATTGCACATCAAAGGTTAATAGCCATATGTTGTGCAGATTACGACAGAAGTATATCATTAGTAGCTATTTCAGAAGATGAGTGCATATTTGGCATTGTTAGAATGCATAAATTACCTGCAAGACCGAATAGAGCTGATATTCGGATTGTTGTAATGAATAAATATCAAAGCTTAGGCATAGGTAGATTTTTACTTACAAGGGCTGTTGATGTTGCTGAAAGTGAAGGTATTGAAGTACTTTCCGCCCATGTTCTAGATGAAAATACTGGGGCATTAAAAGTACTTAGACAACTAGGGTTCACAATGGAAAGAGTTGACGAGTATTATTATTGTCAATTAATATTAACCGACATAAGGCATACAAATACTCAGATAACATTGCCAGGTGTTACACTAGCAAGCCCTCATAAAATTATGTAAATTCAGACTTTATCACTATTAATATTGCTAAAGGTTTATACATAAAACCTCCTACTTTACTAAACAAATCATCTAATAATAAATAAAAATTGATTTGTAACTTAAATTCCACCTTTTTTAATTATAACTCATCTTTATGATTTGATATTCTAGAACCATTTGCTGCACGTTTTGTAAAGGTTGGTAATTTCTGTCCTGGGATATTAATAAAACGAGCATCCCCACCCATAACCTTATCTAATAAATCTTTAATAGTATCTTTATTAGCTATTTGTAATTCTCCTTCAAGATCTCTTGGAAGTAAAGTAAACTTCAATCTCTTGTTTGTTCCAAGGATTACAGCTGAAGGCAATTTAATTTGATCATCATTTCCCTTAAATAATTTGTAAAATTCAGTTTCAATTGAAACATCCATCCACATCCACCTAAAATTAGTACCTCTACCAGATATATGGGGTGTAAATAATTCCTTTAATTCCTCTAGCATAGTTTGTTCATCACTTGTAAGTTCTTCTCCATTCTTAAGATAAATTACACAGAACGTCTTATGCTTACTACAAATATCCCCATATGACAACCCTGTTAATTCAGGAATACTTTGTTCAAGCCATGGTCTAGCCAATGCACTTTGTGATCCATCATGATCTGAAAAGCCACCTCCCATCACAAAAGTCTCTGCATATACATTTAAATATTCAAATAATGATGCAAATTCAATTTTACCCTTGTAAACTTCAGGTTTCTTAAATTCACTTTTATATACCATAATATGAGGAAATTTGTTTATTTTATATTTTTTCGAAATACTTATGGAATTTTCATTAGTAGAGCAATTTGGGATAAAACCAAATAACAATTTCTTGTCAAACTCATTTGCTAGTGCATGTATTATAACTGGAGGAGTTGATTTTTCACTAAATATTAAAACTTTAGGTACTGAAATATGTATAGTTAAAAATTCTTCAATTTTCACTAACTTTGCTTCCTTATCATTTACAGAACTCAATGTAGTAACTTTATCTTTGGGTACAAACCTTAAAACTTGATTTTTAAAAGATTTCTCATTTTTATCACCAATATATTCAAAATTTGGAATTGGTAAAACTGGGTATATTATTAATTTATCAAGATAACCCTGTTTCTCACAAAATTTTTTAAATTCTGTACAGTCTATAGCTGTAACTTTAATAATACCCTTAAGTTCCTTTGCAGCAGTATTGTACCAACCCAATAAATTACTCACACTATCCTTATTATTAGAACTGTAAAAAAAGACAGTGACAACATAATTTTTACGAAGCTTACTAAGCATAGTATCAAAATTTGAAGAGGTCAAAATCTGTATATCATGTTGCATGGGATCCAAAACTCCGGTACTAGCAATGCATGCAGTACACATAGCAAGGAAAATTGCAGCAATTTTCTTTATTTTCAGCATATTTAAGGAGAAAGTTATTTTGGAGTTATTTTTTCAACAAAACAATACCTTAAACAAATCCATGTGGGAAATAAATACCCCTCTTATTGCGCTCTCTTTTAAATGCTAGCTCAGAAACTATAAAGAACCCGGGTATTTTTGATTTAAGAATCTATTCAATAATAAATATTATGTAATATCCCAAAGTAGAAAAAGAGGAACAAGACAAGACTGAAACTGGATTCTATTTAAACATTTATATCTAATATACGACATATTTGTATTTTAAATAAGTATATACAATATTATATAAGTTCTGCAATATTATATATTAGTCACATTACACAGTAATGGTACACTTAGAAATTTTATTCAAAACATTGCAATAATGAAATACTAAAAAACTTGATACTTTTTTGTTGTAAATTCAGTAATATAAATGTGGAAATTAAGGATTATTATATATTGTATAAGATAATGATCCTATTATAATTAAAATTATATATTGGATTTATAAGTTACAATATTGAAATATTTAATTGTACAATACTTGATTTTGATTCAAATAATTATATTAGAGCTTTCAAATTTATTGTAAAGTACATTTAATAATAGTTATTCCAAACATTACTTTGATAATAAAAAAAGGAGATATTGGTAATCGACTAGTACAATTTATAGTTATTAAAGTTTGTATTTAGATAAGTTCAAAATTTATAAAGAAATATAGTATAGAAATACTAAAATTTTTGAAATAAAAAAAAAGTATCAATTTAACTAATTTTCTTTTTAATATAAATAAATATACAAAGGAAGCTTTTAAAAAGTAATCTACTCTCAATTAACAATAATAGATAAATAATTGTGATTCATAACATTCCTTTATTTTAAAAATAACTTTTAAAGGAATTTTCTTATGAACTATATAAAATATAGAATCTAATAAACTTCAAAAAAAATTATTATTTTAAATAAAAAGATTATTCAGTCACTTTTTGATAAATATAAAATTTATTACAACAAAAAAGATAAATATATATGATTCTGAGATTATTACAAAATAATCATATCTGGTTGTATTATTGAACTATTAATAGATTTGTGTGGAAGTATAATTGCAGAGTTTATAAATGCTTCATTATTAATAGTAACATCTTCACCAAATACAGAAAGCCCATTAATTCTTACCCACTTCCCAATTCTTGAATTCCAACCAATAATTGAAGATTTTATCTTAGAAAAATCTTCTATTATAGTTTTATCAAAAATTATGCAATTTTCAAGTCTAACACCTCTACCAATAATACAATCTTTCCCAATTACAACACTTGGTCCAATTAAACAATCCTTACTAATTTGTGATGTTGGATGAATAATAACATTTTCAATAATATTATAACTTTCATTAGATTGTGCAAGTTCCAGTTTATTCATCTCAATCATTCTTTCTAGTAATTTAAAATTATTTAAGTAATTGGAATTCAGGAAATTCTGTGATATAACTTCTGATTTTATCATTTCTCTATTCTTTTGTATTGTCAAATCATCATAATTCACAATTGGATCTAATTTATCTTCCTCATATAAAAATAACTTTGAACTTTTCTTCGTATAATACTCCATACTTTGGAGATATTTTAGAAATAACTGTGTACCATAAAGGAAGTCTGCAGGGATTCCAACATCAGCCCATATATTTATTTCATTAGTCAAAAATCTTAAACAATACAAGGATTTACGAGCAGCTATTTTAGGAAATATATTTTTTTCTATTGAAACTGCTATATTTGGTTCAATTAAATTTAATATAGATGGTGATAATATATATAATCCAGCATTAATAAAATTTCCAATATATTTCTGTGGTTTCTCAATAAATTCCTCAACAAGACCAGTATCTCTATCATGAACTACTACTCCATATTTAGATGGATCCTCTACTTGTTTAACAAGAATTATACCTTCACATTTCCTTTGGTGATCACAGTTTAATTTACTATACATAGTTAGTATCTCCTCCAATGGAAAATTACAAACTATATCAGAGTTACAAACAAAAAATGGTTCATTTGTAATAATATTATCTTCAATAAACCTTTTGGCTAATAATATTGGACCAGCTGTTCCTAGTGGCTTTTCTTCAATACTAGCATTAATTTTTACCCCATATTTTTTCTCAATATTTTTAATTGGTTCTCTAAGCTCTTCTGATAAATAATTTACTGCTAGAATTATATTCTTCACTCCCACTTCTACAAATTGAGATATTTGAAATTCTATTAATGGAATATTGCAGAGTTCAATTATTGGCTTTGGTTTGCTTAATGTTAATGGGCGGAGGCGAGATCCAAATCCTCCAGATAGTATAATTGCTTTCATTTTTAAAATTCCTAGAAAATCTTATTTAGGAAGTTGTAGCACTTACTAGATATACAAATAGTAATTAAATTCAAAATAATTGAACTATGATTAGATTGGAGATGAGGTAATACTAGAAAAGTATGCAAATAAAACTTAGCGCTATCTAGGGAAGAATTTATTTAAAAAAAAGGAAAAAAAAGAATAAAGTGAAGAATTTGCCAAACTAAAGTGTTAATATAAAAATAGAAATATTACAAGTAAATTAATCATTGATCTAAAGTACATCAATAAATTACCATTTAAATAATAATCTTAGGAAGAAAAAGAAGAAAGATAAAAGTAAATTTTGAATTTTCATAATATGTATTTAAATTTGTCTAGAATAGAGATTCAAGCTAATTACTTTGACAGAGAGTCTTTCATTATAGAAAATGCATCAAATGAGCTAAATGGGCACTTTTTCTCCTTATTCTGTAGAACGTCAACATTTTCTGTGTTGCAAGGATTAGTTTGCAAATTGTTTATAATTATATCATTAACTAGATTATTATTGGATTGGTTATTATTCAAATGAACTTGATTAGTATTCAACTGATCTATTATAGAATCTTCAGCTTCAAATGATTCTGTTCTTTCAAATGATTGCAAACAATTATTAATAGAATTATTAAAATTTGATAAATCAAATAGATTACTAACATTATCAGTAGATATATTATCATATAATTTTGCAATAGCCTGCTTAGCAGTATTTATTCTAGCTATCCTTGAAGTACTTTCAGTTGAAGATTTGCATGTTGAATTGATACCAGGGTCAGACAAAATATTACTCAACTCCATTAAAGGATTATTATTTTTGTTGTCTTTCTTGACGTTTTTAATATTTTCTTGAATAATATTTATATCCCTTGTATTTGCAATATCTAATAAATCTGAATTTAATTCGTTTATTAAGTCATTTTTACTAATTGAAATTAATTTTTCTGTCTTATCTTTATTTTCGATTGTGTTATTTTTCTCTTGACCATTACTTTTTGTATCTAGTGTATCTAAGTAATAGTCTGATATAAATTTACGTGGATCTTCGTTTCTATTTAGTAGTAATATTGGAGGTTCTAAGTTCTTTGGTACATATAATTTAAATTCATATTTATCACGTATCCATTGTTCAACAACACTATGTTGTTGATTATTCCAGCTTGGTCTCATAAATCCAGTTGGTAACTTGTACTCATAATACATATTAGATAATTCATTGCCAATAATACTGCAGCGTTCAATCCACTCATTTTGCCATGTATCTAGTGATATACTTTTAACTTTTGAAATATGTACACCTAAGTGACGGTGGATTCCACTACAATCAATACAAATAAGTATTCCTAAATTGATAGATGCCCATCGAGGAGTTTTAGCACCACAATCTGCACATATCTTATTTCCAGGTATAGCACTTAATCGTTCAGAAAGACTTAAAGTTCCATTATTGTTTGAATTTCTACTGAATGAAAGTGTCTTTCTGGTAGTTCCAATACTACGCATAATTAAAGTTATAATTTATCTAAAGCATCCAATAAAGCTCTAAGATTCTCGTAACTATCCAATTATTCTATACTATATAATAATAGAGCCACCTTAAATATATATTGATGTCGAGGTTAGCTAAATCCTTTTATATAAAAATAAAAGTATAGGGAATTTTTTATTTTGGCGCCTAATATTATATATTTATAAGAGTAAAGTTTGGAGACCCAAAAGTTCATTTCTCATTATATATATATATTGTATATATATATATATATATATATATATATCTTATTAGTTATAAGTTCTTATTGGCTAATAAGAAACAAATATATGCAAAGGAGACATAATGGTAAATCGATAGATTTATCCTCTAGTTCACTCTTCAAATATAAGCAATATAGACCAAATCTAATTTCAAAAAATAATGCATTAATGTCAAATAAGCAAATAAATATACCATCCTCATGTATATATAATAAAGGACAAAAGATAACAAGTAGTATAAATTTAGGAAGAGAGAGTTTTGTGGGTCTAAATTGTAGGATTTATCTATATAGTGATAGATGTGGTAATGGGAACTGTTCTAGATATAAGAATTGTGATGATATTATAACAAATTTTGATCGAGCAATATATTGGAATAATATGGCATTAGTTGATATGCTATATCCAGATGATGAAGACTTTGTACAATGTCCTATATGTTTAGAATCTGATTTGGTATCTCCAAGAATAACAAGATGTGGCCATATTTTTTGTTGGCCTTGTATTCTACGAAACATATATGAAAAAGATCTGAAATACTTATGTCACTGTAAATGTCCAATTTGTTTTTCATCTGTTATTTTGAAAGAATTAGTACCTGTAAGATTTCAACCAATTAGAGTAATAAAATGTGGAAGTACTACAAATCTATGCCTATTATTTCGGGAACAGTCCGAACCAGTGGCATATTTAAAATCTGATTATTTGAGAAAAATAGGACTCAAGAAATTACTTTGTGAAGAAGATTCTGGAGTGCAATTTCAAAGGATATGTTTGCTAAACAATAGGGAAAATTTATTGAGGAATGATCTTTTAATGTTAGAATCTAAGCGTTTTAAAATTTTCGAGGATTCTGAACTAGAGAATTTGGAAGATGAGTTATTTTATATTGATGAATGTATAAATATAGTGAGGAGTAATTTCAAAGATTTTGATCAAATTACATATAATAAACATAATATGGATAATAAAGGACACATTTCAATTGTTTATTATAATGAGAATGAACTAGCTCAAATTTTAGCAACTAATGATTCAAACAGATATAGTGTAAGTACAAGAGGTAGTTTTAGCCTTTCTCCAACAATTTCTTTAACACAGTCGAGTGAAAAAATTAGTTCATCTTCTATATATTATTTTTATCAAACATATGATGGTCAATTATGTTTTTTAGATCCATTTTATTTGAGAATTTTATGTTACGAATACGGGGATATAGAGGATCTTCCCCCTATACTGACTGATGTCTTAGTTATAGGTATGAAGGAGTTGGTTTTAGTTGATAATATAAGAAAACAATATAAATATCTTAATCACTTGCAACCGGGTTCTAAAATATTCTTATTACATATTGATATAACCCCATTTATAAAAGATGAGACTAAACAGGTATTTAAAAAGGAACTTTATAGAAGATATTCTAAATTGAAAAGTGGAATTAAAACTAAGAACCAAATTATAGGGGACGAAGCTCATTTTTGTAATAAATACCACTTGTTTGAAAGAAGTAATCATGAATTAAATAGTCTCTTTAATAAGAATACTACGAGAAGTGAATTAATTAATTCAACTTTTGATATAAATAATGTTTTAATAGATACTCCAGAAATTGGAGAAGATACAAATATACAGCTTGAAAAATATTTATTAAAATGTGATTCAAATAATGAGGTTAGATTAACGGTAGAGAATAAATATTTTGCAGATAATAATAAATTTGAATCTACGGATGCAGTATTTCCTACTTTAGTGAATAACAATTCTAATATATCCAAGATAACAAAGAATACAGATTCATTTTTGAATGCTGTTAAATTTAGCAAGTTTGATTATGACTTCCCAAAGCTATCTAAATCTTTTAATTTAAGAACAAAGTGAGTACTGGATATACTTGGATTTTTATCTACTATTATTTTTATTAATATTAAGGTAAAATAGACATTAGTGGTTTGGTTTGTTTATTTTTAAAGTATTTACACAAAACTACTTAAAATCTATAGAAAATTTATTATTGTTAAGGTATATTAGGATCATGCACCTATTTTTAACAGAATAAAAATAAAAAACTATCAGATCATTTTAAGTCTAAAACTTTTCTTTTTCTAAAGATATATTCAAAAATACTATATACTCAAAATTCCCAATATAAAATATCTGATTTGATGAGTTAATTTACGATTTATTGTAAAGAAATATTCAACTTTTTTGGACAAATTTATGGGATAAGAACATTAAGAAGAGAATTATTGTTCTACACTTGAATTTAATAAATTAGACTACATATCATTTTTGAATTGTTAAATATATTTGTTTAATCTAGTATTTAAGTCGATATTTGATTACTTTTAGAAAAGTTTTGCTATTTCATTATACTAAAATGGTCTAAAAAATAATACTTGTTAGTCTCGATGGATTATATGGAAAGACATAAATGAAATATTTTTTCTTAATTAAAACTATATTATTGGAGATATACCTTGATATCTACATGTATATATATATATACTGAATTTCAAGGTATGGTACTCCTTTGAATTGAAATTTTGATTATGTATTAAATTTTGAATAATCCTTAAATTATTGGAACTTATCAAATATTAATTGTTTATTAAACTTTATATGTATTAACTAACTCTCTTTTATATGAAATAGATTTATTTTTTAATTGTTGAAACTTAAAAGTGATCTTTTGATGACTTTTTTGAAGTTTCAATTTGGATTAAGTTATTCCTAGTATTTTGTATTAAAGATTAAAATAGTCAATCTGGTAATAATTTTAAGTCGGATAACATATATCGTCTTCTTAATTTTATTAATAAAGTGGAAATTATTCTTATATATGCAATTATTATTTAATATTTAACATAAATAATAAATAATTAGAGTTAATTGTATTTAATTTACAATATTTGTAATTTTTAATGGAGCTCAAGTATAATGGATCATTTTTTCTGAAAATATTGTATACATTTAATATTAAATTCCAATTTTAAAGAATTAATCTGGATTATATTTTATAGTTCTTATTACATCTAGAATCTTTTACTATTTTTACTGAAAATATACAATGACTAGTATAGACTTGAATTTTAACATAAAATCAATACCTAATTAAATTATAATTTCTGCAGCAATTAAATATAAGATATATGAAAGTTTAATAACTTCTCACTAATTTATGTTATCAATTCTGAAAAAATTCTACTATGTTAAGTTACTACAAACAGTTTTCTTGCAACTACTTTACTGTAAAATAATATATAAAACACTGTAAAGTAACTACTAATCAACTTATATAGTTTGAACTATGTAATTAAGGTATATTTGTATATAGCAAAAGTAAACCATTGCTTGGTATAAAATTACAATTATATTACGGCTTCTCTAAAATGAGCACAAGTTTCATTGTCTCTTATAATACACTAACTACTTTATAAGTTTCATATGTTTGTATATTTGAAGATCTATATAATTTTGCAATATTTCAAATTTAAACTAGAGAACAATTAGTCTTTTGATTGAGGAAAAAGTGCGCAGACAGGGATTCGAACCCTGGAGTACACGTGTACACCAGATCTTAAGTCTGGCCCCTTAGACCGACTCGGGCATCTACGCGAATACAGGCATCTCCTTTATCTGAAGGGTCATGTTAAATGAATATAAAAGTTCTCTAACTTTATATATATCTGAACTTTTTCTATAACCTGTCTTAAAATGGCAATTAAATATATTACTCTAGGAAATACTGATATAGTAAGAGTTATTAGTACTGCAAGTCAGAAACTAAAGTGAAAAAGTTCCAAATTTATATAATAAAAGTAAAGAACTTCAAAGGTTTAATAGTACTAATCAAAGAAAGCTGAAATACACTATACAGAAATTAATTATAAAAGTACCTAGTTTCAACAAGATTAAGTAATGAAAAGGTGAACAAATATCAAAAGATTGAATTATTTGAAAGATTATGATATGATGGACTAAAAAGGAAGCTAAAGTAGAAACTCTCTATAGGATAATTGCTTAAAGTCTTGTAAAAATAAAATTAAAACATGGATATATAACATTTCTAAGGTTAAATTATCATATTGGTTATAGTAATAGCTTTACAGACCTAGGAAGTTAGTTTTCTTGCTAAGTTTATACAAATTGCAAGTTAATAGTTTACAATGTAGATATTATCTTTGGTTCTGCTGAGCCTTAAGCTGCAATTGAGCATGATTTAGTTTATTTTTTAAGTCACAATGTTCACTTTTTATTTTCTCAAAACGATCTTCTAAAATTTGGCGTTCTTCTTCAACCATTGATTGGAGATATTTGAATTGTTTTAATTTGAGTTCTAACCTATTAAGAGTAATATCTATCAATTGAGGCATCAAATTTAAAATTTCATTTTCTTCCCAATTAGCTAAATCTTTTGCTCGTTTAGCAGCACTCTCAAGAGCTATAGAGCATACTTCTTGAACTCCCTTTTCACCTAAAAGAGCTGAGCTTGGCCACTCCGCAGATGATATACAAGGTACAAATTTCGGTAAAAATGGATTATTTATAGGATTCGTTACATTTTCATTTGTAATATCATTTGCTACTTCTCTATTATTTTCTTTAATGCTCAAAGATTGTGTATCTATATTTTCTTCTATGTATTCTTGATTAATTTTTATATTTGAATTTAAGTTATCTATATATTCTCCAGTAGTTTCTCCTTTCGAGTAATCCTGGCTATCTTGGGTTTTCTCTTTAAATCCTTCAATTTCTAGGATTTTACCAAGAGCTGACTTGGCAGCTGAAGCAGCTACTACAGGGTTTATGATAGAGGCTACTAAAGCTATTTGTGTCATTAAAGGATTACTTACATCCATAAAAGGGAAAGAAGTTTTTGTATGTTTAGAAGGATTTACATTCCTCATGAAAGGTTCTTCGATAGGTATCTGTATAAAGTAAGCTACACATTCTTGAGGAGTTCTATTATTTCCAACATAATGAGATACTGCATCCCAATCATCACCATGCAATTCAATACCTTCAATAAGTCTTTGAACTTCTTCTTGAGTCCATGTTGCAATACCAAGTGGACCTGCCTTCATAACATCTTCTGGAGACTTTGCAGCTGCAGTAACAGGTAGATCAACTTTAAGAAAGTGACCTCCATGAAGAATAGATGGAAATCTTCCTTCTGAATAGCATCTAACACACCATACACATCTATCTAACGCTGCCATAGATACTCCCTGAACAACACCAGCTCGTAGGATATAATAGCAGTACATACAAGGTTTGTTACATGAGATGCATTGAGCAACTAAACTTGTTGCAAAAGGATTATTAATTGTATTCTCATCAATGCGACTTATTGGAGTAATATCATATTTAGAGTTGTTTTTAGGCCAAGATGCTAAATCTTTCATTTTATAATCCATTAACTTGCGAGTTTTAGGTGGAAAGGTTTTAGGATCAGCCTGAAAATTAATAAGACCCCAAAATTCCAGATATACATGTAATTGTAGTAATACAGATATATCTCCAGTATAGGGAATACGCCTCCTGCACTCTGTAACTGTTAAATATTGCCTAGGAGTCTTTCTGTACAAACTTATAATTTCATTTCTTAAAGCTTTGTACTCCAATAATCTCGTATCATCTATAAGAGACCTCATACTGTCTAAATTTTCTTTACCATCTGATCCTCCTTTATCTTGAGGTGAAGTTTCCTTTATTTCGGATCTAAATATTGGTTCTAGCATTTCTATCTCAATAGGGTGCACCTTATCCATATCAAACCAATCACTACAAGAAGGTAACTCAATAGGAATTTCCTTCGTAAGATCTTCTAAATCTGTATCCTCTGGTCCTTCATTTTGAGTCTCAGTAGATGGTTCCTTAATTTGATACATTTGAGCCATAGATTCAGGCATGGGTTTTACTTGAACTAGATATGCAGAATTGAAATTAGGATCATATGGATAGTAAGCCCGAGTTGAGAACTTCTCCTTTGAAAGTAATAGTGAATTGGCATATGTTCGAGGAGGTTGTTGTACTACATTTGGAGCTATGGGGATTGGTTGTGGAGGTAGGAATACAGGGGTATGACCCACTTGAGAGATCCCACTGTATCCAACAGGTGAAGAAGAAGAAGCACTACCAGAAGTATTTATAGAACGAGTATGATGATCGTTATAGTGGTTATGTTCATCCTCATTCTCCCCTACTGTTACTGCTGAAGATGTCTCTTGATCAGATAACATCTGACTACTCTTTACATACTCTTCCTTTGAACGTCTCAATTTAGATCTTCCAGACTTATATCCAGCACTATTAGATATTAATTTCTTAGCTTCTGTTTCTAGTTTGTCTAATGTTTCGATAACCTCTTCATCATCCACAGACTCATCAGATAGAGCTTCTAACTGATCCTCCCTAGCTTCCAAAGAACTGTCAACTCGCATATTTACAACTTCAACAACTTCAACCTTACGTGCAGAGGATGGGAAACAATTTAATAGTAAAGCTGCTCTAGATTCTTCCATAGCTGACTTTGCATCTCGATTTGCAAATGAGACTGCTCTCTTCCTACGCTTCTGCTTATTCGATCCCTCATCTTGGTATGTCCCATCTTCTGCTTTTAAGCGGATCCGAAGTTTAGGACCTAATGGTGAGTCACCATTTCCCATTTTCTAATTATCTTTATCACAAATTTCTTCAATAACACCTCGTGCAACATTTAAAAAATTACCACGTTTACGTCTCGTCTTGTGTTAGTGTACCGGAATCAAGTTATCAAGTGCTATTATGTGGAATATCGTGATTTAAAGAATAGTATGGGGGACTATCATGAGATTGTTTAATACTATAATATTAGATATTTGCAATTAGTATTTAATTTAATTATGTGTGATTCCATTCAATCTATCTCATTATCATATCTTATTTCACTTTAAATTACCATCAGTATCCTCTACACTCTTGTGTTATAAGCTGTAGTACATGCCTTCGCAAGCCACAGCGAAGTGAACATTTGCCTTGATACACAATTTTACATGTGATATCTTGAATTGAAGCTATAAGAATAGCGATAGAAAGTTTCTTAGAATCAGTTGAGCTCTTAAGCCAGTGTAAAGGCAAGTTGAAAGTAATATATAAATTTTTTGTATTATCAATTTCTAGAAGAGTTTCCGAAGATAATAAGGGGTATGAAATTTTAATGCCATGTAACTTCCCTACTTTTCCTTGAATATTCATTCTTGAATTGAAAGCAATTGATAGTTCTTGATAGAAGTGAGAAGCAAGAGAGTTTTGAAGTGTACTGTTGTTGCAACTTTCAATAACTACTAAAATATCATCAATATTTAAATTATTGGGGTAATAAAACCAAATAGTTTCCGAATTTAAGTGTATACATTCAACAGCTTTGTGAGTCTCAAAGTGTATACTTGAATGAATGTTAATGCTGCTGATATCATCTAAACTAGAAAAAGTAATGTATCTGATCATATTCAATATGTTGCCAGAATATAAACATAATCTTAAACAAGAAGTAAGCATAATAAATGCAAATGATTTTATATTACTATAATCCAATTTGTTGCAGTTTGAATATCGTTCATTTAGTACAGATATTGGAATTGAGATAGTTAAGTGATAATCATCTTCACCTAATTCACTTTGGTTCAATTTATCTTCTTGTTCCACTTCAAATTCATCATCACTTAATAATCCAAAGTTATTGGTAATTTTAATATCTAAAAGTTTCCTGTAGTGCTCAATGAGTTGTTTTCCATCATTCCAAAGTTTATGAATATGTTTAGCTTTAGCTTCAATGATCACATATTTAATATGTCCATAAGCTAATGTTTTATTATTTTGGGGACCAAATTGCAAATATAACCGGTATTCAAAACTATCGCGATCATATATAGTCTCTATTTCTTTATTATGCAGTAGATAATGGCATGCAATATTTTTGTTCTTGTTCCCATCATCACGTATATACTCTACCAGATCCTTCAACCTTTTTTCAATAATAGGATGACTGCAATCTTTAACTAGCTCATTCATCGATTATTAGAACTCCTACTATGTAATGCATTTGAAAATTTTGGTTTATAAGAGCTCAAATAAATATTAAGCCCAGTAACTTGGCGGTAAGATGTGTCGTTTCCATATGCATCATGGTACCCTGTGCTAGCAAAATACAAATCAAATAAATTTTTAAGTTATAAAGTAATGATAAAAGGAAGCAGTAGAGGTTTAGTAGGAGTATTATTAAGTTGCCCAAATTTTTATGAGAAAGATCCAGTACTTGATGAAGAAGTTATATGTGGAACGGAACTACAGCAAGTAACCACCATAACTGACAATAGTACAACAAAAAAACCTGGAGAGGTAGAAGAAATGCTTACAAGTGAAATAATAGAATCTGATTACTATATTATATCTCTGCTAGCATCTGGTTACCCAAATGTTTTACTTAATGAGGCAAGGTATCTAGACAATGAGGCTATTGACAACTACAAAAAGTTACAAATCACATCATTAAAAAATTCTAGCATTATAATAAAAAGTAATAAGGAATATATTAATAATATAAAGTTGAATATTGATGATCTAGATTCATATGTAAATATTATAACTACTATTCTGTACCCAAAAATATCTGAAAGTATTGAAGAAATGAAAGAATCAGTTTGTGAACATATTTCGGTATTAAGCAAACTTAATAAAATAAAAAATTCTTTTCAAATTATTATGGACTTGATAGATTTACCCAATTTAATAAATAACTTAATAAATGCTAATATGATGGATGAAGCACTAAATGCACTAGAATATGGTGAATCTTCAATAAAGCTTGTTGAAACATACTTAATCGCTACTTCATCATCATATAGTAGAAATAAATCAGAAACTAGTTGTTCATTACTACTTTTAGATACAGTATATGAAAAGTTACAAAAAATGAGGGAACTATTTTATCATACTTCTAAATTAAAATTAATTGATAGCCAATTATCTCTTATACAGGCTGTCAATATTATTGGACAGCTTAGAAGGTTAATGTTATCTAAACATAATATACTTGCATTAGATAATGATGTAAGTCCTAAACAAAATCTAAATGAATCTAACACTTATAAGCCTGTGACTAGTTCTCCCAGCGATATTAACTATATCCTAGCAAATATTTTTCTAGAATGTCGAGGGGAATATTTGAATTCAGAATATGCAGGAAAAGCTATGGCAACAATTAGTGTCAACCCCTATTTGGCTTTAACAACTGCAATGAGTTTGTTTAGTACACCATTGCTAACTGTTGCATCTATTTTCGATTCAATATTTCCTGATCAGGATTTGCGTAGGAAAACTTTAATTCCGTGGGCTAATAAGTACACAGAGTGGTTTGCTCAATTGATTAAAATGGCTCTGCATTTTAAACTAAATGATGGAGTTGAAAAAATAAGTACCTTATCTATTGAACCCAAACTTGTAAATTCATTAACATGTAAAACAATATATTCTGCTAATTTGGATTTAGATGAATTACCACTAGCAGCTTCTTGTTGTCAGGCAATATATAAACAAATGTATGCTCTATTTTCATCTTCTGGAACTGTCTCTTCTTTAATACTACCTTTGATTGAGACATATATGATTGAATATATCAGGAAGTTACTCGAATTTTCAATTGAATCATTTAAATTTGAATTAAAAAACTTTGATTGGTCAACTAAGAATAATTATATGGCGTCATTATCAATACTTTCATCTCTTTCATTATCATCTCTAAATCTTAATAATGGAATAAACAATAATCCAAATTCGATAATAAACTATCGTCCTCTTGCTGTACTTTATAATGAATTTACACATGGAATGAATGAATTAAGACAATGTCCTATTTTATCAATACAACCATTTGTTGTTGATTTGGTAAGAGACTTCTTATCAATATTAATAAATGAGATAAATGAACTATTTAGACAAAGTACACCATACAATAGCTCAATTAATGACAGCATAAAACCTTTATTCATAAATATTGATAATGTTTTAGATTTTACAAAAGTATTTGTTTATGATTTTGTTCCCTATGTTGAAAATTGTCTAAATTTTACTTTTGATTTACCAGATGATCAGAATATAACTAAACCTAATTTTGAATCTGATGAAATAAACCCAATAAGCTATAAAACTAATCAAAATTTCCATAATATAAAGTTAGATTTAAATTCTGAAAAGTTTATTGCACCTTTAATTTTAAAGTTAAATTCATTTTCAAAACCTTAAGATACTTACAGGTATCTTTTTATATACGGCTTGTAAGAAAAGAAAATTCATATATCCCATGGTCGATTAATTATACCCTGATTCCAATTTGTATAATTTGAACTTATATTATTTATTGCTTTATTGAGAAATTCATCATCAGAATCACTCGAAGTATAGTAAAGTTTATTATATATGAGTAATGATGTAAACCAAGAAATTGAGATATCTGTATATAAATCATTTCCATTAGATAATCTAGTATAACTATATTTAAAGTTGACATCTAAATAATTTTTTAGGGAGGTAGAATATTCAGTAAAAGCATGCTCTATTTGATTTTCCCAATACTTCTGTTTTAACCACTTTTTAGTCCATAATATAGAATATTCCGGTGTAAATGCAACATGACTGTGCATAACTATTAAGAGAAGTTTAAATATTAAAGTTTCTTATTTTAGATATGTAGATAGTAATGTCAAACATACCTGTATTGAAGACAATAGGAATGAGTAATTTCTTTGGATCGCTAGCAACTAATTGGACTATTATGGGTGAAGATGCCCTAATAACAGTATTTAAGGAGTAGTAGTTAATGTTTGACTCCTCTTGTTGATTTTGAAAAATTCTAGCACTAGTTAGTAGCCATTCTTGAATATCATTTGAAATTCTTGGGTTTAGCGATAAAATTGCATTAATTATTATTTGGTTGTAAATCTAAAATATCATAAGCATTAAAGTACAAATTTTTATACTATTTTTTTTGACTTACCTCTTGATTAATAAGGAGATTTTTGAATTTAGGAAGTTTAATCAAGTTGGATACTATACTAGATGTATAACTTTCAATAGTTGCAATATCATTTGTATGTAAAGCTAAAGGGGAATTAGTATCACATAAAATATTGGATGATATTCCAGGTTTACATAATGGTAATGCCATAAAGCATATTATAAATGTAATGATCATATCTGAATTATCTGAAATGCTTTGGATTACCTCTATCGAATAATTCATAAATCCTCTAAATACTACTAGACTATGTAATACAAGATGTGGTCCATAATATGATAAGTAGTGCTTTGTATCTTCATCAATCTGAATGTTATATGCTAAAATATCCCATATTTCCATAAGTAGACTTACCTTTTTTTTTATTTCTTTATCAGTTTCACATTTATGTATTGGAATAACAAGGCTTTCTACAATACTTTGTAAGTGATACCTTACTTGTCTGTAAGACATCTCAACTATGGGTGTTAAGTCTGTTGTCCAATCTATAAATGAAGGTGGGATCCAGTAAGTTGTTTGATTAGGTATGTTAAGAGATATATTAGCATTCATGTTTGTCTTATATACACTATTTATAAAATTTTTAATATTTGTTACTTGATGAAAACGAATTATGTTAAATATAATACATGATGGCATTCCACGTCTTTTCAGTGAATTATAAGAACTGTTTTCAGAGATTAGTGGCTGAATTTTATTATCTGAATATTTGGTAACAACAGTATTTTGATCTATAAATTTACCTCCAAAACAAAAGTTTAGTTGACTAGCTTTTATATAATGTAATTGTTTCTTTGTTATATTTCTAATGTATTCATCCCAATTTTTGCATGAATCTTCAATTTTATTGAATGTTTTAGCCAAGTATATATTTCTATGAAATATATACTTGTCAATTATATTTTCTATTGATGCTAATAATATAGGCTGAGTCAGAATTATTTCTTTTACTTCACACCCAATTACGTTTGATTTTCTTCTTAGTGTTTGTATATTTGCCATATATTGTGTAGTATCATTGAGAATTTCATGTGTTGAATTAGCTGAATATTGCTTTGTTGAAAGCCTTCTACTTAAGTTCTTAGATGGTAAATTCTGTGCCTCTAGTAAGAGTTTGACCTTCTTTAAATATGGCAATTGATTGGGAGTAAAGACTTGATCTGACACTTGACATAAATCTGGATTATTCCTTCTAAAATTTTTAATTTCCAAGTCATCCGAAGTATCCAACCATACAATGATGACATGTAGCTGAGGGAGGGAGTTACAAAATTGTTTATTATATAGAAGTTGAGTTAAACTTCTCATTTCTGAAAACCTAGAATCTACAAATATTATTAAAGTTGCTAAGTTAAATGAAAGCATACTATTTTTTAGCTCTAAAGTATTATTAAAAATATGTAGGTTTGTATTTAGACTCCCGACAATTTTAAGTAGTATACTTCTGTAAAATGAATATATACCTGTGTTTTCAACAAGGAAAATAGCAAAGTTATCATTATTATCAATTTCTTCTGAGTTAACAATTGGACTACTATTGTAGCCTTTCTCAGTAGTTACATATAAAGGTTGTGTATATTGTTTGTATTTTATCAATATAGATATTTTGTCTTCAATTACATTGGAAGTAACATTCAGTTTATGCATTTCAATTAAGGAAATAAGCCAACTAGGATTTTCGATAAGATATACTTCTAAAATACTATTAGCTCTCCTTGCATTAGGTTCACGAGGTTCAATTCCTTTCTGTATTTTCGATATAAAAGGAGTTCTCGATTTTTTCCCAATAAGTTGATTTATTTCATCATATATCTGACTAGAATTTAGATTTATATCTCCACTTTTGAGTTTAATAGTGAAGCAAATAGAATTGTCATCGTTTACCAATATATTCACGCTTGTTGGTTCTCCATAACTAGTAGCTGTATAAAATAATACTGTAGAGGTAATGAAATAAATGATTACACTAGCTTCTTGAGAAATCAAGATATTGAGTTGATCATAAGGTTTATTAAAATTTAAATTATAATTAATCTTTGATTTACTATACTGACTTGACAAAAGTAAAGTACAAAATTCTACGAATGATAATAGTGATACTCTGTTCTCTTCAATATTTTTCATATAAAGCTCTGGATTGTCTTCAAAAATTGAATTAAAAAACTCAGGAATTCCCTTAAAAGCTTGTTGATAAGTTTCCTTAAATTCATGAGTAAAAAAATTAGATTCTGAACTTATATATAATTGCATTTTCAGAATATGAAATAAAAAAAAGTTCAATTTCCATATTTCAAAATTATTATAGTCAATAATTTCTAAAATTTGGCGAATATATAAGTCATATGATTTGTATTTGGATTCTTCATCTTCTAACCCAATATTTGTCTCTTTATCCTTATATACATTTTGGTAATTATTATGTAATTTTGTAAGTTTAATTTCTACCAAAGACTTCTGTATTTTGTTCGTTAAACCAAGAAATATAGATGGAATGGTACTGACAGATTTCTTAGTTTCCTCCAAGAATACCTTTTGTAGATGTTCATATCGTTTTTCAATAACATAAGCTCTATGTGAAAAAATCTTTTTAGTTTTTATTTTTTCAACTATAATTAAGGGATATAAAATCAAAAGGGCAGCTACTACAACAATTCCGAACATTACACTTGTCAAAATAATAATGGTTGAGATAATTGAGTCAATGCGAATTTTTGCGTTACGTTTAATCTCCTTCATCCCAGTAGTATAAACTTGAATTGCACTAAGTAAAGGTGAAGTTGGAACATATATTGTTCTTCTTCCCAAAAATTCGGAAATTATATTCGATATATTTCCCTTAGTATCATTTAAATTTAAATATGACGAACTATTATAATCAAACCCATTAAAAACTGCAGGATTTGTTATTTTTTCTTTTTCTATGGGATTATTTGTAACTTCTGGTCTACTTTTGTTTATAATTCCATTTTTTATTGTATAATGTCCATTATTTTTGTGATAGATATCACTTCTCGAAAATTTTAGTTGATCATTTTTAAGAAAAGGAAATCCACGATAAATAATTGATTGAAGCTTCCTAGCTAGAGCTGGTTTTAAAAGTAGTATGGGGGAAACCTCAGTACTAGAATTAGCATAACTCCTGTTTAAATCTCGCATATCCTTAATATATATGCTATCTTTGTTTTTATAAATTATAGAAGCAATTGAATTGATCTTATATAAAGGAGCTTGATATTCCGTTCCATTAATAACAACTCCTGTCATTTTAGGTCCTCCTGATATATCTAACATAATAAAATGACTGCAAATCAGTGTATTAGGACCAAAATTAGGAATAAAACTTGGTGAAATTGGAGGTATTACTCCAAGATATGCAGATGTATAATTAATTAGTACTTGATGCCAAATCCAAATCTGAACTTTTGAATTTACTATTGGATCTTTAAGAAAAATAGACTGAGCTGCTAATGAACCTGGAACTAGTTCATCCATACACATATTTATATCAGAAACAACGGGATCTATATTAGCAAGATAAAGATAAAAAGAAAGATTACCATTTTTTAAATAATTAAAAGTTCCAAAATCGATTCTATTGTTATCATATAAATAGTAACAAAAAGAATAAGGATAGGCTGAGATGACTACTTCTAAATTCCTTATATATTTTATCATATCTAATTTCTCGTTATAAGGGGGATTGCTATCACATGCGAAATTATGAAGAAGTGTATCACTATATCCCATATAGTATGTCCTAATTCTTTCATTAACACTACTTATATATATATTATAGTTTTTCCATAAAGGAAATAATTCGACGTGAATTCCAATCCCCATACCAATCCCAATACTTACTAAAGGGGCTAAACAAAAAAATAAAATAGCAAGTATCTTTATCCCAAGTTTCCTTAACTTGACTTCTTCATGATCTACTGTCATTTTTTTAGGTTTAATTACAATATATCATAGATTAAAGGATATGGAAAAATTCTATAAATAATTTTGAAATGAACTTGAGTTGTGTACAAGTAGTATAAATTATGTTATCTCTTATTCAAATACTCCAAACTATTTTTTTTTTTAATAAATTCACAATAAATGTAGTTACACAATTTATTAGCTAAGTAATATAATATTATACTTTTAAATATAATTATATATATATAAGCTAAGTCCACTATTGAATTCGCTAATCTGAAGAATTTTCCAATAAATTTTACTTCATTAAAAAGTCTTCAAAACATAGAAAATTACAAAATTATATAATTTAAAAGTACTTGCTAATATCATAAGTATTCACCATATGGTAATAGTGCTTCTTTGAGGTGTGGTATACATGCACTTTTTTTTACCACACTAATTAAAATAAAAATCTGAATTTTTCTTAGTGCAAAATCCTCATTACTAATTATTTTCTTGCTATTTCCATTAACTGGACAAATTTATCATAATTTGCTTTAGCTTGACCATCTGATTGTACCATGAGCTGTCTAGCATCATGTACTGTTAATGCAACTCCCAATCTAGAACATGTATCTGCTAAACATTCAGGAGTTATTACACCAGTACCATCTTTATCTAACAGCATAAATATTTCCTTCAGTTGATCCTTTAGAGGAGCAGATTCTAATTGTCTTTCAATGAATCCTGAAAAAAGAGTAAAATCTAAGGTGTTTGTAACACCAATCTCCTTTTGGTTTAAATCAGTTCCTCTACCACGAATCTCACTCATCAATATATCAGTCTGTTGAGGTGTCATTTCCATTCCTACTATTTTGAAAGTTTCATATAAGTCACTTCCACTTATATTCCCATCTTTGTCTCTATCGAATAAGTGAAAAATTGTTTGAATATCAGATAATTTATTGGGAATTGTTTGCTTTTTTGGTATATAGATACCTTTATCTTGTCCCATTTAGAATATATTGTATGGCCTTTATTTATTTCGTTTTATTGTTTTCTTTTTAAAACTAACTATATCTTAAATATATCATGTTTATATGCATGCAAATTTCCAATAATACGTATACCACCAATACTTCAAGCAGCATGTATATGTCGCGTTTGTGGATTATTACCATTTAAAAGGATTCATAGCTGAGAGCTAAAACATTTCATTTAAGTAATTAAATGATAGGAAATTAATATGTACACTACATATTTTTCTAATAAATATTAATTCCTGAGTGCATTATTTAATATTATAAGTTACTTTGTTTAAAGTGAAAGTATTTATCTTTAAAATGAATACATATATATATATATTGAACTTACGAAAGATAATTCATTATACTTTGTATTTATATATATACTTACTTTTAGATGCTGTTTACTGTACACCATTTGAATTTGAAGCATCAGAATTACAAAATATTAGAAGGGCAGGCGATATATATGGCCATTTATATTCGAAATTTTCAGTGTATGATATTATGGAAATACTTTCAAAAAATGAATCTAATTCATTTTCATTTTTATTACACAATATAGAATGTACAAATAATTATTCTGACAAATCTACTATGGTTGATGCATATTTCACATGTTGCAATATTCAATATGGAGTAAGTTTGACTAATATGATAATTAGAGACACTGAAATTCCACCATTTGATAAAATGAAAAATAAAGAGGGTCTAGTAAGATGTATTCCTACATATAAATTAGCAAATACATCGGACTCTTGTTCCTTATTATCATTTATTGTTGAATTTGAAGTATCAGATAGTCAACTATATTCTAAAGGAAGATGTAAAGTGTATCCAAATTTAGTTTATTCAAGGTATTTTGATATATTATCATGGCATAGTTATAATGCAATGAAGGTCTTACTAAATTTATGCACAATATTTGGGTTTTATGAACAATATGCCACTACGCCCTCTCCTTTACCTGAATTTATAGAGTACAATCATTCAACTTCTTATATATCTCTTGGTTTAAGGCCATTAGCTCGCTATATTTATAACTCAAAGTCAAATAGAAAAACTGATTTTTCTTATATTTACACGAAATATGTAAATAGAAGTTATTATGCAAGTATGATTACCCAGTTATTTAAATTCAGGGAACAGGGTGAACTGTTAAATGTAAAGGCTACTTTCCAGCCTTATAACCCAGTAGTATATCATGAGAAAAAAAGGAAATTTTTAGAAGCTAGTAATAAATTATATTTTGAAGGTTTTACAATGAATCAAATGGAACTTTTCGACATTTCAATGGAAGTTTTTGATAAATTATCTAATTTAACTGTCTTCTATAAAGATGATTTTAGTCAAATAGACTCATTATATTGTCCATCAAATGAAAGATATAAATTTTTGAGTTTAGAATACAAAAATTTATCTTACATTGTAGATAAAGATGGCAGGCAGGTCTGTATAAAAGGAAAAAATTTGGAGAAAAGTTTGGGAAGATGTCTAAGTGAAATCAGAAGAGGAATTAAAGAAAAAAGTCTCCCTAAATCATTCATAAAACTTTTAAAAAATTTATATCAAGATATAATTGGCTCTTCTAGCAGAAGATATTTAGAGAGCTATATTACTGAATTATTATCTAAATTTTCACTAATTACAAATGAAATAAAAAGTAATTGGCTACAATATGATGTCAGTACTAAGCATGAAAGATTTATAAGTCAAGACAATACTCCTAATATAGAAGAAATAATAAAGATGTTTGCAATGTTGCAAGTAGATCCCTTACCTTCTCATTATTTTTGGAATCAATATTTTGGGTCTGTAAGTAACTGTTTGATTCACAAATATTCTGAATTTATAGAAATTATGTCTACTTTGTTTGTTCGAATAGTTGATGGAAATTTAGAGAGCGAGAATTATGGTAATCCTGATGAAAGTTTTAAGGATTTTCGAAAGTGGTTTAAAACATATTTAAGTACTCAGAAACAAAATAATGTACAAACAAGAAACTCTAGTATTAGTATAAGTGATACTAAAACTAATAAGGAACACAGTATATCAAAATATGGGGATTTAAGTAATATTGAATTTACAGATTATTATTCTAAAAATCTATTTCAAGATAAGCTAAAGTTTATGGATAAAATATTTTCTAACAATGATTTGGGATATAATAAAGAAAGAAAAAGTACAAATGATATATTAAATGATTCATATTTAAGGAAATCTATGCACTATATTCCTTATACAGTATTTTATAAAGATTTGATAAACATAATCAACAATTCTAATAATACCTTATATAGTCAATCTTTTTTATATTCAGAAAATATAATAGATAAAGATGTATTATATAAATCAAAGTGTCCTTCATTTTATATCCCTGCGCTAGATATCTCTATTTCTCCCAAAAAAATTTCCTCAGAAGAAGTTAATAAAATTGAGTTGGCATATAATAAATTATTTAATTCATACTCTGAAGATTTACCGAACATTTCAAGACAACTAACTCCTAGAATATTTGTGAAAGATGTTCCTACGAATATTGCTCATGGTCCCCAGAATTTTTCGTTCGTATGCTCCAAATATAAATGGCCTATATCTCAAATGAGCTATTGGTTTGGTAGTGAATTGTGTGAAATAATGTACAATCCTAACTCTTTGGAAATTAAATTCAAAGTTTTTGACCCTAAAAATATTATATTAACAGAATATAGTGAGTTTGATTATGACAGTGATGACTATGACTCTGTTTTGTTAGGAAATATGATAGATTCAAGCTCTGATTCATCGAAATTAACTGTTATAGTTCCAAATACTCGTATAATAGGCATAGAATTTGTTAAAGATGGCTATAATTCACCTTTTTGTGTAATTTCATATCTAGGAGAGGAATATCGTAAAATTCATTTACCACTTTCAGGCAAAACAGCTGTTAAAATTGCTATTGGTATATGTAAAATGTTTGGGTTTGATAAAATATGGTTATCTGACGGGGCTATTGACATTAACACAAACAATTATTTATTGCATTCAATGTTAACCGAAAAAGGTATCACTTATTACCAATCAATTGGTTTCAACCCTTCTATACAAAGGGCTATAAAACCAGAACGAAATTTACTACCTACATTGTTAATGACTACAGAAAATGGCAAAAATTCTCATTCTTATGTAATTGGTATATCATCTATTACTAATAATATTCTTCTTAAAAGTTATTTGAAGCTAGTAAAGAATAGTATAATTAAACTGGAATCAACAATTAGAGATTTAGTTTTAGATTGTGAAAGTTATTTTTACAAGAATTGTGATGAAATATATCCAGCTATGAAGGTTATCAATAAACCTCTAAAATATAAGTCCAATGCTAAGCAAAAGAATTTTAAGAGATGTGCTTTTGAATATGATCCAATTTATAAAGAGATTATTAAAATATTCCCAAATTCATGTAAGAAAGGTAGTAGAATAGGATCTTGTCATGCTGCTATTAGAAAAGAATTGTTATGTAATAAGGAATTTAAGAGAAACCCTACACTTTATGAAGAACAATTAAATATTTCTATTGAAGATTTATATATAGATGAAGTTACACCTGGATGTATATATCAGAATTATATTACTAGCTTATTTATACCACCCAATGCAAAAGATTATATAGATGATTTTTTAAGAAATTCAATTTTTTATTCAGGTCAAAAAATAATGGAGTCAGGTATCACTTCTATCCTGTATGATCTCATAGAACAACTTCAGAGTATAAATTTTAGTAATAATAAATCTTCGAGAAAGTATGTAGAAAATAGAGTTATTAAAAACTATTTCAATAAAAGTGATAAGAGACAGCTAATAAACATAATGAAAACTTCACTAATTGGTATTGATTTAACTGCATTTGAAACATTTTGGGACGAATTGACGGGGCATTATGGTTTGCAAAATCATCAAAATAGTAAATACAATAGAGAATCAGAACCTATATGTCTTGTTGCATCTATGTATTTTGCAGCCCAATCTTTAATTTATAATTGGGTTTATTATGCTCCATAAATATTAGAAGTCCTTTAATAACTTTTAATTTAATCATACCACATAATATAAATGTTCAGAATTAGTACTAGTGGAGTTAAAAATCAGCAGTTAAAGTATCTACTAGGATCTATTAATTATGTAATCTAATCCAGTCTATTATGTTCAGTCTAAAGAATAAATACAACAAATTAAAAAAGTGTGATAATCTATGATTTAAGTATACTCTTTAATACAACTACTTTAATGAAAATACGAGATTACAAACAACTTGTAGGTAAAGTTTAAAATATTCAGATAAAAAGTAACAGTTTCACAGATAAAATCGAACTTAATCTCTATTCTCTCTTATCTCCTCTATTGGAGCTTGAAGATTGGTGATAGTTGGGATCTTCCATGGGTCTTAAGCTTAATAGACAAATGATAATTGTAAATAGAAGGATATGTGTCAAGTTGACATCAAAAGATCGTTTGAAAGGAAATAGTGTAGACATTACACGACCAATGCTCCACTTTGATAATGGAGGAGTTTGGCACAAACCCCAAAACTCTCCAAACAGATATAGAGTTAATCCCGATAAGCAAATTGTGAATAATCCCATTATTGCACTATCTAAAAATCTTGAATAAGATACCACTGCCATTATTTAGATTTATTTCAAGTATTATTGCATAAATCGGAAAAGTATAAAGAGAAATAAAGGGAGGGGCATAACATTTATCAAGTATTTAATGCCACGTGTATATTCTTTAAGCGGTCAGAATCAAAGTACTAATGAAGATTTTGTTATGTTTTTAATTTAACATTATGTAGAGTTTGGCTCTTATTTTATTTTAATTACAAATATTACGTAGATTGACTCTTCTCTGCAAAACGCAGACCTATCCGTCGAGAGAAATTCATAAACTTAGCAACACAAGAGTTAACACATGTCTTCTCATTATTATCAAGGTTTTTACTTCTAAGTATTGTTATACATTCATTGAAACAACGTTGTACCAAGCCATTATATGTATTCATAGAATCTTGAATCTATATAAAGAGGATTGTTAAGATTTTAGATAATGTAATTTTATAGTAAAGTCTAGTGAATTTGCTCTCTTAGAAATCTAGTGAACTTACCTCTAATTCAGATAACTTATTTAAAACTTCTTCTTTATCCTTATCAGACAATTTATCTAATAAAATGCTATTTTCCATTTCTACATAGAATTTCTGACTTACTTTGATGTATTTCACAAGAATACTTAGCGCTACCAGTTAAATTTACTGGGTATCAGATATATTTAAATTTTTACAAGAAGAAATATAACTTATAGATAGATATAGAATAATTCATTGATATCTTTAAATACTTCTAAATTATAAAAAGTGTTTAAATAGTGATATAATTAGAATAAGTTTATATATATCTACAATTAAAGACAATAGTATAAATCTAAGAAAAAAATTAGAGAATTATGAATAATAGTATATCCATTATATTAGTAAGTAAAATGATCACATTATTAACCAATACATGAAAAGTAATAATTCTTCTTTACTGCTTCTTTCTAGAATTCTTAACAGTTTTAATATTCTCAGATCTGGAGTTGCCATTTATTGCTGAAATAGTATCCTCTATAGATGAAGATATACCAAGAATGTTGTAGGTACCATCATTAGAAGGATTCATAGAATTTGCTTTATAACACTTCCTACATAATAGTGGTTTTAATGACCAACAACATGTTGTGTGAATTAAGCAATTACAACTAGAACATGCTGTAATTAAATTATTACAATTGAGTATCTCAGGCCCTCCACATATTGTACATAGGACATTAGTATTTAATTGTTCTTTACTAGTAACAAGATCTTGTTCTTCCTTCTCATTTTGAGATGTATCTTGCAATTCTAACTGTATAGTATTATTGTTAGTTGTATCACAAGTTCCTAGGTATGAATTTAATACTGGTGTTGATGCTCTCCGTTTCCTTGATGCCTTATTAGATATATCATTAATATTTCCAGGAGATGTTGAATATGGATTTAAATGAATATCAGTACTTTGAACTCTTGAAGAAGACCATGTACTATTTCCAAAGGCCGAATTATTTCCAGATAACATAGAACTATCTCTTTTAACAAGATTACTACCAGATAGTGAGGAGACAGTATTATTATGTTTATTTGAAGTATTTTTAAACATTGAACCACTAGGTGCACTTAATCTACCCGAATTATTAGTTACAATTGAATCATTGTCATTATTTATTAGATCTTCTGTTAATGTTTCCCTTAATAGTTCGTAATGTCTTTTTAAAATTTCCCCATCATGTCTAATAAAGTGTAAACTCTGATCTGATATAGCAATCTTCTCTTTTAATAATCTCTTTTGTTCTCTTTGCATCTCCAATATTTCCAAAAGTCTCGGATCGTCATTTTCATTTGAACATGGAGTATCTCCAGAAGCCTCAGGTTGTATAGTAGTTTCTAAATATATTTTGCACTTTTCTTCCAGCTTCTTACCGAGATCATTACTTTTTTTGTCTACTTCTCTCATTAGTGAAAGGTTTCGCAAGATCCAGCCAGATAGTAGGGATATATCTTCCATAAATTGCTCAAGTGACTCCGACATACTAATAACAAATACTAAAATGACAATTATATACAAAATTATATTAGGATAGTCTATGAGCAATTAATAGGAATAAAAGAAGATGATCCAGGTCTTTAATTATACTAGTATATGAAGGAACCCACAGGATTTCTAAAGATGATAAATTTAGACTTTTCAATATCTTGTATAAGAAGATCCAGTACCTGGGTATTATGCACTGATATTTACAGAATAATATTTTTTTCCATATTATAACACGATATTTCTAATAGTTACAGCTAGCATTAGCAGTCTTCATACTGGCGGTAAATATGGCGCTATATTAAACATCTTTCTATTAAAATCTATAATGAAAAAAATATTCGCTGTATTTATAAGATTTAGATCATATTAATATCCAATAGTCTCATTTTAACTTAAAGTAATTTAAGATCGAATTACATCCTGACATATTTAATTTATTACTTGACTTATTGGAAAATTTTGTTTGGGCATTATCATTTTCAGAACTAAAAGAATCTATTTCTATATTTTCTTTATCGTCACTATTTTCATTTGGCATCCCTATCCAATTATTGTCATCTAAAAATTCCATAGATGAATTTATAAAGTGATATTTATTTCCACCACGTTGTAGTGCAGCTATTATATCTTCTTTTTGAATAGTTACAGTTATATGCTTGTTATGTTTCTTTGTACGAATCCTAGCATGCTTTTCAGACTCTTTAACTAATTCAGAAATAAAGTGAGATATACTTAACTGAATCCCACTAACTGAATCTTTTGAGAACTTTGAGTCTGTTGTATATTTTATGAGCTTTAAAATCTTACTTAGTGGAACTAATTCAACCTTCTCTTTAGATATTTCTTTATAATCTTCAATATCCATTTTTTTATTTCCCACTTTATTATTGTTCTATCTCTTCTGCATAATAATCAAGTAGCATGCTCCTAACAAGAATCTCTACTTTTGAAGGAAAATGGAGGGGGGGATGAAAGGGAGGAAAGGAAAATAAGGACTAAGACCGCTTGTAAATGATTTAAAGAATTGAGCTGGGATTTTAAGGAAATTTAGTGCATTAATGTAAAATTACCCTAATAAGGCATTAAAAACAATCATTATATAATATCTTAATAAGAATAATACTACAGAACTTAATATTTTAGCAATTTCTAATCTATTATTTCTGCTTCAGCTATAGGATTTGCATGGATAATAATATCTTTTATAATGATATCTTCAATAGGCTTAAATTTGTCGTCTACTGCACATCTTTCTATTTTATCTAAAGTATCAAAACCATCAATAAGTCTTCCAAATACAACAAATTCACCGTTTAAATGTGGTTGTTTCGAATATGTTATAAAAAATTGAGATCCATTAGTGTTTGGTTTCTTACTAAATCCCTTACTAGCCATTGAGAGGATACCTCGTCTATCATGTTTTAAATTAGAATCAAATTCATCTTCAAAATACTTACCATATATACTTTCACCACCTTTTCCACTCCCTGTAGGATCTCCTCCTTGAATAGCAAACCCTTTTATATTTTTGTGAAATATCGTATTATTATAATATTCACTAGCACATAATGCTAAAAAATTTTTACATGTTTTTGGGCATTGTGAACAATATAATTCAAATTTTAAATCTCCTAAATTTGTAATAATGCGCACTGACATTTTATTTAAAAAAAAAAAAGTTTAAACCAAATAGGATCATCATAAGAAACCCAAGCCACACGGCGCTATGAACAAAATGGTTTGTTATATCATCCATCTTTTTATTGACTAAGTAACAATTCTTTGTTCATATAGATTTAAGGTTACTTCCAGAAATCTAATAGGATATATTAATTTGTCTATATTTATTATATATCTTAAATTCAAAATTTTACTGCTTTTCTTTTTTATTATTATATTAGAAAATATAAGCTTAATATGATGAATAATAAAGTTATAAAGATAATAATTATGGATATTCAACTATATAGTTAACATATTTAGTAATATCATCAAGTCTATCAGTGTATTACAAGTTTTTAGAGTTTAAATTTCTCTTTCAAAATTAGATAAGATACCGCATATAACTTAGTACTGGTTTACTGTATATATTAATCAAAATGATGATGCGCTTACATCCCCCCCCTTTTTTTAAGTTTCTACTATCATTTATTATTATTGGAATTAAGAAATATAGAAATTGTCTCAAGTAAAGATAAATATTCTAATGAAGAAGGTATTTTCAGCCATTAAAATTATAATATTTGCATCTTTTATGATCTCTAAAGTTAAGTGTGGTTCTGGAGCATTGGATGAACAACCAAGAACTGAATTTAATACTGACTTATCTGAACTTCCATTACTTGTTCTTACTAATGTAGATAATATAGAGAAAATTGAACATAGATTTTCTGATTTCTTTAAGGAGCTAAGATATAAAGGTCACAATATAACTTTTCAGTCATTAACTACAAAGTCTAGACCTCAAGACATCAAACTAGACTTATATGGTAAAATGAAATATAATAATATTATTATTTTCGATTTAATTGAACCTGAATATAAGTCGACTTTTTCAATGAATTTATTAAAACATTTACTAGACTTTGTTGATAATGGAAATAATATTTTAGTATTTACTGATACTTCAGATAAATCTAATTCAATAATTCCAACTCCTATGATAAGAAGATTTGCTAAAGAATGTGCTGAGATAGAATTTCATCCTTCTAATAGTTATTTAATTGATATAGTTGGGAATCAATCGAATGAATATAACCAAAATTGTATCTCTTCACCTAACTGCTTAGATTCTAAGGCTATTTTTTCTCCTGATACTTGTAATGGTAAAGAAATTACTTATTGTGGTATTGGATTTGCAATAAAATCTTATTTAACTCCTTTATCATTCCCATTATTAAGAGCAACTGACACTACAATGGCATTTTTGACTAATTCTGCAACTAGAAATAATAAATTATTGGGAAATTTATTGTACTCAAGTGGTAATAATGAAATAGGTTTAGTTGTATCAATGCAAGCAAGGAATGGTGCAAGAGTAACATTTTCAGGTGATGGATATTTATGTAGTAATGATAGATACATGATAAATGGTAATAATCAATTATTTTGTAATGATATAGCATCTTGGACATTCCAAAAGCGTGGCCTTATTAAATTGAGTAATATTCAAAGTCACAAGATTGAGGATATATCTAACTCAAGGCCAATATCTCGCTATAGTGATCGTAAAGATGCTGATGTTGAATATACTGTTGAAGATTTTATAAATTTCTCTGCTGAATTTTATCATAATATCAATGATAAATGGGAACCATACCCTTATAATGATATTCAATTAGAATTGACGATGTTAAATCCTTATATTAGAATTGGTCTTCAACATAAAGGTGATGGAGATATAAGTCATGCTACTTTTCATACTAATATCAAACTCCCTGAAGTTTTTGGTATTTATAAATTTGTTATAAATCACAAGAGGATTGGTTATAATTATATTCTCTATGAATCTTTAGTTACAATTAGGAGTTTCAGACATGATCAGAATCAGAGATTACTTATATCAGCATATCCATTTTATACAAGTTTTCTACTTACTCTCACTCTATTCATATTTTTTGTGATAATATTTGTATTTGTTATTGATAATAGTAAGAAATCTAAATTAGACTAGATCTACAAATAGCAAGGTCTTAATCACTAAGTTTTACCGCTAAGATGTCTTGATACTTGTATTTAAAGGAAGGGAAGGGGGGTATAGTCCCCGGAATAAAAGTTAAATATATGGGATTTTATGAGTCAGGGTAGAGGACTTTTTTTGCTAACTTTGGCAGGTCTATTATTTACATATATTACATTTATTTTCATAGTGACACCTATTTTTTATGGTAATATTGAATTGTCTGTAAGTTTCTGGATACCTTTTCAATGTTTTTATTATTTCACTAAAGTAATATTTATCAATTTTAATATAGACATTCATTATTTCACCATTAAGGCTATCATCTTATTTAGCATTTTTTTTCATATCTATAATGGTTTTCCTTATAACTTTTATTCTGATTGCTATATTTATAGATGAAAATAATACAAAACACGGGAAGTAGTATATAAATGTGGGTATGATGCATCTTGTTCAGAAGCTTGATATCGCATTCATTAGGAGCTACTCCTTAATCTCACTATTACTTAATAGGTAATCTAACAAAATTTTATATTGAAACTTCTTAATAATATAAACTAAATTTAATTTGTAATCCCGCTGTTTGCATTGTTAAATTTTCTTCAAATATTATGTAGAATACTCCCTTATAATTCTCTC